ATCTGCGCAGAAGCCCACACCGACGAACAACACCGGGACACAACGGCAGCAGAATGCAACAAATGCCGAGCTGAGTCGGAGGCGGAGGGAATGGAGCTAGACGGGGAAACACTCTGCGCGCACATTATACAGTGCGTGAACTGCAAGGGAAAAACGGACACGGATGCGAACCATACGGCGGACTCTCGCCAGTGCCCCGAAAGACTGGCCCGGTACAGCGCGGCAAAGAACGGCTCGAACACAAAGACGAATGCGACAGACAGAGAAGAAGGCTGGCAGACAGCAAAGAGGACACGCAAGACGAGGCCCGCCGGCCCGCCAACTGCTCAAACGCGGGAGGAGGGCACGAACAGGCAGTTGCAGGACCAAAACCAGTTCAATGTACTGTCTAACGAACAACTGACAGCCCTAGATACAGCAGTACGCAATATAAGGGCCGCCCTGCCTGCAGGATCGACTCTAACGCCGGAGAGCATTGCCGAAGCCTACACGAACAACCGCCATCAATTCGAGACACTATGACTGGACACAACCGGCGAACACTTAAAACACGACCAATCCGACTTGGACAACTGAATGTCAACAAGAAACCAGAATCCCTGGCTGGATTACTGAACGATGCGGTGAGAGATTTCGATATTCTATTTATTCAAGAACCATGCTGGTCAAGAATAGGGTCGGATACAAACGGAAACGATGTACGCGGCCCAATGGCACAACAGGCATGGACTCCAATGCTCCCGGTGGAGAACATACCGAAGGACAAACAACCCCGAGTTATGACCTACTTCAAAACACGCCCTGATTTCCAGGTCACGCTACGGTCCGACCTGCTGAAGGACCTCGACATGCAAGCGGTGGATGTGACACAACAAGGAGCGCCGACAGTGCTCGTCATAAACCTATACAATGACACGGAGTTGCCATACAGCTCGGTGGAGAAGCTAGCCGAGCTCATCCTCCCAATGGACCGCCCAGTTGTTATCCTCGGCGACTTCAACCTGCACCACGAACTCTGGTCATGCCTGAACAAGAACTCGAACGAACGGTCAAGAAAGTTTGTCGAGTGGTTATCTGGGGACAACGGGGGAGCGGTATACACGCTAATGAACGAAAAAGCTGAGATAACATTCACTCCACACTCTTCGCGCGGGTCAAGTTCAGTCATAGATCTTACACTGACCAACGCAATTGGAGCAACGAACGCAACAATCAAAGACTGGTCCGTCGATCGCGGCATGTCATATGGATCGGACCACCATGGTATAAGATTCACCATAGACCAGGGACGACACGAGATCCAGAATATAGCGGGCGAAAAGGTACAGCTTATCTGAAGTTGAGCCGAAGGACTGGCAGTCTGCGTTTAGGTACGAACACGAAAGGAGATTGGCAAACATCACGCCAATCATGGGGGAATCCACCCCTACGGACGACGAGCTGGAGCTAGCGGCAACAGCACTAACAGACGCGATGCACGAAGCGACAGCGAGTGTGGGGAAGGTAAAGACACCAAACAAGGCGGCGAAACCATGGTGGACAGCCGAGCTTAAGGAGGCGGCCAATAAGCTCAAGCAAGCCCAAATAGAGCTCAGGACGATGGAGACGAGAAGTGGACAACGATCACGATACTTACGGAAGAGAGCAAAGACCATCAGCAACTTCTTCAAGAGGCTCGTAAAGCGCTCGAAAGCCAAGTGGGCGATAGAGAAACTACAAACGGCGGAGACGGCAGATATCTGGGGCTTCCGCAACTGGTCGAAAGGGACACGCAACTACCCGACACCTGCAATAACGCGCCGTGGACAGGATCCAGCGGTGACCCATACGGAAAAATGCAACGCAATTAGAGATGAGTTGTTCCAGCCTCCACCGGTATTAGAACAAGAACCTGATGTCAACCTGAGTGATAGACTCGAGGACGACTTAGAATACCAGGAAGTTACCACAGAAGAGGTCCGCGAGGCAATTTTCGACTCCAGCACGTCATCTGCCCCTGGGGAAAGCCAGGTCTCCTACAAGATCCTCCGGTGGGCTTGGGGCGCAGACCCAGAGACGCAGGAAGAGATCACCACACTTATGCGGAAATGCCTCAAGAACGGCTACCACCCGCGACATTGGCGGAAGTCAATAGCAGTGGCGCTACGAAAGCCAAACAAGCCAGACTACTCAAACCCACACGCGTATAGGCTAATTCAACTCCTAGAATGCCTAGGCAAGGTCCTCGAGAAAATTGTTGCAAGACGACTGGCTTACCTTGCTGGTCGTCATGACCTGGTCCCGGCACGCAATTTGGAGGTGTATCTAACACATCAACCACAGATGCCTTGCTCACATTCACAAACGATGTGCAGGCGGCGTGGAACAACGGTAAAGTTACGTCTGCCCTAACATTTGACATCAAAGGGTACTTTGACTGCGTCAACCACAGGAGACTACTTAGCGAACTACGACGAAAAGGAATCCCGCTTGAATACGTCAAGTGGACAGCCCGTTCCTGGAAGACCGCCAAGCCGCAGTATGCCTTGACGGGTACGAGGGGAGATGAAGCCAGTCGAGAATGGAATCCCACAAGGCTCACCGGTCTCGCCAATCCTAGCGGCATTCTACAGCAGCGGGCTCCTTGAAGCATTTGAACCCAACAACTCAATCGTGGGACACATACCCCTCCCGGACGACCCATCGAACGTGTCTCTGATTATGTATGTAGACGATGGCAAACTGTACGTCTCATCATTTTCGCTCGATACTAACGTTAGGATGCTACGACTTGCCTACATTCGAGTACAAGACTGGCTACACGCAGCGGGACTAGACATCGATATTACCAAGCGGGAACTGATGCACTACACACGGCGGCGGAAGGACAAGTCCCCCTCAATCAAACTACCAGGCGCCGACGGCACCGACACTACAGTCCTGGTCTCAACCTCACTGAGGTGGCTCGGCGTGTTCCTTGACCGCAAACTCCTCTTCAACCACCATGTGAAGACACTCGCGGCCGGGCAGCAAACACGGTCAACGGGACCACAATGCTCGCTAATACAGTCAAAGGGCTATCCCAAGGCCACCTACGACAACTATACCAGGCATGTGTCATTCCAGTTATGTGTTATGCAAGCTGTGTTTGGTGGACAGGCAAGAAGAGCCATGCCAAGGAGCTCGAGAAAGTCCAACGGAGAGCCCTAAGGTTGATATCGCAGCATTCGCACACCCTCCTGTGCGCGCACTAGAAATCGAAGCATCAATACCCCCGATACACCTAGCGCTTGATCAGGCAAATCGGCGAGCAGGAATACGGTTCAACAAGCTGAGTACCCGAAACCCGGTCATCCAACGTCTACCTGATGTTTGGCGTAGCGGAAACCCTCCATTGGCTCCCCCACCAATGCCCATGAAACCCCAGAACAAGAACAAAGCCGACCAGCGGAAGACGACTCAGCTAGAAAGGCTTGCGCGGCACACGAGCCCACAGGACGAGAGAATTTCACCCTTCCTTACACCACCATGGCGTCGCGCACAGAGTCGGCCTTCGGGGTAGGATGAAGGTGTCGACAACACAAGGAATGAACAAGGCAGAGGCAGCCAAAGCCCACGTTGAGCGAGTGGCGGACCTGGCACTACGCCCATCACACCTTCTTATCTATTCGGACGGCTCACTTAGGGAGATACACCGCATGAGAAGGGTTGGCGCGGGAGTGGTAATATACCGAGAGAACGAGGAAATGTTTGCGAACTTCGCAAGGACTAGGTGGACACGCGGAAGTATATGACGGGGAGATGGCGGCTCTACTCCTTGGAGCCAGAAGGCAACGGCAATGGCCAAAGCAGATGCTTCTATCAAGCACCTGCACTTTTTCGCGGACAACACATCAGCCATCAAAACCATCTTTAATCCCAAACCACGACCCGGACAGTTGGTCGCCCACCGTTTCCACACAATGGTTGCGGCTTTCCTCGACGACGACATGGACCGAACGGCAGAGATCGCGTGGGCCCCGGACATGAAGACATACGGGCAACGAGAGGGCAGACGAACTTGCGAAAGAAGGCACAGAGCGCGGCACGGAATTGCGAGGCACCAGAGCCAACGCCATCCGACGGTCGAAGGCCAAGCTGCAAAGGGACTGGCGCGGTGAGTGGAAACAGAACAGGAAAGCAGAGGGCGGGTTCGCGCTAGCTGACAAGATCAGGCCATCGCTGAAGCCCTACGAAACACTTCAAGGCACTCGCCAGAAAACGGGAGGTCTTTGGTCGTTTAATCCAATGCCGCACAGGTCATGGATATACAGGCGAGTACTACAGTCGATTTGTCCCGGACGAGGCGTTCACTGCCCTGCAGGGCAGAGTTGCAGACACGTACACATATCTTGCGAATGCACGCGCTACAGCCAACATCGATACCATCTAAAGAAGGCATCAAGAGATATAGCAATGACGGAAATCCTCGGCACACCGTCGGGGATAGCAGCGCTGTCCAAATTCCTCGAGGAATCCGGGGCATTCACGAAGACCGGAAGACCACGCGAAGAAACGACCCTTCCCACGCTGGAAGACGAGCCGGAGGCGGAATTATCTGACGATGAAGACGATGCGGGCGGCATCGAGGACCATGGTTAGATGGATGGAAGGACGACCTGAAGATGTTCAAGAGCGGCGGGATAGCCCTCTTACACACGAACCTCACTGCCAACCCGCCCAATTATGGCCCCCCCTATGACCTTCATGCTCTACGCTCGCCAAATAACTCACGGGGACGTCAGCGAATCAGACGCTGCTCAAATTCGTACACGGAAACCAATATATCAACCCCGCAGGGCAACAAATGACACTCAACCCAACCCGGCCCTTGCTCTCCGAGCACCGCGCCTTAGTAGCACACCTGCATACTTTTACGCGGTATATAAATGTGATTCAAAAAAAAAAAAAAAAAAAAAAGTTGAACATGATGATGTTCATTGGAAAGAGAGTTGCTTATATAAGTCGATGCATCTAGCTCAATGGCGCCGGGCACCAATTACATGGGTGGCAAGCGGTAAGTCCTGGCAATACCATATTAGCAGCACCGACCTCAATTCAGGAATGCTGCGCGTTCTAAGACCAAAGACGCTGCTACCCGGGCACAAAAGCTTCATTTCAATCGACAACGTTTGGACGTTATGACCCATGCTCTGCGACTTGGTGGACGGACTACAAGCTATGGGAGGGCACCTCAAGGTGTAGGAATGAAAGCTACGAGGGAGGACATCGAACTCTTACATGCTCACGGCCGATCTCAACACCCCGAAGATTTTATCGTTCGACAACAAGCTCCAGAAACACCTAGTCGTCGCCACAACTACCCGAGAAGAGGGACAAATACAGAACGTTCAAGCTCTGGTGGCCGCAGTTCGACGTCGAGGGTTTTGCAAGCGCTGGACTCCACAGAGCGTGAGTGCCTTTCTCTTCTAGTCCATCTCATTACAACTCTCCAGCCATCGCGATGCGTAGTGTCAGGAGTAGGATACTCTCCTTACCAGACCTGGCTGGTCTTTCCACTGGCGGGACCCTCTCAATCGTATCTGTTGCTACACCTCTAACTAAGAGACGACGGTCATCGTCTCCCCTGGAGTCGGTGGCGACAGACGACTCGTTTAGAATAGAGAAAGCAAGCAGACAAAAGAAAGTGAGCAGCTATTCACATTATCCTTCCACTTTCAACTTTCCACGCAGAGAATGCGGGAGGAGCCTTCGCCATTCGTCCATCATTTCGATCCAATGGAAGAATACGACGATTTCGAGCCAGACGAATATCCTCAGCAACGAGTACGTTGATGAAATTCCAAAGTTTTTCTTCCAACCTCAATCTTTGTTGAGTCGACCCTAATCGCCAGTCGACCCTCAAGTGCAACATCATCCGCAACTTGCTATGTCATCGAACCCGATTATTCCATTGACCACTGTGTCGCAGAAGCACTTTTGAACTCCCCAGACGTCTATCAAGAACCCTTTAACTACCGTCAACTCAACACAGTTTCTCTATCCACTCATGCTTCTGGTTTCACCACGCCATGTATCAGAACAGACGCAGCTGCTTCGCTTTTCGAATATGCAAATCCCTGGCATACCATCGGCGCCATTCTCGGTTTAGAAGAAGCTCGCACAGAGGATCTCCAAATTTCAATGGACGACTGTCAAGGCGACGATGCAATGGACATACTCCAATGCGAAGACTCTGAAGATGTTGCATACGTACTTGGTCCTGCTATAACCAACTCCAGACCACCGACTCCTTCGTCTCCAGTCGATTCTCCTCTTCATAACCCTATGCACATCAATGTCAACGACAATAACTCGCCATTATCGCACTTGCTCTCCGTTTACAACTCTGATGATCCAAGCCGTTCTGAGGATCAACCGTCTCTTGCTAACCTACCCCGAACTCCTTCTCCACGGTCTCAGATCAAGATCCGTTTTCCAGCATCTTCCACCTCAGTAAAGCAGCCTTCATCTGAAACCCACTGGAAGAACAGCAGAATCAACCTACCCACAGCTGGAGTGCAATCCAGGCTCAACCACATTGTGGGCTCGGACAGCAGCGAAGAAACCGACATGACTATTCTCAGTAGCAACAACCTCAATCCCTCTTCGAACACGACTATGAGCACAACGACAAGTCTTTCATCAAGTTCTCCCCCCTTACCCAGCCATTCTTTGCCGACGGACTCTGGCCGCTTACCGCATGCCCATGAACCTTCGCAACCCCTCAGGCTTGCGCTGGACGATAATGTAGCAACACGCACGTTCGGGTTTATCCGACCAACTACGACCTTTTCAGTGCCAGCACCGCCGTCTTCCTCTCCTCGAGCTCCCAACGCCATATTTTCGTTATCTCGACGGAGTCCTTCATGCTTTGTCAATCAGTCTCACACTGGCAGTCAGATATATTTGACTCCTACCACCCAACACAAATTTGTCAAGTTCCCCGTACCTTGTGCGTCTGAGGAAGACAAAAGACGATCCGAAACCCTGCATGGCGCCAGAATCGTAAATTCCAATCAAGTCGATGGCACACTCAGTCCACTGTTGCCTCAGGATCATGTTAGGGTGCTCTCCAGTTCTTTTTTTCGTATGTAGGTCTCACCCTCAGTAGCCTTCTCGTACTGTACCGAAGCGCACCACGGACTTATCATCGCCGTTGAAGCCAGTTGATGTGGAGATGCCGATACGCGTTTTGGACACACAGGACGAGATTACCGTTGCGAAATGCTTCGGAGACCTGAGAATGCGCTTATTCGATGACGACGATCGTATGGCAGAAAGTGACGATTGACAAGGTTTTCGGTCAAAAGATAAGAGAGAATGTACACGTTGTCCTACTTCTCAAACGCGTTGAGAACCAAAGGTGAATTGAAGAAATTGGTCTTGTCAGTATCCCAGTCTAGTGACCTATACTCAGAAATGGCGCAGAGCAAGAAGAACGGCGCACCGTCAGGAATCATCGTGAGGTTGTTACGGATAAGCTGCATCACCGCACGAGAGCTACCTGTTTTGTAAGCAGGCCAAGTCGCTGGAAACCCATGAGCTACAAAAAATCCAAGTAAATTGATGGACACTAACGCCCAGGGTTAAGATCGTTGACGAAGTTGACGTAGAACGCTAGCATTTGTTGAGAAAGCGCGGTTTCAACAGCTGGGAAGGGGCCAAAGAAGAGTTCAAGCTCGGAAGCGTGGAAAACTAACCCAAAATTCTGCAAGGGTATGATAAACGGTCAAGTGATCACATACCCCCGAGTGTTACATCGCTGCCAGGAATAAATTCGCGGAAATAGTATGCGAACATAGGCATATGAGCCGACGCAGCCTCGAACCAGCTTCGTCGTGGGGTCAAGAACATCAGTCCAGTATACCATGCCGCAGCTCTATTGAAGAGCGAATCGCCTGCGACATTGAATGGAGATCCCAAAGCGGGATCGTTCGCCGGGAAGAGGGCCAAGGAGCGAGCAAAGACTTGGGTTGGGAGTGTGCTGTTGTCGATTACGAGGTGTCCAATGTAGTTGACGAATGCAGTGTCCTCTGCTGAGCCACTCAATCCAAGATTTCTGACGGAAGCACTGAATGTTGTTCCCTCGTTAACCTGGTGAACAAGACCAAGCCCTTGTCACGTAAGTAAAAAAGAACAGAAGACGCGTACATTCGTTCCACCAAGATAAGGAACACGAATGAACTTGCCCGAGGCAATGACTTCGGAAGCGCGTTGCGTGACCATGCTGCCCTTGGGACCAACAGAAGGTTGCCACAATTGGTTGTTGAGAGTGTTTAAGATCATGGTATTACTGGCATTCATCAGCGTCTGGAGACTGATCAGTCGCGAAGGTGCGAATAACAAATGCAATATCTACATCGAAAGGAACCTTTTGCAGACAAACGAATGCACTGGGACCAGGAGCACAACCAGTCGCCGCCAGGAGACGTGCGAAGGGCTTTCCAGGTTTATCGAAGGTGCTTACATCGGGCGAGTTTTTGCTGAGATCGAGTTAGTCTCCGTTAAAATGTCCGTCGCCGGCGCAAACATACAAAGGCCCCGTTGATGAATCTGCAATCGCTGCGCGAAATAGTGACTCGGAAGCGGGGTACAGTAAATGGGCTTCAACGCTCCCAGCCCCAGCAGACTAGAAATAGTTGGCGACAGATAACGCGACAGGAATGAGTGTGTTACCTGACCCCAAATCGTGACCTATGTCTTCTGTGAGAAGAATGCAGACGTGAGAGTTCGAAAGAATTGTGACCTTGGATGGATCACCACCAAATGCTGCAATGTTGTTCTTCACGAACAACATGGCCATCCGTTGGTCTTGCAACCCAGCGTTGAGATCTGGAGGTGGGACGCTTTCGCTGGCGAGCTACAGTACATTGGATGAGTCATAAAAGGGTCTGGTGAAATTATTCACAAAGCCAAAAGTGTTGACGCGGTAGTTCCTAGTCTTAAATTAGCGAGGCAGCGCAGAGGAAAAGAAGACGACCACAAACGTCGACACGAATATCATTGGTTTGCCAAGTTGGATACTGCGTTGAAGCAGCACTTGAAAAGCATCTAAGGGGCGAGCGGAATGCAGAGAAGATACATACGACTTGGATTGAATTGTGGATCTGACGCCGCACTACAAAAAACATCACAAAGAACCCAAAAAGGGTCGACCAAAGTACCCGCTGGTGTATGCTCCACCCTATGTCAATGAATAAGCTGGGATAGCTGCAGAAAAAAGTGAATACATGAATCCAAAACAGGACCGGGAGTTTGGAGTTAGAAGTCGTTCCCTGTGGTCTGAACACCTGGTAGAAATCAACAGTCAGTTGGAGAAGCAACATGAATACCGACTTGCTCACATTCAAGAATAAACAGTCTTCGGAAATTGGCGCTCCAAGAGATGAGGCCGGTTGCGGGCATGCATTGCCAAAGGATGACGCATTTTGGATGCCGGTTACGGTTTTGGTGACTGGGACTGGTGCCTTGAAGCGAAGCGAGCCAATAGGCGGTTGGGCAAAGCGAAGACCCAGCCATTTTTCGGTCCCGTTCGTGGTAGTGACCCCGCGGAAAGTCCCTGTGGCAATAGTGACGTCGAGTGAGGCGAATACCTGCTGGCCAACTGAAAGCAATGTCGCGACTATGACTGTGAGGAGGCGCATGGTGGCGAAGTTATGAGATGCTCAAGTTGCAATCCCCACGTCGGCGCTCGGTAGACCGGCATGCCTTTCTCAAGATCAGCAGGTGAGGGAGAAAGCACTCTTCTTCAAGACACGTGACCGCCAACTCTCCGATGGAAATACAACTAGTCCTAGTACTCCGATCATACTAAGTCTAATCAATGGTGAGTCTTGGAGGTGTCTCGAAAACCACGAGCGGGATTGAGAGCTCGTGGTGACGACGAGTAGCATCACTGTCTATAAGAACATCGAAACACTATCGTGAGAAGAATCTATTTCTCAAATGCGTTCAAGACCAGAGGCGAGTTAAAGAAATCAGTTTTGTGAGTATCCCAGTCTGTAGTGTATTTTCAGAGATGAGGCAGAGCAAAAAAAGGGACGCACCGTCGGGAATCATTGTAATGTTGTCACGAATGAGCTGCATGACCGCACGGGAATTGCCTGCTTGATAAGCAGGCCAAGTAGCTGAAAACAACCCATAAGCGATAAGTAATCAAGGCAAGTCCATGACACCAACGGCCAGGGTTTAGATCGTTAACGAAGTTCACGTAAAATGTGAGCATTTGTCGGGCAAGTGCGGTTTCGACAGCCGGGAAGGGTCCAAAAAAAAGTTCAAGCTCAGAAAAGTGGCCAACTATTCAACTCCGTCAGGTGATGACGAACAGACAGACGATTCCATGCCTCCTAGGGTCACATCATTGCCGGGGATGAATTCGCGGAAATAGTATGCGAACATCGGCATACGAACTGACGCAACCTCAAACCAGCTCCGACGTGGGGCCAAGAACATAAGTCCAGTATACCATGCCGCAGCTCTGTTGAAGAGCGAATCGCCTGCGACATTGAAAGGAGATCCCAAAGCGGGATCGTTCGCCGGGAAAAGGGCCAAGGAGCGAGTAAAGACTTGAGTTGGGAGTGTGCTGTTGTCAATGACCAGATGTCCGATGAAGTTCTCGAAGGCCATGTCCTCCGCTGCACCACTCAATCCAAGGCTTTTGATTGCGGTGCTGAAGAATGTCCCCTCGTTAACCTGAAAAGCGAGATCAAGACCTGATTGAGCGAGTTGAGAGAGGAGACCCGCACATTTGTTCCACCAAGATAAGGAACACGAAGGAACTTGCCCGAAGCAATGACCTCAGAAGCACGCTGCGTAACCAAGCTGCCCTTAGGACCAACAGAGGGTTCCCACAATTGGTTGTTAAGAGTGTTTGAGATCATCGTATTACTGATATCCATTAGCGTCTGGGACTTATTAGCGGAGAGTGTGTGAATAGTAAAATGGGACTGCACCTCAGAAGGAACCCTTTGTAGACAATCGAATGCACTAGGACCAGCCGTACAGCCCGTCGCCGCCAACAGCCTTGCGAAGGGCTTTCCAGGTTCATCATATGTGCTTGCATTGGGCGAGTTTTTGCTGATGCCAAGTCAGTCTGGGTATCGATAAGGAGATCATCGCCAGCATACAACGGTCCAGTTGATGAGTCTGCAATTACCGCACGGAACAGCGACTCGGAAGCGGGGAACAGCATGTGCACTTGAGCACTCCCTGCCCCAGCAGACTAAAAAAAGTTACTGACAGATAACTCTACCACGAAGGCGTTACCTGGCCCCAAATCGTCACCTACGTATTGGGTTAGAAGAATGTAGACGTGGGAGATGTGAGTTTCAGACCTTAGATGGATCGCCGCCAAATGCTTCGATGTTCTGCTTCACGAACAACATAGCCATCCGTTGGTCTTGCAACCCAGCGTTGAGATCTGAAGGTGGGACGCACTCGCTTGCGAGCTACAGCACATTGAATGACCAGTAAGACGGACTGGTGAAATTATTCACGAAGCCAAAAGTGTTCACACGGTAGTTTCTAATCTCGGGTAAGCAGAGCAACGCGGAAGAAAGGAAGACGATGGCGGACGTTGAAACGATTGCCAAGTTCAATGCTGCGTTGAATCAAAACTGTGAAAACATCTGAGTGGTGACGGAGATAGGGAAAACATACGTACGGGTGGGATCGAATTGAGGATTTGACGCCGCGCTCCACAAAGTTAGCTGATAGAATTGACGAAATTGATGAGGTACTTCACGGTATAGGCTCCGCCCTAGATATGTTAAATGATCCATTGGATTCAACAGGAGAAGACGGTGGCTAGCGTACGTGGAGCCAAAAGAGAACGGGAAGCTTTGCAGTAGAGACAGTCCCTTGTGGTCTGAAAACCTAGGAGACATGTCGGATACTACCAAGGAATAAAATCGAGTGCCTTCTTTACATTCAAGAACAAGCAATCTTCCGATACTGGCGCTCCAAGAGTATCTGAAGCTGGCTGCGGGCAGGCATTGCCAAATGACGAGGCATTTTGAATGCCAGTTGCAGCTCTAGTGATTGAGACTGGTGCTTTGAAGCGGAGAGGACCAATAGGGGGTTGGGCGAATCGAAGACCAAGCCACTTTTCCGTCCTATTGGCGGTGGTTACGCCACGGAAAGTACCCGTAGCAATGGCAACGTCGAGTGATGCTTGAACAAAGACTACTTGCTGGCCAACTGAGAGTAATGCTGCGAAGATAATTGCAAGGGCTTGCATGGCGGTAGAGTTGTGAGATACTCGAGTTTCAATCCCCACGTTATTTATCGGTGGCCCGCATGCTTTCTCAAGATCAGCAGAGGAAGAAAAAGGCATTCTCTTCTGGACACATGTGACCGCCGACTCCACATCGAAGGCCAATAAGATACAAGCAAGTCGTCCTAGTTGGTCGATGGTCGATGGCGTGCCAGTGTTGTAGCATATTAGTCTCAGGCAGTATACGCCTACCAGTGCATGCGGCATACCGAGCAGGATCACCGACAACACACCCGATACACTCTGACCGAGTTGTGTCACTTTACTGAGAGTGGTCTAGACTGCTATCCTTGCGCATCTGCACCGGTTTTGGTTGTTGTTCTTTGGTCACCGACTGGGGAGACTACCCTCCTGGGGCCACTAGAAATAAAATAGAGGTCAGTTCTGAAATGCATACGCGCATCCTGGAAAGTTTGCCTTGATCATCACATACACCTGAAACCCATCAGAAGATTCTTTGTTCGATGCGAGTAGTCCCCGTCCGTCTACCCGTCCCTTCCCAAGAGTGATTGACTCCACAATCTGCCCAGCTCATGAGAGGGACGACTGAGAATGAAGATTTGGTAGGCCGTACCTGGAATCCTCGGTGGCTGTAGACATCGCGCGAGTGCTCGGTTGTCGCTTCTAGCGTCATTGGTTTAGATATATCGGATTTTGCAAATGCCTCCTCCATAAGCCGTGTGGAGGATCCTGACAAGCTATGAAATCGAGGATAAGATATGGCCGGAACTGACTGACCTTACCGTGGTATTCAGGATCTGTTGCTGTGATTTCTAGTCGATAGTGGTCGCCGTCTAACAATCCTTTGTCTTCGAGGGACCTTTTTATGATTGCGCCATTGGGAGGCTTGAATATGTACGAAGCTCGCTGGCAAATAATAAGGTTCTGCGGTCACGGTGCATGGAAAGTTTCGTGGTGCTCACCCAGACAAAATATAAACCCCAGGCTAATACGCTTCGATGGCCTCGCGCACGTAGAGACGTCATCGGGCCCTCAATATTCCTGTGAGGTGGAAGCCAGGCAGCCATCGCAACAAGTTTTTCGCTCGATGGAGACTGCTGAGGTATCGCGATGACCGTTATTCGCCCACCAACAATCAACACACTTCGATTAATAAGGTCCAGGAATACCCGCAGGTTTCCCAGACTTCGAGCGCCAGCCTCCGCGCATTCTTCGACGATAGCTTTCGACAGCCCACCAAACCAGTTCATTTCGGGATCATTGATGAATGCGAGAGACTCGAAGGACGATATTTGTTCGAGGTCTGAGGTAGTTGCTTCCCGAACGTAGGCTTGCATATTGTACGATGATGGTTCAGGAAAGGAAAGCCTGTGCCGTGATCCGCTCTGTCACAGACCTGATGTTGACGATTGTAGTCGGCATAAGCCTTCTAGATCTATCGGTGTATTCAAGCTGGGACATCCGAAAGGGTAGCAGCTCAGCTCTGAAGACCATTACCCTCTTGCATCCACTCACATAAAAATCATCCACGTGAGCGCATTGCTTACATAGACCAGACATCATCAAGCGCCATCGTCACACCGGCCGTTACATCGGCATCACGCGTGACACGCGCCTCTTCTCTCACCTCCACAACCGCTGCCTCTTTTTTGTGTCGTGGATCCTGTATTGTGTCTACCCCCGTTGTACACTGTAGAGACCGTGTATCCTTCCTTCCTGTAAGAGGCTCATTCTTGTTCTACTCTCTGACTCGCAGAGCGCTTGTTGCTTGTTGTCGTTTTCTGCTGCCTGTCTTACCTTCCGTGTCGTCGATACTCAACTGTCTCCATATCATCGCAATCTCATAGACGAAACCTTTAACCTCCTCTTGACCGTGCCTTGAGTGCAATGCCTGCGGAAGACGACTTTGACTTGTATGGCGAAATGGACGCGCCAATGCAGGACAACGAGGTGTGTATCGTTCCATATTTCGTGACGCTGCTGAATGTAAACCAGGGAGAGCATGTCGAGACGCTCACATCAACTCCTGCAACCGCTCTTGGTGATAAGCGCCCAAGAGATGAGGATGAGGGCTACGACGACTTGAATGTGAACCAGCCGCCTTCATCTTCCCGTTCCAACTCCGGTCAAACCGGTACTCAATTCAACTCGATGATGCATGGCCAGTCGCAGAGCAATGGAACCGTTAATGACTCGTTGTATATCGGCGATTTGCAATGGGTTCGGTGATTCTCTTCGTGTCATGGTTATACCGCTGACCTGCGGCAGTGGACGACCGATGAAGACCTTCGTCAAGTCGCGCTCAACGTCGGGGTTTCCATTGATCATAAAGACATAACCTTCTCAGAACACAAAGTCAACGGTAAATCCAAAGGGTACGTGCATGTTTAGTGGTCCATGTTGTGGCATTTACCCTCCAAAGTATCGCGTACTTGGAATGTGGAGACTATCAAAACGCGATGATGTTAAAGAACTGGTTTGATAACAAGTGTGTCCCGTTGTGTTGTTTTGCGTTTGTCATAATATTCTTGGCTAGTGATTTCCAAGGCCGCCGGGCCTCTGCAACGCTAACTAGCTCTGCCCAGGGAAATCCATTCCGTACCCTTCCGAAAGGCATGCAGTTGTGCGACAATTTGTTTCAAGACTCTAATCTTCGTCTAGACCCGCCACCCCGTGAGCAACGAATGCAACAGACCCCACAGCAGCAGACAGGAAGTGTTCCGATGCCGAGTGTTCCGATGATGGCCAATCTGATGAATCGTGGGGGAGCAAATTTCCGTGGTGGAATGCGTGGTGGGATGAACAACATGATGGGAATGCGCGGAGGAATGCCTGGAATGGGTATGCCTGGCATGATGGGGATGCCGGCAATGGGCATGAATATGGGGATGACTGGGATGAATATGATGAACAATGGCGGATTTGTAGGACGTGGAGGGCCGCCGCAAGGTCCTCGTGGAGGCGGGATGATGCGTGGTGGTATGTCATCCGCTTACTGAGTCGGTATATGCTGATTTGTTTAGGTCGTGGGAACTTCAATGGGGGTGGCCATTTCAACCCAGCTTTCATGCAAGGTGGTCAAGGAGGGTTCAATGGGACACCACCCGACGGTCCGAGAAAACGTTACCGTGTCGATGAAAGTTGAGGCAAGCTGCTGGATGGAAACTTGACTTATCACTACTATCGTTGTCGTCCCTGCTCTCGTTTCGTTGTTTACAGCCTCCTCTCTTCTATGTAGTGTACAGCAAACAAATAATAAGCCCTGCAGCCTTCTACAGCTCCTTGTCGCAACCAGACTTGGATATGTATTTGGCAATCTCCGACTCGACATCGTAATCAAACTGCGTATGATTGGAAGACTTGGGGAGTTGACCTAGATGCAGTTTATTGAATGGAAAGATCGCAAGAAGAGTGGAAGAGATGCACAAGACCGACATAAAATCCGCAGAAAGCAACTTAGCAGTACTTTCTGCCACCAGTTTCGAGGTTCCTTTGGATGTGAAGCATACGATGCCGACGCTATCTTCGAAAGCCTCGTAATGCGCCTCATACGAATTGTCTCATACGCAATGCCTGTTTTCCGCAGCGTATTAGTAACACTGGAACGATGTGAGACATAGTAGTGCTTGAGAAGAACCGCGATTGTAAGAGCATCTTCAACAGCGCAGGCGACTCCTTGGCTAGCATAGGACGACATAGCATGGGCTGCGTCACCGAGAAGCAAAATCCGGCCCGAGCCAGAAAGACTCGTCCAATGTGGGAGTGGAGGGGTCAGATATTCGGGGAGGACGAAGAGACCCGATTTAGAAGAGTCGCCGATGCTTAGCGTTAAGAGTTCGCGGATAAGGTTCTCGTTGCTAGTAGGTGAGTCTGCTGGAGATTTGCTCGATGTGGACAGATTTTTGAGTTGAGCAAGGATAGTGGATGCGGATATAGTTTGCAATGGAGATTCTTTAGCTTGATAGGTAGACCACCACATCAGACGTGCGCTTGTTAGATCAGCAATGTTTGGGGAGCATGGGGAATAACCGAGGAAGCTGTTGCCACCCGAAGTAATGGTGACTGCTTCAGTTCTGAGAGATTTTCGAAAGGAATCGGATAATGAGGAGATGGAAATGAGACCGCCAACGCTAATGTACCCTCTGCTAGCCTGAGCGAATGTGCGTATAAGAGAGCGAACAAAAAAGCTTACTGATGTTGGGCAGCGTAGCGTTGTCCATAAATGGCCTCGCGCACGACACTTTGAACACCGTCAGCACCAATGACGATGTCTGCGTATTCCATAGTGCCGTCCTCCAGAGCAACTTCCACTTGGTCCCCGTTTTCCTTGACATACTTGACTTTCTTCCGCAAAGTCATATCGCCAGGCCGAAGCTCCCGCACAAACGCATCATGCACATCGTCTCGAGCAATCATCGTTTGGCCCATCCCATATCTTGCTTTTGTTCCCGTTTTTAATCATCCTAAAACGGACCCTCTCAAGTCTTTAAAGGTCACGAGTTCGCTGGAGAACCCTCTCTGCTGGATATAACCGGCCGCATCGACAGAAATGCGAGAAATAGCGCGTAGACCATTAGGTGAGATGCAAAGTCCGGCATTGACGGCAGAGACCATCGTCGAGATGTTCTCATGGGACTCGAAAAGAGTTATGTCGATTGGTGGGGACGCTGCTGCGAGATGTTTTCGGAGCGCCAGATACATCGAAATGCCGCCGACTCCACCTCCTACAATGACGACCTTCATCTTGATTGCGCAGTTGGGCGTGTGTAGCAGAGTGCTGCGAGACAAATACTTAGTTGGGCATAAATGACTGCTGCGGGTCTGCGCGGCTCACACACTATCCCTCGGATAGCACGAGGTTTTCGACAAAAATCAGAGGCATTTTTCCGCAGTTTCGAGGCATTATGCAGAGAGCAATACGCCAACTTGAATTGATCAGTAGATTGTTCACATTCAGCCCGAATCAGCTGACAGCCGGTGCTGACAGCAGCCTGAGGACGAGAATCAGTGCCAGAACCAAGAGACTGTGGACTGGAAATGTACACTGATGTGCAAGGGCTATCATATAGCTTGCAGAGATTTGCACCGAATGATCAATGCGGCTAGTACTGTAGTTGAAAGCTGTTGAAAGAAACACTGTGATGTCACAGTGTGATGTGATGACTCATCCTAGAATTCGGCAAAGTTGTGTGCATGCATTAAGCCAGTATGGTTACAATAATAGCCCTATCCCTTCTATGATAATGTGTAAATCAAACGGCTCGGGCCGTTACCACAGCGAATACAGTTGGAAAGCGAATTAAAAAGGCATTTTATGCAGCAGCCCCCATAGAAATATCCTTGCCTTTGATACTCTTCCATTCCATCGCTGCTGCGCCAATTAACGATAGAGCACTCATAGCCACGGACACTTGGAATGCCTTCATGAGTGCAGCATTGTACACAAGCAGAACTTGGGGCAAGTATTGCGGGTCAATGAGCCTCTTCAAGCTTGTGGCGCCAGCCTGCACGACGATAGCGGGGGGAGACGCCGGGTATGTTGGCACGGATAAGACCCGAAACAAGTCGATTCGTGAAGACGTTCGTGCCTGCCGATATAAAGAGCGCTCCACCAAGCGTTTGGAGGAACATGAGGATACTCGTCCCAACAGGCACGTCTTTCAGTGGCAGGACTGTTTGCGCCGCGATGACGGGTTGCTGCATTCCCTGTGAGGATGTGAGCAATTATTATTGAAAATGAGTGGAATTCGGCCTACAACGCCTACTCCCAGTCCATAGAGAACTTGGTATCCAATCCACTTGGAATGACCGGTATTGACCCGCAGAGTGTAAAGCAGGCCCGAGCCGACTGACATCAACACGGTGGAAACGAGGAGCCAGGGGGTATAATAGCCAGTGACGGTGACAACAGACCCTGCAATGAGGGAGCCAACGACAAGGGAGAGGATCATTGGGAGCGAAGAGATGCCTGACTTGACCGCACTCGTGCCCTTGATGGCCTGGAACCAGATGGGGAGGTAGAAGACGAGAATAAAGAAAGCCGCGCCGAGACAGAGTGAGAAGAAGGCGCCTGACCAGATCGACCGTTGCTTGAAGACTCGGGGCGGGACGGTCGCATTGTCGCCCTTCCATAGTTGTACCGCAATAAAACAGATGATGAGCACTCCGAAGACGACAAAAAGCCCAATGATGCGGCCATTCGACCATTCATACTTGCTGCCTCCCCATTGTAGGGCGAGAAGCAGGCTGACGATAGCTGGGATGAACACCACAGTACCAAAAGGGTCGAACTTTTCGATACGCTCCCAAAGGGACATCTCAACAGGTTCTCGATCGGCACTATGAGGCATTTTGAAAAGGAAGACCATCACGAACAGCGTGACAGCGCCGATGGGGAGATTGACTAAGAGCTTCAGCATTCGGGCAAAAGGTGTGGTCAAAATGTCTTACTGTAGAAGCACCACCTGTGGTCGCGTGGGTTAGTAAGTTGACGCATCGGCCAGGACTGTCGACATACCTCCAGGTAACTTTATCTGTGAATGCACCACCCATCAGCGGACCCACAACACTCGCAAGCCCGTACATGGCACCGATTAAGCCAGTATACATTGGTCGTTTACTGAGAGGAACCGCATGCGCTGAGGAGGGCTCAGCGACGAAGATGTTATGCAAGGACTTCAACTTGCCAATGATGATGAGGGCGCCAGTGAAGATTCCAGCGCTACCGAAGCCTGCAGGTGGGATTAGCCAGCTCTGCCAATCGTATAACACAGCATACCAGCAATCGCACGACCTCCGATAAGTGCATTCGAGGTCGGCGCCGCCCCACAGACAGCAGAACCGATTTCAAAAATAGTTATAGCCGTGATATAAACCTGAAAAATACGACTGCTTAAATGGACAAGATGCAACAAGCAAGTTGACGCACCCATTTGATTGGAAGGAACGAATAGAATTTCCCAAAGAGAAGTTGTGTGGCTGCCGTGGCCTGTGAAACAGTTCATCATTTTACTAGCCAGAGGGGATAACGAACCAGAAGATATCTGCCGGGATGTAGGATTTACAGAGACGCTTTGTCAATAACTACTTACGCGCTTCCGTACTAGGCAATAGATGAATTCGCGCATAACTTGAGCAAGAAAATGAGCCTACCCAACTTATGTCGTCAAGCGACTTGAATTCGTCCGTAATCCTAGAACAAAGTTCAAGCTCTGGAGCAACTTATTAGATTTTCAGTTATTACCTAGGAATGGCCGTAGCTAGAAGGAATATCTTAATAAGATATGCTTGAAGAAAACGGAACATAACACACCTATAATGGTGTTGTCCTTTCAGAAATGAGTATTTTGTGATACGTTCAAGGCAGAAAAACGTACCAAAGCGACGAGGAAGACCGATAAACATAGGGCCACAATAAGCAAAGCCAACTTGATCCCATGCGGAAAGTCGTCGACTCGTTCCGACGGGATGAACGACTCTTTGTTGGTTTGATCCTTCTCTTTTTCGGCGGCGGAGTGGATGGATCCGTTGACCGTGTTCTCGCTGGGCGTCGTCTCGTTGGCCATGAAAACAAGTGGAACCAGTGATTCGCGTGGAAGGTGAACGTTGAACGTCAAGCGGGAGCGGAAATATTTATAAAAATTTGTGTGGGTCGCTTAACCCCATTGGACGCTCGGAGACGACGCGTTGAGTGTTGGCCGTTTAGTCGCTTGTGTCATGCAGAATGACATATGCAACCCTCGGTGCATGATCGGCCCACTCAGGTTGCCACAATGCCACTGCAGCACCACGGCAGCGCAGACTGTGCAGTGCGGCAGCAAAGCACGTTGTTGCAGGAAAGTTCCATCTATGGAGCTAAATGGTGAAGAAACAAGAGATGGTCGTAGATCTCACGAAACGGGTTCCTGTCAGTCCGTCACCAACCTCACTTTCCGGCACTCTGCTGGTTCAAACAATTGTGACACGCCTCAAATTGTCGCTGGTGAAACAGTCTCTATACTCGTTGGCGGCGCTCGAGTGCAAATCCGATAACAAAAGTTTGCATTAGTGCCCCCGTACTGGCCAGCTGTTCAATTAATGGACAATCTCGTTTCCACCAAGCCCTACGTTGACTACTGCATCTGCAACACACTTTCAGCTCTACTACAGCTTCTTCAAGTCAGTTTACAGATCCCGTTCGCCTTCGAAACTCGCGATTTTGATCCACTGCTTGTAATTCATGTCATCCGAAAATAATATGCCTCGTAAGTTGGGCTATAGCTTTAACTCATATCGGTCTCATTGATGTATTGCTAGAGAAAGAGAAAACTCATATCGGTCTCATTGATGAAAGAAAGAAAGAAACTAGTCCAAAATGCAGCAGCGTAAATGACGTCGGTTCTCATCGTCACATTTCGTCACTGTCCATTACTTGTTTCTGCAACCATGACTGTCTTTTCTCGTCTGGTTCCAACCGTTGTGACCTCTTACATTGTTCAGACTGGCTCGTTGTGTGTTCGTGTTTCCCCATACGACACTGACGTGCGATCCTTCAGCTTTCGCCGCGATTTTTGTCCCTCAACAGAATGAAAAGTACTACGACTTAGCGGGCAGTCTGGGTTTCATCACCTCAACATTTGTGTCTCTATACTATCCCTCCCTCAAAGCCAAATATATTCGTGGTACGGCCCTTCCAAGTCTACTTTCGTTGGCGCCACGCCAGCTCCTGGTTACAACGGCACTGGGGATTTGGAGCCTTCGTCTCGGAACTTTTCTTGCAATGGTGCATCTATAGCCTTTAGTCCTCTTATTATCTCTGATCGGCACATAGAGAGCTATCAAGGCTGGCAGCGACTCACGTTTCGACGATGTCAAGAGTCAACCGGGCATTTTCACATTCTACTGGCTTGCTCAGGCAACTTGGGTGGTTCTTGTTGGTCTCCCGGTCTATATGGTCAATGTGATTCCACCGACACTCCATCCCCTCCTCGGAATGACAGATGTTCTTGCTGGTACCCTCTTTACTGGATCGTTTCTGTTCGAGGTCATTGCAGATAAGCAAAAGTCAGCTTGGAGAAAGGCAAAAGATAGCAAAGAGCATGAAGAGAAGTTTATCTCCAGCGGTTTGTGGTCGATCTCGAGACATCCAAAGTGTGTTCTGCATCGACCCCTCTCGTTTCAACGCCAATGTAGATTCAGCTATGTCGGAGAAGTCGGGAACTGGATTGCAATCTGGGCTCTTGCAGCTGGAAGCATCAGAACGCCCAACTATCCGCTTGGTACTCTGCTTTTGGCAGGAATAAGCCCTCTGTTCACTTGGTTTCTCGTTCGCAAGGTCATCTGCCTACTTGTTGAGATGCAAGTACTGACCCACCGTCAATCAGGTCTCCGGTGTACCCCCCCTCGAAGCAGCGGGAGACAAACGCTTTGGTGGCGATCCGAAATGGGAGGAATACAAAAAGTAAGCATTCGCGCACTTTGGGGGATTACACATCTCATGCCGGGAAGAACTGTTCCTATCTTCTGGCCGTGGGGAGCGACCTGAACTGTGTAGTAGTGTCTTTTGTTGTGTAAGTAGTATATCTGAACGTATGTAAGCATCCTGACACACGAAATGTTACGCTAATGTGATGGGTTTGTTGACTCCACCACCGATGAGCAGTTCAGTCCAGCCGCGAGTCTATGGGGTGATGTTTCTATTATTTATCATTCTCCTCATCCATTGGTGGCCCGCTCCCACAACGACGCGCAACATTCGCTTACTGGACCGTCATGAGATCATTTCGAAATGTCGCAACCTCGACAAAAAGCCAGGACCACCTCCAAACTTCCGACACAGGTCTGAATCCGACAGGTTTGTCCCAGGGACACGTCCGCATCTTCTTCAAAACGCGCGACTGGTGAGTTGTCGAGCCTCTTTATATTTCAAGCAGACTAACTACGGTCGCAGTGGACTGGGGAAAAGAACGGCACTCAAGTCTTGCTTGCTGATATCCTGATCGACCGGGGGCTCATAAAGGCTGTCGGGAAGTTGGAGGCACGTCTGCTTAAACAGTACGGCCCCGAGTTGGTGGTCATTGACGCGGAAGAGGCATGGATTACACCTGGTACGCATATTTACGCTTCTTGGCGTCGTCTAGTGGTTAACGGCGAGTCAGGAATCGTCGACTTACATTCTCATATGGGAGATTTTTCTCTCCCGTCGTTAAATGGCGCCTCGGACGGGAACTCTCCCAAAGGCCTTATTCTTGTGTGTCTTACATTCTTTGCGCTGAAAGGTCTATATGACCTCCTTTCTTTTTAGCCCTGGTTGCGGAGTATCGACGGTCTTAACACCCATGACTTGTCCTACGAGACATCTATTGCAGGGGGGATCACTACGGCGTTGGTCTTGCCGGGCTCTGGTGATTCGATTGGCGGACAGGCATTCGTCATCAAGCCCCGCAAGACTGATGAACGGTCGACAACGGCCATGGTCCTCGAGCCACCATATAATATCAACTCGTCATTCCCTGTCGTGGATGGGCCGCCTCGTTGGCGCCATATGAAGTCAGTTTTGGTCTGGTTCGTGGTTAATATATTTCTAAGCAGCTCCGTAGACATGCTTGCGGTGAGTCAAGTCAAGGCGTGCATAGAGAAAATATGTCACGATGACCGACAGGCGAAAATCCCAGTATGTGCTTACTTATTGGACGATCTCATCTAATCTTTACTAGGTGGCTGGTATGGTGTTACCCGCATGGACACCATATGGGCATTCCGAGAAGCGTATGTACACGATTGACAACTCTATGATTGTTTCTTGTTCAACAGGTTTGCAGGTACAATACAGCCAAACAAATTCAAAAGAAACAGGACGCATACTGTTCGCGTGTCATGTCCAATGACTGGGAGGGCTTGGGAGAGTATCCGGAGAGCCTCCAGTGGGAGTCGCTGGTAGATGTCCTTCGAGGCAAGGTTAAGGTGATTGATGATATTCCACGCGGTTCCGATCTATGCCTGATATCATGAAGGTCAATGTTCACTGCTATATGGCTGAAGATTTCGGTTAAATTCCTTCATCCTCTTTCTTGAAACTTAACTTATGATTGCTAGATGGGCTTGTTCGGGTCTGTCCAATAACATCAACCAGACTTCATATAAGATCCTTATAGCTTTCAAACGAATTCGAATTTCCTATCGCTGCCTTCCATCATGCCTCGGAGGCGTATCTCGTTCCAGACCTCATCAAGAAAACCTACGGTAATACTCTTGCTACGATTACGTGCCTGTTTAACAACGCCGTCAGGTCCAACACCCGCAATCGCCCTGTTCGCTACCAACTCTCGATACAAGCTCGAAGCCTATCGTGCATCCGAATTTGCACCTCGCATCTTGGCAACGCACGGCATTGACGTAGTAATGAAGGTACCTGGATCTTCCATCTTTCTAGGTGCTCTATGTCAACTCTTCCTTCCAGAGCGACCATCCCGTTCTCAATTCACGATACCTTGTGTATGAAGCTCAGCAAGCGCACTTTTATGGGTTCCCCGCCAACTTAGCCGTGAGTTCCTAGCCGCTTGAGTTCATCGATTGAGTGTTCGGAGATGGCTTCAGTGACCACCACTCCTGCGCGAGCAATGGGAATGGACCATCGCATTGGATTCATTAGAGAAGGTAATTACAATAATCAAGACCACTAGTACATCACTAACGGAATTTAGGCTGGGATGCAGGTAAGTGATACTGGTTTAGTACTCGTAAGAAGGCTGGAACACTATAGATCTCGTTATTTGGGATTCTCACCCTCTTAACCTTGGAGCAACGCCGAAACAGGTCTTCATTGACGGAATTCCGCAGCTCAAAAATCCTCATATCGCACGCAAACCTCTGGCATTCCAGAACCCGCCCATCGTACCTGATTTCGACGACGATGCGAAAGAGGCCGTTGAATACGAAGGCCTTCCGCCTCTGGATCCAAAACCCATTCGTGGCCGACCAGTCGTTTTCGTGAATGTGCGCTCTGTTTTGGCAACCGACCTATCCAACGATGTCGAAGAATTGTTCTCCGCCTCGAGCGATGATGTTCTTGGAACTGCTGTTGCTGTTGATGGTCGACTGGTCTGTGTTGGCGAATGCCGACTCGATTCCATTGTTGACGCCGAGGTCGTTAATCTCCAGGGTGGAGCCATCTGGCCTGCACTGACAACCTTTGGCGCGCCATTGGGACTGGAGCATATTCAAGCGGAGCCATCCACTGTTGATGGCTCTCTATTCGATGTGTTGTCAAACGACGGTGTTCCAGCTATCGTCGGTGGGAATGGGGCAGCTATTCGTGCAGTGGACGGACTGCAATTCCTGACGCGAGACGCTTTGTTGGTGCCTTTTTTCGTATCAATTCACTGCTCTAACATCAAATAGGCTTGCGTATCGCTCGGGAGTGACCACTGGCATTGTCGCTCCGCTGCGTTCCAGTGTTGTCAATGGTCTTGGTGTTTCTTTTTCTCTCGCAGCATCCAACAAACTTGAACCTGGTGCCGTCTTACATGAAGTTACTGCCCTCCACACAACCGTTTCACACCTTGTGTCTGGTTCTATTAGCACCCAGATCGCTGTCCTGCGGCGTTTGCTTCTGCATCCTGTTCATGGGCCTCTCAAAGGATATGTCCAACGGGTTCTTGATGTCAGTTGCTCCTAACGAGTCGGTTTCTGTTTCTGTTGCTGACTGCTGCAGGGCGATATTCCTCTGGTAATCGAAGCATATGGAGCCGACATTATTGCAACACTCGTGCTCTTGAAGCGTGAAGTCGAACAAGTGACTGCAAAAACCATCAAGATGACCATCACCGGCGCAACTGAAGCTCATCTTCTCGCAAAAGAGCTAGGGGAAGCAGGGATCGGTGTTGTGCTTGTTCCAGCCCGCGCAACTCCCACTTTCTGGGAAAATCGTCGGATGTAAGGGCCCAGCCTTATTGGATTATTCTTTCTCATCTTTAGTCTGCCCGGCCCACCGCTTACTGAGCATACCGACCTATCGAGGTTAATTGCACACAACGTAACCGTCGGTCTCGGCGTTCTCGAAATTTGGGATGCGCGTAATACGCGATTCGAGGCTGCCTGGGTTAGTTCCTACCTCCAGCTGCCCGTCTGGAATCTAATAGTAATTCGTCGACAGGCCCAGTACTCCGCTGGCGGGAAGATTTCGAAGAGTGAAGCATTTGCTATTGTTTCTACCAACCTGGAGCGATTATTGTCACGCCCGCTGGCGGGACATGACCGTGATTTAGTGGCAACCAGAGGTAGCGACTTGCTAGGGTTTGATTCAAAAGTAGTTGCCGTGTTGTCGTCCCGTCGCAAGCTTGTAGATGTCTTGTAAGAAGTGGCATAGGCAAATATTCTGTTGCAGTCTCTGCTCCAGGTGATTTCAATTCAGAGCTGTCACTCCAGAAAAAGTATGCTTTTTGTAAAAGATAAAATGAAAAGAAAAGAAGTAGCTTCAAGGAAGCTCGGGAGAGAAATTATTGAGAGCGACTGACAATGGACACCAACACGGATGCCTCTAGTAAAAGGCGAGAGGCATGACATGATTGTAGGTGTCCAAGTCGCTGACACTCAATGCGGAATGTCGCGTATCAACAGCCCACTTAGGTACCTTGCCCGAAAAAGCTGTCGCACTTCAAAGCAATAATACAGTTGATTATAGGTTGGTACAGCTACATCTATTTACTCAAGGCTCCTTCAAGGCTCATTCAGTTCTTGTTGGGCTTGGCCTTTGTCGTGGCGGATGTTGCCCTTGGCCTGCTGCGTCTTGTCGCCCGTCACAGCGCCCCAGACGGCTTCCCCCTTTCCATGCATCCGGTCCGTAGCGCCCTCGACGTATTCGTGGGCTTGGGCAGCCTTATATTCGGCTTCACCGGCAGCATGTTCCTCCTGAGGACGCGTTGATCACTCTAGCCAAGAAAAAATACAAAAAAAAATATGCGAACCTTGCCAGACTTTTGCCATGATTCAAGACCAGTCGCGTTTCCAATTGCTTCGACAAGCGAGCCCTTGGTCGAGTGGTATTGACCCGTGGTCTTGCTGTAGAAACAAATGTAAGGATCATGGATGAGAATCGAAAATGCCGACGAACTTGTAAGATGAGTTATCAGAGGACATTATTGTGTGTAGATGGGAGTTTGTTGGCGCTGACTGACCGCTCATCTTGCTTATATACCCCGTAGACCGCATACCTCATTGATTACGCTGTGTTGGAGCAGGAACCAATGACGCCGTCGTGGAGTGGATCACGTGTGCGCGTTGATCAAATAACGCGCTGAGAAAGCAACCGGGAAATCGGCGCGCTGAGAAAGCGGCGGTTAAACGGTTTGGGGAATCCGCTACTTTTGGCAATTTAATATCCAAAAAGGGACTCGCCCATGATGGCGGCTCATCGCACAGGAGATATAAAACGCGACAAGCCCAGAATCGGCCCTTCCTCGAACGATGCGCGCAGTGATGTGCCCCCGGGCGCCCATCGAAGCACGTGAACTCGTCTATTCGACCGACCACCCTGCACCACAGCCCAAGGACGGCCATGTGCTCATCAGGGTCAAAGCATTCGGCTTGAACCGCGCAGAGCTGTATGCTCGCAAGGGTCAACTTCCTGGCTTGTCGTTTCCAAGAATTCCAGGCAACGAAGCGGTTGGCATAGTCCAGCACGCTGGAGGGGGCTTGTGGAAGGAAGGCGATGTCGTTGCCGCTATGATGGTCCGTTAAGCAAGAAGATTGTCGGAGATGGTCTGATCGGATTGTTAGGGCGGGATGGGAGTCCAGTTTGACGGTCAGTCTTACCTATTCTTTTTTGACCTATATTAAACATCGCATCCAGGCTCATACTCAGAATACACCCTCGTGCCTCACCAATTCGTTTCTGCCGCAATAAAACTTCCTGCGAATGTCAGTTGGGCCCAGTTTGCGGCCATTCCAGTGACGTTTTTGACTGGTGCGTCTTCTAAACTTGTTGCAGTTATCTACAAGCTGAAGAAAACGGCAAGCTTGGGGAATTCTCAAATCTGCTCTCAAACTCGAGGCAGGCGAAAGTCTTCTCATTCGCGGTGGGTCAAGCAGTCTCGGTCTCGCGCTAGCGGCTCTGGCAACATCCAAATCACCTCACTTTGGCTTCAGTGCCTCCTCTGTGATTTCTTCAACGCGCACTGAAGCGAAAGCAACGATCCTCAAAGAAAGCGGAGCACACCACGCTGTCGTTGACCCTCCTACGGGAAATATTAGTGAAACGGTGAAAAAGCTCAGTCCAAATGAGATGGGCGTGAACAAGGCGGTCGAGTTGGTTGGCCCACCCGTGCTGGCAGACACGATGGCAGCATTGACGCCGAATGGTGTTGTGGCTATGGTGGGAACGCTCTCAAATGTGTGGAGCATGGAGTTCAGACCGTGGGCTTTGCTCATGCCAGCCAAGGTGTGTGTGTTGAGGATAGAAATTAGGCTGCGAGTTGTTGACTCCAAATAGCACATAACGACGTTCTCCGGTCGCAGTATCAACCTTTCGACGGCACCTCTTCAAGCGATCGTGGATGCGGTCGGGAGCGGCGAGCTCAAGCTTAACGTTGATAAGGTGTTCGGAATCGCTGAGACAGTCGACGCCCATACATATATGGAGTCCAATGCGGCGGCAGGCAAAGTGGTTTGCTTGGTCGATTAGAATGTATGTACAACGTATAGGGACTTCTGAGTGATACTTGGGCATCAATAATCTTCGCTGAGAGAAACACAAAACCACTCACCTCAATATTCAGAATCTATAAAATGGCGAGTGGGTGAACGACGCCTGGAAGCGTGAAAACGCAGACGGAAATGCCATTAGTGGCTCCTGAGACATAACCCAAAGTCCAGACAACACAGGAAGCGCTGCCAATGACAATCCTATGGCTCTCAATCTCGTTTGGGCAGCAGCCCCCATTCTGCCCATTGACTGCGCGAAATACGATTTGAACAGCAGCCGCTGCCCTTCAACGGTATGAAGCACCACACAGATCACTAGTCCACCATATAAAAACCAACTTCGCTTTGGCCACCGTGTCAGTGCAAATTTAACGTATTCGAAATCGAGCTCCGAAGGACCAAGGGCTTGAATTGGTGGGTCTGGTAATTGAGGGAAAACACGATGGGTCATGAAGTGGACCGGAAGGAAGAATACGATGTTTGCGTAACCTGTGAGAGACAAAAGACTCGTCCAGGGTCGTGGAGGTGCATTCGACGGGGAGACTGCTCGTTTGGCAAGGCCAGACAATCCATGGGCAACAAGGGGAGCAAGTAGCAGGTATTGTTCACCGAGTTCTGTTTGATAGTATTCCCGACCGAGAAGCTAAAGCTGAATTGAGAAAGATGGCAGATGTGGCAGGACAGGGATGAACCATCGTTTGTGAAGCTAATGACGAACCACCCAGATTAGCTAACATTGGCGCGGAGAGATGAATGAGTAGAAAACTGCTTATGAACGGTGCAGTTCCGTGCAATATTTTGGTGAGGGCAGGAACAGCATAGCTGCGAAACGAGCGTTGACTTGAATTGGTCATGGTGAAAAGCGTCACAAGCGTTATGCACTAGACTAAAACTTCAATGACACCGCAACTATCGTGAACGACTCTTTTTTTTCCAAGGAGGTTCACAGTGGAGGGTGTGACTTAGACACAGTCCTGCTCACAATGAAAGGCTCAGACTGCACAACTTGCGAGTAAGTACGAAGTTACCATATATGGAAATCTCAGGTGATGTGACACCCGAGTGTAGATTGTGCACCAGCCACGGGCATCTCACCCTCAACGGTCTCATAACTTGGATCCAAATCTCCAGGGCGAACGAGAAATATCATTGGGCTTATCTGTACGCCATGTTTCCCATTCCCGATCTTGCAAAGACGGCTGAACGTGTAAAATCACAGTGCAAGCAGACAGGTCACGAAGGAGTTTTCGGCGAGGGATTGCTTCGGAACATCCGGCGGCATATTTTGAATGGATCGACAGTCGCTTTCTTACGCACTCCATGAACCACCAAGACCACCAGTGGTAACCTCAACGCCACCCCAGCGCCACGTCGAAGTTGCTGCTGGTCATACACAAGCACCGTAGGACTTGTTTATGCACTAGGATTGAATTATCCGCTCAGTCCCTCCTTCCCAGACTGAATAATACGGCTCAGCCTGTAACAACAACTACCGCACCCATCGAAAAGAGGAAGCCCGGCCGTCCCAAAGGTTCAAAGAGTAAAAAAGTCACGGTCGCGTCCGACCCACCGACAACGCCAGATACTTCCAACCAGACTATTGTTGAAACTTCAACGGCTGGAAAGGACGCCAGCACCGATGCTTCTCCACTACCAGTCAATGCCCAGAACAAACAGGTGCTGGCGTCATGGCCGCTTGATTCGCGCTAATTCCCTGCCAAGTACTACGAATTTCAGTGGCGGATCCTCAACCTCTGTCATGAATTCTATGGGGCAGCAGAAGAACTGGTGGTAAGCAGCGCTCGCGTCTGCAATACGTAGGATGCAAATGATTTTTCAGAAAAGCACTCCGCCACTAGTTATTGCCCAATGCTACCAAATGGGGCCTTCAAGCAAACTTGACCCGCTCGTATTGCTGAATGAAGCGAAACAGATTTGTGATGCACTTGTGAGTTGTTTTTAATTGTTCTTGTGGGTGGTCTTTAACTCGAGGTCAGTTAGCAAATCCAACCAAATTGATCTCAAATCCTCCTCCTCCCATGTATACCGCTGTTCCCACGTTTTATCAACCTCAGGTGGCTCCTGTCACAGCGCCCGCTCCGCCTACTTCAATAGCCACATCTACTTCGACATCAAGCCCAAAGCCTCCGAGCACGTCCGCTCCCAAGCCGATGCCATCGACTTCACAGTCAACTACAACGTCGCAACCTCCAGCAACAACCGTGATCACCAACCCTGGCTCATTCGTCGTATCGCTTGGCTCCCAACAATATGCTTATCCTGCCACTGCCATCGGTGGCCCGTATTACGCCTATCCTACTTACCCTGGCTTTTTATGCACCAGGTACAACCACCAACACCAACAACTCACCCCCAGTACCGTCAACATCCTCCGCTCCACCACAGAATACGGTCAGCCTCCAAGGATCATGGTCTGCTGATGAAATGGCGCGTCTCCGGGAACTTGTGGGAACACACAAGCATGGAAATGGGGATATCGACTGGGAAGGAGTTGTGAATGAGTGGGGAAGCGGCCGAACAAGGTTCCAGTTTTTGCATCGCATTTCTATAATGGTCCTGAGGCGTCTTGTGTAGGCACCAAATTCTTCTCAAGGCCAGCGCAATGGGTCTAAAAGAAAGTGGATCGCGGCCCAAACGTCGCCGCGAAGAGACTACAGAACCTCCGCCTAACCCTCCTCCACCCAATCCAGGCATTGCCGTCACCGCTTCCAAGGCCCCAGTATCGGCGTCTACTCCCAGCAACGCGACTCTTGGCTCACCCGCGATGAGCAATGCAACTGCACCGACGCCCATTGCATCACCAGCAATGCAAAACCTTCAACATCCCGTCCCCGCACCGAAACCCAATTCTATGCCCTGGCCGATGCCGACTGTTGCGGCACCCACCATTTCACCTGTTCTCTCACCTTCACCTCTGCTACAGAGTCATGGACCACCTGCGCCGAATCCGTCCTCTGGCTCCACTTTTTATCGGCCCCGACCAACGCCGGTCCCTGAAAACGCTGTTATGCGTCACACTTTCGTTTATCATAATGGTACCAAGTAATGCCTCAAGGACGTTGTTGTTGTATTTTGTGACTACTTGTTGTATTTTGTGACTACTTGTACTTATGGACTTTCTACTTATGCTTGGCCTGTCGGGCGCGTCGGGCTGTGATTGTTGCTACCCGTATTCATTTCCTCATGTCCAACCAAGGTAAGTATTGGACTCGGAAGGGGAGATCATGACTCGAGATGAGGCGGAAAGGCATGATTAGACTTTCGCAGAGGACCAAGTTAACATTGAATTTAATCAGGAGGAGGGTTTGAAGGTCCTGTTCCAAATATAAATTTTGGGAGTTGCCGTTATGATGGGCGCGCTGTTGTTGGCAGCCGGTGAGGCAGGGGCAATCTTCCTTCTTTCTACCCTCACCAGGCGATGCCGCGGGAAAACTCCTTCAGCGACTCGGATGGGCGCTCTTTGACGCCCGACCTGGACGACGAGGAGCATGGACCCTCGTCACCCACCTATGGGACTTCACCGATTGCGGCGTCTCCCACCAAACACACGGCTTTGCCCCGACCCCGACCTTCCTTCAATTCTAGTCGGCCCGCTCATAGCGAACCTATCCGTCGATTCAGGCATGTCGTCCGCAAAGTCATTGCCATGCATCGCAGTACAACGGTCATTACTACCCGTGGCATTGGAGCAGAACCCGGTGTCGACGTGAGGCGAGCCTCAGCAGACGCAATGTACGGTGGCATAAAGCAGGACTGCATCATCGAAGTGGCCGACTACTCCTCAACTCAGAGCAGTTTTGGGAGGATGACGAATAGGGAGTTCGTCAACTTTATGAATGACGACGCTGCCAGCGCTCAAGAGCCTTGGGTGAAAGTACGATGGATAAACATTGCGGGCATGAGCTGGGACGTTATCAAGGCTGTTTCTCTCAAGTACAGTACGCCAACTCTTGGCGCTCTGGACCATTCGTGACTTTATTTGTAGATTTACACCCATTGGCTTTGGAGGATGTCTTCAACACCAGAAGTCAGACCCGCTCCAAGGTGGACTATTATGTGTGTCCTATATCCTTGCCACCATTTTCTGTCGCAATTGACCTTTTTCAGACCCAACATCTATTCCTCCGCATTCTCTGCCACGAACTCTCTACTGATGATGAGGCCTTCGCGTCCGCAGCAGCTCAAGGCTCGACTTTGACTGATGCGCCTCGGTCAGAATCACCCGTTCCTTTTACCGACGCAGATAATGACGTGGAAATGCGTGAAATGGGGGATGGTGACTTCGGTGAGGACGAGAAGACTTTGCATGGTAACTCTACCCGCCGGAAAAAGGCGCCCATTCTCCCCACGTCTCGTTCAGACGTTTCCACTCCTCGCAAATCCAGACGGACAACAACAATGCATAGTCTCGATCCGGCCACGAAGCGACGGATAGATGAGGTTGCTCTGAGAGCCCTCAAGAGTGGCGACCGAGTTAATGTTAAGGTCTCGCCAATGTTCATATTCCTGTTCAGAAGCGGTTAGTTTTTTAGTTTTTGTTCAACCAGATATCATATCCTCCACAGGTGTTGTTATTTCCATGCACTCGGCCCCCTCGCTGGACCTTACTCAACCTATCACCAGGCGGCTTCGCCAACGCGACACGGGGCTGCGGACATCGGCCGACCCATCCTTACTTGTCCAGAGTCTCCTCGATTTATTGGTCGACAAGGCCCTGGAAGTCATTGACACTTACCATGTCAAAATCCGGAAATTCGAACGAGAGATTCTCCTCAAGCCCAAGATCGAGACTGTCCGAAACTTGCACATTCTTTCAGGAGATCTTATCCTCCACAAACGCACTCTGGAACCGATCCGTACTGTCATCTATGGGTTGCGTCGGTATGACGTAGACCGTGCAGCAGCCCTCGTTGACTCGTCTGTGGCTGCCAACCAAGACTTCAAGCCAGCGGGGTTCATGAGCCACAAGAGCAAGATATACCTCGCCGATGTTTTCGACCACATGGAGTACATATTGAGCTCTCTCGAAATGTTTGCAGGCATTGGTGAAAACCTTATCAACTATACCTTCAATGTTGGTCGCTTTCTGCCCCAGCTTTACTTGCCATTCATTTGTTCTCAGATGGCCAGCTACGAGATGAACGAGGTTATGAGACGGCTCACCCTTGCCACTATCATCTTCTTGCCTCTCACGTTGCTCACTGGTATGCAATGGGCTGACTGTTTCTATGATTCGCTCACATCGTCTACAGGCTATTTCGGAATGAATTTCGAGGGCATGTGGTCTGTCCATGGCCATTCTGATCTACTGCAAGTCTTTGATATCATTCATGAGCGACATACTCATTTCTATTCCAGCTTCTGGGAGATCGCACTACCTGTCATGGCGGTCGTGCTCCCAATTTTCATAACCCCAGACATCAAGCGCATTATCCACTACGTGCAGAAGCACATTTTAATGAAGAGGATCGTTAAAAAGGTATGCATCTTTTCTGCTGTTATGAGCGCGGTCATGAACTTTTCCGGGACAGACACTAAAAACGGCATGATTCATGACTACCACACTCGCTATCAACGGTCTTTACATCCATGCTATCTCACTGTTTATTATCTACGGGATCATTGTGTCTGTCCAATTGAGTAGCGTGGTGGGATCTGAGTTCACTCCCAGACTAGACCGATTCGAGAGGATCAGCTCAACTTCTACTGAGACCTCCCAGGTCAAGAACAAACAACTCACCACGGCTACTGGAGACGAATTTCACGCCAAGAGATCGAGGAATTCTCCAAAGTAACTGCCCAGCGCATCCACCACTTTCCCATCCAATGCCAATACACAGCCGATCCAACCATCAGGCCTGAACACAATCACCGCTCCACGTTCTTCGTCGACCCCGTAAATAGCATGCGCGCGGCCATCGCTATCCCACAGAACACGCCCCCAATACCCACGGCCCAGAACGTCAGTCGCACCATTCCCGGAGAATGCGGCAATGGTAACGAATTTGAAGACCCGTTTCCAGTGGGGAGAAAGTGATAGGAATGCCGGAAGAGCGGATTGGAACGACGCCAACAAAGAGTGCGTACATTTACCAGCTAATATGACGATGCTGCGCGAGTTGAGATGATGCAAAAGGGAAAGGCATAGCCAGACACCTGAATCTAGCGTCATTCTTGAGTACCTGGTGTAGACGGACGGGGTCCTTTGTGCTATGTTTATCACACTGAGTAGCTGATTACAAATCCTGAACCCCGACAACTCACCCGATGGTAGTTAGAAACACATCTGGGCCGCGTTCCCCTGGACGAATTGTGGCAGCTGAAGGTTCTCCTTGTGAAGAATTGAGTATGTTTGTTGCTGCATAGTATTTTGTTATAACGGTGCTAGTGACACACGGGAAATACGTACAATATGATATGCCTGGTCATTCGTTCCCCCGTCAGTCGGAGATGGAACATAGTCGGCAATACCCACCCAGGCCCAAAGTGAACAATTGGACGTTTACATCCGTATACCACTCCGTGAGAAGGTCTCTTGGGAGAGTTTCAGATTTTGGCTTCACAGAAGCAGGAATTCCAACTGTGGATGCTCTTGGCGACCTTGGAAGCGTGGTGGATATTTACCAGAGATGAGCGTGCTGATGACTTTGTCGTTATTGATGACCTCGACACAAGATGAGTGACCAAACGTTGTTGGAAAGCCGAATACAAGACCTGTTGAACGCTGGGCCGACGTTCTAGATCGTATGTCTTCAGGAGTGATTCTTTGCCAAAACCGTGGAGAACGAGCTGTTTTTTTTAGACGTTAAGAGTGGGCTTGATTATCGAGAATCAGGGCTCACCGCTAGTTTCCATGAAAGATTAACAGCGCTATATCAACCAGTAAGACTGATTTGTCTTGTAGGTCAACAACCCACTCTTGCACACCCGTATTCAGTCCCTGTGCAGAGCCAGAGCTATGAGTATGACATGCATCCCCTGCAAGAAGTATCCTCTCATTGAGGTAAAATGTCTCAGCGATAGCCTGTCCGATTCCCTGCAAGTTGGCTGTGAACAACAACAAACATAGCAAAACAAGAAAGCCCCTACATATATCGTAAACCATTCGACTTCCTCGAACTTGACCTCGAAGGGACGCAATGCCTCTTTCGCTTCTCGAACGGCGATTTCTTGTGTAACATTCTCCACACCACCATACTTCTCCAGCAGCGCTTGGGAGAAAACATAGCCAATCCGCGTCAAGCCATTGTCGATGGGACACCACAGGATTTGGCCATGCCCGGGGGAGTCGATGCTGTTGAGACATCGTGAGTTGGGCATGTTGGTTTGAACACGAGCGTCCATCCGAATCCATCGGTGGGTTGTACGCTCGCCAGGAAACGGGATGCCCGCTAACGAGCGCACAGTCGATTTTCCGCCCTGCAGTTGGTATTAAAACTGTAGAGTATTTCATATAACAATTTGGCCTACATCTGCGCCAATCAGATACTTGCTATGCGATAAAGTCACTAAGGTGTTGAAGGTGAAACGGAAACTAATCCTGACCATCTTACTTGGAATACCTGGCCATTATCGAGATTCTGGACTTGTACTATGACAGGGTACTGGCTAGATTCCGTTTCGTCGATGTCGAACCCTTGCAAACGTTGAAGCATGTGCAGCTTGACCCCATTTTCTTCTAACGCCTCAGTGAAATGTTCTTCTATTAGACGTTGTCGGAGATGCAGTCTAAAAGGTGTGAGCAAGAGAAGCCAGGACTTGCGAGGTCACCAACGCAAATTTGAAGAACGTATCGCCTAGAGGACGCCGTTAAAAAGGGTTGATTTTCTAGGTAAACTTATACCTAGTTTATCCATCCGACTGCCAAACATAAATCCACCTTGGATCCGCTCTCCGCTAAGGATTTCAATGAAGGGTTTGTTGAAGACGGCGGTCTCATACTTGCGAAAATGCAGAGCGTTGCGAGTGACGACTCCGGTTTGCATCAAGCGTTCAAAGAGGTCAAGCTGGTCGAAAATTTCGATTGTACGCGGCCATAACGTTGTTGCCCTACATGCTATCGTTAGCCAAAATTGTGCTAGGCCAGTAAACTTCCACGTACCTCCCATAGCATGGCATCGTTTTCTTGTCGTCCTTCTCTATGCGACTAGTTAAGCAAGCCAGCTGGCGTCGAGAATCTACCCATGAGGTACGGTGTACATCCAAACCGCGCAAGCTGGTACGCTATAAGGCAGCCAATCGGTCCAGCACCAACACTTTGGACAGTGCTCTAGGTTGATATGGGACTGTGAGAGCGAGGTTAGGCTTACATTACGACGTCTGCAACGGTAGGTGCCATTGGTTTGAGCACAGAGCCGCTCGATTAATGGCCGGCATTCTAGAACCGGTGAGCCGCGCCGACTTTCCTCCACGATAACGAGGTGGGAAATAGGAGGACAACGTTTGATGACCACGTGATCTGAAGGCCACCTGCAGTTTCTTCCCAGTACTCAGATGCAAGGAGAAGGTGTTCAGGTACATACACGAGCGCAGCTTACTTCCTCCATCCATAAGAAGTACATAGTCAGAAATATATGATTCAGAAAGTCGACAAGCCGAAAATGCTTAAGCGGTCACCGGTTTTGGTACATGCTAGAGTGGAAGAAATTGATTTCGTTTGTTAGATATTGACGATCTCATATTTAGATAACCTAAAGAGTCTGCATCCGCAAACCAATCTCAAAAGCATGCAAAAGCTTTTACGGCATATAATTACCGCCTTTAGTAGGTCCTCTCACGACGTCAATCCAACGAGCTTCCAAAAATTACCATTTCTGGAAATAATGCGACAGCTTGGACTATTTTGGGAATTTTGGCTTCTCGTGCATCAATGGGCATCAACTAATCCTTTGCTCACCGACAGCATATAAAAGCGCTGCCTGATCCTCTATGTCGGCAGTACCAACCCCCCCAGGTTTTACGAACTCGACGAACTCCAACTCCAACGCGAGCCCAAATACAAAATGCAGAGCCTAGCAACTTCTTCTTCTCTTACCCTCCCTCCTGCTGCTGCTCTCCCCCGTGCGACCCACAATCTTGTGGATGACTTTTTCGGCTCGCGCGAAAGCCGACACGACAACCACCGCCTCTCTCTGGCCGAGTCGGTATCTCCTCCGCCATATGTCGAATGCCCGGAATATACCTTCCGTGCCCCAGAGCCCGTCACTCTGGCGATGTACCTATTCAAGTTCGGGTTCTGTACGTCTTGTCTCTCTCTATTCTCGTTCTGCACCAAACTTACACAGCTATTCTAGTCTTCCCCCCGTTCTGGATTCTTGGCGTCATTATTCTCATGTCGCCTTTGCGAGCCCCACCTGCTGGCCCGCCCTCTGCTTCCTGGCTTCCCGAAAAGACCGACGCGGAACGCCAGATGATCATTGAACGCATGCGCACTACGGAGCTCAAGTGGGCTCGACGCTGCTTATACGCCCTCGTCGCTTATATCATCATCGGTGTTGTGGCAGGTGTCGCTATCTGGGCAACTTTACGCTCATGAACCACTTTTCTTCCAAACCACCCCACATTCATTCATGGACCCTGCATAACACATCACGTCTCTGACCGCGTCAGACCTCAACTGTATCGATATCCTTATGTCTTGTTATTTCTTGTACCGATAGCCTTCAACGAATCAGATGTCACGAATCTCTGTTCTTGTGTGGTGTGATCTAAGGAAACGTAAAAGGGAAATAAACTATGAAGTCTGGTCCTCTTCCGCCGCGACTTGAACCGGTATCGTCCCTGCAGGTATTACTACGACAACCGGCGACGACACAATTGCCTCTCCAAAGGTTGGCGGGGCAGCATCAAGCTCCTCCAACGGGGGTGGAATGTCCGCATAAGTCGTAACCGTAGCTGCAGTTTGTCCATCGGTTGAGCTGAGTTGGGATTGTGACTGCGAGGAAGCCGAGGGCTGGTACGGCGGAGGTGTGCTGTTGGTGCTGACCAAGACGGGAGCATAGGTTCCTGAGAAGAATCTTGGGACAAATTCACGCGTCTCAACAGTCGAAAGTTGGGGCATGGTCTCCCTATCGCGCCTATCGCGAGCTGCAGCTCGTCTTCGTCGGCAGTAGAGACTGAATGCTGTTCCAAAGGCCAGGGTACCCAATACCCCAAGAATACCACCAAGAACGCCTGCAAATGACGCTTTACCACTCTTGTCTTTGGGTTCTGTTGACAGAGAAGCTCTGGAAGGGGTTGGCTTGGACGCGAGGATTGAAGAGCTAGGATGAAAGGTTTAATCTTGCTCGCGGGGAAACGAGATGTGCATACGCGTCAAGTGTGTCAGCTTTGTTCTGGGTTACCACCACTGAGTCCAGGATGAATATTGAGGACGGCGCAAGGATGAGTGTAAGGACATGGGGGCCGTCATCAAGTCCAGTGTGGGCAAACGCGGTGATGTTTGCGGCAAAAACATAGTACGATTGGGTGGTTGAACCTTGATGAATGAAGGTATGGAGCTCCGTCCCATCGACAAAAAAGGTCGTGTTCACGAGTGAAGGAGCACCGAGAGGCTGGATACAGAACACATAGACCCCCGTGCCTGGAGAGCGCTTTTAGAAAATAATCCCACGAAGGAAAAAGTTGAAATGACGTACCGTTAAAACGGAACTCTGCCGAGACGGGACTCTGGGTTGAGCTCCGACGCAAAGTATGTGGTTCCACTCCAACGGATCGCGCGCGGCGACGAGAGCCAGTGCCTTTCCCCTTGTCGTTGGTCGAATTGTGGCCATGATCTTTGCCTCCTCCATCATCTTTTACTGTCGAGGTAGCTTTTGGAAGTGGAGAGTCAGAGGTGCCCTTGGCAAAGTCGGCCTTGGTCTCAATTGAGCCATCCCCGAGGATCGTTATAGAGTCGTCATCATCATCTTCACCACCATCATCGTCGTCGTCAATTAACATCCCCCCCGCAACAAATGCGCCTTTGTGGAATGTATGGCGTTGAGCCATAGATGTCGGGGGGTTAATGCAGGCAGGACAAACAACCGAACTTGAATTCCATGCTCCTTCAGGACCGATATAGTTGATTGCGGGGTCTGCGTCGTCAAAAGTGACATTTACTGGTCCAGCGCTGGAAGAAATCGGCCAGAACAAAACGAGAGCAGTGACGCCCGCAGTTACAAGTCGAAAGGGGCTTCATGGGATAAGCACGGAGAATTGGACAAGCAGAACGGACAACAAACCTCATCTATATACCGAGAGACAGAGGAAGGCGATGGATTGAGGGCTAGACTCAGCGTCAAGAGCGATGCGGGGAATCGTGGGAGGGGTCGAGGTCCATAAATACAACCATAAATAACCTTGAGGGACCCCCAGGACAACCTGGCGGAGTATTCGTTCACCGGATAGCCGTGGCCACCAACCCACGGCCAAAGAGTACCCGAATGCTCATTAGATCTCACGTTCATGATAGGTCCTCTTTTAAACTGTCGGGCATCTTCAATCGGTGGTTCTCGTAGGCATTTCGTGTCTTAGGCGACACAGACTGAGGTTCGAAATCAACTTGAAGCTCAAAGAGCGGTCACATGTGACCGTGACGTGATGCCTTCTCTTCAGCGCTACCTTCGTAGCATTTACCGCGTCGGGTTTCGAGCATGGTGGAGGCAGCTCAACTACATCGGAGACGCCAAATCTGGTAGATTTGTGGGTGCAGACCAGTGCGTCTTCATCTTTTGTGGATCAACTAGTAATTAACATGCACTTGTTAGGTTCGGGAACAAATACTTTGAGAACTATAACGCGGAGGAAGAAGTTCCTGGTCTGTTGTTTGTTTTAGACTAGTCGCACTTTCTCACCAAACGCCAGGCCGCCAGCGCTGGGTTGACCTCGCGCAGGTAAGTCGCCGTCGCTATCTTGCTTTCAACGACACGCTCTGACAAGCTGCCCCTTAGCACCATTACCACGCCTCTCAAGTCCCACCGGAATGGCATTCTTGGATATCACACATTCGCAAAGACCCACCCACGGAGGATCCAGTCATGCAGGCTTCGAAGCAACCTTGGCAACTTGTACGACGACTAAGTTACCCAATTTATATTCCCACTCACATTGCGCAGCCTTGGACAGAGAACTTGACGGGAACAAGAGGCGCATATAGACCGTATAACACCGCTGCACCAAAAATCAAGGCATGGGAGCCTGCCAGTGCTCCTCGCGCCTGATTTGTCCGTTCAACCCGAATACATTCAAATTGTTAGACTATTGCTCCCCAAGCATGTTAGATACGACATGCTCAGCTATTCCCAAGGCGGACGTGAGACCGGGGCTCTCGATCCCTAGAAGACTGATGAATGGCCTCTTTGCGCTTTCTTCCACTTCTTTGTCAGGGAAATCGGTCCGAAAAATAAAATCTTGAAAGCCACCCCCAGGACCAACCAACTTTGGCCGTATCCCCACATAATCTGGCTGGAGCCCTTCCAACTCGACACTGGGCAAGTATTTGGTAACCGCTTGGTGCATCTCTTCCAATCGGGAGTTGTCTGCGACCAAATACTTTTTCCAAAAGTCACTATCGTCGTTATTCTTCGGCGAAATCCATTGCAAATCAGGTCCAAAGCGGACTTCGCCTTGCAAGTCGAGCGTAAGATGAGTCCCGAGAGACTGGAATCCGTGGCTTTGGTTGTCTGGACAGGGGTATATGAGGTGGGAGATGCCTGATACGCTCCGACCGCGGTACTTTGCATACGACCCTCGCGCGTAATACAGAGGCAAGCGCTTTGACTCCGGCAGGAGCGAATTCACCAGTAAAGGTGCAGATAGGCCCATCGCATTAATGACTGACTTGGTGTAAATAGAGCCAATTTCGTCGCCTGTTACGGTTTGAATCACCCAGCCCCGTTTCGCACCATCAATTGTAGGTTTGTCTTTGAATGGGTCCAGGCGAACCACTTTGGTGGAATAGACAAGGTCAGCCCCGTCAGAGTCGATGATATCTCTTTCCAGACTCTCCATCAACGCATGGGAGTCAATGATCCCAGTTTCAGGACACCAGAGCGCACCGGAGATGTCTCTTGACAGGTGAGGCTCCATTTGACGAGCTTCAGAACCAGAGATAAGTTCGGTTGGTAATGCTTGCCTGTCTGGGGTTGCTGATCCAAAACTTGTGGGCCATTTGAGCATTTGCGCTTTGGCATGCAATCCTTCAATATACCCGTGTTGTTTCTCAGACGCGACCACAAGTTTACCGGTTTGGCGGAATGGGACTTGATTAGCCTTGCAGTAAGCGTACAACAGCTCGCGACCACGGATGCAAAGGTGTGTTTTAAGCGAATCCGGAGGGTAGTACAGGCCTGAATGAATGACTTCAGAGTTGCGGGAACTAGTTTCTTCGCCCTAAAATGGATATTGATTTTCATGTTTTGATTGCGCGGAACCATTTATATTTACTGCCTTGCTGTGTCTTTCGAGGAGGAGGGTCGTCTTATTCGGGATCCGAGAGAGCCTCCGTGCAACCGCGAGTCCCACAACACCTAAGAATGTTGGGGTTTAGTCGGTTGTAAGATTTAATAACTCGAAAATTACCTCCACCGACTACCACGTAGTCGACAGCAAATTCCGGTGCCTATGTCCACATCAGAGGCGTCGCGGTATTCTTCATGTACTGACTCTATAAGTATGTTTTGCTGTGTTCAAAGCTGCGCGAAAGGCCATGAAGGTCAAGAACAAGGTTACAGCGCGGTGTTACATTGGCCGAATTCGTCATTAGTATCCCTCTGAGTCCCTAGATGTACAGAGGCTCCAAGAAGCATGAAAGATAAGGTTTGGGAGATGAAGCTCGAATTGCAAGACAAGCTGTTTCCTGGTTGCAAATCGCGTCGTGTCACACGTTCGTCACGGGATCGATTATCTTACCAGTTCCGACCATGGCGACCAACGAGACGATTGGGCCTTCGCCGCCCCAAAGACGCACTCTGGAAGAAACTATGGCCGAATTTGACACAATTCCGCTTTTCATGAAGTCGCTTCCCGAGGAACCGGCTAACGACCCAATAATCGCGGCCCTCCAAAGTATCGCTTACGAAGGAACGCCGGATGGTGCGCGGCATTAACACTCACAAAGGTCTTTCTTCAACTCTCTCCCACTTAGAAATCGCACTCAACTTCAAAGAACAAGGGAATGAATACTTTAAGGGCAAACGGTATCGTGAAGCTATGGGTTTTTACACCCAAGGCATCGACGCGAAGCCCATTGATGCTGCTCTCCTGGAAGCCCTGCTATGTAATCGCGCCGCATGCAATCTGGAGCTCCGTCCGTCCTTGTTTCAACTAATGGCATCTACTTGCGTCCTAACTCTTTTCAAGAAAATTATGGGACTGTGCTTCGAGATTGCTCGACAGCTTTATCAATCAACCCTCGCTCTTCAAAAGCCTTTTATCGCTCAGCAATGGCGCTTCTAACCTTAGAACGAGCAGACGAGGCCATAGATTGCTGCGACCGATGCCTCAAATTTGATCCTGACAACAAGGGTGTACAAAGTATCCGTTCTAAAACCCTAGAACGAAAAGCGGCGCTGGAAAAGAAAGAGAAGGAGCGTCTCGAGCGAATCCGTCGGGAGAAAGCAGCCGAAACAAAGCTCACCCTTGCATACCGTGTAAGCTGGCCAAGCTCACGTCTCAACCTAGCTGAAGTGTTTCCAGGAGCGAAATCTTATTGTAATTCCGCCCAAAGATGGCTCCCAGAATCCATATGCCCCCCATTTTGATCCAGAAGACCCTACTGACTCATCGCTCATCATACCCGTCTTCTTCTTGTACCCACAACATGCAACTTCGGATGTGATCCCCGAGTTTGTAGAAGACACCCCATTTGCCGCACACATCGCGTCAATGTTCCCTCCTCAGGTGCCTCCTCCAAACTGGGACACGAAACGAGAGTATGTTGATGGACAGCTTGTCATCTACGCCATGACTCACCGAAAACGGCTACTCAAAGTTGGCAAGAAAATGTCACTCAGAGATGTTTGTGCAGCAGCCAAAGGAAAGGACGGTGAAAACAAGGATGGACTAGAGCTTAAAGATGGTTGTTTGACTTTTGTCGTCCTCCCCAAGGGTGAAGTCGAGATAAAGTGGGTTAATGAATACAAAAGCGGTCGAGACAGTTCATAGTGGCTTGCGGAGTAACAACGATATGTAGGGAGGAAACTAGCTAGCTACAAGGCGGTAATAGATTAAGAAAACCTGAATTAGGTTCTACATGTACAAGTTTTTGATTGCGATCTCATGGCTGTTGAGCAGTGTAACTCCCTAACAGAGACCAAGTCAGACTCGATGGAACACCAAAAATGAAAGCAGACAAACATATCCGTGCCAGTTTGTCCCCACTTCCTGTAGCCAGATAGTTGCTATGGGGGTGTAGACTCGTGGAAATGACCGAGTTTTTGTGACCTTGAAGCATGCATTGAACAACACCCGCAGAGTCCCAGAAGTGAACCCCGCGGTCTTTGGACCCTGAAACAATCCATTGCGCATCTCGCGAGATGCCTACGGAAAGAACGTAGTCCTGCCAACCTTAAGACAAGAACAAAAAAAAAAGTGGAATACGACGCGACTCACCTTGTGGCCCGCAAAGACTGCACATGGAACTCCATCCTTTTTCGACTTTGCCCGGAGATCCCAGCAACGAATGGTGTTGTCGAGAGCGCCGCTGACGATACCTCCTCCATCACGAGTGAAGACAACACTGTGGACACTATTCTGATGTCCCCTCAGAATATCCACGAGGGCCCCAGTTGTTGCACTCCATACTCGAACCAAGGCATCGACACAGCCAGCGGCGATGAGAGTCCCGTCGGGTGAAATCGCAACTGCCATTACACCGGCATCTTCATCTGGTGCATCGCTTTCCGGTTGAGCCAGAAGCACCCGAGCTGCTCCATGCTCCTCCATATCCCAAATACGGACAGAAGTATCGCCAGAACCGGAGACAAGTCGACGGCCATCGAGGGAAAAGTCGAGCGAGTAGATATCTTGTCTGTGGCCCTCGAAAACAATGCGAATTCGTTGTTTCTCGATGTCCCAAATCTGCATCAGTTAAGCTCGATATAGGTAGCTCCATTTCCAAAAGGACGCACTCTGATTCGTTCGTCCTCTGCCCCAGTCGCCAGGAACCGTCCGTCCGGGCTAAACCTCACACTCCGAATATACAAATCGCCAGTTCTGCTAGTCGAATCATCTGCCAAGACGCTGGTTGTTCTCTTGAGCAAGGCCCAAGCCAAAGGAATAAACTGTCAACACACCAAATCTTGCGGCCAGTTGTGACATCGAATATCTGCGCAGTGCGGTTACAACCCGTGGCCAAATATTTCCCGTCATTAGAAAATTGGATGCAGCACACGACCCTGGACACATGTCAATGACGAATCGACAGCCATGGGAAAGCGCCTACGTTTCGTGGATGAATGTGTGGACGAGGCTAACATCCAGCGTTCGTTTAACCTTTGGGTTGTACATCACAAACCAGTCACTTCCTTCCTTTTTGAATTCGGAGGGAACTGTTGCGAGATCCAAATTGGACAAAAAATCGTTCATGAATGGCTGTTGATGCGCTGGCGGTGGTGGCGGTGGAGGAGCGGTAACTACGGGTGTTGGTGCTCGTCTTGAAGAAGGGCTTGAGCCAGGGCCGATGAGTGGTAGTCGGGTTGATTCTATTGTTGCGTAAGAAAAAAATGAGAGGAATGAAGGTTTTGATGACATACCTGGAGGCCCATCCAGTTTGATACGTTTACTGCTACTGCCACCTTGGTCAAGAAAGCGGGCGCGCTGAAGGTCGCGGTCGTTCCTGTCACCCCTTTCTCTATTTTCGCGTCGGTCGTTATGCGGGTCGAGAACAGGGGAATGTGCTGAAGCGCCACCCGTTCCACCCATAAAAATGCTTGGAGAGCTTAATGTGGCGATCGCCGATGAGGGTCGTGTTTGCCGTGAAGCGTTGGCAGCGCCATTGGACTCGCGAAGAGTCCTAAGTTCGTGTTCGTAGTGATTTCTGATTTTGTTATGTTGGGTTTCCAGCTCGTGTAACGCATGCTTAATTTTCTCCAGCTCATCTGTTTGGTGGGTGACTGGGAAACGACAATGAGTGTCGGAACAGAGGGAGAGAGAGAGAGGAGGGACGTGCCAGTGGCCTCGAATCTGTCTCGTTGGTCTCTCGTGATCGTAAGCTCGTTGACAAGCATATCAAACTCCTGCTTGACCCTTTCCAACGTATCTGAGAGGGCACGAGTGCTGTAAACTGGTGGGCCATCTTGCGGGGGTGCCCCAGTGGGTCCAAGTGCCCTATGCTGGTATCTTATAAGCGTCGACGGCAAGGCAAAAAGAAAGGGTATGAGTACTTGGTATATGCTGCCAGACGCCATGGAGGAGGGCGGAAGAGAGAGAGTTGGCAAGGAAGGACAGGTGGTAGTCGAGAAGCGGGCGGTTTTGATGTCTCCGTTTAAACTAAAAGCGTTTTCCGGCCGTTATGTTATAATCTCGGCGATAGATTGATCGTGGGGTCGATTGAAAGGAGGATCTTTCTTATCAACACGTCCAAATGCTTCCAGACCCAGTGTATCGGGTCATTGCTGTGCTTCCGATGATCCAGCCAACTTGCCACAACGTCACGACACATAAATACTGACAAATAATCAATGATGTTAGACACCCGACGGTTATATAATCCATCAATCACGCTTTCGGAACGCGTGTCCCCCCGTGACCACTCATCATGTCTTCCTCCGCCTCAACCTCGAAACCTGTCGAAACCAAGGCCGTAGTAGCCGAGAAGCCCAAGGAGACACGTCAGGCACAGCTTGGTGTCCTCGAGGAAGACGACGAGTTTGAGGAGTTTCCTGCCGCCGGTGTGTCTTTTCTGCCACCATTCATTGACCAACCCATTGACGAAATACGTCTAAACGAAAGATTGGGACGATGCACAGACCGATCTTGCGCATCTAGGAGGAACTGCGCCTGGCGCTGCGAAGAGTGGCGGCGATAAACTTTGGGAGGACAACTGGGACGATGATGATATTGAGGAAGAGTTCAGCACTCAGCTCAGGTGGGTCCACGTCATATTTCTGTACCAACTTTGTGTTGACTCTATGGTAGAAGCGAACTTGCCAAGACCAATGGGTCGGGTGTGATGGAACATTAGGAGGCTCTTTTATTAGAACTCGTCCACACTTCGCAGCTCAATTTCGTACAAGGGAATAAGAGCGTCTAGGCAAATTCTACCTTTTGATATTGAACAACGTCACATTAGTCTTAACAACATTAATATGTGTACCACACTCGTCCTCAACGAGCACCTCACACAATTTTGAAGATCGTCTTACACAACCGCCTTCTTCTCATCGAGGTCTTGATCTTCTTGCACAGATGAAGTCTGTGTGTTCTCCGAATCATCGAAGCCCATGAGGGAGGTATCGAAACCATTGGCCTCGAGGTATGCGCGGAACTGAAGTTTGTCAAGAAGAATACATTGTCCTCTGGAACACCACATACCTCGGCATCTTCCTTGGCCATTCCATCGTGAGAGAGCGGTACGATGAAGAAGAACGTAATGAGAGCACTGAAAATGGCAAGACCGCTACCGACCCAAAAAGGACCAGTGTCGCCTTTGTCACTGCCATGCTTCGAGAACGCTACAAGCAGATTTAATTGGTGCTTGGAAGCTGGTGACCAGTTTACGCACCGTCTATCATGGGTGGGAAAGCTGAATGCAAGACGTCAGTCGAGACAAGCCCTCAAGCAGAATCGAAATCTCACCCCAGGTACCGACCTGTTGCACGTGTCAGTATTGGTAGCGCAAGGCAGGACGTTGAACATACAAAGGCACCAATCTTGCCAATAGCAGCTGCCACACCATAGAATTGACCTCGAACGCAGGTCGGACTGCTTTTACTGGCAAGAAGGCCGAGGTTGTTGCCAGGGCCTACGCGATTGTGAGAAAGGAAATGAACGAGGGAGTCGAAAAGTTAACGTACCGAACTCGCCAAAAGAGAGGAAAATCCCGTAGATGACCTGTAGCAGACTTGAACCAGCACTCGACTATTATTCTCATCCGCTTACAGCGAACCCCGCGATGTGCTTCTTAAGGCTATCCAGCCGCATCAGCCATCGTAACATACGTAGATTAGGAGAGAACTTACTGGTCATAGGCACCACTCATGACGAAGCCGAACAGGGCTTGGAAAAGCAAGCCAGTGATCATAGTGTACTTTGGTCCCAGGTAGTCTACGACGAATGCACCAATGATAGTTCCGGGCATGTAGAACAAGCTTGAAAGTATAAGAATTGATGCAAAGAAGGTGAATCGGACCCGTACTTGATGACAACGTTCCATCCAAAGACGGTGGTCAAGGAAGAGTTACCACCGGTGATGCTATCGACGATAGTGGAAGAGTAAATGCCGAACTAGCAATGATTAGAGGAGAAGCAAGTCGCGGGACAAAGGCACACACAGGATAGCTATAATCAATTTAGGCCTGGTTCAAACAACAGTGATAAAAAAACACACGTGATGAAATCGTAAATGAACCTGTAGTGGATATACTGTTAGCCCAAAACAACTTGATTAGATGGACCGTACCATGTAACGCTGATGGCGGCAAGCCGGAGGCCATATTTGCGAAGAACGAGCATATAGGGAATCTTGACTGATTTCATAGCACCTTTCTTGAACATGGCAGGCTCCTCCATGTTCCATCGCCAGACAAAGACTAGAGCAGCTGGAACGAAGCCAAGACCGAGCGACAGACGCCAGGCGGCGCGAAGGTGGTGCTCCCCAAAGCTATTGGCAGATGTAAATGTCGCTTGAATCCCTGACTTTGAAAAATGCTCACATCCAGAATAGAACCAGAGGGACAAACGCAGCGATGACGAATCCGAAGTCGATCATGCTGTCTATTGGATATGAGAAGAGAGCGGAACAAACAAGATGACAACGAACTGGTGGCGAGAGCGAACCACCGATGTTGGGCATTCTTAGCGATGGATTCACTTTCTGTTTGTTCCGAGCATGATACCGAGCCACAAGGGTACTCTGCGCCGATGCCAATCCCAAGGAAGAAGCTAGCGGTATCAGGTGAGCATATACTACGAGTGGTGGAACGACGCACCGAGAGACGATAAGCATAGCAAGAAGGCCATGAACGCTGTGGTTTGCACCAGATGACGCCGCAGATAAAAGCGTGAAGAAGGCAACAATGGCCGCAGCGGACATCTGGAGGCACCGAATGAGCTGGAGAACTTCTAAACTAACTTGAACCGACCATGCCAGATTTACGGCCAATTTTGTCCGAAATCCAGCCTACGATAATGTTGAGATCGCGAGCTCTGGTATCCAACAGCCCAACTCACCGAAGCTGACCATGCCAAGGACCGTACCCACAAAAACCACACTTTGGATGGTTGAGACGAAAACAATTGGTGGAGAAAGACAATGCACCTGCTGAGGGTCGTGCTATAGTTGCTGGGGAATGCTGCTGTGCCATAAGTCCGCTTGAGGACTGTTCACAAAGTCAAAACACAACAGATATTGTTGGGAATGGGAAAGACAAACGGGTATTTACTGCAAGACTTGAGCAAGTTGTCACTAAAAGGCCAGCGCCACGTACCGCTTCCAATTACACCGTTGGCATAACCTGGAGTGGCCTCAGACAAGCATTGCAGAGAAGCGCGACTCACCATCTGAGAACAGGGCAGTCCCACACGCGAAGATGAGCGACACGCCTCTGAGCCGCTCTTTGAAAGTAACCGTGGACATTGTGTGCAAAGAGCTCCGACTTTGAACGGCGGCGACGAACGCTCGGCTGACTCCCGGTGGTAAGTAGCTGGGAACTGTCTGGACGGCATCAGAGTGGTTTTATCTTCTCCAAACTTCATCGCCCGTCACATCAATGTGACATTGTAAGCGATTTCCCCAGGTTTCCCGACTTCAGTCACTTCTTGACGGCGCACGTTTGTCTTCGCTTGCGCCGCAACTTATTTTTGTTATGCCAGCCAGTCCACCAGCCTAGCTCGACCTTATCCAAGGTCTTGCCTTAGCTAATCTTAAGAATCTACCCGCGCCCACGAAGCACGGTGGGTGAATCAAGGTTGAATCTTGGTGGCGACTTGACGATAGGTAGACATTGGAGCCACATGCGGCCACATGGCGAAACCTGAAAATCCTTCGATAACTGCCAAGCGTCGTGCTGCGCCCGACATGCCCAAAAACATGAAGTTCAGTCTGTGTAGTGCCACGATAATTATAGAAAGGCACTAGTCTGCTCCCCCTCTCGGCAACAATCACGTCCGACAAGGAGTATGCAAGTAACTATTTGGAGCGTTCGTTGTACTTATGATCTTCCAGGAGTGCCAAGCAAGGACACATTGACAGAAGGCGGATCTGCCACCAGAAACACATGCAGCTTTTCATGCACGCTTGCCGACAAGAGAGTGGAAGGACACAAGACACTATAGGCCTCTAGTAGTATACGTGTCTACGAAGCGGAGTACCTATTAGAGTCCACACTGTCATGCACGGCTCGTCCGGCGACTACTGTAAGTACTTTCCCGAGGATTCCAGCGACCATGGAATGGGGCAAAGAATGCAGCGTTCGCGATGGCAACAAACACACTGGCAACTAAGAGAGTTTAGTTGGACAAGACGAGTATTTTGCAACACACCTAATAAGCCCATTAAGACGATCCATGGAAGCCAAGCAAACGCCAGCAGGGCAGTGAGGATACGACACGCTTGGAATTGGTGACAGAAACTCAGATCACCCCATATCGACTAGATTCGTGATCAACGATGTGGTAGACCGCAAGTGGGTGAGGTAGGCACCGTAGCAATGGCCGCGCCGACTAAATAAAGCAAGAACAGAATGCTTAATACCAGGATTTCGCCAGCGAACGAAGCTATTAGACGATCTTCACGCATATGATGGATAGTTAAAACTCTGCGTCGATAACATGAGGTGAGCTGGGAAGGGTTTGTCAAAAGCTTACGCATAGACACTCCACCCCATGCCTAGGAGAGAGCTGAAGAGTAGTTCTGCCACGATTGGGTCTGATCCACGGTTATTGCCCTGTTCTTGCAACGATTGCAAGCGAAGCTCACCATAGAAATTATGACCGTCATTCAGTGGATCGCCTGTGTCGAGTGTAAGATCAAGTTCGGCGTCAAGAAGATTGGGGTCTACCCGGAGGTAGATGTGTCGTATACCGCAAGCGTGCGGCAGCCAGTCCGAATAGGACAAGGGAGAAAACGCCCTGTCGGATCCGGGTGAGAGATTGTCTAAAACGGTCAAGCCACACTCACGAAAACACAATACAGAAATGTGCGGATAATTCCCAACATAGAGAAGAGTTTCTTCAAGCTTGTGGTGGACTGATACAAAAGAGAGTAGCGTTGTGTGTTCCAGGCATGGCTTTGGCGAGGTTTGCCTTATATAAGTGCAAACTCGATACGTCACCGACATGAGGCTTTGGTGCGGGCTTTGCTGCACAAACTTGCCAGAAGCCCCCATGGCGGAACGAACTTCGCTTGTACTTGGACAATCATAGGCCTACACGGTCGTCATCAAAGCGGTCGCAGCTAGAGCAAACTCGTCAAGATATTCAAGGTTATGCAGACGGATCGGCGGGAATGGTCTTATGAATCGTGCTCAATGTCAGGACCTGTGCTGGTCCGAGACAAACTGGGTTTGTTCACGTGGCGAACTCATCACAATCAAAGACGTTCTCGATGATGTTCTTGCCCGACTGTGTCCCTTTGTTTCCGAGTCCTTTCACCGCGCAAGGCTGCAATCGGAAGGCTGCGCTTACCATCATCTACTGCGCGGTAGTCAGGGTTTCAATGACATCTGTAAGTCTCATAAATATCCTGAGCTTCCACTGACGAAATCCTTACAGGCCAATGAGGTCCCTACACTTCCATCCATTAATCTCCTTTTTGCCGAAGTCCTCCAAAGGCAGATAGAGCAACCCGCCTCGCCGCCAATCCGCCGGCCATCCGCCTGGCCGGGCTTCGTACGTCCCTGCCTTCTCCGTGTGGTGTCGACTACTATTCTAAGCGCTCATGGCAGCCCGGTCCCGACAAAGACGCCTTGGGGGTTTGTCACACGGCTGCAAACCCGCCGCCTCCCCTCCAAATTGGACGCAGAGCTTCGGCCCCAGCTGTTTCTGTTTGTGTATCGAGTGTACTTTGCGACTACTAACGACAGCATCAGGAACCCATCCACAGCCCATCCATATTTCCTTCGATCCATGCTTGGGAGAGTCGCTCATCCGAGGTAAAGCACCACTAACGACTACCTCCCCCCATAATCAACAACCATTAGCCTGCCCCTCCAAATGGTCCGAGTCCTGTTCATGGGCAGCACTCGCAACCTGTACGATCTCGCATCGTATTCACCTTATCTTCCCGCGTTGGACTTTTCTAATCGTCCGCAGAAGCGCGAGAGCTGGTCTGACTCTGTGGTCCCGCTTGCGGGAGATTACGATAGTAACTCCGGTGTCTGTGATTTTTTTTGTTATTTTTTATCCTCTGACCTTGTTGACAGCGCCTCGTACCCATCGTGACTCCTTCTTGCTCTCTGGCTCGATCGGTAATGCTGATTTGACTTGCAGTCCATGACCACTACCGGCTCACCGCGCCTTTACAACCGTGATGGTCCGCGCTCTGCGCCGTTGCCGTCCCATCGTGTAGTTTCATGTCACTGCGAAATGGACCGCCTCATTGAGCAACATCGGGCTGTTCAAGGCGACAGTCATGTCGAGTCACCTTACGCGCACAAACAACAAATCCCGACGCCGCTTCCGCCTGCTCATGGTCATATCATGATAGCGTTCCAACCCACCCCGGCCACCTATCCGGGCCGTTCCTTTGGTGTTTGCATGGCCGACATCCTAGATTTCCGTGCCTGTCTGCTTGATCCCGACACTCCAGTTTTGGAAGGAGAGACCGAGGAGATATACCTAACACTTGAAGTCAGTTTGGCCAATTCAACCTGATGAATGCCTGACACCTGGCTAGGCGAAAGGCTACTCTACGTTCATGCAGAAGATATCAGGCAATTGCGCTCATCGACGGATTTCTCGGTTCAATCTAGCCTACCGCGTTGCTTCGGAATATGATACGTTTCTCAAGGCATGTGTTTGACCCTTTGGAATGGTGCGTTACGATGAACTTGTTTCTTCAGGAGTTTTCCTTTAGTCCCGCCAATATCAAAGCCGGGGCCATTGTTGTGCGGTCAGTGACGGAGCTTAGACTTGTGAATCTGTATTCTAGAGATGGTGGTAAAGTGTGGAGGGTTCATGTCGCGTATTGTAAATGATTAAACAGGGTATTTTGTTCAAACCATGGTCTCTTTCTCGGCCAGGGTTGTGATTTCAACATGTTTGAACTGTTACGACTGTGACCAACATCGTACCACCAGCTGGCTCACTGGGACGCACCTGTGCCCGCAACTCGCGCAGTCTATCCACTATCAAATGCGTCATTGGATGTGCAATAACGTAATTCAACGGAGGCCAAGTGGTGACTGCGCCTGTCTAGCTACAATTTTGCTATAGGTGCAGATGGCTACCACGCAGCAGGTCAGCGCACATAAAAAACTGTTCGTGAAGTATATTCCTGCCCAAAACATGGTCGCATCTATGGTTTTCTTCTTCTTGTGGGGCGCTCTCGCTGGGTGGGTCGCTCTGGCTGAGAGCGGCCCACCTATTCGTTGTCGCAACATCCCAAACAGTATCGGTTATCCAAATTCTTCAACTTGGGCTGCATTCAACACTTCGATCTCTGGAAGGCTGATCAATGCTGTTCCGACCGCGAAATACTGTGCTACCTTAGTTGGGGGGTGTACTGATGCTCAATGGACCAGTTCGGTGTTTCGAGGTTCAATCCCAGGATCCATGTGCCAAGTAAGCCTCCAATGCTGCCGTGTTGCTCTACTTACGACCAACTTAAAAGACTAATTGGGAGCAAGTAAACACTTCGACTGTGCTGACAAAACATACTTGTCTGATCATCGGTTTCAGGGCTATGACCTCACTCCACCTTCGGTTTGCCTCCGCAACGGCACTACCTGTGGCCAAGGAGACGTTTCGCTCTATTCTGTTGAAGCAGAAACTATTGAAGATATCCAGGTCAGTCTTTGAACAGGCGCTTGAACCTTTTGATTTAATCTTACTAGTAGACTGCTGTCAAATTCGCTAGCCAGCACGACCTCCGACTCGCCGTCAAGTCATCAGGTCATGATTACCTCGGAAGATCTACCGCCCCATATTCACTTCTCATCCGCGTCGTCAACTTCAAACAAATCACTTTTACCGAGGACTTCATCGTCGAAAACCGCCAACTCGGTCCAGCGGTCACTTTTGGGAGCGGGGTGTACGCCCACGAGTTATATGCGCAGATGAAAACTGCGGGGAGGATTGCGGTCGCCGGTGTAGCTTCAACAGTTGCCCCTGGGGGTGGCCAAATCCAGGGCGGCGGCCACTCTGCACTGTCCCCAGCGCTGGGACTTGTGTCCGACAATGCTCTTGGTTCGTGGGGATTTGTTTCGCTCCCACCATCTAACATAGTCGTGAAGAATTCAAGGTAGTTGATGCGAGGGGTGAGCTACTTCATGTGAACAACATCTCTCATCCCGACCGTAGGTCTCTTTCTTGAACGGACCTCGAAAGTCACATCCACTGACGATCGTTAGTCTTTTATGCTTTGAGAGGGGGCGGTGCGGGTAGCTGGGGGGTTATCATTTCGACCACAGTTCGCACGTTCCCCTCCTTCAACGCCACCTTGTCGACGCTATACCTCGGAGCCGAGAGCAACGCTGCTGCTGCTGAGCTGGCTGCGTTACATGCAAGTCGTATATTTGACTGGGACTCTGTCAATGCTGGCCAATATTTTTGGCTTTTGAAAAACGCTGCTGATGCAGCAGACCCTGATGCCCCGTCAGCATTTGTTGTGTTGACATATCTGCCCAACACAACAGTCGAGCAGAGCGAAGCGTTGCTGATGCCATTCTTTAATGCTTCACTTTCTCTCCCTGGCGTCCTTCTGGTGGAGAAACAGGCGTTATACAGCGACATCAATAATATCTTGTTTTCCTCTGATGATAGCATTGGGACCAACGTGTTCATGGGGTCGCGCCTCATTCCGGATTCACTCTATCGTCATTCCCCAGAGAGAGTCCGAACTGTCTATAAACATCTGTTGGACGACGGAGCGACTGCGTAAGCTACTATTCTGCTGTCCCTCTCAAGTCCGTTGCACTGAACATACCCTTAGGATTCTCGGCCATATGGTAGCCGGGGGTAGGTGATTAAATGACGACTCAAGAGAAGGCTTGACTCCGCCGCAGGTCAAGTGGCACAGAACGCCAATATAAACTCTGCGGTCCATCCTGCATGGAGGAGTGCTAAAAGTCATGCACGTGCTTCCCTTCCTTGTGGACGTCGTTCTCAAAATCCCCACAGATTGTTCTGCCTAACCAATTTGCGGACTCAGCGTCGCTAGAGCAGATTAATTCCGCTCGTCGGCGATTCCAAACTGTTCAGCTTCCTGTCCTCGAGCAGCTTTCTGGCCCCCATGCGGGGTCTTACTCCAATGAAGCGGATAATGAACCGTCCTTTCAGACGACGTTCTTCGGTCCAAACTATGGGCAGTTGAGTGCCATAAAAGCCAAATACGATCCCAATGACTTGTTCATTGTCGCGGCCGGTGTGGGTAGTGAGAGGTGGGACGAGTGGGGACTGTGTCGGCGTTCACATAATCAGGATTCTACTCTGTTAAACTTGTCGCTGTTCCCAAATATTGGCATCTGAGTTCGGCTTGTTCAGAATAAGGGCGACTTAGCACTTATGTACCAGTGTTTCTTTCTCTGGCTTTTTGTTCGGCCCAGCTGCAGTACATCACCCTGCTTACGAAAAAGATGCGAGCTCTGATGTGAATAATTGACCACTCCCATTTTCGTCCGGGTTTTCACGTCGACTTGCTTTAGGCGTTGCTGTCGTCGAGATGCCTGTTGCGCAGCAGCCGAGCGACGATAAAATGCTCTGTGGTCAAAATCGGGCAGCACAAAATGACCACCCTCATACCTTTCTTCGTTCTATTTCTCGGGCCGTTGCTGGCTCAGAGCGCACCTTCTATCCGTTGTCGGAATGTGCCTGGCGACACTGGATATCCCAGCGCTGAAACCTGGCAGGCTTTGAATGCCTCAGTTTCTGGCCGACTTGTCAATGTTGTTCCATCTGCAAAATATTGCGCAGACGTTGGCTGTACCGACGCTCAATGGGCCAGCGCAACTTTTCGCGGTACTATCCCAGGAGCAATGTGCCAGGTTAACCATTTGGAAACTGTGGTTAACACACGCTGACTCAAATTACAGCCGAATTGGGAGCAGGTAACAACATGGAATTTGGATACATTCGAGTCTGAATCCGAAATCGTTATTACCAGGGCTATGATTTTGACCCGCCCTCTCTTTGCCTCCGCAACGACACAACTTGTGGTCAGGGGAACGTTCCTCTTTATTCTGTCGAAGCAGAAATCGTGGACGATGTGCAGGCAAGTTCACGATTGGTCACCGGCTGCTAATCCGACTATCTGCTCCAGGCTGCTGTCAGATTTGCTAGCAAGTACGACCTCCGTCTCGTTGTAAAATCGTCGGGACACGATAACCTCGGGCGCTCGACTGCTCCCAACTCCCTTCTTCTTCGCGTCACCAAGTTCAAGCAGATCACATTGGTCAACGATTTTGTCGTCGCTGGGGAGCGCCTTGGGCCTGCAGTTACATTTGGAAGTGGGGTCTATGCTCGTGAGCTCTACGCGCACACAAAGCTACAAGGGAGAATCGCTGTGGCTGGGTCCGCATCGACTGTGGCCCCAGGAGGCGGGCAAATTCAAGGCGGCGGACATTCTGCACTCTCGCCGGCACTGGGACTGGTGTCAGACAATGCTCTCGGTTTGATCCTTTCTCTCCATCATGCTGCGTTTAACATTATGAAAGAGTTCAGTGTTGTCGACGCAGCCGGTGACTTGCTGCAGGTAAATAGTGCTTCTCATCCTGACCGTGAGTAGTCGTTCGTTCTCTGGCTTGGCCCCGGTCATTAACGGGAAATAGTCTTTTACGCCCTCAGAGGGGGTGGTGCAGGCAGCTGGGGCGTTCTCATATCAACGACCGTCCGCACATATCCAACTTTCAATGCGACTTTCACCAGCATTACCCTTTCCGCATTAAATAACGCAATCGTTAGTCAGCTGGCTTCTCTGCACGCATCTCATATATTTGATTGGGACTCTGTCAACGCTGGGCAGTACTTCTATATACTGAAAGACACCAATGATGCTACCAACCCTGACGCTCCTTCCGCATTCCTGTTGCTTACGTATATGGCAAATACGACTCTCGAACAGAGTAGTGCGTTACTGGACCCGTTTATCGATGCCTCTCTTGCCATTCCTGGTGTTTCACTGGCGGATCACAGAACAAGACACGCCGATATCAACGAAATCCTTGCCGCAGCGGACGATACTGTTGCTGTCAACCTCTACATGGGATCACGTTTTGTTCCCGAAGCCCTCTATCGTGACTCGCCAGAGAAAGTTGGCGTAGTATACAAACAGCTCTTGGACAACGGCACAACTGCGTAATTCATTGCATTTTCTCTGACTTCATCGACTGAGCTAGTGATCATAGCATTCTTGGACATATAGTTGCTGGGGGTTAGTTCATCAGGTCTAGAGGGCAGAACAGGTTCATTATTCTATTAGGTCAAGTTTCACGAAATGCCCATATTAACTCCGCCGTTCATCCAGGATGGAGAACAGCCAAAACTCACGTCAGTCGTCCCTGACAATCTTCCAACCAGCGCTAACGCTTCTTAGATTCTCCTCGTCAACAGGTTCGAAGACTCGACATCTCTAGACGAAATCCGTTCCATACGTGAACGGTTTCAACAAGCCCAACTCCCAGTTCTAGAGCAGCTGTCTGGCCATGATGCTGGGTCTTATTCCAACGAGGCCGATATTGAGCCTGCATTCCAAACGACGTTTTTCGGTCCCAATTATGCAAGGCTGAGCGCCATCAAGGGAAAATATGATCCTAATGATTTGTTTATTGTTGCAGCGGGTGTTGGTAGTGAGCGATGGGATCAATGGGGAATATGTAGACGATGATTGTAGTGAACAGGTAGCTAGCTTTTAGGCTTACATTTATAACTCGGATTTGAGATCCTCTCTGATAGCAAGGTTATATAAAAGATCCCTGGACTCGTGTTGGACTTTTCGGTCGTGATAATAAGCGGTAATTGACATACCACATCAATCCGGCATTTTGCCATCTGTGATCGCATCAGCTTTCAAATGGTGATGAAGCGTACTACTGACCGTTCTTCGAATAGTTTTAGTGTCCTCATACACCGCTTCACTCCATCCAGCACCCAGCTTTCTTGGTCTAAGGACCCGTTCCCAAGATTCAGGACAAGCATCATTGCACTTGCAAAGATCGCAGGCTGAAAGCATATTAGAATTAGGAGAATGAACCAGGCTGACATAGTACACAAATGTTCGGCATGTCTGCGCTGGACTCAAGCGAATCTAAGAGGCGGACGCAGGACTGAGCAGCAGTAGTGCATATAGTGAAAGAAGGTGCCTTTAATTTGTTTTAGGAAGCATTGAGTGAAAAGATGAAGGAACCTTAAGCCGATCTTCAGTTTGTAAGAGTGAACGATGAATGGTTATTTGCACATGGTAATAGGTGCAATAGAGGGTCGCTGATTGTTTTAGCAGTATTTTGTCCGGCTGGTGTTCCGGGTCCCATCTCACTACACTTGGGTTAGTTGGAAAGACTTGAAGAGAAAAGAGTGAAACCTACAATGATGTGGGATTGTTTGGAGCCACTCACTAAGCGCTGAATCAAGTTGAGAGACGATACGTGCCTCCCAGAGGCTGTCCCCATACGCTAACAAGGCCTTGGCCTTGTCAATGGAATACTGGGCATTGGAATGAGACTATTTGGACGTCAATTGGAACAGGGAAACTAACCAGCAAGTCCATCGAAACACCCAGAATACAGTTTAACCTGATATATAGGTTGAAGAAAGAGATGTACGAAGGCTTCCCAGCAGGTTGAATAAATGCTTCAGTAACGCTGGACACTTCTGTGTCCCAATATTCATCGTCACACTCCAAAGGCAATTCCGCATCAAGGCTGTAAATCTGGAAATGAAATTTTTTTTTGGGGGGAGATGAGAAAAAAACGAACTCTTCAAACCGAATCATACAGGGCCGGCCATGCGCAAGCCCAAGCTGACGATCTTTGCAGACAAGTGCCCAAAACGCTCTTTTCCGAAGCTCAGAATATGATGTGTTAGACCGGTGTTTGCGATGAACTCCAATGTCTTGACCGATACGAAGACCAATTCCCACCAAAGTCCAGCATTGCATTGGCGCAGATAGTTCCAGGAATGTGACGGCTAGCTGAAAACGACATGAAGCAGGCGTTCATTTACGTTGAACAGGTCACACACTGCATAGAACTGGATATGGTGCAGCATCTCAGTGGGGGTCGCAAAGAGATGATCAACCTGAAATAAGAGTTGGTTGAAGAATTCACGTCCGACGTTGAGTAAATTCATGCCAGGCCGACAGATACGTTCGTCACGCGAGAATCGTGAGCCGATGCCACAAACAAGGAGAAGGTTGCGACCGAAGCTTAGATCGTGAAGGTGTTGTTCTCTTGCAATCGCCCGTTCGAAGGACGGACGGTGAAGGATGGGGCAATGGATGTTACTATGACGAAAGTAGAGATCGACGAGGGACATCAACAAGTCGGGAGGCGGGAATACCAATGGACCAGTGTGCGATACCCGTTGTTTCAACTGCAATGATTAGTTCATATCCACGAAGTTGCTCGAAACTTACTGGCTCAAAGGTCCAGTATTTTAGACGGCGGTACAGAAGCGGAAGTTGCTGCTTTTCAGCATCTTCCCGTATCTCCAACACGATGCGAACCAAATTCGGGGTACTTGCTTCGCCGTAGAAATGTGACCCAAAGCGAGAAAGGTGCAATTGCTCGTCTCGCAGCAGCCTAAGTTGAGTCGCGTCTTGCCGAGTGGGAGCGGGTGTATTCATGGAGCGTATCGACAGAGCAGCGAGGATGACTCCTGGCCCTGCAGCACACGGTACCAAGTGACGATTTATTCCGAAGGACGAATTGAAGTTCGAGGCATTCTGAGTCTGGGAGAAGCGTTATTTTGACGACAGTCTTAACGAACCAACAATCTTCCACAGGCCTCGATTTCGTTAAGTTCCAAATAGCTTTCAAAGGTATGAATATCGAGTGCGATTATGCCATTTTTCCAAACCTTTTCCTATCAGCAATAACTCCACCAAAGACACAATTAATTGTCTTGCTGAGACAACGGGTACATGGCCTATGCGGCATCCGCTCGCCATCACCTAGGAGAGGAGTCGGTTGGTATACTGTGCAGCTTCAAGATTCACTTGCAAGCACCTGCAAACTATTTAGTGAGTATAATCCCTCCTATATTATTCGACCACGCACGCCGCTTTATCCTGCATCTGTCACAGGCTCTTTGTTCCTTTCGATATCTAACTTGCTCAGTTTCAGCCATGAAAATAGTCGATCTGGGTCAGGGGTGACTCAGCTGCACTGCCTCCAGAGTCAAGTGTCCGCGTGACGTCTTTGTCACAGTAATCTCTTCTTGCTTTCGCCCACACACATCTACACAATGTTCTCCAGCCCAACCCCTGCGCCAGGCGCGAGAACTATTGCTGCAAGTGCTCTTCGGGGTGCCGGCTTAACAGCTGACCGAGACACAACAATGCGAGATGTAGAACGACCAACAGGCAGGAAAGCAGCTTCAAAACATCGCTCCCATCGAGTTCGCGTATATGATTTGAATGGAACGGGGTCCAGCAGTCGCATGGTAAATATCCGTTCGTCCTAACTCATTTTCTGGAGTCAGGTCATCGACCTCTCCTCTCTCTCTCTCGACTACTTGAAACCCACCGCTTACGAACCGCACGACGTTGCTCGCAGCTCTCTTCCCGGGTCTCAGACGGTGCAACATCCGACCTCCTTTCCATACGTGGAGCTTCAAGGATACCGGTTTCCCGCCCTCGTAGAAACGCCGTCAGCAGTGGCCCACCACCAATAACCAGCGCATCAGCTCTCAGTCCAGCCTCAAGCCGTATCCTTGCTGGTAAATCAACTCGAACCCTGGAGCACTGGACAGAGTTCGTCAAGAAGCGCTACGATCCTCAAACCAAATGTCTCAACCTCGATGTACGTTGCCACTCTCCTTCTTGAACTTGGTCTCATCCTCCCACAAGTCCATCCAAGATGACGAAATAATTCGGAAGCATGGTCTTCAAACCCCCGGCAAGGCGGGTGGCACCGCTCGGGAAGCTGGTGTCATATTCAAACTTGCGTCAAAACTCAAACCACCCGTGTGTCTCATATCACTCCATGTCTCATTTGATCCGACGATTGTTTTTTACAAGGTGGAAACCGTATCGCTGGCCAACAACGGCCTCATTGGACAGCATCTAACATACCTCGACAAATACCTTCCACGCATCGTCAATCTGTCCCTGCAAAACAACAACCTGCGAGGATGGAAGGATCTTGAATTCATCTCTGGTCGTCGGGGGAAGCTCCTCAAGCTACGTGAGCTCGTTTTAATGGGCAACCCTGTACGAGAGAACGAGTACCAAACCGGGAATGGAGATCGGTTCAAGCGGTGCGTTGAATGCCCGTTCTTCATAAATCAATCAATCTCAATATTTGAACGTAGGGAGGCTCTACGTCGATTCCTCACCCTTGAGCTACTTGATCAAGAACCCGTCACAAAGATTGCGTTCGATGTTGCCCAAGTCGATCCCACTGCGCCGACCGCAGTGGCAGTTCCAGCACCATCGGCCACCACCTTCCCTTTCAAAATGGGCCCATCTTTCATTGACGGCGTTGATCCAGCCGTCGTCAGTAACTTCCTGTCACGGTTCTTGCCTATGTTCGACACCCAACGGCCACAACTAGCTGACGCCTACACTCCCGCCTCGACCTTCTCTTTCTCCGCCAACACCACGATTCCCAGTCGTGCACGAATCGAGGGCCTCCATCACCACCCTCAACTTCCCAACCAACCTAAGCTCAGTTGGAAACCATGGATCGACGGCGGGTCGCGCAACCTCCAACGACTGTCGAATGACAAGATAGCGTCTGCGTTGCATGTCGGTGGGCCTGATATCATCCAGGCTTTCGTCAATCTTCCTGTCACCAAACATGATCTTCTTGGTGCCCCGGAAAACTTCTCTGTCGATGCGTTCCTCACAGGCCCCGGCCTCCTGGTCATTGTACATGGTCAATTTATCGAAGGTATGTGCAGGGAATCCCGATCCATATCTTAGCCAACAAATGTCATTAGCGCCTTCCCAGGGCATCCGCTCATTCGATAGAACCTTCATCTTGGCACCTGCGCCAGAAGACTCTCGGTGAGTTGAGCTGTTTGTCGTTTCCATACGCTCAAATGGCCATAGTGCTAGAGCCAATGGCTGGGACGTTGTCATCCTCTCCGATCAGTGGACAATACGTGGCTTCTCCAAGCCAGACGCCTGGAAAACAGGTCCCTTACTCGTACAGGCGACAATTGACACCAACCCTCCCGTCAATCCTCGCCATCTACCTGCTGACCAGATGGCACTCCTCAACACAGTCGTACGTCCTTCGCCCCGATGCTGCTCTCTCGACCAACTCACATCGCTTCTAGCCTGAGGCCCAGCGGCCTGCCGTCCTGGAACTCTGCGGCCGCTCCCGTTTGAATGTCAAATATGCATTAGATTGCTTAAATGGCAACGCATGGGATATTGAGCGTGCTCTTGCGAACTTTAATGAAGTCAAGGTGAGCGTTAGTTCAAGTCTTTTACTTTCATCTGCTAACCTTGAACCCAGGCGACACTACCGCCAGACGCATTCTTACGACCTATGGCATCCTAATTATCTAACGAACTGTTCTCCTGTACAATACCTCCCTATATACTCATAACTCACTGCAATTCACCCAACCAATACGTATTTTTATCGCATTTCACTCAAGTGCAAAAGTCGCCAATCAAAACAAGTTGCGCCCATGCACGTGTGCCTGTCATATCATGTAAATGTGAATGACGTCGTATCGCCCAGAATCGGCTAAGATCATATCCGCTGCAGGACCGCATATCTTGGCCGAGCTTGGCTGCCAGCCACAAACAACATGTCTTCTCTTCAGACCCCCATGTCCTCAAACTCGGACTGCGTCAGACCTGGCATTGCAGTCGTCGAAGACGCCCCATTTTGGCCCTTGCTGGTCACTGTCTTCACGGTGCGTTTGGTTGGCCTTCCAACTTGTCCTTCTTAGTTGACCAGATCTTCATCGCAGTCAATTCTTGAAGTTTTCGTCCTTTGTCTAGCTGGGTACCTCCTTGCCTGGAAAGGTATCCTTGACAAGCGCACACAAAAGGTCAAACTATTTGTGTTGTCACTGTTTCTCCTCTCATCGAATCATAGCAACTGAATCGACTTAATGTCTCCCTCTTCACGCCCTCACTACTATTTTCCAAAGTGGCTTTCTTCCTCTCTCCAGGTACGTTGTCGATCCATACATCTACGTCCCTTCACCCAGCACACAGAGAAGCTACGAGAGCTTTGGATCATACCAATATTTTTTGTGTTGGTGACGACAGTCTCCATGTCCGTTGCGTTTGTCCTTGGCTGGGTATTCCGAGTCAAGCGCTCTCAAAGGTTGCTTGTTTAATTTCTGCGTCATGCCAAGTAAAATGCTAAGCCTTACTGATCCAGAAACTTCGCAATGGCGGCGGCAATGTTCATGAACTCCAATTCGCTCCCCATTGCGTTAATGCAAAGCCTCGTTGTCACCGTCCATGGACTTAAATGGGGCTCTCAAGATAACAAGAATGCGATGCTTGGGCGTGCGCTTACGTATCTGGTACTCTACAGCACTCTTGGCATGGTCCTTCGTTGGAGCTATGGAGTGCGATTACTTGCTCAAGCTGATGAAGAAAACACGGACTATGTCGAAGGACAGACAAGCTCGTTACCTCGCGGCCAACACGAGCAATTCCCATCTAGCGAAGGCACGTTGCGTCCAACCAGCTTGGCATTTCCTGAGGGCAATCCCGGCGCACCCATTCCATCCCGACCTTCGTTGTTAAAACCCGGCCACGGTCGCAGACAGTCACGATTTTATAATTCATTTCCAAACTCTCCAAACCAATCTCGATTGCAGCTTCCTGACGTTGAAACCATTCCTAATTCTTCTGCCGGCTCGACGTTTGTAATGAGCCCAGATGCATCAGACTCGGACAGCGACTCAGAGACTACGCCACTAATACTGGGACAAGCTACTATCACTGAACCAGAGGCTCTTCCGACTCATGTTCGTCGAAACTCGCGACCGACTCATGGACGCCGAGTCTCAACTAATGCTGGGGCTGGGGTTGAAAGCCGACTACGAAAACGGTTATATCGTGCATGGGTCGCTCTCAACGAGTTTATGACTGTCCCTTTATGGGCTGCACTCGCATCTTTGATTGTCGCCTGTGTTGGGCCTCTACAACATGCGCTTGACGTACACATGCAACCCATCAAAGGCGCTTTGACCTCCGCAGGCAACTGTTCCATTCCTCTAACGCTAATTGTCCTTGGTGGATACTTCTACCCGGAGAAACCCAGCCCGACGCCAGCTTCAGCGGGTGAAAGAATCGGGGCTTCTCACAGCGACAACTCTCTATTGGAAAGCGTCCGAGAGATGTTTGGCAAACAAAACCAGCGAGTCGCTGATGGAACCGCGCCGCCTGCCCGCCAAGGCGAGACAATCACTGTCGTTATCGCGGTTTTGTCGCGAATGGTTCTGACACCGTTGTTGTTGTTACCGCTCATGGCCTTGTCAGCCAAGTTCGATCTGCATGCGATCCTGGATGAGTGAGTTATCTTTGCACCCTTTTCCCGAACACTCTGTTGATTTCTGTAGCCCGGTATTCGTTGTTGCCAACGTGCTGCTAGTTGCCTCGCCTCCGGCTTTGACTCTGGCTCAAGTGCGTCTTGTTCCCTCCCGCTGTCTAAATTCTAATGGTCATAGATAACGCAAGCGGCATCGGGAGACGCTTTCGAACGACTGATAAGTCGAACGATTTTCTGGTCCTACTGTGTTGTTACACCTCCCACAACGATTGTGTACGTCATCATAGGTCTTATGTTGTCAAAGCTGTAGTACAGTTTGTCTGTTTTCACATCGCATTCACAATTTTTTTTATTTCAGTACACTACAGAGTCAATAAGTAACTCAATAAAGTGCAAGGAATCCAGTTGTACAATGTGTTGATTGATTTGGCTTCAATAATAGTACAGAATAATGCTATGACCGACACAAGGTGGAAGAGTGTGTTTACGAGTTAATCTCCTGCTGAGCCTTTCCCTTGTCATGCTGCAGGTTGCCCTTGGCCTGTTGGGCCTTGTCGCCAGTGACGGCGCCCACAACAGCGTCTTTCTTGCCTTCGATGCGATCACCGACGCCTTCGACGTAATCTTTGGTCTGAGCAGCGCGATATTCGGCTTCACCAGCAGCGTGCTCCTCCTGGAAAAACTGAGTGAGACAATGCAATAAGGGAAGGCGACAACTTGGACACACCTTGCCAGACTGTTGCCAAGAATCAAGCCCTGTTAGGTTGCCGATGGTTTCAACAGCAGTACCGTGAAGGAAATGGTCAGACTGAGGAAGCTGGCCGAAGAACCGTGAGATACTCATCTTCAGGGAGTGGAATTGGCCGGTGGTTTGGTTGGGTTCAGAGGACATCGTTGTTAATTGTGGTGGTGCGTTGGGGGGAAGATTATTTGGATGGATTGATGGGTCTAACTGGGTTCGTCTCTCCCTTTTATACCAGCTATTTAACCCCTCGCGCGTCTCGTCATTGACGACGTATGAATATGTTGTAATGAATGATGCCATTGGAGCCAGCAAGTCACGCAAAACTCACGTGCACGCGTCTCTACGTAATGCTCTTCCCTGAACTCAGTTGTTAGTGCAAGACATTCTGCACTTCTGACCAACTTCTGACTGTCCATTTCGAAGTCTATAACCTGCGCCTGTGACCAGAGACTCGCTATATCGAAATATGGAAGCTCACACCGTAAACGATGCAGCGTGGTGTCGGCGTGTGTTGATGCGACGTCGACTGAGGTTTGGATTTCGTTAGCCTTCCAAGAGATGTCGGATTGCTGCTCGTCAAGCTTGTAACTCCTGCCGACCACAGCTGCATTGCGTTTCATGGAGCTTAGAGGAACACTTTGGTCGACAAACCAACCCCTTTTTCCAATAAGTAAAGTATCACATCTTGCTCAAAGACTCAAGAAACCGGGACCCGAAACAATCGTGGGTATTAATAACGTCTTGTCATGGTATTACAACCTTGAACCTAAATTCCACCAGACTGAGCAAGTCTGCCGCAGAGTTCCGTTCCTCACACACAGGCGCCCACAATTCTTTCTTTCTCTCCAACCGAAGCTTCCATTTCCCAGCCCTTCAGGTTTCCATTCGCGGATTTGTTGCAGAACCAGCTTGATGTCAGTTCACAGCATCAATCAAGTCGGTGTCACAACGAGTCGACAACTGGGCAGTACTTATTCAAGTTATTGCGTTTGCCGACGTTTTCGCTGGCCTCGAGGCCTCGAAAAGAATATTCACCCGCCCCGACTTGCGCTTGGTCACACCAGCGCAAGAACTCGACAGATCTTGATGCCTACGGCCTCGTTGTATGCTTCTTCTCCCAGGATCCAATGCGCACATATTTATGGCAGGCCTCTGAATTTATACCCTATTCCCCTCTGCTGCCATCTCCTCCACCACCGACCACTTTCACGTCCCTTAACGCGTCATTTTACCACATCTCCATATCCCACCCTCTTTCACGCCCTGTTTCCCCTTGGTTTTCCCCCGTTTTCCTATTGTTGTCATGGTCAGACGCGTCCAAACTAAACCATTACACCTTGCTGTCCTCGCAGCCGACAACGAAGCGGTCAAGAATGCCCTCCGTTCTAGCTCCTGCGTAAATGATTTGGATTCTGCTGGGCGGTCTGCAGTGATGTGTGCTCTTGCTGGCGAAAAGTGCGTTTGTTTATTGTGCTTAAACTTCGTTAGGGTGCTAATTTTTCCAATTTAGCTGGCAACAACTTGATTCCTCCCCTTCCGACGCGTCTTTTAGGCAGCTGGAAGTTTTTCGTACTCTTGTCAACGACAGTCAGGTTTCTCTGCATACACTGAATGCGTCACAACGTCCCTATCGAGGCGTCACTCCTCTCGGAATGGCTGCCTGGCTAGACCGTTCTGATATCATACGCGTTCTGTTGGAGGAGAGTGTGGTCGGAGTTGTCGTTGATGGAACTGATGCCCACGGAGCAACCCCACTTATGTGTACGTACCTTTTTTTCCGTTCATCCCACGCGTTTCAGCGGCTGACGGGCGGTTTTAGACGCTGCAAGAGATGGCCGTCTCGATGTGGTCAAACTTCTGGTGAGCTGAAATAGTCTTACATCAGCCGTCTGTGAGCTTACATCTATGTCAGCTTCGTCATGGTGCACGGCCAGACTTGAGGGATGCGAACAACCGGACAGCGATCCAATTCGCTCTCCCGTTCCCTCAGGTTCTTTGGCTATGTGAGTCGGCTTTGCGGCGGCATCGGTTACTGGACAATTCCTCGGTAAGGACAGTTTTCACCGAATTCCAGGGAGTCTTCCCTGACGAGCTATTCACAGGGCTCTGACACCACCCTATTCCAATCATGCCTTCCTCAAACGAATATTTTTGTACCCCCCGCAGCTTCCGCCTTCACAGTGAAGCGAACGAACACACTCATTGTAGCAATCAACATTTGTGACGTTGAACAAATTCATTCAATCCTCTTTCCCTTCACCGGGATATTCCAACAACCGACACTCGTTAACCTTCCCGATGCGCTAGGATGGAGTCCGTTACATTATGCCGTTTCAACCCCCACTCCTTCCCCCGAAATTCTTGATGTGCTGGCAACCGCAGGAGCTGTGGGTCCTCTGTTCACCGCCCAGGAAGAATGGACCCCTCTCCATTGCTTCGCTATAGCATCCCGAGATCGTCGGCCTACACAACAACAGGTTGATGTATGGCGATCGGCTCTCTCTCGCTTCATTGGTCCTTCCGCGAAGCTAGAAATACCACTCGACGCCAAGGACATCGATGAAGAAACTTGTTTACATCTGGCGGCAGAACGAGGCGCTTGCGTCGAGCTGTTGATACTTTTTTTGGAGTCCGACCAGGATGGCCGCGTCAGAGAAATGCGCAATGCAAGAGGTTTGACTCCGCTTGAAGTTTGCCGACCTGAATTCCGTGCTGCATTTGGAAGGGATCTAGACGATGTGAGGTCAAGCTCAGCCCTCTCATGCCGCACTGTCCGCGGCTCCGCCTATTCTGGCTCGATGGCTTCTCTCGGGTCGTTTCATCCTCCCAATACAGTTCCCGAAGAGAGTGAACTTAATGATTCCGCTTCGGTACTCGACAATGTGGATATTTCCGTCTCGGCAGAGCAGTTACTCGCCAACCTCCGATTAACATCACCCGAAGAGTCCCATGCGGCAACGCCTTTCCACTTGAATGTCCTCAGTAATTTGGTCGGTGAAGCGGAAGCCCTTTCTTCAGTGATTGTTGCCCATTATCGAACAGCAGCAGTGGAAGCTGGTCGCGATGTTCGCGGTCTACGTGAAGCAGCCGGGAGGGCTCAAATGCGCGTAGAAAGAATAGGGCGGGAAGTGGAGGCTAAGATGAGAGAGCGAGGCGTCGTGGGTGCAGTCAGGCGAAGATTCGACAGAGGGTCCGAGGATTCTGGTGTCACCGCAGTCTCGATTGAGACTCCTGCAGAACCAGATAGGTCTGTTGAAGTTCTGGGATCAACGGATTGCGAAAGAGCTATACCAATCGTGGTGGTGGAATCACCGGGTTTGTCCACCAAGCCTGACGCTATCGAGATCACGCCGAAACGGCTTACGGGAACAATGAAATTGCGGGCATGGATGAAACGAAAGCTACAAGTCACCGAAATTGCCCAGCCTTCCAAATTAGCGGCCATTCCCGAGCAGCAAGAGGTGTCTGTGGCTCTTGCGGTTCCTTCTTCCCCTCCTCCAAGTCCTACAACTCACCAAGAGAACCTTTCTGTGGATGCGTGGGTGGATGGTATGTTGACATCATCTCACTCGACGTTGGAGGCCGCAAGTCGTGATTTAGAGCGAATTCGAGAATCGATTGCTTCAGTAAGTCTCGCGGCTATTTCCCGACGTTCTTTGGCTTACGGGCTCCAGGCCGAACATTTCATCTCCATTGTTGATCGCTCTGCCGCACGAGTCGAACGAGTTGTGGCCAGAGCACTTCAGGTTTGTTTGCTTTTCAAGTTGAACGATTTCAAGTAACAAAGACCACAGAAACGCGAGACAGTTATTTCGAAACTGCGCGCAACATCCCTTACTTCTTCAAGCGACAACGACGAGTTCTTTGTCCGGCCTGGGCTTCTGTCCCCCAAGTCGAGTGTGGCTTCACTCGCTTCTGTGTATTCGGCGCGTTCCTCTTGTTTATCTCTCGCTGCGACCCTTTCGGAGCAGGAGGATGATGACACTCGTGTTGTACGGCGATTATTATTGCGAAAAATCGAGACAGGTGCCAATGGTGCACGTGATGAACTCGAAAAAGGTGTAAATTGGCTTCGAACGATCAAGGAGGTCGTTCAGAGCGCAAAAAAGACGGCGTATGTATAACATCGTCATCTGTAATGTACTTAGTGTTGTTTGTAGACATCTTAGACCACATTGTATCATACCTGCAATACTTATCTAGATATCGCGTTTGTGACCTCTACACGTGACGTGTTTGGTAACGCGTCTCTCCTCAGCCACCAACATGAGAATCGAGGAGTTGGTTCTAGAGGGTATTGACCGCTCCATACTCACCGCGCTCGGCTAATATGCTTCAGGCTTCAAGTCTTATCCCGTTCGAACTCAAATCACCGGCTGGGACCCCTCCTTCAACGCGATTACAGGGCTTAATGGCACAGGAAAATCTAACATCCTGGACGCCATCAGCTTTGTGTTGGGCCTCACCAACATGTCCACGGTATGTCGATTCTCTACCCTTCTCCCCAGCTCAGAATTTCCGCAGATGCGTGCGACGAACCAAGCCGAACTCGTTTATAAACGTGGCCAGGCAGGCATCACCAAGGCTAGCGTCACAATTGTTTTCAACAACTCCGATACAACCAAGAGTCCTACTGGTTATGAGGCTCAGAAGCAGATCACAGTAACGCGTCAGGTGTGTAGTTGCAACAACCTGTTTCCGCTCACCAACTCACCGTGCCACTCCAGCTCGCGATACCCAACGTCAACAAATATCTCATCAATGGGCATAAGACCACGCAGCAAGCTGTTCAGTCTCTCTTCCAATCAGTACAGCTGAACATCAACAACCCTAATTTCGTCATTATGCAAGGCAAAATTACCAAAGTGCTCAACATGCGACCGCAGGAGATATTAGGAATGGTCGAGGAAGCAGCAGGGACGCGCATGTTCGAGGATCGCAAAGACAAGGCAATCAAGACTATGGCTAAGAAGGACAAGAAGGTCCAGGAAATCACGTCCCTCCTGAGGGAAGAAATCACACCAAAACTTGACAAGCTGCGAAAGGAAAAACAGAAATTCCTCCAGTACCAAAAGACCGAGTCAGAATTACAGCGTGTTCAGCGCGTCTTGCACGCCTTTGAATGGGTCGATGCTGGACGGCGGGTGGAGGAGGGCAAAGAGAATATTGCGACTAATAAGGCAAAGTTAAAGGCTCAAGAAACGGAGAAGGCCGAGCTCGAAAAGGAATTCGAGTCTGCGGAAAGAGACAAGGCTGCGGTCGAGAAAAAACGTGACCAAGAGCAGAAGAAAGGGGGCAAATTGGCAAAGTTGGAAGAAAGCGTGGGCGAGCTGGATAAAGACCTCACCAAAATCCGTACACAGGCCGACATCAAGAAAGAGTCGATCAAGGACGAGGAGCGGCGCGTAGAGACATGTAAGAAGGAGCTGGCCGAGGTGCGTGCATGCGCGCTTTGCATTCGCAGTTAACATATTGCATCAGCTCAAATCTAATATTCATGAGAAGAAAATCGACGTCGAGAAGGTCAATGCATCTCACCAAACTGTCACGGGCAAGCACAAGGGCCTCACCGACAAGCTTTCTGCCGCAGAAGAACTTCTGCAGAGTCTTCTCACAGGTTTATCCAACAACAAAGCCAACAATACAACTGGTGGTGGCGGGTATCTTGGTCAAATAGCGGCATCCAAACAACAGGCTACCCAGGCTGCTGCGGAGGAGAAGCAGAATCGTACGAAGCTCGAAATGAGCGAGGCCGATTTGAAAAATGCCGAATCTCAATGGAAGGCCGTTGAACGCGAGGCGGGAGAGGGAAAGAAGAAGCTCGATGCTTTGCGTGCCGCCGTGGAGACATGTCGCCACAAAATTGCTCAGAGTGTATGGAACCAGCAGCAAGAGGACGACAGCGAAGCCCGTTCGCGGGTCTTGAAAGGCAAAGTGCGCGCATTGGAAGACGTATGTTGTGTGACCCATTATTCTATTCCTATTGATTTTTTTAGGAACGAGAACGCATCCATCAAGGCCTCAGCTTCCTAGATTTCCGGTACAATCTTGGTCCATCATTTGACCGCAGAAAGGTCAAGGGGCGTGTCGCTCTGCTTCTGTCTTTAGTCCAAGAAAACTATCCTGCTGCTCAAGCTCTCGAGATTGCAGCATCGGGGAAACTACACAGCGTCGTAGTCGACGACGAGAAGGTCGGCAAGGCGTTGCTTGACAGTAAACTCGAAAAGAAAGTTACTCTTATTCCTCTGAACAAGATTGAACCCCGTACTATTTCTGACCAAGTAAACCCTCCAAGCACTGCACTCCTCAATAATTAACCTGTGACAGAAACTCCGTGCGGCAAAAGGTATCGGCGGAGAGAAAGTTCGGACAGCCCTCTCGATGGTTCAATACGACGCAAATGTCCGGAAAGCCATCGAATACGTCTTCAGCGACACTCTCATCTGTGATGACCCCAAGATCGCAGAAAAGGTGACATTCGCCGATTCCGTTCGCGTCCGCTCGGTCACCATAGCTGGCGACTTGTACGATCCTTCAGGCTCGCTTACTGGCGGCGCGCCTCCTTCTTCGAGAGCAATCCTAGTCAATGTCCAAAAGCTATTAGAAGCTGGCGACAAGTTGGAGGCAGCGAAAAATGAGCTAAATGACCTCGAGGCTCAACTAAACAAGTCGCAGAAAGTCAGAGACGAATGGCGCGCACGTGTCAAGGAATTGGACATGAAGGAGCACGAACTCCGATTGTCTGAAGATCAAGCTCAAGGTAGTAATGCAACTCAGGTGTGTCCTTCAGACAACCCCACTCAAGTCTAAAGAGTTGTGTGCAGCTCGCAGCTCAAGTCGAGACGTTGAAGCAGACCATCAGCCAGCTCAAAGTTGCCATTAAAACTGCTCAAGATAAACAAGCCGAGGCTAAGGCGGAAACGACGAAACTGGAGCGCGATATGGACGAGTTCAAAAACAACAAGGACGGCAAGATCGATGAGCTCAAGGTGACGGGATTTCTTCTCCTTCTTCTCCACTAATTTGTTCCATGCAGGCAGACATTCAAAAACAAAAGGCAGCCTTGCAAAAGCACTCAGTCATCATGAAAACCCAACAAAAGGACCATCAAACCGCAGTGTTGGAGCTTCGTGAGTCTTTTCTTGTTGGTCATCGTGGTATACTGAGATATCAAAGAACAAATGGAGACTGATATTGAAACGGCGGATACGGCTGTGTCGGACGCTCAGAAAGGCGTGGAGAGCCTCCGGCAAGAGCTAGTAAAACTCGAGAAAGAGGTCATAAAGAAGCAGGTAAACCATGATTGTTGAATCCTGGAATCTGGACTGAAACGTTTGCAGACCGCGTATGACGACGCTAACAACAAGCTCCAAGAGGAACGCGCCACTCTGAAGAGATTCGATCATGAACTACAACAACTTGACAATCTAATCAAGCGAAAAAAGCAGGCCATCTCAGAAACTGACCTTGTTATAAGTCAACTCGGGATCGAAAAACAAAATCTAAAGAAAGAGGTCGAGTCGGCGACAAAGTACCTTGAAAGGCTAGAGAAAGAGCATGAGTGGATTGAACGAGAGAAAGAGTCAGTCGTCGCGGCTCATTTCAGTTGGCACTCTCTGATATGACGATTTTCAGCCTCTTCGGCCAGAGTGGTGGCCAGTATGACTTCTCAGAAAATGAAGGACCCGCGTTAAAGGCAAAGGTCGACGACCTTACTCAACAGCAGAAGGGCATGAAGAAGTCTATCAATCCAAAGGTTCTAGCTATGCTCGACAAGTTTGTTTCCCAGTCATCTGAATTTCTTCATTGGAGCTTATTTCGTTTCCAGCGTGGAAAAACGAGAGACGAGCACCAAGACAATGCTTGACACGGTCCTTGCAGACAGAACGAAGATCGAAAAGACTATCGAAGAACTCGACCGATACAAACGAGAAGCTCTCGAGTCGACATGGAAGAAAGTCGATGGGTATGTGTTTCATTTCGCTCTGCTCATCCAAACGAAGTCTGACGTCTATAAGTGACTTTGGGGGCATCTTTGCAGAGCTTCTCCCCGGAAACTATGCCAGGCTACAACCTCCAGAAGGACAAGACTTGATGGACGGTCTTGAGGTCAAAGTCAGACTGGGTCAAGTTTGGAAACAAAGCTTAACCGAGTTGAGTGGCGGCCAGCGGTATGTTTTCTCTATGCTCCTGTCAAAAGCTTGACAAACCAATACTAGTTCACTTATCGCTCTTTCACTTATCATGTCCCTTCTCCAATTCAAGCCTGCGCCGATGTACATCCTTGACGAAATTGATGCGGCGCTTGATTTGTCGCACACACAACATATCGGCCAACTGTTCCGGACACGTTTCAAGGGGTCGCAATTCATCGTCGTTTCTTTGAAGGAGGGACTGTTCACCAACGCTAACGTCCTTTTCAAGACTCGATTCCGAGATGGGACTTCAATTGTTGAGCGAACCGCTCAACGGTCGACCTCAGGTGGTGGAAGCGATGAGGCAGAGGGCTCTCGACGTAGGTAGCTCAACTTGACATTATACGTTACTGTAGCTTATTGTTGTACGCTTGTATTTTAACACTGATATACCACATTTCAAGCAACTCCTAGAATATCTAGCCAAGCAGAAACGGTCTTGATGTCTGCTGTGTCCACAATTAGGAGGGAGCTGCCAACACAGAAAGGAAGCGGAAACTCACGCCTCTCCCACCAGGTTTGTTTCCAACAACACTCAATGAGCATCCAGATTGCGTCCGAGGTCAACGCTTCTGGCCTCGAAGGTCGCTTGCCACCGACAACGCTCATCACAACGGCTGCAGACCAGACAGTTGACGAAAAGGGTGGAGAGCGGGAATACATCTTTGAGTCATTTTCAGTTTGTGCTATCAAGTCGGGGCAAACATGTTTTACCTCGTATGAGAGCATGCCTAGCGAGTACACATCACTTTCGGGTGTTACCGAGAGGGTACCTATGGGATCGGAATCGTTGCAGCGGTATTTTACGTCTGATTGCGATCTCGGTCGCAAGGAGGGATCCATAATTTCTGGCGCCAGCCATCGCGCATCATCTACTCCGTGGAATGTCCAATCAGGTGGTTGTGGAATGGAGGCGATTCCGATGTCAGAAAGAAGGGCGGAATATTGAGGTTTATGGCTCTTAACATTTGTGCGAGGTCGGAGCAAGATGGTAGACTACGCTAGTCATTAGGCCTGTTCCTTCATATTGAGAATATGTAGCATGCTTACCGCTTTGATATCACCATGTGCTATCGTCGGAGAGCTAGAATGTAGAAAACTAAGTCCTGAAGCGACATCTTGAAGCTGTATTGTTCTATCAAGTCCACAGCAAGGTAAACAAAACAAAACTCACAAGTGGCAGTACATCAACCAGGCGGTCTACATCCTTCTTAAGCACTTCTTTTGCTGTGGGATAACACGGAACCACGAGAGCGGGCAAGTTGGATATGTGGAGGGCAACACCAAGAACTGGTAGGATATTCGGGTGCCGCTCTAGAGCTCTCCAACGGTCGAGGTCGTTGATGAGGCGCTATGAAGATAAGTTAGGATTGTGGATTTTCATCACAGAGAGCTTCAACCTCCGTAAATAGTCGGCGCTCACTGTCAGAGACAGAAGAGCCATGCCAACGCTTGAGTATAATTTTCCCTTTGTGACCACGCAGAGAGGCAGTCGAGACAACGTGTGCATTTCCCGATGTTAAAGGTTCAACCTCCGAGAAAGCGTCCTCTGGGAGGGCGTATCTGGAACAGTGGGCGGCGAGATTGCGCGCCTTGAATGACTTGGATTAGATTTATTGCGTGATCCAGATTGGGACACGTACATCGTGTGGATGGTCCCAGGTCATTGAGCGCAAGATATGAAGGAAGTAAAACCAACAGCAGACAATAGTGGAGGCGAGAAAAATCTCATAGCCGTTCCACGGCATTATATGCTCTTGTCGCGTGTTGTGCTTCCCTTTTGGGACAACTTTTTTTAAAGTAGCCCAACAGCAGAACAGCAAATAGAGGCGATGACTGCAACTAGGCGCTTGACTCGATAATCGATGGCTGGGAGTGAAATCGGATCGTTGGTATCGATAGTGACTCGGCCAGATGATGAAAAAGAGTCAAAGCCCGACTACACTGTCGTGCTTCACAGTTCAGGCAGTCGGGGCGGCGTCCGGCGGTTAGCATGCCAATGGCGCCGGCGTTTTACTCTGCAAGAGTAAAAGGCTGTCGCTTGTGACACGGATAGCCTCGAGCTCAATATGAGCCGGAACTCGTATGAAAGCCAATGTCTGCAAACTGTCCATTGTGTCCGAGATGATGATGTGGAAACGAAATTTTTGCATCAGCACGTGAGTGATGCGGTTAGATAAGATATCGGATCAGTTTTCTCGGCCCCAGGCGGATCCCGCAGACATCGCTTGTCCTTGTTCTTGACCACGATGATGTGGAATACCAGCGGAGGCGGCCACACTTCTCCCCCTGTCGCAATGCCTGTTCCAGCTCATTCAGTTTTGACGCCTGGGTAAGCCGAATCCAGCAGCTTCCGTGCATCTAGCATGACCTGAGTCAATACTAGGCTTCCTGTACCGTATGTCTATCTTGGCATAAGCCATTGTTTTTACGCGTTCTACTCAGAGAACACCGAGGACGACCTCTCAGCATGGCCGGTCCACCGTCACCTGGATGGACTGCTGAACGAGTAACAACTCCAATGCCACTCCCTGCGCCCCCTATTTCATACGTGTGAGCTTCGCATCCCTTTTGTGTAGTATTGTCTCCTAATCCGTCTCCCTCAGCGATTCAGATGGAATGTAAATAAGCCTGGTCTTCCTTGAGCTCTGCTCATGCTTTGTTTCAGCTCATACGCACACACACCCGCCCCTCGCGGTTTTTTGTCTACAGGCAACAGCCATCACCACCATTCACGCTCACATAGTGCCACCCGACATGAAGAACATATTCACCACCAACAGCCTACCCCAGTTCTTGTTGTTCAACGGCCTCAGCGACAACCGCAGCCAATGCCTGTTCCTGCCCCCGCCAAGCCTCTTCGGGTCGTGCCTCCGATGCCCGCCATTCACCCCCAGTTCAAGTACTCCAAGTGTACTGGGCGACGCCGAGCCCTGTGTGTAAGTCGGCATTCACTATCTCCCTTGGCATCTCATTCCGCTCTTCGCGCAGATTGGGATCAACTACCGGGGTCAGCCTCATGAGCTTCGAGGCTGCATAAACGATGCCAAGCACGTCTACAGCTTTCTCGTTCGTGAGTAGTCTGTTGACGGAACGGCATCAGTTTGAACGTCAAAACCCAGGTCGGTTCGGGTACAAGCCAGAAGACATTGTCGTTCTCACCGATGACAGCCCTCACCAACGGGCTCAGCCAACTCGGCGGAACATGATCGATGCTATGCATTGGTTAGTCAAGGATGCTAGACCACACGACTCTCTCTTTTTTCACTGTAAGCGACTAACAATCCAATTTCTTATCTAATCATCGTAGATTCAGGACATGGAGGACAAACTCAGGATTTAGACGGAGACGAGGTCGATGGATTTGACGAAACGATTTACCCCTTGGACTATAAACGAGCTGGATTCATTGTTGATGACGTGCGTGTCCATTCCCATTGCCCCCTCGACCAGTATAACTGTGAACAGGAGATGCACGATATTATGGTCAAACCTCTCCCCAGTGGATGTCGCCTTACGGTATGCCTCTTAAGCTCTTCCATGCTCGATTCTCAGACTCTGCAGGCTGTTTTTGATGTGGGTCTCAACTTGGGACGGTGTTTTTCTGGCTGATCTCTACAGTCATGTCACTCCGGCACTGTGCTTGGTATGCACTCTTTACTGGTATTTGACGTACTAAACACCCTATAGATCTTCCTTATATCGTACGGAACAACCTAAGACCTTTCTTCTTCTGCTCATCTATAGTGCAGTATGACTCCCGTGGGCGACTTCGTGGGCGACAGATCTCTGATCGCGCTCGCGCTCGCAAAGCCACTCCCGCAGATGTAATCTCATGGTCAGGGTGTAAGGACGGACAAACAAGCGCAGACACCTTCATTGACGGGCAAGCCGTTGGCGCTGCTAGCCATGTAGGTTTTGATCCCGCTTTCCTTCGCTTTGTTTCCCACTTTCCCTGTGCTTCAGGCATTCATCAAAGCCATCGATATGCAGCCACACCAATCATATCAAGACTTGTTGCGCAACATTCGGTAAGTGTTATAGTGTGTGTGTAACAAGCACCTACTGAGTCCTCGACAGTAAGATTTTGCAACCCAAGTTTAGTCAAAAGCCACAACTTGGGAGCTCCCATCCAATCGTGCGTCAAACACATCGATTTTGTTGTGGTTCGAGCCTCATCCAATCCAAAGGACACTTCTTTGCGATTTATCATGTGATCGTCATTATTATTATTTATCTCATAGGATCTGTTGTAATTATTATTACTCTTACGCCTTGCTTAATTGTAAAACAACCAACTTTTTGTGCAAATGCGAATTAGTCCTAGCCGCATGAGGAGTGTGACAGGCGTAGTGTGACAGGCGTGACTAGTCCGATTCGGTCCTCGCAACATATGTAACTGTTTCCACGTATGGAAGAGCTAGACCAAACAATCGCCAACCTTAAACTAAGGAAACAGTCTCTATTGAAAGAGACCGAAGAGGTGGAAACCGCTTTGCGCATCGCACAAGCCGAACGCGGTCGGCTCCTCAATCTTCATGCTCATATCTCAAAACTACCCAATGAAATTCTAAGCGAAATCTTTCTTGTCTGTCAGCGGCAACATCCTACGTCAAAGCCGATCCAGACTCCGTTCGAGGTCCTCGCTTCTCATGTGTCGAGTTTGTGGCGAGAAATTGCCATTGGGACGCATCTTTTGTGGACCGGGATCTCTATTAAAGTGCGACCCAGGCAATTAATGGCTCGTACTATGCTCGAACGCAAGCTACAACGCGTCAGGGTGTACCTACTCAGGTCCGACACTTGTCTGTTTTCCGCCACCTTGGACATCGCGGGGCCCTTTCAAGTAGACCAGATTCTCAACCTCATGGCTGCACACGCCAACCGTTGGAGAAGACTCATAATCTCGATAAAGAACCCCCCAACTGCAACGCTCGAACTCTGGCAGGCGTTAAATTCTTTGAACGCGCCAGCGATGGAACATATTTCGATTTGGCTGGCGCCCTTACCACTCTCAGGCCATCATGATGTTCATTCAAACGACACAGAATGCACTGAGCACATACTCCGGAACGGAGTCCAAGTCCTCAAATTTGTCCGTTTGTCTGGCATGGCGCTGGCATGTCTCTTACCTCCTCTAACGTTTGTTAGAACTCTTCATCTGAGCAGCTACCCTCTCAGTTACGCGTCGTTTCGGAATATTCTGACCAAAATTACCGATCTAGTCAATCTTTCCCTGCACCGACTACATGTCATACACAGGCCAGCCGATTGCTCGCCCATTATTCTGCCGAACCTTCGTTCACTTCGTGTTTGCGGCACGCTTGAGGAGAATCACGTGAATGCAACCGCCAGCCGGCTGATTCGTCTACTCCGTGTCCCCGTGCTTGAAGAGCTGGTCCTCAAAGATTTGGATATATTTGACCAGCAAATTTTTCCCATGGTCCATACACTTTCCTTGCATGGTTGTCCGTTCTCCGCCGGAGAAATGTTTCGTATGCTGAGGGCTTTTCCCTCACTAACGACATTCCGTCTCGATGAGTCGCTACCAGACATCCTCGAGCTATTGAAAATGCCTGATGGATCGTCAACTCCAGAACAACCGCCGTGGCCCAAACTTCACACGCTCGCGGTCACGGACATGGAGCCTGACGATGTCTGGCTGCTTTGTGATATGCTCACTAATCGGGCTGAGCTCGGGGTATCGCTTGCACGAGTCTTCTTAGACAGACGGAGTCGCGTGGTGTTACGGAAGAAAGGAAAATTAGAGTGGTTACAAAAAGCAGTCCAAGTCGAGCGACACGATGGTGTATATTTATGGCCATCAGACCTTGGGTACGAGGACAACGATGAAGGGTTTTGGGAACCGTAGAGACCATAGATAACAAGTTGGTCGATTTCAGTGCGCACAGCCACCGCATCATATTACTCAGACAAGCCTGCTTATAATTCACTGTCGCTACCTCGGTGCTCCCCGCTTCAATCTACTTTCACTTCTACCCTGACCTTGTTTTATCCCTCAGACTACTGGCGACACCTCCCTCCGTGAGCTGTCATGACGCATCGACTCGTCAAACTCAGCGTCATTAACGACCTTGTGCGACACTTCGTTTGTCTGGCGCTTGGCTTATACCTTTTAGATATGTCCCAACTGTGCTGTTGGACAGCATGAGCTCTTCTCTGCCCTAACGTACTGCAAAGAAGAGCTTAAGCTACCGCTCTGTTTCCAAATCGAATTCCTTCCTTTCCGGCTTATTTCGGAGCAAACACTTCCTATCGACTATGAACCCAAGGTCTCCAAAAAGGAGTTCTTTTCTGGCATCCTCGGCGACGACAAGTACGACCAAATGTCCGATACCATTGACAAGTGGGCTGTGGAGAAGGGTGTTCCCTTGTGCGTGCCTCGCAATTCTTACCAATCTGCTATCTGACTCGGCCAGGTCATTCCGGGGAGTTGTTAGCCAGTCTACGCGCGCCCATCGACTATCGCGCAAAGCTTTCCTCATGGGCGGCATGAAGCTCCAGCTTCCTTTCCTCATATCCATCTTCCGCGTCCACCTGCAAGAAGCAAAGGACATTGCCGACATTGACGTTCTCTCTGACGTTGCTGCCGAGGTTGGAATATTCTCAAAGGCGGATGTGCGTGTCTCTTACCGTCAGTCCGAGTCCTATCCTCACCATTGACTAGGCCATTGCTTTCCTGCAATCAAATGAGCTCGAAGACGACGTAAACAGCATGTGCGAAACGGCCCGCGCCCAAGGCATCACTGGCGTCCCGCTTATCGTCGTAAGCAGGGCTTTATAACGTCCCTGGATAGTCACTAACCATTTCTAAGATTGACGGGAAGTGGGCAGTCAGTGGAGGCCAGTCTTCAGATGTCTTCGTCCAGGTAGTCTTTTCACCTTGGTGCTATCATACCTCCTCACGGGACCCATTTAGATCTTCAAAAAGCTGGCCGGCGTACATATGAACAATACTCTGCCCTCCTCATTTACGACGTTGAACCCTGCTGTCGCTGCCCCGCTCATTGCCTAATATGTCTGTCTTCTGTATCGTTCATCGTGTATCCATCTACTTTGCTTTGTAAGTATGACTCAGAGGGATTGACTGACCGCTATCGTGGCCGAGCTGCGACCAAGGATCTTATGTCGAAGATCATGACAAAGTGGTCCGGTTCCCTCAGTCGTGACGACACGATTTTGACTCTTTGTTCTCGCACAATAAAGGGCATACACACAGCGCCTTCGATGAAAGATGAGTGGCTCGTGCCAAGCCGGGTCGGAGACGGACTCCGAGTCCGGCGAACTGCGCCAATTTTTAGCTAGTTTCTACAAGGCGATGCATAATATGACCATGCATAATGGCAGTAGGAGCAATATTCCTCCACCACAGTTACATAACTCGTCGTCCATATTAACTAGAGGGTCAACCTAGATCTACACCATTGCAAAGTTGTCGGATTTGCATCCAAAAATAAATACTCCTCAGTTGACGGTCAAAATCGACGCGGATCACGTGGCTTGGCGTTGGTTAAATTAGGCGCTCTTGATTTCACGCCACCGCGACGCGTTGTCGGCGACGTCACCCCAAGCCCTTGCACTCCACTATGACAAACCTTAAGTAAAAGCCCATTGCCCGGAGGACCCATTTCGCCAACAACCACCACATCGAACTGAATGCAAGCCATGTCACGAGCCAGAGAAACGGAACATCACTCCAAAAGTCACTGGTGGTATGTCTGGATTCCGGTGCTCAGCGCCATAGTTTGGTTCGGTTTGTTATCGCCCTAAAAGTCGCGAGCGTGGCTTATTCGCTCGTAGGTACCATACTGGCGCTTCTGGCGACCTGGCTTGCGGAAGGTGGAACCCATCGTCAACGATATTGTGGGTTGTTTTGTTCCCTTGGTTCAGGCTCCCATTAATTCGGCCCTCGAAGCGTCGCAGGACCAACCCATAGCATATATCTCAGATGTCGGTGCCGACTTCCTGAAGCCTCTTTTCGTCGTTGGCTGCTCCATCACGGTTCGTTCGAAAAACGTCGAGTTGGTTTACTCACAAATTCTCGCAGGCGGTGACATTCTCCCTCTCCCTCGTCATCGAGCGATACCTGCGCCATTCTGGTCGTCTTGTACCGACAATGCGACGGCGGGAAACTGTCTTTAGTGTGCTCTCTGTCCTTGGTTCCATCCTGGGAGGCGCCGGGCTCATTCTGCTTTCGGTATTCGACACCAAACGCCATGTTAACCTCCATCGCGGGTTTCTTCTCCTCTTTATGCTCGGCGTTGCCCTCTCCGCACTATTCACAGTCATTGAGGTGCGTGCATTCACTATGGCTCGACCATCACGGTTGTTGACGAACATGTCAAGTATCGCTGGATCAGCAAAGACTACCACTTCATCCGTCAGCTCAGGCATGCCTACTTCGCCAAAGGGCTGATCGCCCTTGTGCTTGTTGTCCTCGCAGTGGCTTTCGGGGTGATGTTGTTCAAAGGGCTCAACGCTGGCGCCGTCCTTGAATGGGCAATCTCGTTCATGTTCACGTTCTACTTGCTCACCTTTTACTATGACCTTCGCCAAGCCAAAGGCGTGCAAAAGGGTCAGCTCAACGCACGAACTGTCCAGACTGAACGCCGAAGGGTTGGCGTTCGACAATGGAGACGATAAAGACGACCTAATGATGATAGTACGACCTACATCTCAAATAGATAATAATGTGTACATTAATGAGGAACCCTATGATTAAGCAACGCCCAAGTTCAATTCACGGTCAAGCTGACGCGCTAGCTCCAAATCACGTTCTTCCTGGGCCTTTCGGGTGTCCTCAACTTGTGCTTGCTTCAACGCAAACTCGTGATCGCGCTTCTCCTGAGCTCGGCGTCGAGCCGCCTCTTCTTCAACCTGCTTCAAGGCTTGGATCCGCGCGTTATCAGGATTTACGTGAGCCACAGGAGTGGGCTTGCTTTGTTGTTGCTGTTGTGATGGTGGCGGTGGTTGTTGTTGCGGAGGTTTAACCGGCAGAGAAGGTGCTGTAGGAGCTGGAGCTGGCTGGACCTGCGTTGCGTGCGAGGTAGTTCGTGGGCGATGATGTGTCTCGTTTTGGGCCCCTGGGGGAAGGGGTAGTGGTGTCTGGTATCGCTTCAGTAGATATGGGTCTGGTAAATCTTGACCATTAGTCGTAGGCGGGAAGGCACCTGGCGGCGCCGGCGTGAATGAAGGTGGCGGAGGTGACTGGAATGTGGGAGGTGGCTGATAAGGAGTTGGCGGGTATGATGAAGGCTGGGAAGGAGGTTGATATGCAGGTTGGGTTGGTGGTGGATAAGACGTCTGATGTTGTAAAGTTGGAGGTTGGCTCGGAGGCGGGTAAGGCGCCGGAGTCGATGGACCGCTTCCGTTGGGAGGAGACGGTGTGTAATTGACAGGAGGGCTCTGGGTCCCAGATAAACTGGGGACAGGGAAAGAAAAGTTGGATGGAGCCGTCTGGTTATCGTCGTTATTCCAGCCGAATGGCGTGTCTGCAGGGGGCACAACTGGTGTGTACGCTCTTGCGGGCAAATCGGAGTCATAACCTGATTCTGGGGCTGGCACTACACCACTATACTCGACTCTGGGTCCAGGAATTGGAGTCGGCGAAGACTTGGGATTACGAGGTCGAAGTATAGATGGCACGTGGGGAGTGAGACCTGGCGCAGCTCCTTCTTGGCCACCAGGAGACAATCCTAAAGTATTTCCTTGGACTGCTGGTCGAGGCCTTCCCGGTGTTAATGAACCAGGAACCGGAGGACTAGACTGTTGCTCTGGCACGGGTGGAAGGGGGGATTCTCGACCTAGCCGTGGTGGTGAGGGAGAAGGTTGTTTTGAAGAGGGTGGCGATTGGGACGGATGCCGTCGTTGATCCTGTTGTTGGTTAACGAGCGGCAGAATTTCAGATTGAGGTGGTCGAGATAGCCGTTCGGCCGGAGAAAGTTTCGACGGGCGACGTTGCAAGTTGCTGCTATTTGGTTTAGGGACAGAAAGTCCATGACCAGCTGGGGCGGGAGTGCTGGCAAAGAATGTCATTTCCAGGTAGACATCTCCACGCGTAACGCCGTTGGATTCAAGAGCAATCCAGTCTAAAAGCACTAATTTATCAGTAAATACAACTGAGACGTTAGTCAACACGCACCGTCAAATTCGCCAGTCCTCAGTGTCTCGCTGATGTCTAGAGTGCCAGCTCCAATGTTGGTCTCCTTTCTCGGTTCTTTGGCCCAGCAAGAAACCTCCAGTTTGCGATACTTTTCATGGGTATCTTTAAAGATCGGAACGCGGATCTCCTCGTCCCAGACTGGGTGCTGGCCTCCTTTAACCTCGACGTGAGTCTGCTTCTTGTCGCCTAGATGCTGCATAAGTTTTCGCTCTCGTCAAAAAAAGCGTTGACCATTCAGGTTAACTTGCGCAAAGACATCTTGTTTCCAGAAATATTTGTCGTTGAGATTTCTCGCTTTGAGCACGACAATGACTGCCCAATGTTAGATCGGTCTTGCTAGAACAAGGTCAAGAATCACCAAGAGTCCCAATCTCTTCCTTGGACATGGGTGGGGGGATGGAGGAGAAATGGAAAGTGTCAGAAGCAGTATTAAATGCCATCAGCGCCGGCAGCCACGGCATTTTCTTGGCATTCAACAGCGATGAGTGCAGTGTTCTTGCAGTGTTCACAACGACCTCTTTGGCTGTAGCTGTCCGGGAGTATCATTGAAACCTGGCTTTCCGCAGCCTCATTTAACAACTGACGACCAAAAGCCGGTATACTTAGTGGGTAATATTTCGAGTCCCTTAAACAAATCTACAGCAATAAAGATGATTCTCCTACTTCTATGCGCGCTCTCCAAAAGCAGTTCAGAGCCATTTCTCGAAGAGTTGGCTCAACGGCCATGGCCAATATCTCGGCTTGATTGTGGGCTTGACTGCGGCTTCCTCGAGATTTGCGATGACCTCCAGGCTGTTGTTGGCTGCGGTGTCACCACCAAACTGTAACATGTTGGGAATGGGACTAAAGACCATCTATAGGAAACCCTTCAGTCCGAATGACAACGTTCATTCACTAGCTCATACCTTGTCGTGCACTGACTGCAAGCGCATGCGAAGGAGGCACTTGCCGGCCACTGTCTCAGTCTCCATCCACGCTTTCCATAGGCCGTGGTCTCTCGGGACGGTCCTTCGTAAGTGGTTCCGTAATATCTCCCACCCAACACCGTTGTAATGCAATCCCAAGAGGCGAATCAAACGTTGGAGATGGTTGTGGACGAAAGTGTGGTATAACTTGGGGTACGTCTCCTCAAGAGTTTGCGTAACGACGCAATGACCAGGGAGGAACTCGAAGTTGGTTCCCAGCGATGCGTTCATTGTTGGAGGGTGAATTCGTAGTCCCCCTAGATCGCGAACGACAAAACCAAGGAGCTCGCCTGTCGTCGTGTTGAAGCGCAGTTGGCAATTCTGTGCGTGGGCCTCAAAGACTACGCCATTGTGTAGTGTCGGCGGGAGCAATGCATCACAGGCCAGACGGATGTAGCTAGGGATCAACAGGGTAAGAAACAATAAACTTGTAAAAGTAACACTCACTTGTCCAAGAATTGTTGACGCTTTGATTCGGTGTTGAGACCAAATACATGTTCTACGGCGGAAACGCCCGCTGGAGCACCGTGGTGACCGGATTCCAGCAATGCGGCAACGACAGCGATGCTTTCCCCCTCTTTCGGCTGATACTCTTCCCGAAAAATGGCCGTGAAGTGTTTCCGTGTCGCGTTGTCTACCCCGGCATACACGGCACTCGCGGGCTCTGGTTCGACAGAGAAAATTCGAGGATTGACCTTGAGTTTAGGCACGATGTCGTGGGAGAAGCGTGGGCCAAAGTCGGCAGTCCAATGGGAGATGGTGCGGAGCGCGGAGGATATTTTCATGTTGACAGAAAGTTTGAGAGCCATGTTGTTCATGGAGGGGACCACAACTGTCCTAATCGGTGCGTTAGTTTGATATCAGATAAGATGAACAAGGATTACCTGATGCTAGATTGAGCGAGGGCGTCAATTGTGGGCTCTAAAATTTCGACGTCTCCAAATTTCTCGCGGATTGTCGGCAACTGCATTTCGTGGACGGGCATGAAGATGGTGCCAGGGACATCTTCGGGAATGCTGGTACCCGATTGTCGTGCTGCTTGTGTGACAAGTTGGCGGGTCACGGTCGCGAAGGAACCCCGTATGTCAAGGCTTTCACTGGGGACCCGTGTAAAATGGATCTTGGGGCGATACCAGTCGTAGTCATTCGGAGCGCTGACACACATCCTCGCTCGGTACATTGGGTGGGTTGGATGGCCAGCGACGAGACTCTGCTCCCACTCGATCGGCGCTGAGGTGAGTGACGCAATCTGTGGTGGATTTTCGTATGAGAGACCTGTTGGAGAATTAAAGAGAGAACGCAGCCACCAAGGTGAGTGACGCACGTTGCCAATACATCGAGCTTCGAAGCTCATCCGATATCGCAGTACTGAGCGAGTCAGGCAGAAGCATGTCTTTGACGAACTTGTCCCATAACTCGATCGGGTCAGTGCACTTTCTGAGTGATATCGATTGGCCCAGCTCCCATGGCGGGGGCGTTAGGCTCGAGAGCAGAGTCTCGCTCAATTCGTCCTGGGTGATTGTCGTATCAGCGCTGATTGGTCTGAATAGGAAGACATGCACAAACCCGGGCCGGATCGCCAGAAGTGTCTACGAGAACGTAGACCTCGGGTAGCATGTCGAGTGGGTCAACAAGTCCAACTGGGCGGCCATGCTTTGTTGGGGTAGATGGGCTGGCCTTGAATACTGGTGCATGGTGGAGGGGAACAATGGCAAATATGTCGTCGGGTCGGAGGGCACGAGTGATGTTAGGTTGCTCCGAGATCACGCTCGTGGTGGTGGCTAGAATGACCAGGATGCCAGAGTATGGCATGGCGCTTGACTTTGGGGTCTCGATATAGAAGGCACAAAGGAGGCTTTCGGTGACGAGGCAGGCGATAAGCCTAGAGATGACGGCAAACCCAGCGTGCTCGTTTGGGGGAAGGCGGTATCCTGTGGACATTTTTTTGAGTTGCGTACTAGTAGTGGCTTACTTTGGTTTCTGGCACTTTTTAAAGTCGGCTCTGGTGCCAATCATGTGTCATGGTGAGAGAAATAGCTCCGGATTAAAAACTCCAAAACAAAATTCAACTGTGAGAACGTAAAGCAGTAATCGAGGAGGTGTGCTTGAGTTGATTGGGCCGATGTCCGTTCGCCAAGTGGTAGGATGGTGTTTACGAGAGAACCAATGGGTGGGGACCCGGTGAATGCCTCCACGAGGAGTGAGACGGTGCCAAGAGTAAGGAGAGTTGAGGCACTTGGTTCGTTTGGTATTCGAGCCGGATTTTCAGGCGAGCCGGAGATGAGGAGACACAGAGCCAGTATCTGACCGTGTGATTCGACCCCAATGCGGCAAACAGTGGGTTACAAAGATCGCAGCGTGGGTTCAGGCCAGGCTGCGCTCCGACTCGGAGTCGTTTAGTTGACGGTTAGTCGGAGAGGATGCAAATTTGACGCATGATGCGAAGATTTAGCGTTGAATAGAAGTTGCTGGACAACAGAAAAAAATTGAAGAGTACCTTCGAGGTGGCTTCTCATCTTATCAGATCATCGTCGTATCAGATAAAAAATCAGGTTGATGTTTATTCATTTAGGTAAGCGGGGAATTCTAATTTGCCTCAATGCCCTCGTATAAAATAAGGTTGGGAAAAGGAGCATGAAGATGCTGAGAGCATTGATAAGCCAAAATAAAAGGGGGCGGAGCAAAGACACTCACGAAACGGTACATTCCTTGAAATCTCATTCGCATGAAACATTTTCCTGGGAAGGTTTTGCGATCGGGTGAAAGCCATGACGCGTAAAGTGCGTGCTCTTCGGGAATTGACGCCCGGAGATGTTTTCGGACGATCGCCCACCCCTTGCCGTTGTAGTGCAACCCGAGAACCCGGATGAGTTGTTGGAGATGGTTGTGAATCACCGTGTGGTACATCCGCGCATAGACGTCGTCAAGGTCTTCCGCAATAATCTTTGATGGTGTTTTATCAGATAACAGGGATCACCGGAGGGGGAAAAAAAGATGGAATCGTACGCTGTGGCCTTCGAGGAAGTCGAGCTCCACACCGGTCGAGGCCTTAAGCGACGCACGGTGCACCCGCAGTCCCCCAAAATCACGAATGATGAACCCTTTGAGATTCTTGGTTTGCAAGTCGAACCGAGCCACACAATTCTGGGGGTGACATTCGAACGCGACGCCATTGTGGAGTACTGGGGGCAGAAACGCGTCGAAGAATAACTTGACAAACCTAACATCGTCAGCTAGAGTGAGTGAGTGAATAGAAAAAACAACACGTACTTGTCGAGCCAGTCGACACGTTTTGCTTCCGTGTCTAGTCCAAACACACGGATAACTGTATATTCATGACCACCTTCGCCAGCATGCCCTTTCTCAACGAGGGAAGTACAAACAATAAGTCGTTCCCCGTGCTCTTCGCTCGTATTTTCGTGAGCTTCGCGGACAATTGCAGCGCAGTGCTTGGCGACGTCAGGGTTGGGATGAGCATGGACCACACTGGCGAGTTCTCTAGCGACAGTGACAATGTTTCGATCCATAGTCAACGCAGGAACAACTTGAGCAGAGAAGCGCGGCCCGAGATACGCAGAAGGAGGAGAAATAGTGCGAACTGCTGAAGTTAACTTGATTCCGACACCCAACTTGAGCGACAATTCGTGATATGCGTTTGGAACAACAACAGACCTACACAAAGGTTAACAAGAAGCTCCATAAGCAACACGGTAGAAGCTGTGGCAACTCACCGAATACTCTGCTGACCGAGGATAGGAAGACAAAACTCAGGCCCAATAATGATAGCTTCGGGGAATTTGGCTTCGATGTGCGCGATTTGCAGTTCATGAACAGGTACGATAACGAAGTCTTCGGGAACAACGAGCTCTTTCCCGGCCGTTGCAGTTGCAGCCTCTCGTAATGGTGTAGTAAGTCTCTCGAAGTCGTACGTGATTTTCAGGCTTTCCCGTGGAAAGGCGACGAAGCGCAATGTAGTGTGGTAGAGGTCATAACTGCCAGGAATAATGTCCTGAATAGGTGGGAGAAGCATGCGCGTTTTGTGCATCTTGACTAGTATTAAACAGCGAAATAGAAAAACGGGAGCCACGTACGGGATGAGTAGGATGACCCTCGACAATAGACTGCTCCCACACGATACTAGGATCCGAGAATTTAGGTGTCGACGGAGGGTTCTCGAAGGAATGCTCTACGCCGCGTCAATGACATTTCTGGCCGCAAGTGAATGATTATACGAACGTTGCCACAATACTGAAGCCTCGAATTCTGCTTTGATGTCTTCAATTACGTCGCCCTGAAGCTTGATACTGCGGCCAAATGCCTCCCAAAGAAGCAAAGGGCTGTGAATAGGGGCGAGAGTGGTTTCGCCCGCGATATTCCATCCCGGCGCACCGAGCGATTTTACAATAGAAGCTGTGAGTCCCAAATACTGAGGGGATGGTTTGGAAACTTGAGATGACCAAAAACGGCAAGTGTGACACTCACCTCATTCAGCACACCCGCCTCGTTGACGAACCCGAAAACCAAAGGCAGCATGTCCATCGGGTCAAGGAGGCCAATTTCTTTTCCTCTAGGATCGGTGCCATCGTGTTTAAAGACAGGAGTATGACGAAGCGGAATAATTGCCAGGATGTTGTTCACATTGTAAGGGTCGTCAACTTGCTGAGGTGAACGCGCTGAGATGTCACCTAGCAAACAGACTGCGATTCCAGTCGCGCCCAGGGGGGCGTATGTCAGTTCCACATAGATTGCGCGGACTAGCGACTCGGTGACGAGGCAGGAGAGAAGACGAGCAGCAGTGCCAAAGGCAGCACGCTGAGCAGGAGGGAGGTCAGGGAACTCGATCGTGTTGGATGGCATGGTGAGTTGCTCAAACCCCCAACATAATGAAGAGACAGCTTAAAGACTCGCGCGAATAGGCAAATCGGGCTAGCAAAACTGGCACGAACCGGGTCGTTTGTTTTTTGCGGCACTTCGACCCGGGTTCTCACCAAGTTCTCACACGCCTCGATCACGTGTAATCCCTTGGGTACCATTATGGCATTCTGGATTTTAAAAAATTATCTGGTATGTTTGAACAAAAACCGCGTGCTACCGGAGCTCCTGCAACAACGACGTAAATGTCTTCTGAAACTCCCTCCAACCCCAACACCAGCCCTGGTGCTAGCGACGATACTCTACCCAAACCTCAGCAGAATAAGCCAGCAGGAGCGCTCGACCTTGACACCGGAGACGAGCTCGTTCGATATCGAAAGCGATGGTGGCAGTTGTGGTATGCTTCCATCCGCGCAAGTCCTCTCCAGAACTGACGTAATCGCAGGATACCTGCAGGGGTTCCTCCTCCACCTCCCGAGTCGCTCGATGATGCCAAAGTCAGTGTTCTGAGCTCCCTAACAACTTTTATGACAAATCACAGACCATACCAATGGTCACTGCATCTTGGCTCTCCAGACTAACGTATTCTTGGATTTCTCCAATCATGGTCAGTAAGAATTCACGTATTTGCTTGCCTCTCGCTGACCACCCGAGTGAATAGGTGCTCGGATTTCAACGGACTTTACAAGCCACGGACTTGTGGAGAGTTGCAAAGGAGCAGGAAGCTGGCTTCGTTTCGGAAAAGCTAGACGCCGCTTGGGATCGTAGAGCCAAGGCCGCCGACAATTGGAATCAAGGACTCCTCAATGGCCAGAGTAATCCTTCGCTGCTGAGGCGTGGGGTTTGGATGATGAAATCTCTTGGGAGAGGCCGCCAATTTCGAGAACATCAAACCTTGTTGGAGAGGCAATGGCGTGCGAAGGACGGACGCAGAGAGGCCAGTCTTGCGTGGGCGTTGAATGACGTTTTGGGGCACATGTTTTGGTATGGAGGTGCTTCAAAGGTGCTTTCCACCACCAGCGACATTTTGATGAGAGATTAAACGCTCCCACAGGTTCTTGGAGACATGGGGCAGTTAATGGGGCCTATTCTCATCAAGGTATGTGATGTTCAAACGCGGTACTCTCGACCCATGTCAAACAGGCTATCATTAACTTTGCAAAAGAGCGCGCCGAAAAAGGTGCAGATGACGCGCAACGGCCCGCAATAGGACGAGGGATTGGCATGGCGGTAGGGCTCATTGGAGTTGTGATAAGCACCTCCATCTTCCAACATCAGGTGTGTGTGTGACCCAACGCGTTTTGGCTTGATCCCACGATCTCACTAATGGCCACAGTTCTTTTGGAGGTCTATGACGACAGGCGTCCTTGCACGGGCGGCTCTAACAGCCTCGATGTACAAACGAGGAGTACGACTCACGGGGAAATCGCGGGTTTCCCTGACCAATGCCAAAATTCTGAACCATCTCTCAACCGACGTCTGTGCTCTCACACCATAGTCTTGCGACCCCTGATCTCCGCATGCAGCTCGGTCGTGTCGATGCGTGTGCCCAATGGTTTGTGAGTGGATCGCTTGTCTGTGAAAAATCGCTCATAATACTCCATGCAGCATGCAGGTAGGTTGTCTAACATATGCATTGCTATCCACGTTGACTTTGGTTGATCCCAAAGCATGGACTGCCCCAATTCAAGGTAGATGTGTCTGGAGCTCAAGTTCACTACCAGACTGACTCTGCTGACAGTCATTGCTTGTCTGATTATTTTGCTGACCATGGTGTGTTGGCGACTGTCTTTCATTCCTGTGGAATTTCAATGTTCACGTCAGCTGGGACCGTCTGCTTTGGCGGGATTTTCGCTTTTTGTGGTCATAATTCCCATCATGGAACGAGTAATGGCAGGACAATATAAGACTCGGCGAGCATCGATGAAGTTCACAGATCATCGTGCAAAAGTGTTGCTCGAGGTTTTAAGCATGTCGAATTCTCATCCGATCCTGCTGTTCTGACCTGACGCAGGCTCTATGCGGGTCGTCAAATACTTTTGTTACGAGTTGCCGTTTTTAAAGAGTTTGTGATTTCTTGACAATCGCACCTTGACTAAGCTTGCCACAGAAATATATGACATCCGCGCACAGGAAATTCATGGCGTACGCAAGATACAACACCTTCGTTCCGCTAGGTCTGTAACTGTCTTGCTCTTGTTTTGTTGGCGATTGGTTGATCGTGCATAGTATTGCGCTAGCATTCTCGCTTCCTGTTCTTGCAGCCACCCTTTCGTTCGTCACCTACACTCGTCTCACGGCCGGATTCGACATCGCTATCATTTTCGCTTCATTTAGTCTTTTCCAACTTCTCCGACAACCCATGATGTTCCTACCTCGAGCCCTTTCCAACATCGCAGACGCCAGGAACGCGCTAAATCGCCTTACCCGCGTTTTTCAAGCCGAAACTTTCGATAACGACAAAGCAGCTTTTATCGTTAATCCCAACCAAGACCTTGCTCTAAGAATCCAGGATGCATGCTTCAAATGGGAGTCTCCGTTGAAAGAAGAAGATAACACCAATACGAAGGGCGGCAAAGAACCAGAAAAGTTCAAGACCGCTGAACTCGAGGACCAAGAACCTTTCGCCATCCAGAATGTGACCATGCGAATCCCACGAGGAACTCTTTCTGGTGTAGTGGGACGCGTTGGCTCAGGCAAGTCAAGTTTGATTCAAGGCTTAATCGGCGAGATGCGTCATACTGGAGGAGAATTTTCCTTCGGCGGACGGGTTGCATACTCGCCACAGACAGCGTGGATCCAAAACGCGACTTTGGTGTGTTGGACAACAAGTGCAATTATTGTCATCTGATCTGGATCAAACAGCGCGACAATGTACTGTTTGGTCAACCGTTCGACTCCGACAAGTATTGGCGCGTTATGGATGTTGCGTGCCTGTTGCCAGACCTGAAGTTATTGCCGGATTCGGACCTGACAGAGGTGCTTCCAGTTGCATATGAATCAATGAGATCTAATGTGTCAACAGATCGGCGAGAAAGGCATCAACCTTAGTGGTGGACAAAAGCAACGCGTCAGTTCTGCTTCTTGATTACTTCTTGATTAATATTGAATAGGTCAACATCGCGCGAGCCTTGTACTTTGACGCAGACATCATTATCTTCGACGACCCTCTTTCTGCTGGTCAGTCGCAGTTCTCTTCCAATTGTCATTGTTAAGCTACTCATCAGTCGACGCAAACGTCGGAAAACTCTTGTTCCGGAACGCGATACTAGGCCTCGTTCAACAGGGCAAGACTGTCATTCTTGTCACCCATGCACTCCACTTTCTCTCGCAGTGTGACTACATATATACGCTCGAGGCAGGCTCTATTTCCGAACACGGGACTTACCAAGAACTTATCACTCGCAATGGCGAATTTGCGCGCCTCGACGCGGAGTTCGGGGGTGAGCTTGTGGAGCAGTCGAAAGAGGATCTAGTCGTGCCACAGGCGACCGTCGAAGAAATGATTCAAAAGTCTGAGCATCTATCAGGAACTGGGAAAAACCAAGGGAAACTAATGTCGAAAGAGCGGCGGACCACTGGGTCTGTTTCCTGGGGAGGTGCGCATTTGACTTGTCTTTTGTCACTCCTTTTGACCACCATCCCGTAGTTTATGCTACCTATGTCAAAGCGGGGCGAGGCTTTGTTAGTCTTCCCCTCGTGGCAGTTGCTGTGCTAGGAATGCAAGCGTGTCAAGTCTTGAACGCTTATACGTTGGTTTGGTGGCAAGCTAAGTCAGCCCCCCAATGACATCACCCTCTCCCTCTCTAACTCTCGTCAGCACGTTCCACCGTTCGTTCTCGTATTATCAACTACAATATAGCTTGCTTGGTGTATCCCAAGCTATATTCACGTTCTTCATGTGAGTCTACTTCTGGTAAATAATGTCATGCTCAACTTGTTCACAGGGGTATTGCCGTCGACTTTTTGTCCATGACTGCAGCGAAAAACCTGCACCACGATTCTGTCCGCAACATATTGTTCGCACCCATGTCCTACTTCGGTATGCTGCCTGCCTTGTCACGTTATTGTCACTAAGCCTCTGACGATAGACACCATCGTGCGCCACCTCTTTGTGAACGATCGAGTCGTCTGATTTCTCCTAGCCGATGGGTCGACTAATCAGTGTTTTTGGGAGGGACATTGACAGTAAGCCGCTTAGTGCATTCTTTGACGAAATTGACATGGAAAACTTAGCTATTGATAACCAACTGTCCAGTAATTTTCTCCTTCTGAAATTATTGGGTCATCGCTGAACTTTTTTTCGTAGTTTCAGTGCGCATGTGTGAGCAACTTCGAATGCAGCGGTATTCTATCTTACCTAATAATCCAGCCGTGTTGGTTATCTCTAATCTAGCCAGCGCCATTCTCCTGATATCTGTCCTCGAGCACTACTTCAGTCAGTTTTCTTTTCCAGTTGGACGTTGCGTTGTTTTACCATGGCATAGTCATCGCGGCTGTCATTATCAGCCTTGGCTATAGCTATTTTGCTTCATTTTACCGCGCCAGTGCTCGCGAGCTCAAGGTGAGCAATCATGCTTCATGTGTGGATGTTCTCTAATAAGAAAATCAGCGCATTGGTATGCCAGTGATCACCTATCAAATTATGCTGATCCGATCATCAGATGCGATGCTGCGTTCCGTCCTTTACGCTCACATGTCCGAATCGCTCACAGGTAAGTGGACCGCAAGAATACCTGACGAGTTATCTTATCACTGCTGTAAGGACTCCCAACAATCCGAAGCTATGGAGAAATTCCACGCTTCATTGAGCAGAATAAGTATTACATTGATCTTCAGAATCGAGCTCTATTTTTAGCCGTGACAAACCAACGGTGCGAGAAGAATATCTGTTTTTGTGCTCATTGAAGTGTATCCAGATGGTTAGCAATAAGACTGGATGTCTGCGGCGCCCTTATGGTTTTCATCGTTGCTGTCTTTGCTGTGGTCGGAGTCTCTGAAATTACCCCCGCTCAAATTGGACTTGTTCTAACATACACAAGTCTGTGTTTTGTGTCACGTCCTTATCCATGACTTATCGTTCAACCAGCACAATTGACCCAACTCTGTGCAATGGTGACACGGCAGACTGCGGAGTTAGAGGTCAGTCCGCCCCGCTATTAATGCTGGCGAGCCATAACCATAACGCGCATAGAACTATATGAACTCAGTTGAACGAGGTATGGTCACTTCCCTCCCATCACCGTTCCTGATGATATTTCCAGTTGCACATTATAGCCGAAAAGATTTGATCCCACAAGAAGCGTCCTATGAAAGTGACCAAGAGCATAAACCATCCCCAGAATGGCCCTCGCACGGTGCAATCCAGTTCAAAAACGTCGAAATGAGCTATCGACAAGGTCTGCCCAAGGTTTTACATGGTATTTCAATGAACATCCATGCTGGTGAAAAAATCGGTGTTGTTGGAAGGTCTGTAACACAGCATTACTTGCGCATGTTCACCGATAAACCGTAGAACTGGTGCTGGAAAGTCTTCGTTGGCATTGACATTGCTGAGAATAGTCGAGTTCGAGGGTCAGATACTAGTCGATGAGTGCGTCGTCCTTTTATGATATGCCTCCAGGCCCTGACTTTCTGTAGTGTTGACATCAGCAAGATCGGTCTCAAAGACCTGCGTGCTAATATCTCGATTATTCCACAAGATGTCAGTCGCCTAGCATCCAGTCTTTCTTGGTCTTTGATGTCGACCACTAGCCCACTTTATTCAGTGGCACTATTCGCTCGGTGTTGGATCCCTTTAGTCGCTGTGAAGATGCACGGTTATGGGATGCCCTACGTCGATCATACCTTGTCGACTCTGGCACAAACACTCCCATTTCTGCACTGGACTTGCCAGATGGGCAGCAACCCCGACATCACATTGACCTAGACACCGTCATTGAAATCGACGGCGCCAACCTCAGTGTGGGGGAACGCAGTTTACTTAGTTTGGCTCGCGCACTTGTAAGTTCAAGCCCGTCTCTTTGTCGATGGATTTTGACATGCATGGTTCAGGTCAAAGACTCGAAAGTTGTCATTCTTGATGAGGCCACGTACATCTAATAGCTTCTCATCCATCATGTGCTAAATTTCTTTAGGGCTTCTGTGGACTTGGTAACAGACCACAAGATCCAACAGACAATCCAAACTCAGTTTCGCAACAAAACGTTGTTGTGTATCGCTCGTGAGTCATCATATTCGTTGTTCATTGGTTGGTTCGCCAACCAGTATTCAGACCGCCTCCGAACCATCATTTCGTACGATAGAATTCTCGGTAAGGTACCATATCCATGCGAAAGCTCAAGGCTTACCCAACACGCAGTGCTGGATGCTGGGAATATCGCTGTAGGAGCATTCACTCAGACCATGAAATAGTACTCACTTTCAGCAGGAATTTGATACGCCACTGAACCTCTTCCACAAGCCAGAGGGCGTCTTCCGTGGACTTTGCGATGGATCTAACATAACGTCTGCTGACATTGAAAAGGCATTGTTGTATGATCGAGATGTTAACAACGACACGTGATCGTGTCCAGTGATTATATCGTCTCGTGCGTGTGCGTGTGGGCAAACTTGCAGATAGTGGAGGGCAAACCTTTTATCGACTCACTTGCGTAATTTTTACCATGGGGTTTGTCGATCAAGAAATCTTGATACGATCAGTTAACCTTTGACCATGTCACTCATCCGTGTTGCTGTCCTTACAGGTTTGCTCAGACGCCTCGGCATACTGAGTAATTGAGGCTGCTCCAGTCAGCGATACTGCCTCCGCAAACCATGCGGCAGACAAATCTGGGCCTGCTATACGCGCAGTCCTCGACAGTCACGAAGGGTTCGTTTGCAAAACACACTCCATCGTGGCGGATGATTTCGATGCTATCCGATCAACTGTTTCCAAGTGGTGTGCAGGCGGAGAGGTGGATTGGATTGTCACTACTGGCGGTACTGGCTTTGGCATTCGTGATCAAACCCCAGAGGTGTGGCTTTTCTCGACTGCTTCTGTACTCAAATTCTGCAGGCTATCACACCTCTCATAGAGCGACATGCGCCGGGCCTTGTACATCTCATGTTAAGCTCCTCTCTTCAGCACACTCCTCTAGCTGCCCTCTCTCGTCCTGTTGCTGGAACTATCCAGCAGACGCTTGTTGTTACTCTTCCCGGTAGCGTCAAGGCTGTCAAGGAGAATCTCCAGGCATTGCTTGCTGGGGGAGTAGTCAATCACGCTGTTGAGCTCATTCGCGGCGGGTCAGGCAGGCAGGTTCACGCAACTCTAGTGGAGCCTTCAAACCATGCCCACCACCACCACCACCATGATCACGATCATCATAGCATCCCCAGACCTCGGACACTAGCTCACGATCCTTCTGCGGGAGGTATGAAGTCCAGTAAATGTTTATGCAATAACTCAATAGTATCAGTATCGGCGCGGCACCGTATTTCTCCCTACCCTCTCATGTCTCTCGAGGATGCTCTTAGAATCATTCAGGACAAACTAAGTCCATTGAAAACCGTTCAAAAACCAGTCTGTTCATCTTGAACATTGGAATCACTCGTTTGATGCTTCACTAGGTTACACAAGATCTCCGTGGTCACGTCCTGGCAGAAAATATTCATGCCCCTCAAGATGTGCCGTCGACACCAACGACAAGTGTCGATGGATATGCCCTTCGGTGTAGGAACTTCAGCTTCCACTCGACAAAATCGTCTCATGACAATCTTAGCCACTGATTCCCCAGGTGTCTACCGGGTCTTGGTTTCTTCCACTCACAATATTGTCAGCAATCTCCCTGCCAACTCGATATATCGCGTTAACACTGGTGGTCCCTTGCCAACCGCGACAGATGCTGTCATCATGGTCGAGGATACGCGTTTAGTGTCTGCCCTTGATGGAGAAGAACAAGAAGTTGAATGTCTCGTTCAAGTGCCCAAAGGCGAGAATGTCCGAGCCCCAGGGTCAGATGTTCGCAAGGGCGACCTAGTGATGCAAAAGGGCGACTTGATTTCCAGCGGTGGCGGCGAGATAGGGACGCTAACCTTCGTTGGTCGGGAAGAGGTGGAGGTCTACCGGCGACCGATTGTAGCCATCCTCAGCACAGGAAATGAGCTTCTCGATCTGCAGAACCCACTTTCGCTCTCGAATAAGGATTGGGGCGGTATCTGGGACACAAATCGACCGTCCCTACAAGCTGCTCTCGAGGGCTTGGGCTACGATGTTATTGACCTCGGTATTGTCCCAGACGAGTTGGGTTATTCCTATATATTTCTCGCCGATACTGACTAATGACAGTGTTGCATCTCATGTCTCAGCTCTTCGTCGCGGACTGGACTCAGCGGACATCATCATTTCCACGGGCGGGACTTCGATGGGCCCTTCCGACTTGCTGAAGCCCGTATTGGAGCAGCACTTTAACGGGACTATACACTTTGGCCGAGTGACCATCAAGCCCGGTAAACCGACCACTTTCGCAAGTGTTGTCTGCGATGATGGTACAAGTAAACCAGTGTTTGCTCTACCCGGCAATCCCGCTAGCGCACTTGTGACATTTTACGTCTTCGTCGTCCCAGCCCTGAGGAGGTTGGGAGGGTGGCCAGTTTCCCGTTGCCAATTTCCTCGGGTTGGAGTAAGCCTCGCAAGTCCTATGACGCTTGACTTCCGAACGGAATTTCATCGAGTTGTCATCAGAGCCAAGGCCGACGGGTCTCTTACTGCGGAAAGCACAGGTGGACAACGATCCAGTCGTGTTGCGAGCCTTGCAGGCGCCAATGGTTTCGTTATTTTACCGATGCGGACGGAGGGAAAAAGTGTTCTGGATGTGGGTCAGCGAGCGGAGGCTCTGGTGATCGGGGAGATTTTGATGAGCTGATGTTCGAGGAACGTGTGATGTGGCTGTGACGTCACGGTACTTAACTTGGAATCGTTTGACGCGCTGCCTAGTCTTGAGTCTTGACGACTTTCATGTCTGCTGCTTGGAACTGCACTCCAGGGACACGAAATCACCAACTTGTAACTTCCAATGACCCTCCATCAGACTCTGAGGTCTCCGATTTCCTCGACATCTCAGCCGACATCGCTGCACGTATCAAGGCAGTGGATGAAGAGATCCATGCACTCCGAAGCCGTTTGAAGGTTTTTGAACAGGAGCAGTCTCTCCTGTATGACCGTCGCATGAAGGCACAGCGTGTTCTTGCTCCAATACGACGACTGCCGCCAGAATTACTCGCAGAAATATTTTCTATGACAATGCCGCCCGTATATATTCGCTCTGGATATATACCTGTGGGCTCTAATCTGAGCCCCTGGTCTCTTATGCATGTCTGCCGCCATTGGAGAGCAGTCGCTTCATCGACGCCCTCGCTCTGGGAGGTCATTGCAATGCTCTATGACAAGTCTGAAAACGAGCCTGTATATCCTCTCCGCCTGCTAGAGGCCCATCTCCAACTGGCTCGGTCACTTAGAATCGACTTTTGGGCACATGACAACGAAGAATCTGAACGACAGAAGAATGCATTCATACTACTCGCCAAACACTCTGAAAAATGGGTAGAACTCAACATTGGGATGAAGGCTGGACTCTATCCGATACTTAACGGCCTTTGTGGGCGACTTAATTCTCTCCGAAAAGCGTGGTTGCGCTGCGACGACGATCGAGGCTTAGTGCCATCGCCACCCCCTATTGTCTGTTTTGAGGGTGCACCAGTCCTGACAGACTTGGGCCTCAAAAACATGACTTATCACTCCCAAGTAGCAGCTCCCTTCCGCCAGCTCCAGCGATATTATCTTCGAACGGAATGGTATGGACATACACACGTTCTCCAAGACCTTTCTGCAGTGGCTGAAGCACGAATCATCGTCGACGTTGATCACGTGTCTACCAACGGGCTCGCCCGCAGAATTCACTTCCCATTCCTCCGTAGGCTGAGCGTCTCGCACGGTGCAATCTTGGATGCTATCGATGCTCCCGAGCTGAGTCAAATCGCACTCGAATCCTACGAACTTGAGCGTGCATCACTGATTTCAAGCTTGAATTCTCTTGTTGCGCATTCCTCCTGTCAGCTCCAAAGGCTGGCCATCTATGGCATTCCCCAGAGTGAGACTACAATCCAACTTTTGCACCAATTCCCGTCTTTAGAACATCTTTGTCTTATATGGGATGAAGACCGAGCGGGAGATATCATGCAGAACGACGTGGACACCATTGTTTCTGCCCTCATGATCACGGCAACTGGACCTATCCTTACTCCTCGCCTACGAATTCTTTCGTTCGCATGGGAGGCAGTAGCCCAGGTCGATTACCGCTTGCTAGCTCGGATGGCCAGGGCCAGGTGGAAATCGGAGAGTTGCCGCCTTGAAAGAATGGAAATATTGAGGGGACAATCTGAAGAAGGCTCAGAAGGCCTTTTAGATCCCTTGCGCATGCTCCGCGATGCGGGAATGGATTTGGTCTGGCTTGAAGGGGGAGCTGCTCACAATGTGATGGATAGATATCACTTCGCTTCATGAATTGTAGTTTGTGGACTTTGTAAAATACTGCAGTGGTCTTGCAATGGAAACATTTTTTGGATTGAACTGTCAGGCAAATATTCGTGTCACGCTTTTATTGTACTTTGGCTTCGAATGGTCGTTGTAGCCCAGCCAGCACCGCCCAAGGTATACATTCCCGCTTATGTTGCGGAGAATTTTCACGCATAACTAGCAAAAAACAAAAGCCAAACAACGCTACTTGAAGCGCAAGAAAGAGCGCAAGAAAAACAAACCCAAGTCCGCCGCGAGACCAACCCACAAGGATGCTGAGCAGTCCGAGTCTGACAGCGGAGAAGATGACGATGAAGAAGAGCCGCCCCTGCCAAATGTTCAAGTAGTTGAGAAGCCTCCCAAGAAACGACAAAAAATCGAAGTTCAACAGGAGATGGAGGATGTGGAAATGGATGAAGAACCGGTTAACACTCAGCAGCAAACGAATGTCATCCCACAAGATTTACCACCTCTGCCTTCCTTCCCGCTCCCAGAACATCCAGATGCGCCGTCGAAATCAGACCTCGCACTGCAAGGCCTCGATCAGGCTCTAATTGACGCGGAATTGGTGAACGCGTCGCGTTTACTGCCTATACCGCCGAACGGGGAAGAAGACGGGGGCACTGGAATCGGCGAAAAGATGAGGAGACGGCTAGTGGATCTGGGTATTGTTGAACTATTCGCAGGTAAGTGCATATACCTCTTGCGCAGAAACTATTGTAACCTGGCCGCAGTCCAGACGAGTCTGTTACCTTTCTTGCTCTCTAAAGGCCTCAGGGACCATGATTTATACCGCCCTTATAACCCTCCTCGCGATGTTTGTGTCTCCGCCCCAACAGGAAGTGGGAAGACGTTGGCCTATGTTGTACCCATCGTAGAGGTGCGCAATCGAGAAATACTCTGGTAAAAATCAATTAAAGGCATAGGTCCTCTCAGTTAGAATCGTGACGCGATTACGAGCACTTGTGGTTCTACCAACTAGGGACTTAGTGACGCAAGTGCGCGAGACATTCGAGGCGGTTGGCAAGGGACGCGGACTCAAGGTGAGACCCACTAACAATATCTGTTTAGTGTTTTATTGTTTGGTGTAGATTGGGACTGCTACTGGTCAGCATTCGTTCTCACATGAGCAGGCTCAGCTGGTTGGGGGCAATCTAGCTTCTCTTGCTGGGGGCTTAAGTCGCGTGGATATACTCATTTGCACCCCTGGTCGCTTAATTGACCACTTGAACGAGACCCCCAATTTTTCGCTTCAACATCTTAGGTTTCTCGTTCGTCTTTTCATTTCTCTCCCTGGCGTGCCTTGACGTTTCTGTAGGTGATTGACGAAGCAGATCGTCTTCTGGCACAGTCCTTCCAAGACTGGTTGGCACAGGTTCTCGCTGCGACCCGTCCACCATCTGATCTAGTTCTCAAACACAAAGAAATTCCCAGGCGGCATGATGCTGTGGCTCCTGCGTTTCGCTCGTTATTGCCCTACCCAGTGCTACCTAGCATCATGGATCGGAGGGAATCTTCATGTCAAAAGCTCCTGTTTTCAGCAACACTAACGCGGGACCCTGGGAAACTTGCAGCACTTGATCTTCGCGATCCCAAATACTTTATCGTGCAGGAGAGCAAAGACACCGATGGCATATTAGATGTTGCGATGGATAAATTCTCCATGCCTGCAACGCTCACCGTGAGTTGATTCCTTTTTTGGGTGCTGCGTCTCTCATGCTTTTGTTGCTCTAGGAGCGGATGCTGGTGTGCGAGTCGTCGTTGAAGCCGCTATTTTTCTTTTACATAATTCTGGAGCATGGGATTACTAATGCGTTGGTGTTCACAAAGTCGGCTGAGTCGACAGCTCGTCTCGTCCGACTCTTCGAATTCTTCGAGAGTGCGAGGAAGTCTTCGACGACAACCATGAAGGCATATTCAAGCGATCTCACTGCCAACGAACGTAAAACAATATTAGACAAGTTCAAGGCCCAAGAAATCAAAATGTAGGTGTCCGCTATTCCCGTTGTCGGCCAATTGACTTGTGAATGCAGTTTGGTTTGTTCAGACTTGATTTCGCGCGGTATAGATATCAGCCATGTGTCACATGTAGTGAGCTACGATGCACCCATCGACATGCGTAAATATGTCCACCGGGTCGGTCGCACAGCTCGAGCCGGGCGATCAGGCGATGCATGGACATTAGTTGAGGAGCAGGAGGTACATTTTGGTCCTGCTCGTTCACTTAAACTTGACCTTTTATCCAGGCTCGTTACTTCAAAACAATGATGAAGGAAGCAGACCACTTTGCTAAGCTGAAGCGACTTCGTGCTGGGGAGAAGGAATTAGGCCCAATCCGAGGATTCTACGAGGTCTATTTTTGGTATCTCTTGTCATCCAGCCTGACTAATGCGCGGAACAGTCTGCTTTAGGCCAGCTGAAGGAGTCGTATGGCAAGACGTAGCAGCATTTAGTTATGTACCTGTGCTGGACTTGTTCTATCATCATCTTGTGTACAGGCCAACAGCGAAGCAGTCCAAGGGTGACATCATCCACAAAAATCTCACCACGGAACTTGCTCGCCGCGGCGGAACAATTCAAAGAGAATACCCTTTTGCTTACTCAGTCAATGACAAAACACCCAGGCCGCAGGTAGCTGTCTCCCTCCGCTCCCATGGCCAAGTCTGAGCACGCAGAAGATTCTCGCTCGCCATCCCGTGGCTCTAGTGGATCATCAACCGAGGCTGTGACTGAGGAAAAACCAGGCTTGAAATCAACACTTGTGTACGAAAGGTCTTGGTGAGTTGATGTTGGCAGACACGCCATCCAGCTGTTCAATTACGTGCTTTAGGTATTCTCGCGTTCCGTTCACCTCCACCAAGCCACCACCACCTCCCAGCGGAACTTTAGACGACGCTGCACTCTCTCCAGAGGTCAACGCTGCTTGGTATAATATTCTATTTTTCGGTTGGATCACGCCCTTGTTGTCTCTCGGTGCGTCATACGCAGTACATACTAACCTCGAGATTTGATTAACCCATCAACAGGATATGCTCGACCACTAGAGGCCACAGACCTGTACAAGCTTGGCGACGACCGCGCCTCCCTCCGCATTTCCCAAAAAATCAACGAGTCCTTTGACCGCCGGCATCAGGCAGCAACTGAATACAATGCTCGTCTTGCTGCTGGTGAAATTACTCCGTCGCTTTGGCTGGTTCTATCGTGGTCCCTTCGGGGAAATCGCGCCGAACGCCGTAAAAAGTGGCAAGAAGTTGGAGGACGCCGCAAAGCGAGCCTCGTTTGGGCAATCAACGACAGTGTCAAGTACTGGTTCTGGTCAGGAGGAATACTGAAAGTTATTGGAGACACTGCACAGATAACCTCTCCGCTAGTCGTCAAGGTGCGTATACCCAGTTGATGCCGGGCTGGACTGATTTGTACCCTCCAGGCAATAATCCAAGTACGACATATAAATTGTCCCTTGCAAGTATTCGTTTGACCACATCCATCTAGTTTGCTACGACATCTTATACGGCTCATCGCACTGGCCAACAAGCCCCGCCGATTGGCCATGGCGTCGGCCTAGCAATAGCATTGTTGTTGATGCAGTGGATTGGCGCACTTTGCCAACACCACTTTTTCTATAGGGCAATGTCGACCGGCGTACTTGTCCGAGGCGGACTAATCACAGCAATCTATTCAAGGTCTTTGAGGCTTACCTCTCGGGCTCGGTCGACCCTACCGAACGGCAAACTTGTTAACCACATTTCCTCCGATGTTTCGCGTATCGACTTCTGCGCAGGTTTCTTCCACATGGTATCATGATACTTCCCCACCAAAGCGTTTATTCTCTGATTATATAATAGTCTTGGTCAGCACCGATCCAAATGATAATATGTCTGATTCTTCTGGTTCGTGTGGTTTTTCCGGCGCGTCTCATCTATATTTTTAACCCCTGCACACTTAGCTCATTAACTTGGGACCGAGTGCAGTAAGTGCAGTCTGTGAGGATGCACGCATCTCATTTTTTTTTTTAGCTTACGGGCTTTGCTTTCTTCATTCTGGCTACCCCCGCCCAAACAATGGCAATGAAACAACTGTTCAAATTCCGACAGAAGTCCATGAACTGGACTGACAAGCGCACCAAAGGGCTTCAGGAGATCCTAGGAGGGATGAAGATCATCAAGTTATTCAACTGGGAAGCACCGTTCCTTCAGCGCATTAGCGGCTTTCGACGCAATGAAATGGGGTATTTATCCTGCTGTTGCACATGCAATCTTCACTGACAGTGCCTAGTTACATTCGCTCCCTGTTACTCCTCCGATCTTCTTTGAATGCTCTAGCCATGGCCATGCCGGGTAAGCCTTTGCTCGGGTTTATATTCCCCCATTAAAACTGTGCAGCCCTCGCCTCCGTTCTGTCGTTTGTTACATACTCCTTGACGGGACATTCTCTTGAACCATCTGTCATTTTCGCGTCGTTGACCTTGTTCAATCTGCTGCGATTGCCTCTGATGTTGTGAGTAAACCATATCTGCTTTTCCATGCATCACTGTCTCACTGGCACTCCCTAGTTTGCGTGAGTCACAACAAAATTATGTGTTGAATGTTGCTCACTATATTTCAAGCGGTGTCCTACAGCTCAATCGCGGATGCCCTCAATGCCTCTAATCGCCTGTATGACGTCTTTGTTGCGGAGACTTTCGATGGTGTTCAGATCATCCGTGATGACAAACTTGATGTGGCTGTTGAGGTTCATGATGCGACTTTCGAGTGGGACGGTCCACCGCCCGAAGCTGAAGACGGAAAGAAGAAGAAGAAACAGAAGAAAACAGCCGAACTTGCCAAGGCTGCCGCCAAAGCCGCAGAAATAAAGCCAGAGGATGTCAAGGTCTTCAAAATGTCAAATCTGTCCTTCACGGTTCCTCGAGGCAAACTCGTCGCCATAGTGGGAGCGGTGCGTCCTGTCCTCCGCCTTCCATCCAGACTACCTTACTCTTCTCAGGTCGGCAGTGGCAAGACGTCATTGCTGCAAGGTATGATCGGTGAGATGCGACGAACCAGTGGGTATACAAAGTTCGGCGGTTCTGTTGGTTATTGCCCACAATCGGCATGGATTCAGGTACTCCACCTACCTCTCCAACTTTTGAAGTCTCACGTCTCGTTAGAACGCAACTATCCGGGACAATATCTGCTTTGGCTTGCCTGTAAGATTATCTTCCTGTGACCGTGATGTTGATACTCACTTCGACCTCAGTTTGACGAAGTCAAGTAAGCCTGTGCTTTCTTTCGTCCAAAAGCTAGTGATCAACTCGGCATAGATATTGGAAAGCTGTGAAGGACTCTTGTCTCGAGCCAGACTTGGAAATGCTTCCAAACGGGGACCTGACTGAAGTTGGCGAGAAGGTGAATCGGAAATACCATGACTTGATGACCAATTTGAACTTGTCCAGGGTATCTCTCTTTCAGGGGGCCAACGACAGCGCCTGAATATTTGCCGCTCCATCTACTCGGACACCGACATTCAAATTTTTGATGATCCACTCTCTGCACTAGACGCACATGTTGGCAAAGCTGTCTTCCACAATGTTCTCCAAAACACACTTTCTGGAAAGACTCGGATCCTCGTCACCCACGCATTGCACTTCCTGCCTTATGTCGACTATATCATTGCGCTTTCTGACGGCCGAATCGCGGAAAGGTACGCTGCATTTTTTGCTGCTAGCACTTTCTCTCACCGAAGCTAGCGGTACCTACGCAGAACTCATGTCTATCCAGGGGGAGTTCGCCAAATTTGTGACGGAATTTGGTTCAAATGAGAGTTCGAGGGACGACGGTGAGGTTGCAGAGAAGGAGGAAGAGGAGAAAGTTCCTGAAGCCACCGTCGCCAGGAAGAAAGCCGTAGCCGGAACTGCTTTGATGCAGGCTGAGGAGCGCAACATCGGTTCTATCAGTGGCAAAGTTTATGGTGCCTATATCAAAGCGGGCAATGGGACTTTTGTTGTTCCGCTCCTCATCGCTTCTCTCGTATTCCTCCAAGGAGCCAACGTAATGAGCTCTTATTGGCTGGTATATTGGCAAGAGGACAAGTTTAAGCGATCTGCTGGATTTTATGTGCGTCTCCTCTACAAGAAACGTCGCTTGCCCTGTTTCAACTGCTAACATTGCTTCAGATGGCGATCTACGCCGTCTTAGGTGTCTGTCAAGCTATCGCCATGTTCTTTGTGGGTGCCTCGTTTGCGTTGCTCACTTTTGCTGCATCGCAAAATTTGCACAAGGTATTTGTCCATTCTGAACTGAGATAATGATGAATCGTTCACAGGGTGCTTTGAAACGGGTCATGTACGCTGTACGCACTCCAATTGTTTCCTCGTTTCCATAAAAACTGAAGCTCAATAGCCCATGTCCTTCTTTGATACTACGGTTTGTTGTCTCTTTATGGTGTGTTAGTGTGTCTCAATGTTTATTAGCCTCTTGGTCGTATCATGCATCGTTTCACCAAGGATATCGATACAATTGGTATGTCCAATCACGTGGCCTTATTAGGTGCTTACGTCAACATTCAGATTCTACCCTCGGGGATGCGTTGAGAATGTTTGCCGCCACCGCGTCCAACATTCTCGGTGCAATCATCCTTATCGCCATCGTGGAAACCTGGTTCCTCATCGCTGTTGCATGCATTCTCCTCTTGTATTATTTTGCCGCCGCTTTTTATCGCGCAAGTGCCCGAGAAATCAAGGTATGGCAGTGTTTTGTCTTGAACAACGGGTTTTCTGAATGATTTGTGCAGCGTCTTGGTACCAGCAATCCTACCATAAAAACTGTGTGGGATCTAATACTCCACAGATGCGTTACTGCGTTCGTCCCTCTACACGCACTTCAGCGAGAGCTTGTCAGGATTGGCAACAGTGGGTCCTCACGAATGCATCCCACACGTGTTTTTGAAACATTGAACCAGATTAGAGCTTACGGTGTCTCCGAACGTTTCCTTCGTGACAATGAGCGTTTAATGGATACAGAGAATCGGTTAGTTTGGGCTCGACAGAACACTCGAATGACTGACATCTTCCAGAGCGTATTGGCTCTCAGTGACGAACCAGCGGTGGCTTGGAATCCGGTTAGATTTCTTAGGATCAGTTCTAACATTCGTCGTCGCAATGCTTGCTGTTGGGGCACGATTCAGCATTTCCCCGGCTCAAACGGGTAAATTCATCTATTCTCCCTCACCCGTGCTCATTGATATCCAGGACTTGTGCTATCGTACATCTTAAGCGTACAACAAGCGTACGTTCAACCCAGTTAGCCACTGATCTCTCGTCTGATTACTCGTTTAGGTTTGGTTGGATGGTCCGGCAAAGCGCAGAAGTTGAAAACGACATGAACTCTGTTGAACGAGTATTCCACTATGCGACAGAGGTTGAGCAAGAGGCTCCTGATGAAATTCCGGGTCGCAAACCAGCAGCTCCCTGGCCGGCGCAAGGCCAAATCGAGATGAAAGACATTGTTCTGAAGTACCGGCCCGGGCTCCCTGCGGTTATCAAAGGCACATTTTTTTGCTGATGTTTTCCTCTGAGCTTACTGTCTTGCAGGCTTGTCCATGACTGTTAAAGCCGGAGAGAAGATTGGGATTGTCGGACGGTGACTAAATTTTCTCTGGCTGAGACTTCACTGTTAAGAATGCTTAGGACCGGCGCGGGCAAAAGTTCCATCATGACTGCACTATTTCGGCTGGTAGAGCTTACATCTGGCTCAATTGTCATCGACGGAGTCGATATTTCTGAAATTGGTCTTGGTGACCTAAGAAGTGGGTTGGCAATTATCCCACAAGACCCATTGCTCTTCTCCGGCACTTTACGGACCAACTTGGATCCATTCAACTTGGCGGATGACGCAACGCTTTGGGATGCTTTGCGGCGGTCCTATCTAGTCGATACGCCCAAGCGCGAATCCACGTCGTCAGAACCGGGCACAGGGGCGAATACCCCCGTCAATAAATTTACTCTTGATACACCAATAGAAGACGAAGGGCAGAATCTGTCTGTTGGACAGCGCTCTTTGGTTTCGCTAGCCCGAGCACTGGTGAAAAATGCGAAAATCCTCGTTTTAGATGAGGCAACAGGTGCGTCTAGTGGCTTTTTTTTTGGTCATTTTACATAAATTGTTTCCCAGCGTCGGTTGACTATGAGACGGACCGAAACATTCAAGATACCATCGCGCACGAATTCCAAGACCGCACAATTCTGTGCATAGCACGTGAGTACTTGCGTACCACGGTTCCTTTCTTTCGTTAACTTGGCTGGTAGACCGACTTGCAACGATCATTTCATATGACAGAATTTGCGTTATGGACGCGGGTCAGATTGCAGAATTCGACACTCCTGCTAACCTGTACCAGCTACCTAACGGTGAGAATGATCAAAGTCGGTTTCTCTAGCTCTTCTTATTCAAAACACCAGGCATCTTCAGAGGAATGTGTGACCACTCCTCGATATCGCTTGACGACATTAGACTGGCCCGAAAGGTCAGGACGGGTGGAGATTGAACTCATGTAGCAACATTTTACTTACGATACAGCGACCTAGTTTGGCCTTAGACACGTGTAGCACGCTATAGACATTGTTTTCGCGTTCAGAGCGTGACCGTGATCATACTACCATTACCCATGCTCACTTTCACTCCATGACAACTGCATATTCCGTCGGCGCTCGCGTCTTTCTTGAAGACCCAGAACATGGCTGGATTCCCGCAGAAATATCGAGCTGCAAAGCGTCGGCCGATGGCTTGACGCTCGTCGTCACTAACGAGGGTGGCCAAGTTGCGCTTGATCAACAGTTTCTCTCAAAGAACTAACAAGTTGGCAGCAAACAACAGTAACTGGAAACGCCTCGACCTTGCCTCCTTTGCGCAATCCTCCCCTACTCGAAGCGGCAGACGATTTGGGTGCGTGGAGCTAACGCGATGTAGTTTGGGCTAATCCGCACTTTAGCAACGCTTTCTATTCTGAACGAGCCTTCCAGTTGCGTGTTTCGTCCCCCCACTCGCTTATATCTCATTTGTAGTTCTTCATGGGGTGCAGTCCCGGTACACGGAACGAAAAATTTATACCTTCAGCGGGTCGGTGCTTCTTGCGGTCAATCCTTTCGAACCAGTCCCGTTGTATACCCCAGAAATTGTCAAGAGCTATATTGGGCGAAGAAGAGGAGAACTGGAGCCGCATCTCTTTGCGATTGCAGAAGATGCGTTCGCAGCAATGTCGTTGGATGGGCATGGGCAAACAATCATAGTGTCCGGAGAGAGTGGAGCAGGGAAGACCGAGTCTGTGCGTCGCGAACCATTTTACTTGGAAGACGCCCAACTAATATGTGTTGAGGCCAAACTCGTCATGCGGTACATTGCCGCACCAAAGACACCAACTCTGAATCTTGACAAGAACTCATTCATAGAGGGAGCGAGTCTAGTGGAGCAACAGATTCAAGCAACGAATCCCATTTTGGAGGCATTTGGAAACGCCAAAACCACGCGCAACGATAATTCCTCCCGCTTTGGGAAGTATATCCAGGTGAGTAGTATGTTTTTGCCCAATATGCGTCGGGGTGTTAACTCGGGGTTTAGCTTCTATTTGATACCAACCGACACATTGTCGGCGCTCGTGTTCGCACCTACTTGTTAGAACGCTCTCGGTTGACATATCAGGCGCAAACGGAACGAAATTACCACATATTTTACCAGATATGTGCTGGTTTGCGTTCCGAAACTCTTGAGGAGCTCGGTTTGGAAGCGGACTACAGTAAATTCCACTACCTCAACCAAGGCGGGTTTTCGACAGTGGACGAAAGCGATCGTGACAAGTTTCATGCAATGCAGACCGCCCTCCGGATTATTGGGATAGATGAAGACCGACAGCAATCGATATTCCAACTCTTGGCAGCACTCTTACATCTCGGCGACATTAATGTCACTCAGACGCGTTCAGATGCTGCTATTGAAGAAGACGACCCTTCTATGGCGCGAGCGATGGAGTTTCTGGGCGTCGATCCTGTCAACTTTAGGAAATGGACCGTGAAGAAGCAAATAACAACTCGGTCAGAGAAGATCGTGACCAACTTGACTGCACCTCAGGCTGTGCAAGTGCGCGACAGCATAACTCGTTTCGTCTACGCTTGTCTGTTTGAATGGCTGGTGTTTTCTATCAACGAGAGCTTAGCAGGGCGTTATGGTGATGCGGCGACTCGTGCAGAGACATATATCGGAGTTTTGGATATATATGGATTCGAACATTTTGACAAGGTCTGGTGCTGGCCACTATGTTCTGGTGCCTATTCTAACGTTTTGCCAGAACTCCTTTGAACAGTTCTGCATCAACTACGCCAACGAGAAGCTCCAACATGAGGTGCCTTTCTTTCCAGATTGAGTACCGCCGACTTATCGATTTCTAGTTCAACACCTACGTCTTTAAACTGTCTCAGGACGAATACAAGGCAGAAAAAATCAGTTGGACGTTGATCGAATTCGAGGATAACCAGTCGGCCATTGACCTGATGGAAGGCAAAATTGGCATTTTATCGTTGCTAGACGAGGAATCGAGGCTACCACTAGGAACCGATGCTTCCTTCTTGCAAAAACTCAATGCTCAACTGGACAAACCAGCGAATAAAGCCGTCTACAAAATGCCTAAATTCGCCAACTCTGCGTTCACCGTCGCCCACTACGCATTGGATGTCACATACCAGGTTGATGGTTTCCTTGAAAAGAACCGCGACACTGTTCCCGAAGAGCATCTTGCGCTGCTCACCTCCTCGAGTAATCCATTCCTACGAGAAGTCCTTGACGTCGCTCTGCAACACCGTGAAGGTGGTGACGAAACCCATGCGGCTGATAGTTCGATTTCGAAGATTCCGGACCCTGGTAGAACCTCGTTGGTCGCAACCACTGCTCGCAGTACCGCAGTCAAGAAGCCGACGCTAGGATCGATCTTCAAAAGCTCATTGGGAACCTTGATGGAAATGCTTCGGATGACCCAAGTCCACTACATTCGTTGTATCAAGCCAAATCAACACAAGAAGGCTTGGGAGTTCAGCTCGTTACTCGTTCTTGCACAACTTCGTGCATCTGGCGTCCTCGAGACAATAAGAATCAGCACAGCAGGCTATCCGTCACGCTGGAAGTTTGAGGACTTTGCGCGGAGGTTTGTGGTTTTATTATATTTTTTTCAGTTGTCCTCTGACTGGGTAAAGGTACCATATGCTCATCAACTGGCGCGAGGGACCTTCCCTCATCAAGCGAGAGCAATACAAGCGTATCTGCGTACTTGTGCTTCTCAAAGCCAAGGTCGACAAGTCTCAGCATCAATTTGGCGAGACCAAGCTTTTCCTGCGGACAGGTGTTCTAGCAAATATTGAGACGTCGCGATCAGACAAGCTGAACGCTGTCCAATTCTTCCAAACAAATTTCCGAAGGATAATCGTGCTGCGACGACTGGCTTCATTCCGATCCACCGTTGTGGCTATCCAATCTCGTTGGCGAGGTGCGGTTGCTCGTCGTCAATTTCGCGCTGTCAAAGAAAAGGCGAGACAGGAGGCTGAAGCAGCAAAAGCAAGGAAAGCGGCGAAGGAAAAGGCGGAGAGGGAAGCAAGACGAAAGGCTCGTGAAGCGGGTCGTAAAACTCCCGTCTCGAATGGGACCTCGACACCCGAAAATGGTAGTCCCGGAAAAATACGACGCATGTTCTCGTTTGGAAGCAAAGAAAGGTCTTCGCTGACTGTTCCGGACATTTCAACTCCAGAAACTGGTGCTCCTGTTGGTCGGCGACCCAGCCGTCTTGAAGCTGCTGCGAAGCGACTTTCGAGACGATCCTGGTACGAAGACACAACGCCCGCACCAGCTGTCTCGACGCCATCAAATCGAGCGCTGTCACCCAGTCCAAACAACTTTACGACCCCAATCTACGACCAGTTCATGAAAAAGCGGCCACCGTGGAACTCGAGCACGAATATATCGCGCTGACGACTTGCTTTCCATTTTTACTTTTAGATGCTTCGAGTAATTCACAGCACATTTTACCATACCCTGTATATCTTGAATACGGACCTGAGGCGACTTTTTAAGAACACTTTTTAAGAACCATAGCTCCCTTGAAACAAGATGAGGAAAATATTGAGCAGCAGACGCAGAAAAAAAATACTGACCAAACTCCTCTGTCCACTTGGTATGCCCTTCCAGGTCCTTCTCCGTCACTGTTGGCCGGACATTTCCCAATGCATGAGAGAAGTCAGCCATCATCAGTACGGGGTCATATACTTCCTCCGGCTTGAGCTCTGCAAGACCCTTCTTAACCGCCCCTTCGTCGGTTTCGTGACAGGCTACCCACTGGACAACCGAATCCGCATTTGGAGGTAGAGCCTTGAAGTAGGATGTTGTCATCAGGTTTCGTATGGGCTGCATAAACGCGTCTTGAACGATCAGAGAAACATCTGCTCCAGAATAACCCTCTGTCTTCTGCGCCAGAAGTTCGTAGTCGGCGTCTGTGAGTTCTGACGGTGTGCCGCCGACATGCAACTTGAACATTTCCTTGCGGGCTTGACCATTGGGGAGTGGAATGTATATACGCCGTTCAAATCTACGCAGCTGAGCGATTATGTAAGAGGAGGGGCTTTGGAACAAACCTGCGCTTGATGCTCAAGTCAATTGCCCATGGAATGTTTGTGGCACCGATGACCAGGATTCCCGAGTCGTCTCTGCCTAATCCGTCCATTTGTACCAGGAACTCGGTCTTGAGGCGTCGAGTGGCTTCTGAATCACCGTCACCTCGCGCACCGGTGAGCGAGTCGACCTCGTCGATGAAGATGACCGTCGGACGCATCTCCCGTGCCATTTCAAACAGATGGCGAACCAATCTGGGGGTCAAGGTGAGCGAGAGTGGCATGAAATGAAAACAACTCACTTCTCTGACTCCCCTTGCCATTTGCTCACGATGTCGGTCGAGCTGATGCTGAAAAAGGTGCTCTTGGCCTCGCTTGCTACTGCTTTTGCCAGATGGCTTTTCCCCGTTCCCGGGGGGTCCATAGAGTAGTATCCCTTTGACCGGCCGTCGTCGTCCAGCAAAAAGATGCGGAAACATCATGGGGATGACAACGGCCTCCTTGAGGGCCTGCTTTGCTGCTTCCAGTCCAGCGATGTCATCCCAAGTAACAGTAGAAGCACTGGAGCCAGAAGTACTGATGATCGCCTCTGCGAGACCAGCACGAAGTTTCTTGGTTTCGGGATCGTCCGTTGCATCCGTCCTTCGGCCAAAACATGAGAAGCAAGATTCTAAAGATATCAATGGCATACTGTTTGACTGCTCGCGCTGCTGATACGGTGGGAGAAGGAGGCGACAGCGTTTTCTTCAAAATCTCAGCACGAGCGAGGTAGTCGTCAATTTTCGAGCGGATGAGGATCTTGAACTGCTCATTCTTCTCGTCTGTCGCCAATATAGTCAGCAGGAAATGAGAGAGAAGAGAGTCGGACGGACACTTCAACGCCAGCATAAAATAATCCAACGCGTCCATGTAGTCTTTGCATGCTTGCTGGTGGTTTTGAGCCTTGTCGTGCTGGATGGCCCTTTCCACAATCTCGATTGCTTTCTGTGGATATATTATTAGGGCCGGAAGTTTTATGGAGAAAGCGGACGTTTAAACTTGTCTGGGGAGACATTGTATGCGTTCCATTTCCTCTCTCTCTCTCTCTGTCTTTTTATGCAGAGAGCGGCGTAGTTAACGCAGCCATTCGATGACTCTCATACTGCGGGCTGATGATAGTCGGAATCAAGTGTCACACTGAGAACTTTTTCCCTGCGCAATGGCGAAACAGCTTACTATCCAAGTATCTATCTATGGCTAGTGCGCGTATTCAACTTGGAACTCAAGTCGTGGTCGATATCAATGTCGTAGTAACGAGCATCGTTGTGATGTTCTCCTCAAAAAAGACCTCCCCGAACAAGCCCAAAGTAACCTGGTTGTTCTTGACGGATGGGCTCAAAAATCGGTCATGGCTATTGGGTTCGACATGAAGCATTCCCAACGCTGGCTGTGTGAGATATGTGGTGAGATTTGCATTGAAGACACCTGCGAATAAACAAATCCCAACCTTGTTGTTGAAAGGGGATCCAGCGCGAGAGGTCGTCCTCGATCCAAAGCCGAATCTACGATTGGAGGACCCGGTCGTAACCTTGAATGTGAGCCAACCAAGTGCAGAAGGATCAAACTCTTTAATATTGTCGCAGATGCACCAGCTTTGTGAAGCTCAAGGCGGTCCTTGCCACTCTGCGGTCCATGAACTCATTCGTAAGCAAGCCTTGGCGGCAGGCTCACCGCCCTCAGGTCTACAACAACCAAATGCTACTACTGCACCCCTCGCTGGATCCTGTGCGAAATGTCAACGAGAAGAAACGTCAATGAGTCGATGTAGTCGATGTAAACTGACGCGGTAAAGCTTAAGTTCTTGACCTTTAATGTTGTGTTTAACTCTGGTGTCAAGGTATTGCAGGTTAGTCTCTTGCGATAAAACGAATATAACCTCACTGGTCGGTGTAGCGTCGCATGCCAAACACAAGATTGGTCGAGACATAGCAAGGTTGTTGTGTATATCCTCTTCTTCTTCTTCTTCTCGCAGTTCTAATATTTTTTTCTAGACTTGCAAAATGATCAAAGAGGTCTCTTGGACCGATGGCGGAGTAGAGCCAGAGGTGACTTTGGGAATGCCAGGAGCATTTAGTTGAAATACTGTTACAATAAGGCAGACCTGTCCCTACATACCCCTTTCTTAATTTTTCGACCTTTTTTGGACTTCACTGGTCGGTGTAGCGTCGCATGCCAAACACAAGATTGGTCGAGACATAGCAAGGTTATTGTGTATATCCTCTGCAGTTTTAATATTTTTTTTTAGACTTGCAAAATGATCAAAGGGGTCTCTTGGACCGATGCCGGGTCGGCGGATGTAGAGCTGGAGGTGACTTTGGGGATGCCAGAAGCATTTAGTTGAAATACTGTTTAACTCTGTTAACGCGCTGCCTTAAGAGTTGGCTTTCAAATTTACTAGAAACACGAATTGCTGACAGTTCTCCCTACACGGTAATCTGGATCCCAGAATTTTTCGACTTTTTTGGACTTAGTTTTTTTTTACTGCGGTTACCTAGCCCTTTTGAACCTATAACATCTCCTCGATGGTGTATCGGTAACATATGAGCTTCTCATTGTATTGATTACGTAATGGTCGCTCGAGCGCGGGGTTCGATTCCCCGTCGGGGAAAACTTTTGTTGGGCGGGAAAGCTGCTTTTTTCGGTCGAAGTTACGATCACGTGAGCGTGTCATACGTGCACCGCCACTACACCATCGAGGGCGATCCAGACCTTTGACATGTAATTCGTGTGGCTGTTGAGCTCCTCCGCTGTTGATGCTCACAAAAGGATGGCCTCCGTCCAATCTCTAGTACGTCGAGACGTCCAGGTAGAATCGCAAGAAAGTGGTTGTACAACATTATTACAGGACAGTTATTGGTTTCATCTATTTGTTTCCTTCAATTCAAGCCTTACTCCGCGCGTCGCCCTTGGCCTTGGCCGGTTTGGTTGGTTGGGTTGGTTGGTAGGGCATAGAGACCTCAAAGGCGCCGAGGGGGACTCCGTTGAAACTCTCGCGGGGAGCATTGGCGACGACGTTCACTCGCATACGTTGTGGAATATTATTCGCTTCGACTTCGGTGGGGCGCACTGCTCTGGGGGCCATGGCGCCGAATGGGGAGTAGAGAGCATGCATGCTGCGACTGGCAGGGCGAGGCGTCACCAGGCGAGGGAGAGAACGGAGGGCGAGTGAAGACATGGTGGTTCGTTTCCAAGAAAGCGACGGCTCGGCGGTGCTTATATTCGGCTCCAAATATTTATGAAATGGGTCGATTCCAGAACGTTGGGGAACGGATAACCATTTTGGTGGGGTGACAAGCTGTAAGCGGCGTTTACACGGACGTAAAGAGTACTCTACACATTCAAGTTCCAGTTCTAGGTCAAACTACGCCATACTCGCCATGCTCTAGATGGAAGAAGGTTCTGTAAAGTACTGTCTTGTGGTCGATGGCTGGACCACAGGCTGGGCAACTTTGGGCTTCGGCCGATGAGTGTCAACAGCAGTGATCGGAAGTGCGTAACTAGGCTTGGTCAGCGCAAACCCTCCGAGAAATAAAACAACCGCTCACCGTTCCTCGTCGCAACCGTAGGCTTTGGGAGTGAGCTTAATCACAGTATGTAGCGGGATTTTAATGTAAGGAAGATCGTCTTGTGACAGGTGGTGAAAGTATGCATATCTAGAAGAAGAGCGTGAATATAGCAAAAAAAAAACCACCGTTGCTCAAACTCACAAACAACGCAAAATAGCCTGATGTCCGATGATGAGGATGTTTTCCTGTCGCTCCAGCTCCATAATGACTGGTTCCAATCGGACAACAACATCGCGATATGATTCCCCGCCACGATAGCGATAGTTGAACTTGTCTTCATCGCGGTTCGCAAAGTCATCGGGGTAGGCTTGCTGTGGAAAGTTGCAAGTTCGTGGTAAGTAAAAAAACGAGCAGAAATACCTCGATCTCCTCATATGTCATTCCATCGCAAACACCAGCGTCCAGTTCATCCAATGACTTCCATGTCAGCTTTGTAAAGTCCAGCAATTCCGCTGTCTGGATCGTTCTTCTGAGGGTCGACGTCCAGACCGTCAATTGTGCGTCGCCCACGTTGTCTTTAATCAAAGCAGGCAATGCTCTGGCATACTCCATGCCGCGGGGGGACAGAAGGGAGTCGCCACCAAGCTTGCCTTCGACGTTGTATTGACTTTCTCCATGCTAAAAAATGAGTAAAGTGACAGAAAATGTAAAAAAATATATACCCTAGATAAGTAGATGCTGCGCGGGTTAAGATGTAGATTCATGAGGTAAAATGCGATTCGACTGGAGAGGTAACCGTTTATTCGAGAAACAGTTACCTCCTTCCCCACATTCGTGATGCGGAGATAGGACAAGTGCGGCTCGGTGATAGTTTCGTAGACCTTCTCATATTCGTGGATGCGGCGGATGAAGTCGGCTTTGGCCTTCTCCGGATGCAGGTCTTTGTAGTCCGGGTCCCCCGAACTGACTTTAAGCGCAATGTTAGCCGCAATGACGGCAGGATCGTCGCACAACGATTCGAGAAAAATCAACATCATCTCCGGCTCCTTTGCAACACGGGCTTCGATCTTGGCTCTCCGCGCTCGTGTACTGTTGGTTGCATCTAAAGGCCACTTAGCGGAGATTCCATCTTATGAAAAGTGTGCAAACCGTGAATTCCGACATTCCCGCCGTCTTTAAGCCACTTGATGAGCATTTCTAAACTATCTTCCGCGAGCCGATCTCGCGACAGGGTTCCTTCAGCGTTGTCTTGACTGAAGAAAATAGCACTATGGTCTTCCTTGACGCCACTCCTTGACATCACCGGTGAGAAACCAGAACACAACCGGGAAATAAACATTACTCTTGAGCCCTTTGCCTAGCTCTCGTCCGTCTTAGTTGTCCCACATTGAACACCTGGGAAAAGAAAAGAAAAGGTTGATATGAGATTGAATAGACCTAACCTTGACATCGTATTCGAGCCACTTTTCCAGTTGTTTGGTCAGTAACAAGGACAACCAAAAAGACATATACTTTGAGGTATATCATGAGCTTGTTGCTCAGATAGGACTTTCCCCTCGCTGGAAGCCCGACCTAGATCCCCCATTATCACGCGGTCGTCTAGGTTCACGGAACCACAAACCATCGCAAGTACAATTTTGGACTCGGAGTAATCCGGTTTCGCGACTGGTTATTCAGATAAATACCGTTGATTCTTTGTTTTGCTGGAAGTTAATACCCTTCTTGCCGATGCCCTTGACTGATTGAGGTGGAGTAGGGGCTTGTGAGCCCTTGCGGCTAACGTTTGTAGACTCATCAAACTGCTTCAGCCTTGAGGCGGTAGATTACGATCTAGGCATGAGAGAGAGAAACGTTGCACCACGAACTTGGAACCCTGGAGTCCGCTTGCCAAGAAGGCAGCTGGTGGAATGTTGGGTGAAAGGGGAATAGGATGGGACAGATCGCCGTGGGCTTGCATAGTTTGAAGAACATCCGCAGCGCGAGTGAGGTCTTGTCCGACCTTGCTTGATGGATTGGTCGCCGCCATATGTTATAAGTATCTGAAGTGTGGTGGGAAGAAAATAACCCAAAGCCGGACAAATCTCGTGACAATGACGGTTGTTCCGCTTACAGTCACAACCTGACGCGCCCCCGTTGTTGGCGAGAGTGTTCTAAACAGATCTCTCTTTTTTTTTGGACAGCCCTCCGATGCAACCCCTTCATTTTAGAATTCCTGCGCGAGGCACCCTGCACTCCCACACCTGACGCAAAGTCCACGCGTCGATGTCATATTCTCCGCCAACATCGCTGGGCTTTGGGCCACGATGTTAACGCCAGCAGTGTTATCTGTTGCCTCATCTCACTACTACTCGACAATCTGACGTCGTCGCCCTGACCTCCTTGGCCGTGCATGTTTTTCTCTCTCCCGCCATTCAAAAAGAAGCTGCCGTCTGCGACCGAATCTCACTTTGTTTCTTTCGGCCCCGCCTTGCGGTCATGCTCGGCGAGCACTCACTATAAAGGCCGAGTGTCTCCACCAGCATTCCTTTCTTCCTTCTTGGCTGTGTCCCTAGAATTCGAGGCAGTCGTCTCCCGGATCCGATACCATCATCTTTCTCAAACAGGAAAACAGTCAATTGTCGTCTTTACGGCAGTGCCCGTACTAGGCCTGTAAATACGAATGCTGTATCCGCGGTCTGCCATACTGACTGACTCGTTGTAGTTGTGTTGTTAAAAAGGCCCAGGATCTCTGACTCGCAGCGCGCTCTCTCACGCGGGTCGAGCCAACTACTTAACACGAGGCTGTTTGCGACTCCCCCCGCCATCTCTACAACCATGCCTTTCACTCCCATGATCATTGTCGTCATTTCTGGATTGGTACGTGACTCTTATCTCTTTGTTCTTCTTCTCAATCGATGTAGACAACCCATGCGCTCTTCAATCGCATAGAGCCCCGTACCGCGCCTGCATTTGCCGCTCTCCTCCTCCTACCCCCACTTCTTCTGTTTTGTTTGATTCCCTTAACGCTGGTCTCCATTCTCGCGTTTTACCTGGCTCTGTCTGCCTCGGTGATCTTATACCGAATCTCGCCTTTTCATCCACTCGCATCCTATCCCGGGCCATTCATAGCCCGCATTTCGAAACTATGGCTGGCTGCGATCGCGATGAGCGGCAAACAGCATGTCTATTACCGCGACCTCCATCGACGTTATGGCGATGTCGTTAGAGTTGGTAAGAACATCTATCCTTCGCTGGTTCTTTGACTTTTTAACTCTGAATAGGTCCTAATGAACTGTCATTTGCCAGCACATCCGCCATAACACCGATGCTTGGGACAAAGGGCATGCCCAAATCATCATGTCAGTGAGGTTTGACTGAACGAAGATCACATCTAATGTTGATCTCAGGGTGGGATGGGCGCATGCCAGAAAACAAGAATGTGCGATCCTTACTGGCTCTTCGGGACCCTGAAGAGCACAGCCGGCGACGACGTATCTGGAACAGAGCCTTCAGCACTATTGCACTCAAGGAATATGACTCTGTTGTTCGCAACCGTCTTGCACAGCTTGGAGAGGCTCTCAACGAAAACTGTGGAAAGACAGTTGACTTGTCTCAATGGTTGGGTCGTTTCACGTACGTCTGCCGATTATCAGGACCTCACTAGCTGACTTGATATCTCTAGGTACGATGTAATGAATGACATCGTGTGAGTTTGGGCATCGAACCAGTCGCAACGTCTGCTAACAACTCTTGTACAGATTTGGTGGTGGTGTGGAGCTGATGCGGGATGGCGACAAGGATGGACTGTATGCTATGTTTGAAGCCTTTCTTCCGTACGTCTTGACTCTACTTCTCTTTCTTGTATGGAAATAACTCATATTCTCAATTAGGATGGCTCTGCTCATGGGACATCTCCCTTGGCTGGGCGAACTGACAACCTGGATTCCCGGCTTTGCTCGAGGTGTCAAGAAGTTCAGGGCATTTGCTATCAGCTGTGCGATTGGGCGAAAGACTCATGGGTCACCCCGAAAAGATATTTTTTATCACCTGGTAAAACTTTTAGTTGCCCGCTGTGAACGATCGAACTCACATGCACCATAGATCGACGAAGCTGGCTTGGAATCAGAGCCTCCTTCTCTCGCACAAGTTATATCCGACAGCTCACCTGCTATCGCTGCGGGTGCTGAGACAACCTCGACAGCCCTTTCTAATCTATTCTGGCTACTTCTATGCAATCCCCTCACGTATTCACGACTACAAGCCGAACTCAACTCGGTTCATGAAGATCTTTTAGACTGCGAAACGCAGAAACGAATGGTTTACTTAAACGCCTGCATGTGAGTCATGATGTTTTTTTGTTCCTCTAGATTCGTGGCTCATGGTCTTTTGCAGAAATGAAACATTACGATTATATCCTGGTGTTCTGTCTGGAAGTGAACGGGCACCTCTTATCGGAAGCGGAGGTCATGCGATTGGATCCCAGTGGGTCGATAGTCATCTCCGTGACAAGCTTCTCTGACTTTGCACTCCCAGTTTTGTACCTGAGGGGACTGGTGCCGTGGTTCATTCATATACTCTGCAACGCGACCCACGATACTTCTCACCTTCTCCCGACTCCTTCATTCCGGAACGGTGGCTTTCGATCGAAGAACAACGTGGACTGAAGCCGGCTGTTTTCAAAAGCACCGACGAAATCATCCACGACCAGTTCGCCTTCATACCTTTCTCCTTTGGACCCGCCAATTGCGCGGGTAAGCAATTAGCTTACCAGGTCAGTCTGAGACTTGCAACTCGAATCCAACCAAAACTAATGAATTAATGCAGCAAATGCGCATGGTCATCTGCACTTTGATGTCTCGGTTTGAACTTCGTTTCGAAGACGGTTATGACGCTAGACTTTGGGAGGACAACTTGTGCGACTACTTTATTGCTCGCAAGGGAGAATTACCTGTTGTGTTGTCTCATCGGCAATGAACCCTTGAGTTTCTGCCCTTGTTAACTTATTCCAACGTGTATCTAGATTCAATGTATTTTGTACTAGAAAGGTTACATACTGCTCTGACAACAGAAGAAACGCGGGATTGGTCGATCAGGGTGCACTGGTAATTGCTGACATGCTGTACAGCAAATGGCTAAGGTGTAAAAGCCTGTTTATGGCTTGAAGTTTGAACGCTCTTCGTTCTGTTCGGGTGGTCGGCACACTTGCCGACCCTGATACTCTGGGGACACAAAAGCAGCGTGACATTTGTGACGTTCGCATCAAATCGTGCCGTCTCCTCTCCTTCTTTGGACCTCCCACTACCGCCTCTACGGTGGAATACCCAGACGTCAATGTCTACTCCCCATGTCATAGCCTCGAGCTCCTCCCACCCCACATCGACATCGACAACCTCCAATGGCATTGTTGGAAACCACTTTCGTGTGGGCAAGAAAATCGGAGAGGGCTCGTTCGGCGTTGTTTTCGAAGGTGTGTTTCTCCTTCTCGTCGTTCTTTGCCATTATAGAGCGGGAGACTTGGCTTTGTGGCTGCTTACACTCCATCGTGGGGGGATGGGACAACACCATCCTCTGTGTACACGCCAGGTGTCTCAGAAACGGAGACGTTTCAACTCTCCTACTTCCCTCAGAGTGGGAATACGCCATCATCGATCCAGAGGGACTACATAATACCTCTTGTTGCTCTCCCGCCGCCGTAGCACCAGCCCTGCGTTACCCACCATCATGACCATTCCTAATGTCGTTGGTTCACCTTAGGTACAAAGATGGTGTCCAATGTCCCAGTAGCCATCAAATTCGTGAGCTATTTCCCCGTGTTTTCACCGCCTATTGCCTGACTGTGTTTCGTCAGGAACCCCGCAAGTCGGATGCTCCACAACTACGAGACGAGTATCGTTCTTACAGAACTTTGAATGGAACTCGTCCGTCGTTTACTTATTTTCACTGCTGGCATGGTACTAATTGTTTTTTGGTTGTCGGTTATAGCCGGTGTCCCCCAAGTACATCATTTCGGGCAAGAGGGATTGCACAACGTTCTGGTAATTGACTTACTTGGCCCCAATCTCGAGGACCTGTTTGATATGTGCGGCCGCAAATTTACCATCAAGACCGTCTGCATGGCTGCAAAGCAAATGGTGCATTTGACGTTCGATCTGCGTCATTTTTTTTTTCTGAAACATTATACTTTCAGGTCACCCGCGTTCAAGCCATTCACGACAAGTCATTAATATACCGCGACATCAAGCCCGACAACTTCCTTATTGGCGTTCCCGGTACGAAGAATGCGAACACTATCCACATCATCGGTGAGTCCTGGCTCAATCAATCCAGCCATCAACAACCCATGCACCCACAGACTTCGGCATGGCCAAACATTACCGCGACCCCAAAACAAAGGTCCATATCCCTTACCGTGAACGCAAAAGTCTCAGGTATAGCTTTCTCTCCCATTATTTGACGGCACGCTAATGTCATGGCCAGTGGCACTGCGCGATACATGTCCATTAACACGCATCTTGGACGTGAGCAATCACGGCGAGACGATCTTGAGTCGCTCGGTCATGTGTTCATGTACTTTCTGCGGGGTGGTTTGCCATGGCAAGGTCTCCGTGCCGCCACCAACAAGCAAAAGTATGAGAAAATAGGCGAGAAGAAGCAAACAACGCCAATTTCCGAGCTGTGCGAGGGGTTCCCTGGTCCGTGTCATGTTGCTGGATCCGTTTAAGCCGCTTATCGCCTGTCATAGAGGAATTCGCCATCTACATGAACTACGTTCGTAAACTCGGGTTTGAAGAAACTCCGGACTACGACTTTTTGCGGGAGCTGTTTTCGAAGGTCTTAAAATCTGCTGGCGAAGAAGAGGATCTGGTGTTCGACTGGATGCTACTCAATGGCGGCAAAGGCTGGGAAGCCAATTCGCGCAGTGTATGCTTACTGCTTTCGATTACTGATGTGTTTCTCACCCTTTCTAGTCGCCCTCCGCTGCTCTGGCGCAAGCACATGCCAACGCCGCTTCACCACACGGCCAGCGTGCGGACCGAGAACATCGTCGCGAAAGGGAACGAGAAAGAGGGCACCGATCATCACGACAAGTGCCAGAAACTACCTCGCCTTCAACCCCACTTGTTTTAAGTCCGGCTCCTGCTCACGTCAACAAGACTCGTAGGGCAGCTGGGACACGGGAGAACAGCAATGGCAACATTGGTAGCGTCCAACCTCTTGCTCCTACGAGGAGGACGAGTCAACAAAATAATGCGCCATTAGCTCCTCATCCCTACGCCGCGGCCCCCAGTGGAAACGGCTATGCGAGTGCTCAAGGCGGTCCGATCACTCCATTGAGAGCCAGTAATGTGGGTCAATTCGGACGCCAATCACCCAGTCAATCACGAGGCCTGGGATTGAATGGAAACGCGATGAACGGAAACGGCTCGGAAAGCTTCCTGTACGGCCAGCAACAGGGCTCGGGCCAAATTGCTGTGGGCGGAACGGCGAGAATGGGGGTGTATGATCAGATGGAGCGTGTTGGCGAGCAGGACGAAGGTCATGGTCGCCGGAAAGGATTTTGGGCTTCGCTTTGTTGCAAAGCTTGACCTGTAAGACAGCAGCACAATATCTGTGACTCTAGAGGCTCAAACCATTGATAGCTTTTCGTTGGAGACGTCGACAAGAAAACCTACTCAACAACACGCTTAATCCTTCGGCACGCCTTGATTAAATTACACGCCCACACGCCCAATTCACGCATCCAACGGTCCTGAAACGCATACCACGACGACGACAAGACTGCTACATTCGCTCCTTCAACATCACCAGACTCTCCGGCTCGAAGCTGGACCGCACTAATGAGGCCTGAGGCCAGCGTTGTCACCGCATCTTATTCTTTGTATATTCACCCATCCGCTCTCAAGCATCCAAAAACTCTTTTGCATTTCTTAACAATGGCACTGCTACTTATTACCTCACGCTCCTTTTCAATCGATGTACTACTTAGCTCATTAATATTTTTTGGTCAAGTGTTTCTAATGGTACAAAAGGTTTCTATCATGCTCAGTCAAGAAGCAACATGCACAGGGACTTGCTCTCCCTCAATCTTGGGAATGATATTCGCATTCTCAAACAAAGTCTCCAGCTCTCCCGATTGGTGCACTGAAAAAAAGACAATTTCAGCGTTACAATGACCTGAGAGTGGAAAAGGACTTGCTTGAGAGGAGAATATCAGCACCACCAACGAATTCCCCGTTTACGTAGAGCTGAGGTATGGTCGGCCAGTCACTTTGATTACATCAGGAATTGACAAATGTCTGCTAAGTATACGCACGAGAACTCTTTGATTCCATTTCGCAGTTCAGGGTCGGCGAGGACGTTGTAGGTGACGACTTTCTCAGAAGGTACTTGTTGCAAACCCAAAATCTGAACCACGGCCCGAGAATAACCGCACTCTGGAGCAGCAGGAGAGCCCTTCATGAACAGAACAACAGGTGACCCAGAAACGGCCTGTTGTATCTTTGAGCGCGCTTCTTGGGATAAGAGTCGTGAGTTTGGAAGACGCATGAAGAGCGCTGGCCGAATGGATAGCATAGAGCGGAGCATGACGGAGGAGGAAGAGTAGTAAGAGTGATGGGCTTCCAAATGGGGTTCTGTCAAAAGTCCTCTTCTCTTTCTTCAACGATGGACGCGAACTCGGCCATTGTGCTGAGCGACGCGGACATCGGAAATGCAATATCTCTCATCCAGGCGGCATACGACCCCAATGCCACAGACACTGCCGCCATCGAGTCTCTGCAAAACTCACTGATGCAAATGCAACGAACCCGGCCAGCTTGGGGGCTCATCGTTCCGTTGCTTTCTCATCAAGACCCCAATGTCCAATTCTTTGGAGCACACACTGCTCATGTGAAAATTTCGCGTGGAGAACTCGAATCGCTGACAACCGAAGAACGCGACGGGTTGAGAGAGACTTTGTTGGCCTTGGTGGCTATTCCAGGCAGAAAGGCGTTCGTTCAGAAGAAGCTGTATGGCACGGTCACGGCGCTGGCAATTCGACTGGTTCCTGGTCATCCATCAGGCTGGGAGAATTGGATCGAGGCCACCGTGAGAGCAATGGTCAACGGTGGCTTGGGCAACGCCGAAATCCATAAATTTCTTACTGGGGCTTCTGAAGACGTATATAATGCAAACCTGCTACCGCAGACCAAGTATGTTGCTTTCACATTCCAATTTATTCCTTGGACTGAATCAAAGTAAAGATTAGAAGTGCAAGAGTCGCTTCGCGTGGCGACACCGTTGGTACTCCAATCTATCGTGACGGTCGTCAACTCTGCCCACCAACAGGAGCCCAGCGGACTACAAGCTGCCCTCGAATGTCTTTCGGCGTGGTATATGGCGAGGTTCATACAACCTGCTGGTTTACTTCCCCTCGTGCCCACACTGATAGCGTTGCTCGACTTCCCTTCTGCGCCGTCTGCCGAAGTCCTATGTGACATCCTTATTCGCCCGCCTGAATCATGGAGTCCTGCCGTTCTCATTGAACCAATGCTTCTCTGGGTTGCACGAATTGCAAGTCCGTGGTATCAAGCCAGCCCCCAACCTGGAAATCCGCCCTGGTATCCAACAGCTCCGGCCTCGCCTAATTTCGCATTTTTGCGAGACTATCAAAAGGTTTTTGATGCCCTAGGCGAGGCGGCGGTAGATTGGGTCGCTGCTCATCTTGTCGATTATACCCTTTGCGAGGGGCTTACCACCGCAGGACCATCATCGGGTCAACCGACGGGCCCAAGCCGTGCATCGCTTGCGCAACTCATCATTCGGGTCATGTTAGCCTTGACCGCATGTGACGAAGGCGGCACTACATTGCCAGAGTGGACGGTTGGTGCTTTGACTATCAACTCGCTTGCATTCTTCCTAAGCATGGTGTAGGACCATCCTGAAGAGATCGATCTCGACGACGAATTCGCGTCGGAGAGTAATAATGCCGGCAGCACGCTGTCTTTCTGGTATATGCTCCAGGAGTCGTTGTGGGATGTTCCGGTTGGTCCTTTGGCTATGTGCAAAGCTTTTTGCTCAACTTAGCAGCCAGCAAACACATATATTTTCTCTGCATTCTCCTCCGGAACATCAACTCCACCTCCAAACGATGATCCAGAGGCCGTCCGTGGTCAGGGCGGAGTTGGAGGTACACCTTTCACTCCTGGACTCAACCGCATTGGCAGTTATTCATTCGGTTCCGCTGCCTCGTCAGCTCAAGCGAATGACACTGGTCCTGATCCATCCACTCAAGCTCGTGGCGCACATGCTGAGGCTGCCTATGTTGCTTTAGTCCATATACTACGAAGGAAATGTGTTTGGAGGCGGTCTTGGCTGACGAACGAGGGGCTATCAAGGAGCGAGAAAGAGCACAAGGATCGGCAATCGCGGTTCAGTCATTTTCGCAGGGAAGTGGGGGATACCTTGGTTAACGCGTCAGTCTCCCTTCAAATCGACTATCTCAGCGCGCTGAAAAATATTCCAGATTCTATATTTTACGGACCGATCTTTTAGATTTCTTTGCTGTCGATTCGATGGGCAGAATAGAACGCGGAGAAGCATGGGAGGTAAGATTTGTCATGATTGCCGTTTGGGCGTAATGAATCACTCTTCCAGGAAATCGAGGCAACCCTTGATTGCCTCGACAATGTGAATGAAGCGGTTGACCTGGAGGTTGCCGCATGTGAGATTGGGACGAAAGCGCCCATCGTTAGCTTGTTTACGCGGCTGTTTGGTGGAGAGCTGTGGGGACGCCTACCTACATCATGTGTGCTTTCAAGTGCGTATTCTAATAGGTCTCTTCCTGAACAAGCGCAGGAGAGGGCCGCCATAAATCGGCTGAGGATAACAGCTCTCAAGTTGATTGGTCAGCAATCGATCATTCGCGCACACGTGACCACCCTGATTTTTCTGGCAGATACATACGCGAGCTATTTCACGCATCGTCCGTCCACGGAGCTTGGCGGACCGCTTGATTATATCCTCGGGGCCCTGTGGGATCAGGACCCGCAAGTTGGTGCAGCAGTACATCGACTTTACGGTTCATTTCCATTTTCTTAATTTCTTACAGGCATCAATTGCTCTACGTGGATTGTGTGATGCAAATCGGCATGCTCTGGCCGAGCGCATAGACTCATTTGCTGCTGTACATTCCCGGATGGACTCTATACCAGTATGGTCACTATCGCTTCCTCTAGCACTTGAAACTTGACCTTGTCAGGAACAATTCCGACAAAAAGTTCTCCAAGGAATTGCTAGCGTAATCCAAGCTCTGGCGCCGATGGATGAAATTGCGCCGCTTGAAGCCATGGTCACGCCTGTTGTGCGAAAGCTCAAAAGTGCTCTTGACGCTGCAGTGACGGTGGGATAATCTCCTTGCGTGACTCTGGAGGCAAACTGAAGAATTTTTATTAGCATCCCGAGGCTGCTCGTGCTGTCTCTATCCAGCATTTTGAAATCATCGCCGCTATCGCGAAGGGATTGACGCACGTGACTGACTCGTTGGGTAGCGACAACAGCGACCAATCCGAAATTATGGTACTGCGGACTGCTCGAGAAGATCCACGGATGCAAGCAGCACGTGACGGTATTTTCGAATGTATCACACGGACAGCGCAGCTCTGGAGTGACGATGCTGAGGTTGGAATTGTAAGTCCAACCTAAGAGCACTTCATTCAGCTCACCTTTCTCTGCCAGATGCTTAGTGACCTTTTCAAAGGAATCACAGCATTGCCTGATGACATCACGCTACTTTCCCTCCCTCCAGCGCCGCTTTTGGGCATCGTTTGCCAAGCCGCAACCCGGAAGCTAACGGCGGTGTGGCTTTTCTTTAGCGACAATCCTGATCGGACAGCTCAATCCGCCTCCATTACTACTATCTGACAAATCAGGTCCCACCATTGAAGCGGAGGAATGTGTTCAAAGCTCTTTGCGGACCCTTGTCAGTGCTGGACTGGGTGTATTTGCGGCGCCTGGGGGCATAATTGAGGTGAGAATTTAAAATCATGATAGCGCCGACCTACAACCTATTCTGATAGCCAGATATTGTCCAAGAATTCTTCACGTGCATGGATCGCGTGGCGCAAGACTTTACGACAGCATTCTGCGCTTTACCTGATGGTGCATTCGACGCCCTCATCCAATTTGCCATCAATGTACTGTCGATGCAGGAGCGATACTCGCTCGTCGCTTCTTGCTCTTTCCTGGTATAGACGTTTTCACGACCTGTTTCTTTCGTTGGTTCATTCTTTCTAAAAGGGGACTCTCATTCACCGCACCGCCCTCTTTGCTGTCCTATCGCCCGATCTTCTCAAGCAGCTTCAAGCGCACATCATCCGCGTCCACGGTCGGTTGATTATGCGCGCGGTTCTATCCGGATTCGCTGGTGCAGCCCCCCGAAGTGCTGTCAACAACATGTTGGAGCTTTTGAGCGCTATCGTGACTCGCTGGGACGAGCAGGCCGTTGCGGAAGCATACGCTGCCACCGATTTCAAACCCCAAGGCGGCGCCCGAGCGTGGGCTGCAGAAATCGTCTTCGCCGACGACTTTTACCCCTCGCGGGCCGGGCCCGAGGCCAAGCAGCGTCTGGTCAAGACTCTGATGAGGTAGTCTTTTTTTTTTGCGTCAAACTACCCAAATGATAAACTGGGAACAGCTCGCGCTCGGTGAAGAAGACGAAGGAAGCAGCAAATCAGTTCATGATGATTGCATGGGGACTGGAAGGATCAACGTTTGGGTACTCAAGTACAGCTTGAGCACCGCCACTGGAAGGGACACAACCTCGATGTATCATGCTAGCTTTGCTCCGTTGTACTTATATTTACTATCAAATTTAAATTGAAACTCAGCATATTAAACAGTATTAACTCCAAGCAAATAACAAGGCACAAATCATTACGGATATGAATCTAGAAAGGAGTTAGGTGGATAGTAGTCAGTGAAAGTCAACGCACAAAGTAACCATCAACGGAGATGCGGTTCTAGTAGTAAATGCGAGTGGTCGTGGGATGCGTTGGATGAGTGTTGGTACACTGTTTGATTTGAGTTGCGGGATATGAATTCTATGCAGATGCCGGTGGATGAGGGACAGAGAGCGAGGGCAAGACGAGAGAGAAGGAGAAAATAGACAAGATCACGGGGAAGCGACCGGAGTAACGGCGGAAGCAGTTGCAGGAACAGACTGGGATGAGCGTCTTCAAGACGGAGGTGGCGATATCATGGTGCTAACCTCCCCACTGCATCGTTCGTGGTGACGATTACGGACATGGGGGGTCACAAATCCCTGTCCGCATCTGTCGCAGATCCAATCCTTTTCCCCGTTGTGAGATTTATAATGGACTAACGGGAAAAATGTGAATGAGAGGGAAGCCAAAAAAAAACTTACATTTGAGGTTATGCTTTGCCGTAAAATCAGCATTGCATATCTCGCAAATAAACGAGCCGCGTTTCTTGGGGTTTTTGCGACGGTTCCTTGCCGCATTCCGTGACGCGGCCGACCCGATCACACGTTTGACACCATCGAGCTCTGGTGTCAGTTCTGGCTGTGGTAAAGAGTTGTCCACCCATTGGTATTGGCGACTTGAGAACGAAGCATGTTGATCCCCCCACTCAGTCGTGGTTGGCATACCCGTTGTCGGAGAGCGAGGATAGGGTGAATAATCGCGATGACGATGGTGACTCGGAGATCTCAACAACGTCGGTCGTGTGTTGCCGCTTGACACCCCCTGGGAAGGGATCATGACTGGAGGGAATGACGAGTGGGTGCGAGCGTCTTCAGTGGTGCGATCGAAAGGCCGAACAGGACTGGAATAGTCCGAGTCTACAAACGAATGGCTCGAAGGTGAGCGAAGCGTCTTAACCTCTGGGTAGGAATATAGCTGGGATACTTCCGGAGTTGAGCCATAGAAAGAAGCGAGGTATTCTGACAACGAGAGCGGGTAGTCTTGACTGGGAATCTGTGGAAAATGGCCGTCCATGCGATCGAAAAGAACCGAGTCTGTGGCAGGGAATCTGGGAAGGTCAAGAGAGAGCCGGTCGAGTGAGATCGCGAGGCTCTCGCTGGCTGGCTGTTCGCGCGTAATGGTTCGGCGGCGGATTGGGGCTCTTCCTCTATGTTCATTGTCGAGGTCAAAAAGGTCAAGTAATGAATGAGATGGATCTTCGTGGGTCGGCAGTTCGGAGGAGAAACTGCTGTCACCCGTGAGAGGCCATGCATTGAAACTTTGTGGGGGCGAAATCGCGTTGGGCGAGGGCCACAATGGCGGAGGGGATTGACCAGTTGAGTAGTCCGAAGCAGACCCTACTAACGGGAGAGAGAAGATTATCACCCGTTTGTGGTTGGATAGGTATTGTCACGCGAGGATGAGGTCGTTCAGATGGTACAGATTGCACAGAGATGCTTGGAATTTCCGGACCGTCTTCGTCGTCCACAGCGGAGTCGGTAAAGTCACCAGACCATATTTGACCATATAACTGCGAAGCAAGAGGATAGGCACCATCTGAGGCGGAGCGCAGTTGCATGCTATTATTTGTGGGAAATGGGGAGACATGGTGGTGGCCAAAGCTCCGTCGCGAATGAAAGGCAGTCGTAGGTTGATACGTGTGGTTACGGGCGTGGTCATTTGGTTGACTGGAGAATTGTTAGAAAAGGCTTTGAGAAGGCTCAAAAGACGCACATATGACCACCAGTATCTATGCGTTGTGGTTGTAAGTCAAGACGTCGGTGTTGAGGGTGGAGGTATCGCTCAGATAGATCCATGATACCAAAAGGTCCGATGGTGGGCGTGCGCGCTCTTGTCAAGCACTGAGCTCAAGAACAGCTTTAAGTACGAGCAGGTTAAAATAGACTGACTCACCACAGCACTTCTTGATAAAGAAGAGTTGGCCCACTTCTTTTGGACTGTGACCCGACCCAAATCTCCAACTGGATGAACCGCGATACTGGCTTTGCCGAACAATCGGCGGAAGTGCACCCACAAACTCGAGTACCCGGGGAGGGCAATTTGTAGGTGGGGATGGCAGTACAGCGGAGACCTTGCTAGTCGCCGTTTGAGATCAAAATGTTGGCCGACCTGATAACTGGAAAGGGTTCATAACGAGACTTTGCACTGAAGGCGGCGAAATGGCGATGCAAATGCGACTGTGTTCAAAGCACGAATTCCGGTGCGAGGTGGCATCTGGGTGACCTGCCAGAAACAAGTCAAATTCTCCCTGCCCAACCCTTCATCTGAACACAACTTACACGTTGGGCTCAGGGCAACACGTTTGGTCTTGAGCGCAGAGACGGGCGCGAGAAGATCGATGAAATTAAATGATGCTTGTCTCAACAGCAGACCCTCTTCAAGTCGGGCTCATGTGTGTCGTTCGGGAATTATCGGAAAACAGCTGAATAGATAGACACATGAGCCTCAGGACAAAGATGGGTGTGTGTAGAGGTCTTTGCCCTTGAGTCTCCATGATGGTGGTATTGGACCAACAATCATGTCCAAGTTTGTATTCGAAGGGAACAACGGGCCGTGATAGAGCGAGCAGAGAGGGTGTGACCGGTGACAGGTCACATACGACTCGGAAAATTTGTTTGGAGTAGCCTACGATACATGTACATATATGGCACCAACTTCAACTAGGGGTCTGCGCGCTAGCGACGCAGACTGAGACCTTGCTTTATAATCTCTATCTGTCTTTTCAGTCCCCAGTAAGAGATCATCGTCAATATCAATGAAGTAGGCTGAGGCCTAGTCTCGATTCCAGACGTTCGTGAGCGGCAGGCGAGCAAAGCTCGCCGGAACAGACGCTTGACATTGCCGGGGTAATTTTTGATGGGAGGAGTGATGGAAGAGGGCTGATTTCTCTGGCGTGATGGGTGATGGTACATCCCCGCATCACGTCCGGCATGTCCCCACCGCCCTCGAACGATCTGGGACCGAGATTAGCTGAGGCCGTAAACGGCAGGAGTCGAGTCATCCAGGTGATCAGGGATCAGATCTGTCAGACTGCGGACACATGGAGTTGAATGTTTAAACTCATAAGTGTGACGGCGTAACAATCGTAGTTGTTCTTCGCCACTATGTCGACACCCTCACAGGAGAGCATAAAAACAGAAGCCCTTGAGATAGCGGTCGAAACAGAGGACGTAGGGCGCGAAGGTTCGTTGATGGCTGACGACTCCATATCGGTTGCCGGAGAAGTACGTGATGGCTCCGAAGATCGCGACCAACGTGACGCCGCTTCGGTTGCCAAAAGTGTGCATGACGACTCCGAAGATGATGCAAAGCATTCGACGTCTACATTGGACCAATCGAAACTGGTCGCATAAACAAAATGCTGGCTTCAATGGTGGGGAAGGAAGGCTTCGTCAAAATGACCAAACCACTCACACCTCATAAGTTGGGCCAAGCATTACCTATTGCTCTAGACGAAACAGGCTTCCGGATACATGTCGCAGCAGAGTGGATAGAACCAATCCACAACCCACACAGCACTACTTGCTTCTCAGACGACTCTGATTGGAGCCGCATCTTAATCATCGGACTAGACAAGCACGACGACGATGAATTCATTGGACAATATGGATGGGTGCAAAAAACCGATACTAGAACAATCTTGTGTGTAACCATTGTTGACAACGACACAGGAGTTCCACTATTAGTTAGAGAATTTGACCGTATATCTTTGTGTCGAGCCAGCTGTAGTAGATTTGGCCCACCTCCCACTTAATGATCTGTTTGGCTCTGTTTACTTTTCATGTTTACCTGTGTTTGGCACCCCAATTTTCCACATACAGGACCTTGTAAAGCAAGGTAATTAGTTTTCAAGTGTGCACGACGACGGTAATGGTAGAAATGCTGTCCCTCCTCGCTATGAAGCCGATAATGGTACTGGATATGGTTTGGCTCGACTGGAGCTGCCACATTGTCAATAAGGGCGGAGAACGAATGAAGACGAGGCCTTGGTGTGATTAGGTGACCGATAGTAAGACCTGCTGCTGATTGCGTATCGGTTGATGTTGAAGATAGTTTCTTCTTAGATTTGAAGTACTTGCTATTTAGCCTGTGGGACTGAGGCAGCGGAGGGCTTTGGTCGTCCTTCTTTCCGGAACGCCGAAAAATGCCATGCATCAGCCTTTTCAGCGGATTCAAATCAGTGGCCAGTACATTCCGCTCTTTGCGCTGCAAAGTGGACGATTTGTCATCTCCTCCTTTCGAATTCGAGGATGCCACTCCAATGACGGGAGCCTCAGACGCGGTGGGATTGTTACGGTGCTTCCAGGCCGCAACCGCATCCGGAGGAGGAACGTGGACTGGGGGTAATGGCCAGTCGAGGCTAGACAAGTTGGGACTTGCTGCTGATGAAGCAGGTTCGCTTTCACGGAAGGGAGCGTTTGGACGACGCCCGAAAAATTCATCATAGTCAAAATCAACAGTTCGACAAAGATCGCGCAAGCCAGTCTCGGTTCTGGCTGCGTTGAAGGTGCCCTTCGTGGAGTCTGAACGCGGGTTGGAATCGAGACTAGTCGAAAGAGATTCGGATTCAGAATTTGAGCCAAGACTCAAGGGATTTCCGTAGGAAGAGATGGAAGAGGTTCTGGAGTGGGTTAGTTGGTAAGCCATAGGTTATTGCTTGTGTTGGTGGCTTCCACGGCTATATATTATCTAGGAAAGACCAAAGCTCAAAGCGCGGACAATGGCTCGGCCTGAGCGGATGCAAAAGCGCGATGTGGTCTGGCCAGACATTTGAAGCTCAAAGCAACATCAGTTCAACAAAGGCGATAAAAAGTCGGTCTGTGATAAAAGCAAGAATCTGTTCTGGAAACAATCTGGAAATCGAAGGGTTTGCCGCTGCCGCTGTGGCCAGATCTTCTTACGCTGAGTTCGCCGCTGCCTCCGTCGTGCCGTCAGAGACTATTTTTGTTGACATATTTGTTCGGAGTCAAGCCGCCTGTAACGACTATGGATGTCTTCAATTGAGTTGAACCGGCTTTACGCTGCCAGGATGAACAGTGAAGGTCGCGGCGGAGAGACATTTCGCGTCACTATTTTGTGTGACACCAGTTGCCGCCGATGACCGAATGTGCAGCCGCCCAACTGGCGGCCAACTTTGACTGAACGTTTCTCATACAAGTAGTAACTATATCTCTACCCTCTTTCCCTCTCGACCTCATGCCCATCCTAGCTTTCCAATCACGTCTCGACACTCTTCCTCTCGAACTCTTAGAACTTATCGCTTTCGAACTTACATGTCTAACGCCTCTAGGTCCTCCTTCAGCCCTCCTTACCCTCCTTTTGACCTGCAAAAGCATTAACAATGCTCTTTCGAGGAGTATGGTGCTTTACTCGCGAATTTTTCATTTCAAATTTGATACGTCTGCTGTTCAACGAAGAGCATTCAACCCGACACCAGCGCAATATTTTGATCAGCTCGTGCTTTACTGTACCCAGCTCCAAAAACTACGCAGCCAAGTGCGGGCTGACGATTGCGACGACGTCCTGTTTTCGGCATTCCTTATGATGCTTGAAAACGATGGTCGCAACGCGGCACAATTGGAGCATGCAGGTCTCGATTCTTATTTGGATGTTTTCGTACGAAGCCGGTTGTGGGATGGCAGGGCATCAGCCCACGGTTGGCCGACGGACAACACGGCCAACGCTTGTGCGTTGTGGCTGGTTTGGATGACAACCTCTGAGAGTGAGTTATCCATCAGCGTTTCAATTGGTACAAGCTTATTTTTGACATCGAGAAAAACTCAAGGCCGAATCTCCAGCCAGGAGAAACCAAATGATTCAACTTGTTTTACCATTTGTTCTCCTTCCTTATCGAGTGGGTTTTCCTCTCAGGCATGGCTCGTCCTGTAGTTGATCCTCCGCCAGTATGCCTCTGCATTTGCACCACTTAATCACTTTGTCCTTCCAGTGCAAGCAAGTGTCGATATCCAACCACATTCCATTCTTACTGCTCACGGTCGCTACCCAATATACCTGGACCCAGATCGAGTCTGGTCCCAGGTTCATTATGCCTCTCGCCCGACTATGATTCCGCCACTGCTTACCACTGCGGCAAAACTGGTATATTTTTCTCGGCGAGAAACAGAACCATTCGGAATTCCCAGTCATCTACCACTTGATCGAGACCAAGCTATCCGGATGGGGAGGACTCAAGTTGGACCTACACAAGCTGATATACAAGAAGTAAACGCTCATTTGAACGAGCAACTCCCCCAACAGCGTCTACCCGAATGGGATTTGGAGAGAGGTTCCTCAGGGAGTGACCGTCTCAGCAAACGATGGGATTGTGACTGGTGGCGGGTTCGCAAATGCATGGACGCCTTCCGAGAAAACGACCGGCGATTGGGACCCACCTACGAGCCTGGCACTTTCACAGGGCTGTGGCAGGGTAGAATGCTCGTGAGCGCTGGTTTTGAACAGAGGCGTTGTAACTCACGTGAATTAGATTCCTAGCGAGCACCATTTCACTGCCCTTCTAACCACCCGTGATTACCCTCCTAGCTTCAACGAGAATTTGCTCCAAACAACGACCTTTCCACTCTTCATGAGGATTCACGAGCATCACTCCCGTGCGCCAAATCAACCTGCACCACCTTGCGACGATGTTGTGTCTGGCTATTTTCCACCAAAAACACGTATCGCCGGTCTTAACTCACGCAGCGTTGTCGTTCGCGTTGGAGATGGTGATGAGTCGTATGAGTACTCGACCCATGGCTCACCCGGTGGACCAAGTCATGATTCCGATTCCTGTCCGAGTTGTGTGGCTAGGGAGGACCTTTTGCGGCAACAAAGATCGCGAGCTACTGCTGCAGCAGCAGAAAAAATATTCTCACGTTTGGGAATGGGTCTAACTTCGGATGACGGAGAAGATGACTTAGAGGAGCAAGAACGCGAGCCATCTTGTGACGGAATACAAGACATCATTTTCACAGGCGAGGTATATTACTCTGGCTATGAATGAATTCGAAACCAACACTAATGGCTCTTTAGACGGACTTGCATCACGGCCAGGCTTGGAATCATTTCGAATTCTATGGTCGAGTCCGTCTATGGGATGGCATGATTGGTCTTCTTCGTGTTTCGGTTGGTTTGGGTCACTCGTGTCAGAGACACCACTAACTGGATGTGCAGACAGACCCACGACGCGGGACGCTGTTGTTTTACGGTTACCTTGTTGGAGCTCACAAATTCGTGGGCAATTGGCGCTCTGCTCATCAAGACACAAATGTACCGGCATATGAGAGCGCATTCATGATGGCACGGCGGAGCGACGACTAAAAAATTGGGCACAGTGGTCATATGGTGGTAGTTGAACGTGTAATACGATTCCGAGGACGTTTTCATGACATAATACTGCATACTTAATGCTCACCGTTCAGGATGAAGTCAACAGAACTACCGTTGTGGAACCATAATAGCCTACTTTTGGTCTTCAAATGCTGTCATGCCGCCTCAGGCTGGGAGTTCAGTGAAGCGGGCGTTGGGGTTGGCCACTCACCTTCGATAAGTTGGTGAATTACTAAGCCCGTATAGCAAGGAAGTGAGGCTCTGGAAAGCCAAAAAAACACTCAAAGGAACGGCAGTACCCACCACTATTCAAATTCCGGATGCCATGGCCAGAAGGCAATACCGTAGGGATCTGATGGTGGAGCGAGAGGGAATGTCCGAGCAGCGGCTCTACCTCTGCCGAGGGCAGTTGGCGATAAGTCTACAGAGGAGAGAGCTTTCTTCTTGACTGTCTCAGTGCCTGCTCGCTGACCAGGAGGAACTGTGTCACGGCGTGATCACCTTGGTACAGGCCCACTACGAGGTGACGAGGCTAGGTTCCCAGCCGATATGCGGTAAAGTTTTCACGGCTCGGACCAGTTGGTAAGCTGAGTCCAATGCATTGTGTGACCTGACGTGAAGCAAGCACCGATTCATTGGCAGATATGTTCAACATGTTCAAGCGCTCTTGCTCATTCGAAGTTTGCCCAGACCGACTGCGCCATAAGGCTTTCACATCAACAACGAAGCAGGCTAGCGCTGTGACCGAGAAAGTGGCGCATTGATAGAAAATACGCACACGCTGCATCTACAATAGACTTCTGTGGGTCCCAAGACACGACAGCAACATTGATGGCGATATGGGTTGGTAAAGGTGGTTTAGTTGCTAAAAGTCGATCCAAACTCGTTCGAGCTTTTACAGAAAACCGACCGTCCTTTAAACAAGTCAATCATTATCAGTTCCAACGAGACGGATTTGCAGAGTTTAAGGAGTCACCGAGCCATAGGAATCCAACGCTCCAGCACCGACACGTTTCGGAAGAGAGCTGCAGAGTAAGATATATGATGAAACTGAATTTGAACACATCTAGTAAAATGATCCAGATTTCCCCAGCCAACCCACAGAATCTCCGCAACTCGAGAGTAAACTCCAGATTGTTCATGCTGCAGAACCGTCCCCAGCTTCGCATTGGCGGTCTGGAGCCCGACACCATGCGATAAAGAGTCAGAACGCAAGTTCTTCCGCAGGAAAGCCAAGACCACTAGATTTGCTGCGCGAGTGATGACAAGTCCTTTACTTCTTCTGTTAGAACTTGAAAAGACGGTTAGGAAGATGGTAAGTCATGGTCCCTCTAATTGGTACGTAGCTCTTTCTTCCGGATCCGGTGCTAGAAGTGCAGAGCTGGTTGCTTGAGAATTGGGTCAGGAAGGGAGGGCCGAAGCACGCCTAGATGTCGAGCGACTCCGGTCTAAGCAGTCAGTCGCTGTGGAGGTTATTGGGATAGATAATTGCTTCAGGTGTGCTTTGCTCCAACGCCTTCCAACGCTCGTCACAGATCACGGCCCGACCTCAAGTTGGTTGGACAAGGTTGGAGTAACACACAATCTTTGCCTTGGTTCTTTGCTACCGTCCAAGGGTTTCAGCCTGTCAGGATCCTTCACAACGCCAAGACTTCTTCCCGGTCATTGAAACGGAGACTACTTGGGGCGGCACCAGACATCGTGCAATTTGAACCACCAACCGAGTGTAGAGCCAACTTGTTGAAGTTCTCGCCTCTATAACTCGAAGGCGAAACCGTGGCACACCCACCCAACGGTCTCGGAAATGAAACTAGGCACTCGAGGTACGTGTCCGCCACCCTCCCAGTCATGGATTGTGCTTCAGTGTTCAGCCTCGGCGGCTGACCGGCGCAAAACGGCTCCAAGTGAGTACGAGTGACTGTACTGTACGACACTCACTTCTTGGGGTCAGATGGACATCGAAAGCTGAAGACATTCCAGTCACCATGCATATGCTCCCTTCACTTCAAGCAAGCGCTGGCAAGCTGACAAGGTGCAAGGCTCGAGTTTTATTCCTATACTACTCTGCTTCTCATGACCTTGTCAAAAAAATCAAACTACAGCAGACACCATGAGCGAGAGGAATAGTATCAAGATCTAGTGGTTTTATATGTCCATCCGACTTTGTTTTTCCTACTCGTATTACTGTAGTACGTTGGTACAATCAAATATCAGGCGTGAGTATGTCGGTGCAGTTAGTATCATGATTCAAGGATCATGCATGTGCAATTGCCAAGCTGGTAGCGAAAGCGACGTGAGCGAACAAATGCCTGTAAGTGATATTGGGACCAACAATTCCGTTGCTGCAGCACGACTCCCTTCCCCCCGTAGCTGAAGGCAGCATGGACAGGGAAGCGAGAGTGGTTCTGTAGCCACGGGATTTGGTGGTCCAGCAAGTCGTTTATCCTGGCAATCTGAAGGCGATAGTCAAGCTTGGGCAGCGCTCCAGGGGAAGGACCGGGTGGGTCTTTTTATACCAGTCTAAGTCGAGGGTTCTGATGTGTTCAGAAGAAACCCCATCTGCAATGCCGGAGCACCCGAGATCCACTTTGCGAAGTTGACCGTGCCAGTGATGCCCCACTGGTAATGTGTAAAGTCTGAGCAGAAACAATCAGTTGAACGGGGCAAAGACAAACAAACATGCAGGTCCCACACTGGCGGAATTTACAGTAAGCGTCCTTGTTGTAGATTTGCATGAGAAATGTGAATCATGATGTAGCCACCATTTGCCGATAGTACCAAGTATTTGAAGCAATTGCCAGTGGCAGATCTAGATCTGACTTTAAGCTGACAGTCCAATGTTGCTGCTCCTTGACGGTTGAAACTAGAAGCTCCTTCCGTTCGCATGGCTAGCCACTGGCACGGGCCCTTTCGAGATATTGACAAGATGGTTCCTGCGCGAGGCATCGCGACATTCCAACTCGCCAACGTGGCCATAGCCATTATAAGAACCAAATTGGACGGAGGATGCTGTGGGACGGATTCAAGCCACATCCAACGATGTCGCAATGCATCTGGAGACGCTATGTGTATGAGCTCAGCCATGGCTGGAAGAAACAAAGGGCCTGAGGTATCAGATCGAATTGAACGCTGATCTAAGGATTTTCAAGCCAGGAGCTAAGTCTCGTTTTAAAGTTTGCCTGGAAGGACAGTCCTCTGCTCCTCGTCCCATAGGCTCCACACATAGCCGACATCTGCGGGGATTCCAGACTTAGCCACCTCATCGTACACCCTTTTCACTGCATCTGGGCCAGATACCCGGACAAGTTTAACCCACGACACGCAGTCCGTCATCAGCTCTTTCCAGGCGCGTTTCTGACGACTGAAGATCTCGTGCAAAGATAATTGATGTTTGCGAACGCTGAGCCATTCGACCATAAAGAAGTTCTCCATTTGCAACGCTTCCTTATTTGTCTCCGAAAAGGTATTTGTCTGCCAATCAATTTTTGCCACTTTCTTAGAAGCTGGAGCGAGCGAAGTCATCCCAAGGGAAACGGCACCCGCGAGTTCGCCATCGTGGAAGTGTTTAAATAGGCGTGCATTGAGTTTGTCGTTGCCCGCCACATCGATATATAGCCACTTGTCGCTTCCTTTGCCCAACCCCCGCTCAAGCTCTGCGTACTCCAGAACCTCGTCATAGAGTCCAAGCCCGCGTGTGAAAGCGATGTTCCGCTGAGAGGTCAAGCCGAAAATTTTGAGAGATGCGTCAGTTTGTCCGCAAGTCCGCCGCTTTCGGATAAGATAGGCGGTGCAGAAGGCAGTTTTGGCAGAAGCACTCGATATGAGCACGTTTGTTGCTCCGCGATAGTGAACCGAATGGATCCAGTCTTCAAACCAATAAGCGGTCCAGAAGAGAGGGCGGTACAGCATTGTAAGATCTTCTGCTGGCTCTGTGGGAATATATTCTGGGTCTGAATCGCAGCGTGTGATTTGGTTGTATGGTCGGCGATCTACTTTGCGTCAAACACTCTCCACATTTATGAAGGATTCGAGCCTGCCTGGAGGAAGATGCGGTCGAGGCACATAGAAGGCATGCCGATTTACGTCCGAAGCCGAAACGGGAACGAGGAGATACTGGCACGGGGCGAGATACCCATAAACGCGCTCTCCAACAGATATTTTGTTGTGCGACGACGCAACAACGGTAGCAAAACCCCAAACAGGTACGAGCCCATGAGTAGTCTGAGGAAATCGAGCCATTTGTTCACTGGCAACGTTAATTGGTAGTATATGCACACACCTTGAACTCAGGAGGAGCGGCGTGAAAATCAAAGTAACTGGATTGCGTATTAATAGGCAATTAGACATTGCAGAAAGGCGTCAGGACAACTGACCGGAAATGTGAATGTTCCCCCAGAGCTTCGTATGTTATATTGTTGGCAGAAAACCCAAACCGTTCGACCTTAAGCAGCACATGGTTTGGAGGAAGCGCTTGAATGGGATGAGACACAACGATAGCATGCTCGGCAGTTGAATCCAAAGCGGAGGGACGGCGCACACAGAATGAGAGATTCTGGGAAGTCATATTAGTCGACGGTTTGTCGTCTGACCAATAAATACTTGACCGGCGAAGATGTCGCCGGTTGTAAAGTCTTTGCGATCACGAGACACTCTGGTCCTGTGAAAACTCAAATTTCCCGGCCGATCTCTATTTGCATACGGTAGTCGTAAGAATTAAAGTCCAGAAGCAACGAAAGGATTGGGTTAGACGAGCTCCCGCTCATCGTCGTAGGATTTGAGGAGTCAGTCGTCACACTCGTCACATACCAACAACACCCCCATCGAAATACCCAAGCTTGTGTGTGTGGTATTCACAGAAGCGACGAAAGCACTTTCCTAGGGTGTGGGCTCGGCTCCTTTTCTCATGTCCTTCTTCTCGTCGACGACGTCGAGCGGCCTGACGGCCACCGCCGCAAAGGATGTTGAGCTTGGCGAACCACCAAACGATTCGATCTCTTCTCTTGCTTTCAGCAACCAAGCGGACTTCCTTGCAGTAGGATCATGGGAGAATAGTGTGCGCTTTGCCCGTCTTTCTAATATTTTGGTCTTATTTTGACGCGTCCAAGGTACGAATATACGAGATTGGCCCAGGTGGGAAGAGTCAAGGCAAGGCCATGTACCAACACGAGGGCCCCGTGCTCAGTGTCTGTTGGAGTCAGGTAGCGCGAAATGCTTCCCCGTTGATATCTTGCTGATTGCATTCAGGATGGGACCAAAATTCTTTCAGGCGGTGCAGATAATGCGGCTCGGATGTTTGATGTCACGACGGGAGCTACAACTCAAGTCGCGCAACACGACGCGCCAATTAAAGCAGTTAGATGGGTTGACGCTCAGGGCGGGATTCTGGCAACAGGTAACACTATTCATGAGTGGGGTTTCCGCTGATCATATCTTCCACAGGCAGCTGGGACAAGACAATCAAGGTTTGACTTGTAACAACAACGCGCAAAGCATTCCTAAACTCTTCCTACCAGTATTGGGATCTCCGTGCGAGTCAGCCGGTCGCCAGCGTACAGCTACCTGAGCGCTGCTATAGCATGGACGTTGTTTATCCCTTGATGGTTGTTGGGACGGCTGAGCGCCACATTCAGATTTACAATCTGACAAACCCCACCACCGTTTTCAAGGTAACATACTGCGCCAACAAAGACAACCTCTTGACCTTAACCAGACGATGCAATCACCTCTCAAATTACAAACACGAGTTGTGTCATGCTTCAAAGCTTCCACGACGGGCCAAGGCTTTGCTGTTGGTAGTGTCGAAGGCCGTGCAGCTTTCCAGTGCGTCATAACGCGAGTCGAAGTTGTACTGATCGGCCAACTCTTCTTACAGATATATCGAAGACAAAGATTCTGCGTAAGCCTTTGTAGTCTTTCATACGTTTGGTCCTTAGTCAACCTTCTTATAGGAACAACTTTTCCTTCCGTTGCCACCGAGTGAATGCAACGGCGCCGTCCAAGGACGTTACAATATATGCAGTCAATGACATTTCCTTCCATCCTGTCCATGGGACTTTCAGCACCTGCGGTGGGTGCTTTTGTCGTTAATTTTTATTCAACTGCTCATCAAGAGGCAGGCGGTGATGGTATGCCCAAAACGTGCTGCGTCCAGATTTAGTTGACAATTACGATGAACCAGGATCCATTGGCTACTGGGATAAAGATGCACGCGTTCGGCTGAAAAGTGTGGCTTGCATTTTCCACCGGTTCTTGTTGCTCAATACTTTCACAGCCTTCGATGCAGCTCCAGGACCCATCTCGTCAAGTGCCTTCAATCGGGATGGTTCCATTTTCGCGTATGCGGTTTCGTACGACTGGAGCAAGGGCCATGCAGTAAGTTTATGGCTCCGCCAGCCTCAGGGAAGCTGACCCTTCCAAGGGAATGACCACTGGACACGTCAACAAGGTACTATCCTTTTTTTCCACCCTGTTGCCCTAATTGAACTTGACTGCGAAGGTTATGATCCATTACACCAAGGAGGACGAGGTAAAAAAGAAACCTGCTCGACGGTGATCTATGGTTATACACGTAGTCTTAACGTTTGTCTCTGTAACGAGACAGAATATCAGAGATTTGAGTCATGAGCTTCGGGTTATTATTCTACACAATTATTGGTTGATGCTACAAAGAAACCGCCCATTTCTACAAAACGAATGCGAGACTAAAAGGTAGGAACGTCGAACATGTCATCGCGATCTGGACATAAGCATTAGATGCTGTGTGTTATAAGAACGGGGTCATACCTTTGCCGTTGGCGTAAATATAGTCTTTCTCTTTGACGGCCAGGTGCTTCACATACGACTCGTGCTCGTGGGCATTGACAGCCACCTTTGGATTGGAAAGTGCACCGCCCCGGATAGCAGCCGCGGCAACATCGTAACGAGAGGTGCAGTTGCCGAGCATCATCTAAGAAGACCCATATCAGTCTGAGGTTTTGCAGAGGAAAATTACACTGTACATCGAATGGCGATGTTGTTGTACCCTCTTCCCGATAACCCTCAATGGTGACACGGTCGAGATTGGGTCGCCCAAAGAGTAGACCTTGGAGTTCGATAGGGTAGCCATGGTAGTTGAAGTGAATGGGCTTGTCTCTCGTGAACAGCGCGTCGAAGGCGGCGTCGCTGAGCGCATGGGGGTGGGCGCCGTGACCAGACAGAATCATCAGATCTGTGACATTAACAACCCGAACACGGAGAGCAGGAACCAGCTGGCGGAGAAGAGCTGCTGCTGCGATCACTTCAAAGGTTACTTCGACGCCGACACCAACAAGCACACTGGGATAAGACATGATTAGAATTCAATCAACTTGAGAGAGATAAAAGCAACGAACACGTCGGGATCGACACCATCGTCAGTGCTTGCAAACTTCCAGACAGACGCGCCGGCAATGCAATGCTATAATCCATCGAATTGACTTCCAAGTCTGAAGGAATGCATCAAACCCATACCTTGTCTGCCTCCTCTGGCGAGAGCCACACGGCAGTTGGTTGTTTGCTCCCAACAATCAAATTCACGTAGTTCTTGGCACGCAAGCAATGCGCCATCGTCGACAGCGCGCAGTTGGCATCCGGTGGAAGGTATACGCGGGCTTGAGCGGGCTTGAGATTTAGGACGGCGCCAATGAATGCGCTGCAAATTGGGTTAGAGCGAGAGCTCAGAGTCGGTCAAAATAACCCACGGATTTTGATGCGAAAAGCCGTTGTGTTCTTGCCTCGTCCAAGTCGACGTTTCCACGTAGTTGAGTGAGCCAACTGGTTGTCTCCATTGAATTTCAGAAGACTAATGAGTGTGTGAGACTATGGAGTTCCGAAAACACGAAGTAAACGCACCATCTTCGTAAATTTGCTGTATTGCACCATCATTGTCTGGATGATGCCTAGGAAGGCTTCATAACTTGGGAGAAGACCGGTGCGCCCAGTGAGCGTATAGCCCTGGAGCATGCCTTGACAGGTGTGTTCGGAGAGTATCTCGATGACGCGACCACCTTGAGCTCGCGATTCAATATCCCATTGGAAGTTCCGCGAGCTCTCGTCTAGAACGGCGTCGAGTTTATTGGAAACGAGCTCGTCCGGCGAAAAAATTCGGAATTGCTTGGGGTTTCTACATGAAAGTTAGTGGCGTTGCGTGAATGTGATCGTCAAACATACTCTGCGACAACGCCACGAAGAAGGCGACCAATCGCCTTCATACAGCTATCCTGAGACGCCTTCTCAGCACCCAACTTCTGCCAATCGGGGACGACGATGGGTTGATAAGCACGGAAGCTTTCTTTCCGTTGACCCAGTCGCTTTTCGGCAGACTCAGGGACAAGGGAGAGAACCTCTGGGACTGGAACGCCATCGGAATTGAACAACTCCTCTGGATGATAGGACTTGAGCCACTCGTTTAGAGCAGCGAGCTCTTCAGGCGAAGTCTTAGCGCCTGGAAGAGGGACTTGATGTGAACGGAAGGAGCCTTCGATGAATTCGCCATGGAAGGTTTTCGGTCCCCCCAGACCTTTGGGTGTCCGCAGAATAAGCACGGGCCATCGAGGTTTTACGATTGGATTGCCGTTACGGGCAGCCGACTGTATCTTTTTTATTTCAGCGAGAGCCCAGTCAAATGATGCAGCAAGATCGTTGTCAAGATCCTCGACGTTCTGGATGATGCGAACTTGGTAGCCGTAGCCCCTATAGATCGTCAATGGAGAAAGAAAAATGCAGTGGGAAAGTTGAACGCACGTGAACAAAGCAGTCATCTCCTTGTCGTCCATCGTTCCATAGATCGTACGCTCTGAAATCTTGAAGCCATTGACACTGATAATGGGGAGAACGGCGCCAGATTCAGCGGGGTCGATACTTGAGTTCGTTTAGGACCTTTCTTGACCAAGAGCATCCGTCCAACTTACTATTTAAAGCCATGCCAAGCCGTCGCAGTGGGACCGGTCTCCGCCTCACCGTCGCCAACAACACAGGCAACAACTAAGTCTGGGTTATCCATTACGGCGCCAAACGCGACGCTGAGAGCATAACCTAGCTCTCCTCCTTCGTGGATAGCTCCGGGAGTTCCGGCGTTGATGTGGCTAGCAATTCCAGAAGTCAGATCGGTTGGATTTTGGTAGGGGTGGCGTCAAACCTGGGGAAACCGCCTGGCACTGAGAAACCGGCGACGAGTTTTTGCAGTCCCTTGTAATCGCGGGTATGTTCGGGATAGAATGCACTGAGAGAGTCTTCAAGCCACAGACAGGACAGGATTGCGGGAGCGCCATGACCTTGATCACATTAGTTGATCATAAAAATTGATAATGTTTGCGCTTACCAGGCCCAACGACATAAAGCGCATCGATTCCAGTTTTCCGAATCAGTCTGTTGACATGGGTGTAGACCTATTGCGAGAGATCGGGTTTAGCTAGAAGGACACAACAAAACTCTTCAACATACCATGACCAAGCCTGGGCAGGTACCCCAGTGCCCAAGCAAACGCGGCTTTATGTCGTCCGGAACGATTTCCCGCTCGATGAGGACGTTGTGATTTAGGAATATCATGGCTGAGGAGGGTTAGGCATCGAACGACGCATAAGCAACACCATCCACCTGCTGCGATGTAGTCGGCAGCGCGACGAAACATCTTGAGAGACTTAAGTTCATCGGGAGGAAGATAACTGTTGAGTGGATAAGTTCGATGGGAGAAAATGAGTGTATGTGGGTCGTACTCCTTTACGCCGAGTTGGACACCAAGCTCGAGCACAGAATCGGGGAGCAGAGATGGATCCGCGGGAGGGTTTGCTTGAAGTAGAATTTGGCCAGGCATTGTAGTGGAGATGCTAAGAGTCGGTTTGGAGTTGACTTTTTATACCCGCCATGGCGCTGCATGGTGAATCAATTGAAAAAAAGCTAGAGCCTCTCTGGACCCTCCACGGTCTCAGCTCGGGGGTTTGCGGTCTTCGAAATGTCGAAAGGAGAGTCTCCAAGAAGGTCTAGACCCGCGCGGATGAAGCACGTTCATTGGTTTGTGGACGGGATGAAGAAAGTTGGAGGGCCAGAACCATCGATGATGGGATGAATAAGCACGGTCCTTCCCTCCCACCTTGCCTTCAACCACTTTGATGCTCCCCATTTTGTCGGTTTACTTGGGCAAAACGCATGTAAAATAATTCTAGGCGATCGCCTGGAGCCTTTACATTTCGGATGGTCTTACTCTCAACCCCACGTTTGACTTGTGCTATCAGGGACCAATCAAAGGAGAGTCTGGAGCTCTGACGAAGACCACCGTCACTCATTGGTCTAGCGCGGTCTCTGATCTATAATTCGCTACTTACTGTAACTTTCAGCGTGGATCCCCGTTCTCCAATCATGGTATACGTTCTCTCTGCAAATGCTGGGTCATCCTCACTCAAGATCTCTCTCTACGATACGACGCAGCCGCCTCATCTTATTCTGACGTCCTCCCTCTCCAACATTACCGCGCCTCCTGCCAAGTTTACATTCCAGAGAGTTGATTCCGCGGTTCAAAATGAAGAGTTATCCAACGTCCATGACCACGCGTCCGCGTTTGCTCATTTTCTGGAATGCCTCACAAAGGAGGCCAAGATTGATTCCGAGACCGTGGTTGCAGTTTGCCATCGTGTTGTTCACGGTGGAGACTATACTGATCCGGTCTTGATCAACGACGAAGCCTTTCATCACATCGAGAAACTTTCTGATCTCGCTCCATTGTGTGTACTGCATTTTCTTCGCTTCGTAACTCTCAACTAATTCCACAGACACAACGGAGCCGCGTTAGCTGTTATAAAGACATGTCTAACCCAACTTCCACACGCCAAATCCATTGCCTTCTTCGACACTGCGTTCCATCGTTCGATACCTGCCTACATCTCAAGTTATGCGATCGACCAGAAGATTGCAAAGCAGAGGGGGCTCAAGAAATACGGCTTCCATGGCTTAAGCTGTGAGTGCGGATCCTTTTATTCTTCTTGTTGCTCAGCTGAACCAGACTCGTCCATCTTACGCGCTGTTTCCCACTTTCTCCAAAAGGTGAGCTCAAGTCTGCCCGCTTTATGCGCTATTTGTAATGAAATTACAGCCTCCGACTTCTTTGAATATGATTGTCCTTCACCTTGGTTCTGGCGCTTCAGTATGTTGTATACGACAGGGTCATTCGCTCGATACCTCTATGGGGCTCACTCCTCTTGATGGGCTTCCCGGAGCGACTCGTTCTGGCGCCATAGACCCAAGTCTTATATTCCATTATACCAACAAGGCGGGCCGTATCTCGCACAACAAAGACAATGCAGTCCATTTGCACGTGACACAAGCGGAACAAATTCTCAACTCGCAATCTGGCTGGAAAGCAATCGCAGGAACAACGGACTTTGGGGACATCATTCGTCGTCGGACAAAAGACTCTGCCGCGCAGCTTGCATTCGACCTGCTGACGGATCGTATTCTCAACTTTGTTGGCTCATATCACTTGAAGCTGGGTGGGCAAGTCGATGCATTGGTGTTTTCCGGAGGGATTGGGGAGCGTAGTCAGGAGCTCCGAGCGTTTATTGGCCAGAAGGTGGAATGCTTAGGGTTCACCCGAGTTGATCAGGCGAAGAATGAAAACGTCGACGAGAAGACGGAGGTTGTCGTGGACATATCAGCATCTCCTGGACCCAAAGCAGTTTTGGTTTGTCGAACAGATGAGCAGGTTCGTCTCTTTAACGATCCGACACATCCTCACTCATTTTACTGGTAGCTCGAGATGGCGCAACAGTGTATAGTTGATTCGTTGTAGATATTGTAGATTTTTGGTGTCACAGTGTGACCAACCTGATCTCTATGCTTGGCGACAAACGGTTATTGAGTTTCATGCGGCTACCGACTGCGTTGGTTTTGCTGTTGAATGCAGCATTAACCTCGGCTCAGGCTCGAACCGCTCTTGCAGTGGGCTTTGTACAACCGGGACACACCCCGAACCCACCTTTCTTTACTATACCAAGTGCGACCCGGCTCGCAATATCGGTTGCGGTTTGCTCTGGCACCACGAACTCTGCGTCTCCACGATTCTTCGTCACTAACAGCTCTTCGACTGCTAGTCCAGGGTCGGGTGGAGGGGAGAATGTTTTCGAGATCGTTTTGGATCACGGCCACGGAAGCTGGACGGGAGTATTTCCAGAGGGCGGTGTGGTGGGAGTTGAAGATGCTGGGGACACGCGGTTCGAAATTGGAGTCTCGAATGGAGTACCTATTCACGAGGTCATCTCCACTCCCCCATTGTTTGGCGACTCGACCGCAAGCCAGGCACTCTTGTTTTCTCCACCATTCTCGGCCCCCAACCAACAGGATCCAACGTACCCCAAGTATATATTACCACCAGGAAATCTGTCAGCAGCTATCCCGCCCTCTAATCCAATCAACTTCACAGTCATCGTATCGCCAACGAGCAATTCGCTAACGTCTATGCAACAAACTGCATGTATGCTCAAAACACAAAACTCAACAGGCGTTGTGGCGAAGGAGGGTCTATGGATGCGTGACTCCAGTGGATGGAGGATGGAATGGCTTTTCACGGGATTGACGGCCAAAACGAATTACACCGTATATGCTATCGAGAGTGGCTACAAGGTTGCCGGACCAATCTTCTTCACAACCAAATCCCGTGAGCCTCTCAAGCATTAATTTTTTGTTCAGTTTGCTAACGTGTCTTAGCGTCTTTCTCGTGTCCCTTAGTCTCGCAAGTCCCATACTGCCCTTCGGTCGGATATGCGACTCCGCTGCCCCCTCCACCTAACCCCCTCGTGTCATACGATGGCAGTTCTCTGCCAGAATCCATATCAGGTCCCCTTATTTCGTCCCTCACCAACTTCACGACTTCCCTGACGACATTTGCCTGTGGCCGGGATCTCTACTCACCTCTTGTGAGCTGCGCTGATTGTCAGCGAGCCTATCGCACTTGGCTTTGCACCATTTCTTTTCCTCGGTGTGCGGACCAAGACACTTCACCGTCTTCTGCTGCGCTGCTTCTTTCACAACCTCCAAACGCTAGAAATTCGGCTTTCCCTGCTGGAAGTAACTACACACAATTGCTTCCATGTCTCGAAACATGTACAGCGACAGATCGAGCATGCCCAAACTTCCTTGGGTTCCGCTGTCCCTCGCCGCGATTCAACGCCGCTGAAAGTTATGGTGTGGGGTATGTCGACAGCGGAGCAGACGGAGTTCACGGCCATGGAACTCCTGGAATGTGGTCAGACAATTTTGGCAACGTTTGGTGCAACTCCGGCCAATAACCCATGTAGAAAGACGGACAGTTGGATCATTTCCCCTCGACGGGTATAACTTATTTCTTTGCTTATTTAGATCTCGTTGCATTTGTATGGGCATGTGTACTATTGCGGATCCACTACAACTGTCTTTACCCCCTACTACCATACCGAATGCTATATTCAACCTACCAGCCGGTCACGGACTCTCAACTCAGCATCTTATCTGGATCAGTGCCGTGGATTGCCCACCACCTATAATTCAAAACCCTTAGTTTCAACCTTCAACATGCATAAGCACGACTTTCCTGCGAAACTTCTCTCGTATATGCTTGATGTCAGCTTCGTCCAGATCGACGATGCATTCTCGCTCCTGGCTCTCTTTCAAAACGAGAATGTCGCCGTATACGATCTTGGACGGAGCATCGCTCAATACGGAATTTACGGCACCCCCCATCCCTGCTGCCAATTTCTGTGGGTAGGCCCAGGCAAGGTAAACTGCGCCGCCGCCAGCCTCCATGCGCCATTGCTTGGAGTGGATTTGGGCGCCAATCCACCTACAGCGGCGTGATTCTGGTGACGAGATGACAACATTGGAACGCACGCCTTCGTTTGCAAGTCTTCAGGGAAGACATATGAACCCAACCCATAGTCAAGTGGTACAGGGACGATGGTTGGCTTTGACCTGTTCCCTGCAGGGAACAAGGCACCCTGGTATACCTCTGGGAAAGGCTACAACCTTTTAGTATACGTGGACGAGGAGGGGAGGAGTGCAGAGCTCACCGGCTTCGCATTCATGATGGCGTATGTCCTCTCAGAAATCTCATCCGCATCCATAGCAAACTCAGAAGTGGCAAAGGATAATGGCGGAGGGACGAGAATGTGCCTCAGGAGTCAGTCCAACGCGTTCGTTCCTTTTATTTTCGGGATTTCCTCTCTCCTATCGATTCCTTCAACTGTGATGTCTTCTCTCGCCAACGTAGTGCCGCGAAAACTGTTTGTTCTATACATTGCATTTAGTACACGTGCAAGCTTGGTAGTCTCGTATGCAATAGTTTCGAGGGTAGCTTTCAAACCTCAGCTTGGCGAGGGAGACAGTGTTTTGCCAACGCTGAATCAATCATGAGGAAGACCACAAATACAAAAATAACGCGTAACACACTTTATGGGCAGAGCTGTTGGAGCAACTCGAGCATTGCTCAGGTGAGGGATTAGATGCTAATTACGATTTGTGGGTGGGCATATCGATTCGCTTCAGAGGGAGAGTGGCATGGAAGGTTGCGTGGCGGTAACTTCATTGGCACTAACTAGTAAGAGCCACGAGAACACCTGCCAGAAGCGTATGACCGACAAGAATTCAGACGACCCGATTCAACCAGAAAGTGAATGAGAGAACCTATAAAGAACGGGAAGCGGAACGCCCCCCCTTCATTCTTCCGAGCTGTTTGCTTGATGATGCTTCGATGGTTGCCAACAATGTGGTTTCAATCTATTTATAGCTTGCTTCTCAACAGGACAGCGCCGTCTTCAATCAATGGCCCGCTCATTCGAGGATCACGCCTCGCAGCTTCTAACGCTTCAGCATAGAGGTCTTTCTACAAAAGTGGTCGTTTAGTTTACGGGTAGAGCAGAATGCTGTGGTTCTTACTTTAATCAAGCCCCAAACGCCCGCTGTACAATCATCAGTCTCAAAATGCACTTAAAAATCTTACTTACAAGACGCCTTGTTACCGACCGACGCAGCCAGCTCTTGTGCACTGGCTAGCACTGCACTAGTGTTCCCGGCCACAACACGATCGACTAGGCCAGCATCAAGCGCCTCTTGGGGAGTGAATCGATGCCCTTCCAACGCAATCTTGCGGCGTGTGTTATTGTTGCCGACTTTGGCATTCAAGACACCTGTCGAGGGATAGGTGCAAGCCATTCGAGAGAGCTCGTCTTACCGGCAAAACTGTGGGGCCAGACGGCGCCGAAATCAACCTAAGGATAGGTTAGGTTAGTTTCTGTCACAGCAAGATGAATGGTATTCATACCTCGTTCATACAGAGCCAAGCATTACGCTTCCTCCCATCTGTCATCACGCGGTAGTCGCACGCAAGACTAAACATGAAGCCACCAGCAAAACCTAGGACATGCGTAAGCGCATAGACAAGGTGGGCAGCCGGTTGCTTACAATGCCCATTGATGGCGCAGATTACGGGGACTATGAGGTGGGTGAGCGTGTTCTTAGAACGTCCATAATGTTCGTCGCACTTGGGAATGTCAGAAGCCGTTCAAGCAGGGGATTGAAGGTCACTATGTAGACGTGCGTTGAGAATCAGATGAAAATGAGTTTACAATCACAAACCGGGAAAGAAGTTGCCATTCCACGGTACGTGGTTGAGGTCAAGACCTATTGATTGCTGGAGTAAGAAAAGAGGGAAAGTGTTTCAGGTTAAAACAATTCACCGTTACTGAAGAATTTGTCTTGGTCTTTGCGTCCGACAATGATCAACGCTCCAGCAGCAGCAGAGCGGTCTTTCGCATTGGCGGGGACTTCACGCCATTGGTTGCGCCAGTCAAGTTCAACATGATCGAGAAGAGTTCGGAGTGCATTGACGAGGGTGGGTGTCAGTCGACTGTCTTGACCATTGTGTAATTCGATCTCCCAAACAGTATTCTTTGCTAAACTTTGTTTGAGTAGTTCACTTACGGGGAGTTGAGAGATGACGAACATTTACTGAGGGTGGCCATAGGCCCGTCTTGAGGCAGCGAAAGAGGATAGACGGGCATGAGGGCAAGAAGTAGCCGGTCCTTGTGTGCACGTGCCCGTTACTTGTCATCCCTTGACTGTCATCATGTCCACGGTCCAAGATGCAACCAAGGAACTTTACAGAAGTAGGCATAACTCACTGTTATGAAAGATAAGCTGATGAGCCTTTCAGAAAGAATAGAGGCTCGTGAAGACCACATCCGAGAGTCATGGGTGAAAGCGATGGAGGTGCAGTTAGTTCGAGAAGAGTTAGAGAAGTGTCGCAAGGGCGAAGGCCCAAACGCGCTCGAGAACTGCAAGTGGCTCGCAGAAAAATATTCACAGATGTTACAGGACAATAAGGTGCGTGTGTTCGTCGAGTCCGAAAGCTTTTTTTTCCTGATATGATGTCTAGCTCAAAGGATATAAAATTATCGAGACATAGAGCCCATCCAAATACAAGTCTACCTCTCTTCTTCCCGAGATATTACTCCCTTTATACAACCACGACTACTAAGGGACCCAGGTTTGAGGCGCAGATGGTTCACAGCAATATAAAGCTGTGGGTATGTAGCTGGTCCCTTTTTCTCTCGTTGCTGTTGCGATTGTTGTCAACCATTCCATGTTCAGCAATGCCTTAAAGAGGACCTCCACGACAAGGTGCACTGTACTCCATGGACGACTCTGGTCTACCTCTCGAGCTTTGCGGACTTGATCCAACAACTCGATGACACAACCACCGCACTTGTGCACTCGTTTGTAGAGGCTGGTTGCCCTATTCATACACTCGTCGCTTCGAAAATCTTCTCCTCAGCAAGTCTAGCTCCGCTCGACGGGCTTTCGAACTGTTCAAAAGATTCCCACATTTGCGGCCTTTCGTCCGGAAGCTACAACTTCGTTGCGAGCGAAGTAGTTGGATATCTTCTCCAACTGATGCTGCCTATTTGGTCCCATTACTTGCAGAGCTCACGCGCATGATGGACATCGAGCTTACACACATTGATATCATGTGGCAACCCGAGCCAATTCGATTCACGCTCCTAGGGTTATTGTGCACTCCAACAACAAAGCGCCTGCTTCTGCAGGACTGTTGTCTTCCTACCTGGTCCTCCTACGTCCTTGTCCCAGGATTGACAACACTGGAGCTTGTCAACCCTTGCATAGAGACGGACTACATATTTTCCCTTCCTCCGTCTCAAGCTAGACCGCGCCATGTGATAGTTGAAGGAAATGACATTGGCGATGTGGTAGACTGGCTTGTTGCCTCTGGAGAACTCTTGCAAGAGGTGTCAAGTATTTGTATTCGACATTTTACATCCGATTATGACTCTGGTGACCGCCTCGTCCACGCTACAACCCTGAAGAACCCCAAGGTAATCGAAGTCGGACTACTGTGCTCAGGTAAGCATAACTTTGAATGTCAACCTTCGGCGCGTCTCAATCAAAATCCAATAGACTAGCCGATGTCTTGTATGCATGCAACACTTGGTTCTGTTTCTCGTCAATGCTACTCTTCAAATGGATGAATAACTCATCTCATCTTCGACCTACACAGCGAGAGAGTTTAAACTCGTTGCACGTGGACACCCTGTGTCTGCTATCATAATACGAGAATGAACGTCTGGTTATTAAGTAGTTGTTGCAGAGTACTTATCAGATTGTGTTTCATCATCAGCAATGATCGAATCAAGCTGATCAGATGATTCGTGGCTCGCTGTCACATGTGACTATAGGTTTCGGAAACCTTCACCAACGCACCATCAGTCAATGAGTCTGACCACCGTGCTCGAACGGCCTCCAACTATGCCACACTCACCATTACTACCAGAGCCCTTCAATATTTCACAGAGAAGAACTCAAGAACCTATAGAAATTATCGACGTTGACTCCTTTGAATCTCCCGTCCGGCCTTCTCCACGGAGACAACCAGACGGCCCCGCTGAAGTCATTGAAATTCTGGATAGCGATGAGGAGACAAGCGGGCCTTCCACTTCCAATAGTGAGTGTATCCCCTTTACGGAGGATCGGAAATCGACAGGTCGCTGTTACCACGATGCCCATAACCGTTCCGCTGCCGAGACAGTTGCTCACATATTTTAGGCCAAAGCTCGTTCTCTGGTTCTGTCAACCACGGTACGTCCATTCGGAAATATCGCTCTACTTGTGCTAACAATGTTTCCAAGTTCGGCGCTCCGGAGCTCGCGTCAGGCGTAGGTGGCAACCTTACTTCTATTCGCCCTCTCTGAATGAACCACACAGTTCGTGATCTACTCTCGCCATCGCCTCCACCATTCCAATTTGACCATGTTCCGCCTGTTCCGCCGCTACCTCGACATTACTCTCAGTATGCTGCTATGCCACCACGTCGAAGACCAAATCGTGTTCAATCACCATCATCAACTCTTGAAGGGTCTTCTCGTGTACCCGCGCCAATACGCCCAGTTTCCGATCCTTTCATAGTTGATCTTTCGTCATCTCCGCCTCCCAATGAACGCGTTTCCCCTGAACAAGACATCATCCAGCCAGCAGCCAGGGCACGGCACAATCCTCCTATGGGATTTGGGGGTGCCCTCATTAGCTCAAACAATGCTCGTCAGGCTGCTGATCGGCTCGTGCGTCAACAAAGAATGGAACGGCGCTTAGCTGGGGGACGAGTAGCTCCAATCGTTGCTGGTGGTAGCAATATCAGGCCTCCTCACCGGGACAATAACAATACCGGTTTTATGGGTCGTCTTGCACAAATGAATCCTTTCCGATGGGGAGGAGTAGACGACGAACCACTCAACCAAATTGACTACATCACTCTCGCTCAACCTCGTGATCCTCGAGCCCGTGGCGATGCCGATCTTGCTCTTGACCTTCTTCTTGAAGACCAAGGGGAGGAAATTCTGTCGCTCGGAGAACGTTTCATGCGGTATGTGCATCCAAACGCAAGGCGTTGGAGGCCAGACGGTCAAGAGCCCATCGAGGAGCCATACAAACAAGCATATACCCATCCGGCTCGAGCAGAACCTGGTTTTGTGTTTGATTTCGAGCCCAGTGAAATTGTTCCCGCGTCCGAAACCAGCAAGGGCAAAGGGAAGCAGGTGGTCATTGATGTCGATGCTCTTGAGTCATCAAGTAAAGGCAAATTAGACGCGCTTCTCGTCTGTGCCCGTTGTTTGGATCCCCTCTTTTTGCGTTCTGATGGTGTGGTCGACGGCGGAGAAGAGGAGACCAGGCGGCGCAGGCTTTGGGGGCTCAGATGTGGACATGTACTGGATGGAAAGTGCATAGAGGAATTGTGGCGCCCCTCGACAGAGGCAACGGTCAATGCTCTTGCCAACGGACCCGACAGTAAAGGAAACGCCCCATCCGAAGACGTCATGGAAGATGATGAAGCCAACCCTCGCAGCGACGATGAAAGCGATGGTGCAGGGGACCTTATTCCTACAAACCCAATTCGAGGGCGGTTGCGAAGTGCTGGCGCCGTTTTGGGAGTATTTCCTGTTGCACCAAGAAGCCTTCGTCCGATGCAACAACAAACACCTCAGCCGACTAGGGTACCGAGAGGTCGTGCAACAACTACAAGGGGACGAGGGAAGGGTAAACGGGCGAGGCGATCAACTCGTGTGTCAGTGATCCAGGACAGATTCGAATGGACCTGTCCAGTTGCCGGATGTGGCCGCATCCATGTCAGTGAGAAAGTCGATGGAGTATGGGGTCCACCTGGACCAGAAGTTCGCCGAGGAAGAAACGAAGGGGATGTCAACAGTGGACCTATTGGGATGTTTTTGTAGTGACACATTATTACATATCGACATGATGACATCATCAACTCTCCTTTGAACTTCCATGGCCGATGTTATTCTTGAGGCTCAGCTCAAAGACTGGTATCTAGTCAACACTGACCACAATTTGAGCCCCCCCAAGGACATTGTACCTCATATTGGTACAGGTGTTGAGCAGTTTCTCAAGCAGCAAGGAGCGGATGTTGCTGAGGTTCTGACGCTGCCAGTCATCTATTCAGAAGAAGTGAACGACTCGTATCCTCTAACAGACTACTTCGTCTCGTATGTGTTCGTTGACCCTTGAAAGTATATGTTGGCTGAATCTTCTTCCAGAAGCTCACATAACACCTATTTACTATCCAGGCAACTTCTCGGAAAGTCATCAGCAACCTCGTATCAACATGTCCTTTCTCGGAATGCGCGTTGTGTTGAAATCGATGTCTGGCCCTCCAAGCAGGGCCTCATAGTCACACATGGATACACTTTCTCAAAGTCGGTGCCCTTTGAGAGCGTTTGTGTGGCCATTGGCGATGCGGTCGGCGCCAATGATTGGCCTGTAATGGTGTCTCTGGAATGTCACGTCAATGTCAGCGGCCAGGAAGAATTGGTCCACATCATCAAGGGCGCCTGGGGCGACAAGCTGGTTCATTCAAAGTTGGAGGATATCGACGACATCAAGGCCTCTCCAGGCAACTTCCGTGGTCGAATTTTACTGATGGTGAGTGAAATGATATAAACAACCTTGTTGGATATTCTATCCCTTAAAGGTGGAATACTATCCTGCTCCGGTGGAAGGGAAGATTATGGAAGACGAAGATGACACCCCTGTCCAATCTGAAAGCGACTCGGAGGAAGAGGACGGGGACATGATGATTGCTGTCAGCAAAACGGAGAAAGCCAAGATCTCTGATGAGTTAGCGTCACTTGGTTTCTACGCTCGCAGTATGAAACCCGCAAAGGGATGGTTTACCCAGAAATTCACTGACCCACTACACCTCCTTATCAACATATCCGAGTCGGCTTGCGCAGCTCTGCTTCCTCATTCGCTCCCTGATTTGATTCAGCACGGCACTCAACACATGCGCCGCATTTATCCCAAGGGTACTCGTATACGCAGTACGAATCTCATTCCCACCCAATTTTGGAGGTCTGGCGCCCATATAGCGGGGCTTAATTGGCAAAACTATGATCAGGGAATGCAGTTCAACGAGGCAATGTTCGTCGGCACCAAAGGGTGGGTGTTGAAACCGAAGAAACTGCGCCTGCAGGAAGGGGAGGCCTTCGAGGACAACGGCAGAGAGCGGCTATCACTCGAGATCGCTGGTATAAGCAGCCGTTCGTCGCGCTTGTCTGTTTATGCCATAATCCATTTCACACTCTCGCAGTTCCTCCTCCGAACGGTCGCGGAGGCAAGTCATTCTCCACTTACATCAAGGTCAAACTTCTGCATGCGGAACAAGATCTCAAATGGCAAACCAAGACACAGAAGGCGCAAGATTTCCCTGGACATGGTGCAGATGTTATGTGGGACGAAAGGGTTGAGTGGGAATATTCTCAGGACGAGTTGACTTTTATCCAGTATGTGGAACATATCTGTGCAGGAGGTACATTCAAGAGTCTTCTAGGCTGACTGTCATGGAGAATGAATTTGGAAAGGACGATAAGATTGTCACATTTTGTGCTCGGGTCGAGTATCTGCAATCGGTGAGTCTCTTGATCTTGACAGTCCACTTACCTGATCGTACCATATAGGGCTGGCGTTTTATTCGGATGCTTGATATGAAGGGAAAAAACTCTGGAGCAACACTGCTAACCCGGTTCACGCGATCCAGAGTATAATTTTGGGGTGGAAATAATGTTATCTCTATTTATTTGCCATGTGACTGACTCGATGTAAATTGTCACGATTTTGGTCACGCACAACAAGTTAGCCTCAAAGGCATTCAAACGACAACGACAAATGTCTATAGCCGATGATGATGAGGAACAGGCAAGGCGGCTCGTGTACAACGTTTATAACAACATTCAGAGCAACTTTCTTGCGTGGAAGGCCGACTATGCAGCACGCGCGATGGCTTCTGCGTCGCTTTCGCCGCTTCTCAACAACACCGACATCAACACTAATGTCTCGACACAACTGACTCTCTACGACGCATTGAGTATTGCATTAGTCCAAACGAATCAAGAATCACTTGAGTATCACGATCTGGAAAGTGGTACTGTCCACAATGTCAGGATGGACATGACGCGCGTATGCGACCCCAGAGGCTCTGAAATATTTGTGCCGTCGCCGGTTTACGAACACTGCGCTCCCATAGACCGTAACAATCATCACGGGGACGATTCGTCCAAGGTTGATCCCGTTTTTTTGTGGTCCTTGGGTTGATTTGTTCAGCTCAGCTTATATAGGTTCCATTCATCCCCTTCGAAGACGACCCTGGATTTGACCTCGAGCGGTATTTCGTCGAATTCAGTGGTCTAGCTTGGACTCAGCCCCAGATGGACCCTGATTGTATGTCGCACAACTGGGCACTTCAGGACTGCACGATAACGCTTTGTTTTCAGTGGAAAGTGTGGTGGTAGAAACTGCGCGCCGTTTACACTACGATCATGGCATGGACCTCCATCGCATAGCGAGTGCAGACGTATTGCCTCTTCCACTCTTCAATCAGCATCGAAGTCAGGGCATGATACACTCCAGCCGTCGACGGTTCGTATATGGACTACTCTGGTCTGAATCTGCTTGCCACTCATGTCCATGTCAGAGATTTCTTCTCCGAATGGCCTGTTGGTGTTTCGGCTGCAGAGAAAATCCTTCCGTCTCAAACTCCGCTGGCCCAGAGCATCAAGGAGGCCGTCCAAAAACTGACGACTGAATTTTGCACTAATCTCAACTGTGTGATTGGTTTCTGCTCCACGCATCGTTGGTTCTTGCAATTCACTCCCTTTGTGCGACTAAATATATTTTAGTTGATCCGTTACCTGAGCCGTTGCCAGGTCCACCTGCAACACTGCGCAACGAACGTCTCCACGAGATGGTCAAAGAGCCCTGCAGCGTCGAATGTTTTCTCCTTGTAGAAGAAGATGAAGAGGACTTCCCTGATCTTTTGTGGGATGAAAAATCGATGCAATTGCTTCGCTTTGTTATCAAATATTCAGCGGATACTCTGCCCTGTGACCTCGCCACCATTTGTGACAAGCCATGTTCCGAAGTGAGATGCTGTTTTTTTATAAGTTGAACAGCTCCTGACACAATTCTGAGGCTTATTTACTGCGTTGTCGCGAAGTTAGATCTGGGCCGAAACGTGCGACAAAGAGCAACAAGGGTAAAAGCTCCCAGTTGAAAGCCCAGCGTCGGCCATTCGCAGACCTTGATGCGAAGCAGTACACTCCCGGCCCCCCTTGTGGTCACTATGGTCCTTGTAACTCCACGAACCAGTGTCCTTGCTTTCTTAACGGCGGTCACTGCGAAAGCAGTTGTCGCTGTGGTCCAAATTGTGAGCAGCTCCTGCATTCTGTTAGATTCTCACGGCTTTGGACGTACTTAGGTTCACGGCGATGGAAAGGTTGCAACTGCATAAAGCGCTCTAACTCGAGTCTTTTATGTCGAACCAAGACGTGCGAGTGTTTTCTTGCCCATCGTGAATGTGACCCGGAGATGTGTCGCAAGTGTCGATCCAAGTGGGCAAATCACCTTCGTGCCGTGCTACTTTGAATATTGTTCACAGAGGCTAGTTGACAGTCAAACTCATGACGCCGGTCTAAAGCATGAGCAGATTGTGATACCCGGACATGCCGCAACGCAGATATCCAAAAGGGGCTGTGGAAGGTACTCAACGAATAGGTTTTTGAGTCTTTGGGTTAATCCAATTCGTCTAGAAAACCAAAGTTGCCAGAGGGAGCTTTGGATTAGGTCTCTTCATGGAGGAACCGGCTCTCAGTGGCGATTTGATCATCGGTATGCGCTCTGTTCTGTTTGTCTGCGTTCTGAAGAAGCCTTTGCAGAATATCTTGGTCAAATCATCCACGATTTGACTGTGGATTCACGAGAGTATGCTTAACTCGTCGGTTTTGTTCCATCAGTAACCCTTCAAAAGTCCTATTGCAATCCATCGACATCGGAACTATGTGTTCCAACTGAACAAAACACTTTCTATTGATGGGACTTACGCAGGGAATAACTCGCGTTACATCAATCATGACCAGCGTAAACCTAACTGTGAAGCGAGAAGTAGGGGCTCCATGCTTCTCTCACTTCGATGTCTCATCAATTTGGTCCAGTTCTTCTGGTCAATGGCGAACATCGCATTGGCATTTTTGCAAGTACGAACGTTGTTGCTACATTGGAGAGTACTGATCCAGTGCTCTCTAGCACGCTCTCTTTGGGCCAAAGAAGAGGTGTTATTTAATTATGGGCCGGCGTTCTTCCAAGAGAATGAATTGCCGAAGAGCTAGTTACATAATGATATTCTGTCATACTTAACGTCAACAAGACATGACCGCGTATATCACGTGGTGTGACAGTCGTGGTTGCCACCTTCATCATGCCTGGGCGCGTTGTCGATATAGCCGCCGACGTCGCCGCTATATTCGACCAGGTTCAAAGATCCACAGCAAATCACCAGAAGAACTACGTCGCCGCATACAAGCTTCACTCGCGACAGACATTGGATAGACACGGGAACAGGGATGACCGAGGGGCCAACGAGTTTGCTGGTAAGTTTTGAGCTTTCCGGCTTATAACGCAATCAAAAACAAATTAAACTTGCAGAGGCATTCCTATTTGCGATCCTCAAGGTGCTCCCCACTAAAAAGGGTGCCACCGCCGCAGACCGAGTTGTCAAGTTTGTCGCAGGCTACTTCCAGTACTTGAACGAGCGAGGCGGGTGACTTGTGGTGCTTGTGTCTTGCGACTGACCGTTTTTAGACTCAGAGGATGAGGGAGCAGACCAAGATGGCCTAGATACGACAACCCTTGCCTCGCGCTTCATCGATAAAATTCTGCGCTCTCTGCTGGGTGGATTCAAAGCCAAAGATAAAGTCGTGCGGTACCGCGTCGTCGACTTTGTAGCAGGGATGGTCGAACAGTTAGGAACAATCGAGTAAGAATGACGTTCGCTTGCTGACTTACTTGTCGAATTCTCCGCAGTGAGCATACGTATAGTGACCTTCGAGAGCACCTATTGGATCGCCTGCATGACAAAGAGGCCACAATTCGGGTCAAAGTCATAATATCGCTCTCCAAGCTCGCAGAGGCAGAAGACCTTGAGGAACTGAAGAAAGCAGGCCGACAGTCGATCCCGGAACTGTTGCTTGAAGTAATTACTGCAGATCCTGCGCCGTGAGTGTTGTGCCAGATTTGGGTTCCAACTGAAAAAGAACCTGCACAGTGAAGTTCGCCGTATTGCCGCTGTGAATATACCACTTGATCCTCTCACCGACGATCTCAAGGCGGCTTTGTTCAGTCGGATCAGGGATGAAGACGCTTCTGTCCGCAAGATCATGTACAGCCATGTTTTCGAGAAAGAGGCACATGACGACGGTGCATTCCCGCCTCGAAGTCTGACCATCGCCAACCGAGAGTATATTGTCCGTAGCGGTCTGGGCGACCGGGAACCCGCTGTCCGCTCCGCTGCAGCGTCCATGCTAGGGGTTTGGTACGACCGTCTAAGCACTGTCAAAGCCGAAGAGGACCTCGTGTCTCAACTGCAAGAGGTAGACATATCCGCGACTCGAGAGAAGCCTGCGCCGCGTGAGCAAGAACAAAGGGAGAAGACTATCGAAAATCTGACGCAATTTCTGTCTTTGTTCGATCTCCACCAACAGGAGTTGGAAGCTGACGGGGAAACACAACGCGGAAAGGTTGCCGCCGATGCCCTGAAGAGTCTTTTGACCACGAGGAAAGGCTTGGAACGAGAGATATATTTCGGGGGCATGTCTTCCGTTACTAACATCAACCCCATAACCTGACTTTTTTTTCAGATGCATACTTTGACAAGCTCACACCAGAGCGGACGTTCCTCGTCCGGGTTTTCGTTGAGCATTGCGCTAATGGACGTAACGAACTTTTGGAGGATTGCGGTATCCCGGTGGTCACTCGATGTGCATTCCTTGCTCAGGAATGGTTCAGTAAGGTTATCAGCAATGACGATGATATAACCCTGAAAGCGGAGGTGAGGGACGAGTTGCGGGAAGCCCGAGAGTTGATCGTCGGTGAACTGCTTTCATTTGCCGTTCATCTTGATTACGGAGATGAGACCGGGCGACGAAAAATGCATTTGGTCATTCGTGAGTTGAGATCTTTCGTTCTCTGGTTCCCGTGATTAAAAGTCATCAAGAAAATATGCTGGGTCATGAGAACACACCCTCGAGTCTTCTGACGAGATGTTTGGACGTTCTACGCAAACTGACGACCGACGAAAGAGACCTCATTCGTCAAGTTGTCGAAATGATTTCGAATCTTCGAGATGAACCTGACGAAGATGCTGGGGATCGCACAATGGATAGCATTGTAAGCTTCTTCTTGGACATTTCAGACAACTACAAGTGTTTGATCCAACGTAGGATTCGTCGCAGCAAACTCCGCGCAAGCAACCGGTGCGGAAGGACCTTACACCTCAACAACAACAAGCAGCAGACGCAATTGACTTACGTTGCCTTGCGTTGTCCATAGCCTTGCTTGAACGTCTCGACGGGGTATGGGACTGATCATTTAGAAAGGTTTCTCATTCAACTCGAATAGACCTTTGAAGACAATTCGACCTTGCAAGGAGTTTTCCAGGATCTTATTATGCCTTCGGTTGGACGCGCTGACAGTAATCTTCAACTTCAAGGTCTCGTCGGGTTCGGGCTGTCTTGTCTGGTAACACCAGTAAGCTGCGCATCAGTATAATGAACAGTGTAACTGACTTGGTTTCAGAACCTGGCGGCTAAATTTCTTCCAGCTCTCTTGGATCAATCCACGAAGACAGTCTCAGACGACACTCGCATGACTATCTTCAAGATTGTATTTGACGTGCTCTTGGGGCAGCCCAATCTAAAGCATGACGTTGTTCGTCCCGTTCTTGGCCTTCCAGGGCTATCTACTTACTCTCAAATGTAGAAGGGGCAAAGCCAAGAGTTCCTGGTGAAAAAGTTCCAAGAAGAATGCGATAAGAAGGGAAATTGCCATCCGGAGACACTCGCATTGCTGAGCCTCGGACTCAGTAAATTGGTCCTCCACTCTTTGGTTGATGACCCAAAGGTAAAAGTCTTCTTCGCTGTTCATACCACGTCTGAATTATTTTATTCAGATGGTCATGGAGCACCTATTCAGAGCATATTTTTCCCCGTACAATCGGGAGAACCAGCGGCTATTGCAATGCCTGACCTACTTCATCAACATGTATGGTCGTTGCGCTGCTTCGAACCAACAAATAATGCGGGAGGTCGGTCAAGCTTGTCTCCGCGTCTTCGCTCCTGCCTGATGAATTGTTGTAGCTCTTCACAAAGGTCTTGAAAGAAACTGCGGAAATGTATCGAGACTTTGAGGATGATGAAGACGACGTGGGCAATCTGGATCTAGCCAACGTCACTGGCATGTGGGTGGAATGCACCAATCCACTGGAGCTCATGTACACCATCCTTTTCATCTGCTGCTTCCACTGACACTGATCCTAGGGACACCCCAGGTTTATCATCAGAGCCCAAAGCGGAAGACATGATGGTCCAGTTTGCGCTGGCCGAAGACGTTCTACGTCTGATTTTACGCGAGAAGAACATGCACAGTTGGTTCCATGTCCCGTCTGAATTCTCAAGCTGACATTCGAACTATTCAGAGGATCAAAGAAAACTCCTTTGTCAAATGCTAGGCAAACTCTATATCCCAGACGAGGTTGCAGATACGGATCGAGTGTATACTCTGAGACTGTTGATTAGCCATGTCAACCTGTATCGGCCAGTCAAGGACGCGACCGCAAACAATGCGCTCAAGAAGTTCGACGCCAAAATTGGAAAACAATTTGAGAAGCAGCTCGGAGGTTTCAGCGAGGAGGACTATCGAAAGATGGAACAACTGAAGGACTTGTTTGAATTTTTGGACGATGTGATTCCCGATGATGACGAGGAAGATGCTCCTAAGAAAGGGAGAAAGAGGTAGGTTTTTTCGTGTCTCTCAGACGAACTTATACTAACTGTTCGTTGACCTAGACGCTCTGACAGCATCATGAGCACTACGGACGATGACACTGCCTCGGTAGCATCCTCTAGACGAACAAGAGCCAAACCCAAATCCAAGTAGGTTCCCAATGGTTTGTTTGTCTGATCCGAGCTTATTAACTGTGTCAGGAAGCGTCGTTTGTCGACATCGGATGATGAAGACTCTGATTCTGATCGCGACACTGTCAGGGGCACACCGCCGCCGCCTCGGAGACGAATGCCACAACGTTCTGCGTAGGTCCCTTTCATTAGATAAACCAAGGTCAACTAAAGCACCCAACAGAGCCACCAAGAAGAAGCCACAAGTCATTGTGATTTCAGATGACGAGCCTGAGGACGACAACAACGGTGAATCTAGCTCTGATGATGATCAGTTCCACGCATCGCGTAGACGGGGCGCTGGGTAGGTCAGTCCACCTTGAATTCTACCTTTTTCATTGCCTCCCAGAAAGAAGAAGCGACGCGAATCTGAAGAAGCGCGTCTTGACGCTGACATCAACGCTATGTTGGACGAGGGACCTTCGGTGTCGACGGTTGGGCATGACTCCATTATGGATTCAGACGATGACGATGTCGAGGAAGTGAATGATCTCCTTGTGGATGACGATGAGTAGTATACCTACGACTTTATCTCAGAACTGATATTTTACTACATCATTTCCACGTGATCTGCCAAAAGAATCCGCGTCGATGACGTCGATAGTGCGTCGATGCAGAAGCTATAAATTCGAGTCGCGCTCCATATTTCCACTTGCCTACCATGTCTTACGCTGACGCCGCCTCAAAACATCTACCTCCTAATCAACCAAGAGCTGACCCTGCTCTCTTGAACACATCGCCTCCAACTGCTTCCCCTGGCATTGATCCAACCAAGAAAATCAACTTGGTCCCACCCAGCGACCCTGTCGGCCGTCGTAAACACACCAGACTCGACGAGACACGTGAGGAAGGCCTGTACATCTGGGAGTCCGCGAAGCACTATCTACTTCGTCCCGGTATTGCAGGTGAGTCCATTTCCCGACATCGTCACAGCCAATACAGACTTTTTTTCTAGGTGGATTGATTGGAATTGTCAATCTCGGTCTGCTCGGAGGTGCTGCCCGGGCGTTCTACGTGAACCCCAACTATCGTCGTGACACCACTGTCATTTCGAGTGTTGTGGCGACCTCGTTTGCTGTTTTGTTTGCTGAAGGGTTTGCGGCGGATGCGTACCGAAAGACGCCGGCTGGTCAGGAAGAGGAGCGCCGCGCCAGAGAGGAGGGTGCCGTAATCTATCGCCATGCAAAAGAGCAGATTCTGCGGCCGGGCACTCTGGGCGGGATAGTCGGCGTGTTGAACGTTGCAGCTTTGGGCACAATTGGTTGGTTTGCTTACGACAACTGGGACAGAACTTGGGATCGTCGTATTATAAGCGCCATTTCAGCCGGCCTTGCAGCGTTGTCCCTCGGTGAAGGGTAAGCAATTTGTGCCCTGGCTTCTTCTCCTTGCTCATTACGACGATGCAGCCTGTTGGCCGAAAAATACCGCGTTCAGAAGAACTAAACGACATGATAAGCTACTAGGGTATATTGTACTTGTAATGGACATTGAAACCCCCCACTTCAACTCTGGAGCACGTCGAGTCAACTTGATGTTTTTTGGGCGGCTTCAATTTCAAGCTTCAAGCTTGATCTTGGCGGTTGAGTAAAACCGTGCTTGGTGGCAGTTTAATCATAGTTTCATGCAAGTCGTCGACGACAATAATAAGGGAAATAGGATCCTTTACGGTAGCGACGAAATGAGTGGGTAGAGTACACTTGAAGTAGGGGGGCCTAGTGACATTGATAATAAAACATTGGATTTCTAAGGGTGGCCGTCGTTGTCGTCCACAGGTCAACAACGAGAACAAATGGAGGAAGAAAACCCGCGTGAAACTTAGATCTCGGCTGCAATGGCAAGATTAAAGTATGGGTGGTTCAGAGCGTCTCGAACGGTTATTCGTTGGCCAGGGTCGAATGCGAGGAGCTTCTGAACAAGATTGAGGAAGTTGCGGTTGACAACATCCGTTGGGGGAATCACGTCCTGCTTACAAGATCAGAGCAAGAAACGACCAGAGGCCTAAGTAGACGAACCGATAATGGACGAGTGGCGCGAACATCCTTTTTGCTCTGTCGAGAAGCCTTCGCTTTCGGCCAGTCAAGTCTAACGTTCTCTTTGAAGAATTCGGGTTTCGAGCGAGCCCCTGCACGCGCGAATCGTTCTGGCATCTTGCCCATGACCATCTCCATCATGGCAAGATGCTCTAAATTGTCATGGGTCTGGAAGAGTGCAACGCCGGTGAAGAATTCAACGAGTATACACCCAAGTGAATAAGCATCGCAAGGATAGGACCAACCAAGGCCTGAAAACAGCGGTCATTCAAGTGCTGACAGAGTAGGGAGGGTATAATCCACCTAGTATGATTTCTGGCGCCCGATAGTGTCTGGTGCAGACAACTGTCGAGTGGTACTCGTTCTCAAACGTCGCAGAGCCGAAATCGATCAGTCGTATTTCGGTGTTGAGCAATATCCGTTTGACTTTCGATGGAGCGCTCCGCTAAACAGATCGGTCAGAGTCATACGAGGAAGAAGACGAGCTAAGTCGGTACCTTGCCTGGGACGCTGATTTGGACATTCTTGTAGTCATTATGAACCAAGAGTATATTTTCCGGCTTTAAATCGGTGTGAATCAGGTGAAGATCGTGAAGAACTGTATCAAGGTCAGTAACGAACACTGTGAGAACTGGTTGGATGCCTACATGCGACACTGCCGAGCAGTTGACGAGCAAACGACTGGATGTGATGGCGGGGGAAAGGTGCGAAGTCGTTCTCCTTGAGAAAATCGTAGAGACACATGCCTAGCAGCTCAGAAACAAGACATATGTGGTTCTTGTGGTCGAACCAGTGCAGAAGATGGATGCATTTACTGTGAATTGGTCAGAATAGCGTGGGAAATGTGGCGGAGTAAACAGACTGTCGGTTGAGCGGATCCCGCTCTTTGAGCTTGTTGAGGACGCGAACCTCAATTTTGCTGGCGTCGCGGTACTTGGGAATGGCCCGGATGATCTTGATTGCCACCCTGCTGTCATTGACTGTGTCGACTGCCTCGACAACTTTGCCGAATGTTCCTTGCCCCAGTAGCTTGACGGTCCGGTCTGCAAATTAGATGATGAGCTGAGAGATAGAAAAGGGTAGGTAGGTCATACATCGGCGATAAATAAGGTCGTCAGGTTGGATGATATAATGACCCTCCTTGTCGTCGCATTGTGCGGGTCCTTTGGAAGTCTAGATGGCTTGTTAAGTGGGAGCACACTTGAGAATACAGAGGAAACACACATCGTCAGTAGCCGCAACACTTCTGCTGTCGTATGACTTGGTTTGTGGGACCGGAACGGCAGCCTTCTTGGGTGGAGGAGCTCGAAGTGGTTCCTCTACTTCTTTCTTGCGTTTCTTTGAAGGGGGCTGTACGATGGCAGATGTTGAGCTGGCGGCAGCTTCTGCTGCTGCTCTGGCTCGAGTTCGGATGGGGGCAGAGTAGGCGGGGGGTTGATATGAAGTCGAAAATGGGATTGACGGGGAAAGAGTAGTTGGAGGCGGTGGGGTGTCTTCAATGACGATGACTTCCCGAAGTTTGCCGTCGCTATCCACCTCCTGGACCTCGCTATAACTGACGGTATATTGGTGGGCGCGTTTGCGCTTGCGTGTAGCCAATGGAGGAGTGGGTAAGACCTGTGAGCCATTCGGTGCCGCCCCATGATATTGCGACAGCATAGAGGGCTGTAGGGCGTGGCCTACAAGCATCGTCTCCAACTCGTCGTCGTGGCAGGGGACAAGGAGTTGCAACCCGAAAACAGCGTCCACTCAACTCGCTATGTCACACTCGGCCACTCCACTTGTTCGTTCATCACACTCATATTTCATGCTCTTGCATCTAATTGTCCTTGTGTTTCCCACCTCACTCTAGAGTCTCCGCATCCTATTTTTTCCCGCCGATTTTTGGGTGCCACTTTCTGTTTTCCGACGCTGACAACGTATGTTTCCTTATTTGGATCTCTTACAAGTGCAAGTTGTGAAATCCACAACCCTGGGCAAGCACAATGCGGATTGATGGAGGACATCTGTCGGCTTCTTGGCCGAAGAGCTGCCGCAGCTCTCGATGCTACCGCGTACCCCACTATTATCATATCAAACGTCGCCGAAAAGCGTCACTCGGCGCCTTTTTCATGACACACTGCGACTCAGTTTGGTTCGTGCGTGTTTTCGGGTACGCATCCTACTATACGTTGGGTAGTCTTTCTTATACGTCCTTCAGACTGTTCGCGGTTGAAATGTCAATGTTCCGTGGGTCCTGAAAGGGCAAGTAAAGAACAATGGATCTTTGCTTGTTCAATTACTTACCACGCCGGCTCGCAACTCTTCCAGAGTTGGCATGATCCCCAATCGAAGCAGTTCTGTCGAGGCACTGACTACCGGGTCGTTTTGCATCCTGGCATCACAGATGAACACAAAATGAAACGCAAGGCAGGCAACTGACGAAGCTACGGCGACGACCTTATCGCTCTTGATGTAATAGGCAACGAACTAGAACAAAATTAATCTAATATTCGGTTCAATGTTACAACACCTGCCTTGTGCTCCTCGACATTGCCAGTAATGAAGACATCATCAAAACCCTGGCCGATTCCACAGTATCGGATGTTTTGGCCTTGGGCGCTCCAGAAGAAGGGGACCTTGACGAATGGCTGTGGTTTACCCGCAATAGTTTTACCTACAGCCCTTCCTTGATTCCCAGCAACCTAACGCATTCAGAGGAGAGGTGGCTACAACATTGCGGGAGCGTACATTCCAGTGCTCAATTCGTCTCAACTCGCCGGTTGGGTGTTGAGGATAATGGGCGATATCACCTAATATATGACAATCACTCAATCAAGCAAACGCTCAAACAAGCACCTACCAATAGCAAACACGTCCTCGTAACCAACAAGCTTCAAATGTTCGTCAACACGAACACCCCCATCTCGTTCAGTCGGCACACCACTCTCTTTCAGGAACTTCGTAGCGGGTGCAACACCAACAGCCATGACCACCAGATCGCATGGAAGTGTTTCCCCATTCACGACAACGCCAGTTGCAGTCGTCTCATCGTCTTCCTTTGTCACAATCTTGTCTGTCTTGGTCTGCAGATGGAACTTGACGCCTTGCGATTCGTGGAACTAGCGACTTTATGGTAAACAAATAGTCTACCACATTGCAAATCGAATACCTTTTGTAATGCCTTGCCAACTTCTTTACCAAGAACAAGTTCGAACGGCACCTCTTCCATACCAATCACATCAATTGAGGCAAGCTTGCGCTTGGCTACTGCAGCAACGAGCTCCAAACTGATGAAAGAGGATCCGATTACGACCAGCCTCTTGCCCTCTTTCGCCACTGGAAATGAGTATGATTAGAAATGTGTGGAGGGTAACATGGGGATTTCACCTGTGTCAATCTTCTTAGCATCGTCAACACCCCTCAAAGTAAACACATTTTGGGCATCTGCTCCGGGAATCGGGAGTTTCCTCGGCTCACCGCCCGGCGCGAGAACCAGCTTCTCATACGAGACAGTTTCTTTCCCGTCGTCGAGAACAACTTGCTTCTTGTCGAAGTCGATTGAAGTGGCAGTCTATGAGCAAAGCAACCGAGATAGGAAGCAAGTCCAGGAAACTCGGAAGAAACTTACAACTCCGACACGAATATTGGTTGCATATTGAATTTTCAATACCGATGCAGTTCGGTACTCGAGTTTGGAGACGTCGGACATGAGCGATTTGCTCAATTTAGTGCTGCCAATTATTAATATCTTGCCAGCATGGGTCAGAGATGCTCACCGGTCTACGGGCGTGTGTTTCTCCTTGGTAAGAATGGTGATGGGACCTTTGTATCCGTTCTGCGGAGCAAGGATAGGTGACAAATAACTGGTAGAGCAAGTGTACCTCTCTTAGACTCTCGACGGTATGAAAAGCTCCTGATCCGCCGCCTACGATGACCACTCCTCGTCCCGCGCTGACATCAGTGGCATCGACGAGCGTTGGAGGACGGGCCATATTGGATTTGAGTGTGTTCGCTGGGTCTGCACTAACATGGATCTGCCCGTTAGTGATTTTGACGCCAAACGAGTGAAGGGCGTCAGGCGCTGGCGCGTCCTCTGAGGTTTTAAGTGAGCACATCACAGTGGATCAGAGTCATATGTAAGAGTACCGATGTCGCCGTTGCAAACGTTAAAGCACGCTAATCGAATCTCTCGCAAATGGAGTAACTGCGATATGGGACAGCAACATACCGCCATGCCATGGACTGCAGCTACTTGTTAGTTTCAGTCACTGATAACAGACAATGAACGCGCCAAACAACCCTCCCATCAGCAGCCAGAACACCTTTAGCCAAGGGTGCTCCATAGTGAGTGCAAAACGCGCTAGTTGCATAGACTTTGTCGCCTAGTCGCGATAAGAGAACCTTGAGAATGCTCATAAACAGTTCCTGGAGCAAGCCTTCGAGGAGCTGACTTTTCCCTCACCCTCACCGAACGCAACTTCTTTCCTATGTGAATGTATTCGGTCAGGCTATGGCCTTAGTTTGGTCCTGCTTACATCTGGCCATCTTTGAGGTCGGCTTCGGGCAGGACTGCAATCGTTGTCGACATCGAGATTCTTCTTGAATGTCGCTGGAGAGGTGACAATAATGAGTGCGATCCTGGGACTCTGATGAAAGACCTGAACGGGGAGGCAAAGCGCATGAATGATGTCACTCCGAGTCCACCAACCAGCTGCCGAGGAATTCAAAAGATTGATGTGGGTTCAAGTTTTGTCTCCTTCAAGGCTTGAAAAGTACATACACCTAAAACTACACGTCTGCCATTCCTACCCAATTCTACGATGCAGTGTCCTCGCATATACTGGACAATATATCCCGCCATTCTAACCAAGATAACAAGAGGAGTCGAATAACCAATCAGGGCACTGGTATTATGGGAACAGCAGCTTTCTCTGCTGGCGCAATGACCGCAACAACAACGGATATATCTATAGGGTAGTTGTAAGGAACCTCAGAAATTGACAATACCAAGTGGCGTACCATCATTTTTTCCACCAGAAAATTCTCTGCCTGCTTCCCTAGCACGACGACCAAACGGCGTCTCATCCTCGACGGAGTTGAATGGATCGCTCAACAAGGAAACTGCAGGTGCACTGGCAGCCATTGCACAAGGTTGTCCACCAGAAGCGCGTCGAGTTGCGACCCTCCTTGCACGTGAGCACAAAGCTTCGCTCAACATACCCGCCAAAGTTCGCCGTCGTAGCCGCGATTGATCAGCAAAATCCTGTGAGTGTATAGTGGAAGGAGAAGTTGCGAAAGCCTTGGAGACACGTGCAACTTCTTCGAGAATATCTTCGTCCCAAAGGTTGTCGCCGAGCCCGTCACTGGCCAAGATGAGAATGTCACCAGCACGGACTGGTAGCGTGAACACTCGGGCCGCAGACCCTGGTGTTACTTCGCCTGTTGTTGAGGGACCCGCGACTGGGGTACCAATCAACTGGGACCACCAGCCAGTTGTGCTCCCTGTGGACGTCGTACCAGTAGCGGGAGTAGCCGCGCTGAGTTGAACGGGTGTGTTCCATCTCCACCACATTTCTTCGCTCCGCCAGGCTATTGCCCCATCGCGGACAAGCATACCCATGCAATCTCCTAAGTGGGCGATTTTTAGAACAGGCGTTAGGCCGTCACCTGCAGCATCCGGATGGGGTGCATCGACGACGTCAAATAGACCAAGCCCGCCATCCACGCCAACATCAACCCGATTGGGAAGGGAGCCGTTTGCAGGGACGTAATCCAACACGGCGACAAGAGCAGTGCTCCCTCCAGCACGTAGAGGAACTGTGGTTGTCTCTGATATTGGGGAAGAGAAAGGAGTCCAAGACGTCGGACTTTTGGTTGGATCTGGCGAAGGGGCTGGGTCATTGGGTATTGCCACAACATGGGCCTTGAGTGTCCTCTCGTAAGCCCGTTCCAGTATGTTCAGTACGTCGATTCCTTCCGCCAACTCCTCCAGCTCTGCCTCCAATTCGGCAGCAAGATCTTCCGACTCTTCGATATCAGATTCGTCTCGCCAAGGATCGAACAAAGGAGTGTATGAGGAAGAGGAAGCAAAAGTGGTCGGATCATATGCGGAGTTAACAGAGTTATGTGGCCGATATGGTGGAGCCTCCCATGGAGCAACGATGGGAGGTTGTGAGGAAGGCGCATGTCGAGCTGCGCGGTCAACTTCATCTGCACAAAAATGCATTAACCTTCGAGCAAACAATGCTGAGGCACTGGGACCCGTCGTAGGTGCTTTTTATCAAAGAATCTGGTAAGCAAAACCTGGAAGGAGAATAAATTTCGGCATACCAAGATGTTTGACTCGTGCCCATCCACCGACCCCATCTGCTACTCCCATTGCATTCTCGTGGACAAAATAGGCGTCCTCCCCAACTTGTACAGCCATTGGTGCATCAGTTGCCTGGGTGTGAACCGTTCGCGAGCGGTGACCACGTTTAGGGATTCCATATGCGCCGATATCGAGAGTGTAACGCGGGCCTTTCCGTCGATGAGGTTTTGAACCGCTCGCATGCGAGGAGTTAGCTTGATTTGCCTTCCTCCCAGGAGAGTAGGGAAATAAGAGAGCAAGTTGGGCAGGGTGTGGAGGTTGGGATGTCTGTGTATGTGGGGCAGCAAGTGCAAGTGGAGCATGCGTTGGGTGAGAATTTTGACCGTTATTTGGGCCTTCAACTTCAGCACGTGCCTCTACAGGCAGGCGGTGGGTTGATAGACGAGCATTGGGTGGGGGAGGAGGAGCAGAGGCATCGAAGAACGATGAGAGTGAGGTTGGATTGGTGTAGAGTGACCGTGAGGCAGAGTTGGAGCGGACACGACCAACTGTGGCTCTTGGGAAGAATTTCATGGACATCGCGAGCGAGGGCAGACGAGGCAATCGGTGCCAGACCTACGACGGTCGTCGTCCGAATGAAGCCGGCAAAAATGACTACGTGACTTGATGTGACGTCATGAAAGGCTCCGGTCTTCCCCGCATCGGGACGGCTCTCCAGACCTCTCAATTCATCTCAATTGCACGCATGCATCGTTCGTCTCTCTCGATGATAGGTATACTTATTCTTGCCCATCTTACCACAATCAGACATACGTAGTCGCTCCAAATTTCGTCGGCTTCAGCAACGAGCGGAGGCTGCCCCCGTTTTGGGACTTGCAAAGAGTGGCCGACCGGGAATTCTTGTTGTTCAAGGGACCAAGAGCGCAATATCTGCTTTTCTGGAAGGTGCGCGAAGTAAGTTTGGTGATGTATCCAAAGTTGTTTCTGCTCATAGCACTCGTTGCAGGCTTGCGTTACCTCGACTTCCACCACATCGCCACCCGGCCCTTGAATGCCGACGTCAACCTCATGATCAACTTGAAGTCTGGCCTTGTCGAGGTCAACAGAGTAAAGGACCTCGTTCAGGCACTTGAGTCAATCGGACTCAAAGAGTGGTTTCGGACAGAAATGCATATGGGCAAAGATTTCAGTTCTAGTCATGATTCTTCTGCCTTGGACAAGTGTAGGTAAAGCTTCCTTCAGCCTCCTTCATCACCTCGCAAGTCTCGCAATAGAAATCATATCGTCATCTTCGTTGGTGCTGAAATATACGTTTTTTAGGAAAACGTCTCCCACCTTGCTCGGTGTCAATTGAAAGCAAAAAGAAATACCGATAGACTTGCCAACCAATGCATCGGCCCAGCGCTCACCCCTCCCTGCACAATCGAAGATATGCATAGCGGCATCTGCGTCTCTGATATAGTTGGCTCGTCCGTTTTCACCACCAAATCTCTGGGGTCAATCTTGAACTGTTTCCCACCAAACCCGAGGGAGACCGTGGCCGTATTATTGCACGGAATCCTCCAAGCCGATGTCGTATTATCAAACGAAGCCCCTGGAATCGCCGCATGGATTGCCTCAACATCCTGCAAACACTATCATCTTAGTGGACACGTAAAATGTGCTGACACACTGGTTTGGGTGCGATGAAGAGAGTCTATCAACACCAAAAGATTAGCTTGGTGTCAACGCTGCTTGATGGAACCACATACGGTTCCAGTGTCGAATATGCAACTGCGCCGACGAATCGCAAGGTGTTTTCGATTAACCTTGCCCGCATGTTATCGTCTTTCGTCACGGGCCAAAAATACTTGCCTGGATTCCATCCAAGTCAGCTTCCCAGAAGCCACCTTTGTTCACGTTCTTAACGTTGACCAATGTCCGCGAATTGTATTTGGATGGGTCAAGACCGCCAACAGTCATTTCACCGTCATTGACGCCGTCTAAAAGGCGCGAAATCTTGTACGAAACAATTCTTTTGGTGATGAAACGAGCAGCCCGCAGTGCGTTGAGGAAGGTGGAAGCAGGTTGCATCGAGAGGTTCTGACTGGATCAATGACATTGTCGGAGGGATCGTGGGTTTACCTTACCTGTTTCCCGCATCCCAACACGCCATCCAACGGAATGTTGTCCCTACACAGAATCAAAATGACGAGGCATCAACGTTCCAAGGACCCACGAACGCTGTGAACTCGGAACTCTCATTATAGGCCACGCCGAAAGTATGGTTTGCCAACCTCATCTTGCCAGCGAACACAACATGGTCTTGAACGAGAAGGCCGCTTACAGCGCCACTCCCATATGTGATGCTCCATGTCGTGTTGGTTGGCCGAAAGGTCGAGCTACTCTGGCTCCCTAAGAATTGATGGTCACCCTGTAGAACGATCAGGTTTAGTTGGTGCATTTTTGAACCTTACGCATCCACCCCCCACATCCGACCGACAACCTTCACCACCAACCCAAAAATCACCAGAGCCCGAATCAACGAGGAGATTGAATGGACGAGGAGGAGTCCCAATGGATATGACAGCCATATAACCAATATCCTGCCCTCTTCGTTCTGTCAACCCTCAACAGTAATATAAGAAGGCAGGGACCATACTCAATGTCCAATCCAGCAGAGTGTGCATGTTTTGCGGGGTGTGATTTGGTCACTTCCAAATCTGAGACACGAGAATGACTTTCTACCGACTTTCCGTGATATGACGAGAAGGTGGTATCGGCATTATTATCTGTAGCGCTGGTCGTAGTGCTACTATTGAGACCGTCAGAAGCCATTTCCGGCCCTGAATCTTCATCAGCGAGTAGAGTACGTCGATGACGGCCGCGAAAGTATTTTCTATTGCGAGGTGATTCGGAGCGAGACGATTCAGACATCATAGCAAGGCGACGAGTGGCATACTCGACGTGTCGTCGATGCGTCTTTATATGTATCGGGTTTTAGATGTTCGTTGGCAGTCACGCAGATATTACTCACCGCCATGGTACTAAGCGGTAAGCCGTCAGCATCTAAAGGTATGCTCCCAGGTAGCTTTATGAGTGGAATAGCGATAAATGAACTCGAGGGGGGAAGTGTCGTGGCTGAAGAGAATGTGGAAGTGGTGGTGAGGATGCGATTCAAGGTGAGGAGGTATGCCAGGCGGAACGCGACCATGACTGCTACACGCGTGTAAATCTAAAGAGAGTAAGGTGGAATGGCGGCGAGATACAAATTGTGAGGCGACTGTCATTTGGCTTTCAACCTGTGTCGCAGAAAACAGGGGCTCATATCCAAATATAGATACCGTGTGGCAATCCACACTCGAGTCAAACTGGAATACGAGAGGAACGACAATGACGCATCTTGTACCTTCGCCCAAGTAGCCGTCGTGCAGGTTAATCCGAGTTAAAATTCAAGAATAGCCATCAATGTCACATTCATTTGCAGTGTCGATCACGTTCCTTTTGTGCCCCCGGCCAACCAGAACCACGTTTTCGAGCCTGACGAAGCTTAATCCTTTCACTCGCCCCAGTAAGGGCTGATACGAAGTCCAATCTGTGATGGAGGTCGACGAGGAAGATTCAAGAAAAGGTGGCGAACCAGGAAGCGAGTCGGCTGCGACCGTCCAAAAGAATGGGCTGGAGAAGAATACAAGCTCAGAGTTGCTTGATCGGACAGAAGAAGCTCAGCCAGTTCTCGTAAGGCCATCTAGTCCGCACTCTATCCTTCACCCACAACCATCATCTCCAATGCCTCCAAAGTCCCCCGACACCTCTTCCCGTGCACTCAATGTTACCGATGCGCTATCCTATCTTGACGCCGTCAAGACTGAGTTTCATAACCAGGTGCGCCCTTCTTTGTTCGCCTGAACCTGTCTGACGACCGCGTTTAGCCAGAGGTCTATAATAGGTTTCTCGACATCATGAAAGATTTCAAGAGCCAAGTGTACGTCGCCACTCTTCTCCGTTATCTCTGTTTTACCTAGTTTTTCCCAGAATCGACACACCTGGCGTCATTCAGCGCGTTTCGCAACTTTTTCAGGGGAACCGTATGCTCATCCAAGGCTTCAACACCTTCTTGCCCAACGGCTATCGTATTGACGTCTCCCGTAACACAGAAGAGCCTTACACCATAACTGTCACAACCCCACAAGGAACCCAAACAACTAACTCGAACTTTGTGGCCAGACGCGAGCCTACCCACTTTGCCCCCACACCTACCCTTCCTCCCATTGCCGGGTCGTCGTCGCGGTCACGCACTCCCACCTACCATCACCAATCTCAATTCGAACATCCCGCTCCCCAGCTCCTGCCACCAGTCAATGTTACAGCATATCCGCCTGCACATAGCAGGACGTCTGAGAAAGCACAGCAGCCTCCGGGAGAATTCAACCATGCCATGCAGTATTTGAATAAAATAAAGGCTCGCTATGCGGATGACCCCGGCACTTACAAACAATTCCTCGATATTCTTCAGCAATACCAGAAAGAACAAAAGCATCTACATGAGGTGGGCCTCCTCATACTTCGAACTACTGTCTGACCGCGATTTAGTCCCAAGTTCACGTCCAGGTTCAGCATCTGTTCAAGGATGCGCCTGACCTTTTAGGTGAATTCAAGGCTTTTTTACCGGAAATCAGTGCCGGGCAAAACATGGTTGTATTCCCTCAACCGCCCTCTTTATGGCCGCAGCCCGATGTTCCAGAGAGATCTAAGAAGTCTACGCAACCTCCTGCAAAGCGAAAAAAGAAAGCGGAGAAAGATACTACTCCAGTCCCCCCAGCTAAGCCAGCTGCTCGAGTACGTGGCGATTTTACAAATCCCAAATATATTCAAACATTCTTATCATAGCCAACGAAGAAAGCGAAGCACCACCACAAACCAGAGCCAGGCTCCCCTTCATCTTTGACATACGTTGGCCATTCTCCCCCGCCCACTCATATGCCACCGCCAGCCATGTCGCAACAACAAATCCAACAACAGCCGCTACCTGCTGGTACCGACAAGCTGCTTTTCTTCGATCGCGCTAAGAAAACATTGGAGAATCGCCAGATGTACGACGATTTCTTGAAACTTCTCAGTCTATTCTCGAAGGAGGTGATTGATATGAAGACTCTCATTGCCCGGACTCAAGACGCATTCTTGGGTGATGGAGAGTTGATGGACGAGTTCAAGGAACTTGTTGGGTGGGACGACCAGACCGAGGAAAAGGGCCCGCCTGGCAGCGTGCGAACCGGCCCGCCAGAGGCCTTATCAGCTTTACCGATGGGTGATGGGGAAGGTCCGAGTTATCGGAGACTACCAGATAGCGTATGCCGATCTTGAAAGCCTCTTGATTTACCGTGCTGACAGTTGTATAGGAAGCCCGTCTCGCTTGTTCAGGGCGGGATGAACTTTGTCGCTCAGTCCTGAATGATGAATGGGTTTCACATCCAACCTGGGCCTCGGAGGATGCAGGATTTGTTTCGCACAAGAAAAACTCATTCGAAGAAGCTCTCCACAAGAGCGAAGACGAACGCCATGAATTTCACGTGCAGATCACTGCCCTCGGTCGCACCATCGCCCACTTTGAGCCACTTGCGCTTCGTATTGATGAAATGTCAGGGGATGAACGCGCCTCTTTTCGTCTCAAATCAGATTTTGGTGGGTCGGGGAAATACTTATATCATCGCATTATCAAGAAAATCTACGGTCGTGATGGCGGTAACGAAATCATATCGGCGCTCCAAGACCAACCAGCTGTCACGGTTCCTCTTGTCCTTATGCGGTTGAAACAGAAGGACGAGGAATGGCGGCGGGCACAACGTGAATGGTCTCGAACATGGCGGGAGGTCGATGCCAAAAACTTTTACAAGAGCCTCGACCACCAAGGAATCAATTTCAAGCAAAACGACAAGAAGAATATCACTGCTAAATATTTCGTCGCAGACATCGAAGCCCAGAAAAGCTCACAAGATCAAGGGTGGTCTGGCCCCAGCCCTGCCCCTCCCCAACTCGAGTTCACCTTTGCCGACATCTCCGTTTTACACGATGCCCTCAAGATGGTTTATTCGTTTTTAGACCACGCCGGTGCCCAGTATAGTGCTCTCGAACGTCGTGGAATGGAAACTTGGCTACGGAGATTCGTACCATTGCTCTGCCAGTTCCCTGCTGTTGAGTTTAATGCAGCTTGTGGGCCCATCGAAGGCATGGTACCTGATGACCCAGTTGAACCCCCGCGAAGTGGTCGCCGGTCTACTGGAAGCGCTTATTCAGCCTCCATTGGCGGCGTTCATGCAGGTGATCTGCGCAAGAAACTCCTCAAGACGGCTCAGGAAAAGAACGACCTGGCCGCTGTATCCAGAGCCGAATCGCCAGTGCCTCCAGACGACACCGAGACCTGGATCAAAGAAACAACTCATCTTGTCCCGGAACCAGTGAACGGACACTCTGTCTCTTCCAAAAGACCTTTCTTTGCGAACACTACGTTTTATACGTTATTCAGGCTACTTCAGGTTCGTCTCATCTTTGCCTCCAACGGCCCATTTAGTCATATATATGACAGTTGCTCTATTCACGGCTCGAAAGTTGTAAGATAATTGGTGCAAGGCTGGCTGATGAGCAGCATATGTCACTTCTGGCCAATCCAGTCGCTGCCGCACTTGGACTGGACGATCCTGCAGGGCCGCCTGTTGTTTTGGCCCAGACTGTTTTGCCATTAGCCGCCAGCTTGCCTCCAGGCAGTTCTCAACCCGCGAATGTTGTCTATATGTACCTTTTGCACGCTTGCGAAAAGGTATTTGACAACGATTTGGACCAACTCACCTTCGAAGAGCACATGCGATGGTTCTTCGGGGAAAAGGTCAGACAACTTCAGATGATGCAGATTGGCTATTCTTATTCGCAGTAGGCATATCACCTCTTTACCTTGGACAAGGTAATTGCCGCATTGGTAAAACAAGTTCAACAAATCATTGGGGACAACAAGTGTCAAGAGTTGTGGACATCACTGCAGAACGTGAATGCTGTCGTAGCCGATGGAATTCCTATGACCGATACAGACATCGTAAGGTATCGAAGGGAGGCAGAACGCTACGTTGGCCAGGATGACCACTTATATCGGATGGAATGGGTCCGCGAAACCAAGACTATGCGTGTGTTCTTGGTCAGCAACGACGACCCCAGTGTCAATGGTGGTGACAGGTGGCGAGAGTATGTTTCGACCTATGTTATGCGTCACCCCACGGAATGGATACCGCTCCCACCGTCCGCAGAAGAAGATGACGACCGAATACCACCAACCACCAGTTTGTTCCTGAAGCGGTCAGCATACGTTATACTTGATTTGATTATTTGCTCAGTACTGTTAGGACACGAAGCACTAGAGACGTAGATCGTGCAACCCTAGTCGGAGAGTCGATGTGTGTTCGGATTCAGCATCCAACTTACAAGATTGTGTATGAGGCTGGCACGGAAGATGTCATCTGGTCTTCAAGAGTCAGAGTGGAGTCACGTGTCAATGTTGCGATGGAGCGTAGAAGACAACTATTAGCTGAGCGTTTTGCGTAGAATGGTTTTTTTTGCCTGGTGTAGCTCTTTGTTGTATCCACTACAAGACAAATTTTTTGAATTAGCCACGGGTGAGGTTGTTGGTGTGACCGAGTAGATCGTGAGATCATTGACGTCATCAACAAGCATTGGAGCTTTTCGACGACGACGATGGTGGCTGTCTGGCAACACTGAGCTGGCTACATCGAAGATATGACTGCTCGACGACACACTCGCCGTACGAAATCAACTCGACCATCAACCGCACCCGAAAAGCCCCGTCAACCACTCCTCCCAACATCCATGCTTGTTGTCCCAGAGGTTGAAACCGAAGATTCACTGAGCATTGATCTTGGTGGGTGTTAAGCCACATCGTTTGTTTTTTTTTCTCATTCACGAAAAAAAGATGCACTGCCTCCGCCCTTTCCTCTCCAAAAAGCTACATCTGGAAGGCATACTAACGAAACAGATTGGGCGACGTTTATTACGGCGTATGCTTGTGGGCGATGGGATCCACATAGAACTCCCAAACCACCTCGCACGCAACTGCTTGACCTCTCGCTAGTTTCTGTTCCGAGTGGTCCTCTGGCCTTTGAACGCGCTCGACCCCCTCCTCCGCCTCCTTCTCATCGACTTCGCGCTTCTTTCTCTGCTGTTTCGTCAGGATATAAATCTCCAAGCTCCATAGCCTCTTCGTACCCTGTGTTCAGTTTACCTGGGGTCTTGCCCACTTCAGGCAGCAGTTATCCTCCAGTGACGTCTTCGACCGCTGCATTTACAGTTACGGCTGCCAACGCTACTACCCCAACGAGTTCCAACCATTATGATGCTCAAACATCAGCAGCTACCCTCCGATGGGCTGCTGCCAGAGTTCGTGTCGCGCCACTTGCTCTCCCTAGCCCAGAACACGAACTTGTCGACCCAATGCGAAATGCAGGGGCTGTCCCAATACCAGGAAGTCATCCAGACTTCTCCTCTGGTCATCGATCTCGACCATCTCAGTCTGTATCTCACTCACGCTCTGCCTCCATAACACGGTCATTTGCCAACCTCCCCCATCTGGCCCAGACATTCCCGGTCCAAACACCTAACTGGGATGTAATGACTCCAGGTGGTACTCGGAGAGCACGATTGAGTGGTTTCTGGAGTGGGACCGCTGATGTTGGAGACACGTCCCACGACTCAGAGTGGTTGGAAAGCAATTCAAGCGGACTTCTCCCAGCATTTGATGCAAGTCCTACCACGCCGGAGGACGAAGAATCAAGAAACGGGCCAACCCCAACCTTTTTACTTGGACCACGACCCCCTCCCGCGACAGCTCCAGTCCGTGTTGTTGACGATGAGGGTGATTGGGATTATTTTGCCATTGGGGCTGAAGGGTCAAGATCTTCTGGCCGGGGTATTCGGCGTGATGGATTGAATACTCCTCCGTCAACACGCCATGCCAGCGTTTCACGCCCGGAAGAACCAGAACGGTCAGAAGTGTCTGTTCAGACTCCCACAACCCCAGACTCTAATCCAAAACGAGTTCATAATCTGAGCGCATCGACGACATCTTTAAAGTTTGATGGTCTTGACCTGTCCCACTCAGGATTGCCCATTGCTCTAGTCGACACGAAGGACGAAGTACTACCAATCCCTGCACCAACTCCCATTTTCGGGCCGCCATATCGGACATCCTCGACTCCTCCGCCCCCCGCTAACGTCGATATTACTACTAACTCTGCAGTCCCAGTCGTCAGCGAGTCTGTCATCTATCCTACTCCAGATGATCACCCTCTGCTGACACATGCGAGTGACACACTCGCCGACCTGTATGGCCTGTCTGGTGGCACTCCACACCCATATTCAGTCCCAGCTGCTAGATCACGTCGCGCTCAACTAACACGTCAAGCAAGTGCGCCTCTTCCCATATCAACCAGTGACTCCTTTGTCGATATCGTCCCTGTCGCTCCTCGAGCGAAATCCACCGATTCTGTTGTCGAAGACAAATCAACAAGTCCTTCAGGGCTCTCCGTGGAACCTGACCTCGAGCCAGCCGTCAATGACGAAACCAAAAGTGTCATCACTGATGGTCAAGGTAGAAGGTCTGCCAAGGAAGACGTCCGAGCAGCACGAGAAGACCATGCTTTTTCAGAACGCGGGTTTCTTGCTCCTCCATTTCCTCCCGATGAACTTGGACGCCGACGAGCGTTGTACAAGTGAGCACACTTGATCTCTTATCGATTATACTGATCCGTCAGCTAGGTTCAACATTGTCAACACAGGCTCCGATATGAATTTCGACCGCATTGCTCACCTTGCTAAGCTTGTATTCAACACCAAGGGCGTGTTGATCTCTGTAGTTGACGAGGCGGAGGAATGGTTCAAGTCTGAATGTCAATTTCTCTTTGTTCTCGTTGAATCTCCTCTGATCTTTCACCTCAGGGGGGGTCAATAAGCTGCATGGTTGTGCGAGAGAGGCCAGCTTTGGCGCTCATGCGATACTCCAACGCGGGGACGAACCAATGATTATTTTGGACACTCACTTAGATTGGAGGTTCACCAGAAATGTGGGTCCATTCATAACACCCTGAGGCTAAACCTAATGTCGAGTAGCCCTTGGTTGTCGGTGCCCCGCATATTCGATTCTATGCTGCTGCACCTCTAAGAACACAAGACGGTTTCAACATTGGATGCCTCGCGCTCATTGATGATGCTCCGCGGGCCGATTTTACGCCCAGGCAACGGCACACACTAAAAGAATTCGCGGCAATTGCCATGCGAGAAATGGAACTGTGGCGCGACAAAGTGTGTTTGTTGTTTTTTGTCCTTTCGACTTCAAGTTTTGATGCCCTGTCAAGATCCGATTACGAATACGAGATCGTATACAAAATTCGGTCGGAATCTATATTTTCTTGTCTTGAAGCGCCACTAACTCTTACCCTAGATGGAACAATTCAGCCGGGAATGTTTGGAGATTGATGAGTCAGCCCGACCAGTACAGACGGAGCTTAGTGGCGCAGCGAGCATCCGCAACTCCAGGCAACCCTCCCCCACTCGCGACGCTCGTCCCCATCTTCATCCTCCAGCTCCAATCCAACAAACTTCATCAGGCAGTCCTGTCCGACCATCTCCGTCTCCGTCAAGTCAACTTTCCAAGTCGGAAGATTTCATTGAACCTTCTTCATCGATGGACCAAGTGTACGCCCGAGCCGCAAAGCTTGTCCAGCACACGCTGGATGTTGATGGTGCAGTTGTCATTGATGTTTCTCACTGCGAGGTTCTCGAGTCAATGAGCTCTGAAGCCAGTGTTTCCGTTGTGCTTCATCATGGCGACGTTGAAACACCAACCAGTGTGCACACATTAACAGTCGAGGAATACCAGAGGCTGAACGAGTTCTTTGCAATGCACCCAGCCGGAAAGGTATCTGAGGGCATCGTTCCTCCTGCCTTGAGACTATTTCTTCCGCAAGCGCACATTCAATATGCTCTGGGTTTGTTGATGTTTTGATGGCACTTTTCTTTGTTCAACTGACTGGATGCCATGCAGTTGTGCCAATCTACAATGTCGACAAACGCCCATTTGCGCTGCTCTGTGCGTGGAATGCATCCGACCAAACAAAACGCTTTGTGAGCTAGATCTCGCTTTCTGCTCTTCTCGCGCTTAAGTATCTCCCTCTAGCTTGAAGGCCACGAGCTGTCTTATCTGCGAGCAATTGGAGTCATCATCCTGTCTGCCGTCTTGAAGCGCAGGATGATACTGGCTGACAAGGCGAAGAGTTTGTTCATATCCAAGTATGCAGTCATGCTCTCAACTCTACCGCTAACCTAGTCCTCTCTAGCATTTCACACGAGCTGCGAACGCCGCTGCATGGGGTCCGTTCCTTCCGACTCTGATCAACACTCATTCACGTTGACTTCAGATACTCGCTGCTGCAGAGCTGCTTACAGACAGTCCGCTGAATCACTCACAGCAATCATTCCTGCAAACAGTTCAAGCTTGCGGCAACTCTTTGGTCGAGACGGTCAATCACGTGCTAGATTTCACCAAGCTTAGTGGCAACTCAAAGGCTGGTGGGGTGGAAAATGTGATTGTTCCTAGCTGGTATGTGGCGATCATGTATTCTTGGGTTCCAAAGTGCAACTTTACTAGGGTTGATCTGATGCAACTTGTTGAGGAAGCTGTGGATGGTTGTTCCGTTGGTCATCGCGCACGAGCTGCAATGATGATGGGGGACACTGGTATTGGCAGCGTGTACTCGCCACCGGAGGACCTCTCTGCTCCAAAGCAACACGTCGAGACGGTCGTTGAGATTGGTCATAGGACAACGGTAAACCTAGATTCCGTTCCGTCCCATTGGCTTCGCTGATGTTGGATCAAAGGGATGGTCATTGAAATGCGAAAAGGGAGGTATTCGACGTGTGCTAATGAATGTCTTTGGAAACAGTTTGAAGTTTACTTCGGTGCGACCTTCAGCCTGAAATTTCTATTTCTCGTTGACTTTTTTTTTAGAATGGGTACATTCATGTCATTCTCCGTGAAATCCCAAGGACTAGCGTTGATCCTCCCAATGAAATCAAAGTCGAACTGATAGTATCCGATACTGGCAAAGTAAATATCCCATAACTTTCTGGCTGTTACTCACGTGACATCAAGGGCATCAGTGAAGACTTTCGGAGGAACCAACTTTTCCATCCCTTCTCGCAGGAGAATCCGATGCAAACTGGAACTGGTCTGGGTCTAGCCATCGTCAACAGCATCGTCAAATCCGAGAGTGTTAACGGCAAGCTAGACGTTTGGAGTGAGGAAGGTGTTGGAACAGAGATTAAAGTCTCGTTCACTGCAACAGTGTCTGCAGACGAAGCTCCAGCACCAGAGATGGAACCCTTTAAATTCTTGAATCCAGATCGACCTGCAACCGTCTCTCTAGTTGGCTTCGACTCTGACCACAAAGGGGTGACGTTGTTACGCGACACCATCCACACATACCTCGTCGAATGGTGGGGTTTCCGAGTGCATCCTTCATCAGAAGGACTCGGTGACATTATCTTTCTAAATGAAGATGTCGAACTGGTGAAAAGAGCGACAGCTGAAAGGGACACATCACGACCTTTCATCGTGTTATCAATGCTCCACGGCAACCCAGCCATGCTAAGCACGTTCGCAGACCACGAAAACATTGGCGGCTTTTGTCGTCCAATGTACAAGCCTGGTGGACCCTCCAAACTCCAAATTCTGTTGAAGCTAGCTCTGCACGCCGTTCAGATTGCCCAGTCTGGCCGAAACTCTCCTCACACAAGCGATGAGATAGTAAACGAGACTCCATTCAGCATACTTGGACTGGTACCCCGCCGAAACTCTGAAGAAACAAGGCCATGGATGAATTCGCGTCCATTGATGTCTCCTCGCGCTTCAACCGTACACCCTCTTTCTTCGCCTACATGGAGGAAAGCGAATCCTAGCATCGAAGAGAGGGACTCGCCATCTCCAGAAAGTGATGACCTGACCACCATCACCATCGGTGGTCCAGAAGTAGGAACATTATTAAAAGCGTCTGTTGGAACCATTGCCTCGGATGAGCGAAGGTTTCGTGTGCTGGTTGTTGAAGACAACAATGTGCTACGGATGTTACTGTGAGTGTTCGAGCTGTCATCATGGGCGCCTGGATGCTCTGACACGATGCCTTCTCTAGCATCAAGTGGTTAACTTCAAAGGTAAGTACTTGGTCACTATCACGTGCCGGTGCTCATACATCGAATAGGGTTACGAATACCGAGACGCTGTGGACGGACGCAATGGTGTGAGAGTTTATGAGGAAGATGGGCCGTTCGAGTAAGAAAAGCCTCTCCTTCGCTGGTCGATCTGATTATCCGACAGTGTGGTACTGCTAGACATGTCGATGCCTATTCTTGACGGTTCTAGACTCTCATTCATGCAACTGTTTACCGTGCTAACCTTTACTAATAGGAATTGGGGCGACAATGGAGATTCGGGAGATGGAAGCACGACGACAGATCCAACAACCAAATAGTCCACAAAGCATACCTGCTCGAATACTGGCTCTAACTGGACGCTCATCATTGGAAGACAAACGTCGCGCGTTTGACGCAGGTGTGGATGGCTAGTGAGTCGTTGACATCTCTCCTCCCGTGTGCCTAAGCATCTATATTCAGCCTGGTCAAACCTGTTGCTTTCAAGACCCTCGACGAAATTTTTTCGAAACTGGGGGTTTCTTCATAGCATCGCTCGCTGACGATCGATCTCGCCCTCTTTCTAATTACTGTTCTTGACATCTTCTCTCTGCATCTCGTCTCTCGCATCTGCATGACCCGTAGCATTTCTCTCTAATGGGACCCTGTTCTTACCCTGCATTTGTATCATTATTACCAAGTCATCTCAACAACTGCTGTACTACTCTTCCATGTCCAAATAAAGTTACAAGGTCCATTTCTATGCTTTTTATGACACTCGCATGATGACCAGGGCACTCCACGTATATAGTGGAAGGGTCAGATTATCGTTTTGGTCTGAAAGGGCTTCCAGGACGGAAGCCAGGATAATCACGCTAACGTAGCGGACTGTCTAAGCAGCCACGTGGTCAATAAATTGACAGGAAAATCATCGAAACGCCACTTACCGAAAACGGCTCCACCACACCCAACAGACGAAGGAGCCAAGCACACGCGAGAACGGAAGCAGCAAAAGCCGCGCTGCCTTCCAGCGTTTTGGTTGTGGTAGGAGACCAAACATGGCGACCGTGTCGCTTGCCGACGATACTTGCTAGTGCGTCACCTATCCCGAGAACTAGGACTCCTGTGTACTGTAACAACCAAGTTGGCCTAAGAAAAGGGTCGGTGACGTCAGAATGCAAGAGTCGAGAAAAAACAAAACTTGCCCTTCGAGCCACAGTGCCCCTGCACATCCTGTCAAAAGATAAAAATGGCTCAGGATTGCGGTGCCGCTGTCTTTGGTGTCGAGAAATTCATTCATGAAACGATGGACCGCCGCTCCGAGCGGATAGATGGCAAAATAGCGTATATATTCGGCGAAGACGAAAGCTGCAAATGCGGCGCTGAATGCGAGGTGCGTAAATGCGGGCTGAAAAACTATTAAGCAAAGCATCAAAATAAGGTGGGACAACCAACGTCGAATGCAATTCCAGGTAAAAACATGAAAACCACGAGAGCATGGAAGAACTTGCGGCGTTCGTTTAATCTGAGAGTGGGAGCCCGATCCAAGAATTCATTGGAGGCCGCGAACAAGGCATTAGTAGAGGAAGCTGCATCAACTGGGCCCGGCATACGGCGCGATCTCGCGAGTTGCCTCGTCCAGCCAGCGACACTGATTGAACCCAGTGCTGCCCAATAGGCTAAGAGAGCAACTCTTCTGTGTCGCGAGATGACCCAACAAACGACCCATATCCAAGGGTCACGATTACCTAGACACCATCTTGTCCATAGACCGAGAGGACCGAAAATAATCACAAGGGCAACAAAAGCAGCCGCGAAAGCAAGGCGACGGCGAGCGCGTAAGGCTTCTGAAGGTAGGAGACGGCGTTGACGTCGCACTGGTGTTTGAGCAGCATGTCTAGATAGCACCAGCATGGGGGCGATGAGAAATCCGGTCAGAAAAGGACCAGCAACGAGAGCGGTTTGAAAGACGACCAGGGGAGTCGGGAGTCGGTAAGTTTTAAGGTACGCAGTTGTCACGGGCCAAATCTGGAAAGTTCAAGACGAGATTTTAATTGCCAAAAATGGTTCATACCCGAGCGATAGTGATATTGAGGAATTCCATGAAGATTGCAGTCCCACCAAAACATACTAAGCCCAGTTCTCCAAGAGTCAGGCCGCGATGCGCCATTCTCAGGGCAACATACAATGTGAACTGGTAGAAGATCGCAACGACAATAACATCAAAGAGGTTAAGGTCTGATTGAGATCATTAGAGTCAATAGGACAGGAGGATGGGTAAGAAGCCTACGTTGCCAGATGCCGATGCCAACTAAGCCGAGAGCTATGCGGACCAGGAAAAACGAGGCGGCAGACCCAAGGGTGAAGAAAATGAAGTAGAGACCGCGAACTCCCTCGCTGCGAGGGACTGATCGCCGTTCGGCTTCGGTTGAAGAGGGTGTTGGTTCACCCGCAGCAACATGCCTATTTTCTAGCCAACGAGATGAACAGACGTGTAGCAGAAGGATTGCACTCGTGAATGTGGCCAGTGACAAGAGATTGTACCGTCCGCGCAACAAAGCGATAGCTGGTGGAGGGGCACGGGTATTTCGGGCCGGGAGACGTATTGGCGATTCAATTGCCCAGCCAGCAGGCAGTCCATCGCCAGGGTAAGGGTCCAAGGAGCATAATAAAAGAGCAGTGGCAATGAGAGGACCAAGAAGGAGAGCAGTCAAAATGCCGTCGTCCGTGGAATCTCTATCGGGGTGTGAGGGAGGAGTTATAATTAGACTGCCACGTACCGATAGTTTTTGGGAACGGACATCCAAATGAACCCAAACTTGTCGTCCGATCTCCTTTTAGTTTGTTGTAGTGCTGTGGGAGGTATTGGCGCTGGTTTGGGTGTCAGCGCCCCGCGATCTGTAACAGTGCCATACGTGTAGCCTAAATAGACAGCAGCAGCGAGCAAGAGCGCGTAAAGCTCGTAGGCCATCCAAGTGTCGAACTGCTCGATCTTCTGGGTCCCAAAGAGTAACGAAGCCAACAAAACAAATGACTCTCCAGCGCGACGCGAGTCCATAAGGAGAGACCATCGTAGATTGGTGAACGGAATGGGAGCATGGAGTTGTAAGAAGGCTGGAAGAATCGGAGTGCGATCCACAATGAGTTTCCGGCGATGGAAGAGAGAAACGATAGGTGAAAGTGAGGGTTGCAGTTGTGGTGGTCGTGGAGAGCGCGAACGAGTAAAGTCTACACGTGGACTTTCTGGGCGAGAGAGCTTGACAGGTAGCCTGACCCTCCCTCTCCCATGTTCATCGACGTCTGAATCTTCATCTTCAACCTCCGTGTCGGAAGCGGTTGATGTTTCTCCACCACCGTAGGAAGTACTCCAGTCAACGACGACAACTTCTGGATTGCGTTTGGTGGGCCTTTTAGCTGCAGACCCACGCCTCACCGCCGCTTTTCTCGGTGGAGACGGAGATGACCGCGACCGTGCCAGGTTGGAGTGGCGGGAACGAATTAAAAGATGTGATCCGGGAAATTATGGTCGATTCTTTTTTGTCCCAAACTTGATTTAGCCGAGAAGAGTACAAAAACGCGGTTCGTCACACTGTTGCTGGACGCGTACCACCACCACTTGAGCTCTCCACCCTCACCGCGAAACACACTTTTCTGCGAGAACCCTCTCCTCCGCCTCAGTCTTGCGCATCCCACAAATGTCCAACCCCAATGACAGCACAGTCTATCTAGAGGACCTTGCCACCAACTACAAACGGCCCAAACGAGTCGCGGATTCTGAAGCGGAGGGAACCACTGCTGGAAAACGGCAAAAGACACTGTTCGAATCGTTTGGACCAGAGAAGCGCCAAAAGTTGTCTCAGCCAAAACCGACGTGTTCGACTGGAATTCGTGCACCTGTTAAAGGCCAGAAACTCAACTCAATTCCATTCTCTCTTAGCGCGTTTCAAGCAGCATTGCCTGACGACGAGGCGCGTAAGCTGCTGGCGCTGGAATGCGAAACATTTGGCAAGAGTTGGTTCAAGGTCATGGCGACCGAGTTTGTGAAGCCTTACTTCATTGATCTAAAGCGCCAACTATATGAAGAGGGCGTTTGCGGTGCGACTGACCCAGTGCCGGCAACAATTTTCCCACCTCGTCAGTTACTTAACCCCATCCAATCGCGACCCGAGCTCATCTCGTGCAGCGAAAAACATCTACACGTGGTCAGACACGCCTCTCGGACGCGTAAAAGTCGTTATAATCGGACAAGACCCATACATCACCAAAGGCCAGGCGCACGGCCTATCTTTCTCAGTGCCACAAGGAGTTCATGCGCCGCCATCCCTTCAGAATGTTAGTGCCCATCGTCATATTTAACAAAAAAAAATCAACAAAACCCGTGCAGATATTCAAGGAGCTTAAAAACGAATACCCCTCCTTCACCCCACCTGGCCATGGCACGTTGACTAAATGGGCTGAGCAAGGTGTATTACTGCTGAATACGGTTTTAACCGTCAAAGCGGGAGTCTCCGACTCACATGCGGGCCGAGGATGGGAACAATTTACCGAGCGCGTGATGCAAATCGTCGATGCGTACGGCGGGGCGAACCTTGCTCGCCCCGGTGAAGCCGCTGCCGGTGTTGGGACAGGTGTTGTTATCATAGCCTGGGGGTCAAAGGCCCAGCAACGAGTCAAGGGACTGGATTCGGTAATCTTTCACCGAAGCTGCCTTGCCTTCGACTTAGCTGACCTTGGCTCAGAAGAAGCATCTTATTTTGAAGAGTGTTCACCCATCTCCTAGAAGCGCAGACTCGGGATTCTTCGGTAATGGACACTTCCGTAAGGCCAACGATTGGCTGGAAGCACGTTACGGTGCAGGAGGCGGGATCGACTGGTGTGCGCTTTAACCGGCCCAACTTCCCGATCGAGGCTACTTTTATTGTTCCTGAGAAGGCTCACATGATAGGCTTTTTAGCTATGGCTGCTGCTATTAGGACTACTTTATAGTTACTTGGGTATTGTAGACTAAAGGTGGTACAGATACATCTAGTAGTAGTACACATTTCAAGTGATTATATGTCCGTCCGAAGGGTAAGCCGACCTGTGGTGGGCGTGAGGGTCATGTTGTGAGTGGTGGCTATGAAGAACAGGTGGGTGTTGGTCTTGCAATGGCGGCGATGGCAGACGAATACTAGGATGATAACCGCCACTCAGCGACGAGTAGTCCGATGTCGATCGTCTGGCGGGAGGGTACCCAACAGTCACTGACGAAACCTCCCGCGGTTGCTCATATGCTGGTTGACTCGTCGTATATTGGTAAGAACGATGAGCTGGCTGTTGTTGTTGTTGTTGCTCGAATGGCGAAGGATAACTTGGCCTATCGCTGGCGGAATACATGTACATGGAGGTGAGGGAGCTTGACCGCGAGTAAGTTGGAGAATACGCCATGGCTTTGGTCGACATTGAGGGCGGAGCGGAAACCGGTTGGTAAGACGGCACTTCCTCTTGCATCACGATTGTTTGCCCCCAAACCCCGGTGCCATTCTGAATCTCCTCAATGGTCGCGCGTGACGGAACTGTTGAGGACGAAACCGAGTCTTCTTCGTCCGATGTTGGTGAGTCGGCAGATGAATCGCCACTCGAGCCCAGCAAAAGTTGATGAGCAGCATTTGGTTGAGACCCGTCATTAGTTTTCGGCTTGTCTTTGCCAGTTGGACCTTTCCCAAGTGGTGGCCTATTAGCTTGGGGAAGATTGAGGGCTTGTCGTAAACAGCTGTTCTCCTCCTCCAGTTCGGAGACACGCTGTTCAAGAGCCTTGAAAATGAAATAAGAAAAAAAAGTGGGCTAAGGGGGTGGTGATTGATAGAACTCACAAGGAGATGGGCAGCTCTACGAGCCCTAAACGCTCGCTGGACATCGCGGGCACGGTTTGGCGGAAGGTTGTCGTTGCGCTTACGGCCACGCTTGGAGGACATGATGGGTAGAGTAGACCTCGGAACTCTCCTTTTTGAGCAAAAGCCAGTCTGTGCGGTCAATCGGTGTTGGAATCTCACCAGATGAGATCTTGTCACGCTCAAGAGACTCTCCTGTGTCACTTCGTGATCGAGTTCTCACCGCTGTCCGGCGAACCTATTCACCAATGCATCACGAGCTCATCGGCTTCCATTGATCGCGAAGTCATTTCTCCATGCTTGTGGGCGCCCTCTAGGCTAGCCCTGATGCATTGCCACTTCCACACACCCAAATCCTTGGCTTACGAAAGTTGGGGGGAAAAAGAGAGAAAAAAAACAAGTGTCCATAATGGTCCCGGATCGGAACGCAGAAGAGATGTTTACCCGAGTTACCGCACAGCTTATCTTCCCGCAAGGCAGTGTAAAATAACTTCAGGTACTCGACCTATCGCCCAGAATTCGCCTTCTTCAACGCAGCTTTATCCTTGTCGCGTTTGAGGAAGAGCTTGTTTCGCTGGGGGGCTGTCTCCCGCGCCAATTTCTTGTTTGCAGACTTGTTTTGCTCGATGTATGACATATGACCACCCCCGCTGAGTGCAGTCAATGATCCAGTGGTTCGCTGGGTAATCGGAGCGGCCGAGAACCCGCCACTGCCGATTCCCCGTGGCAAAGGCATCCCGAAATCTTTGCTCGTCACAGTCCCAGCCAAGTCACCATCAGCCCCACGAACATCGCTGCCCAAGTCTGCTTCGTTTTCGCTGGCAAGCAAAACAGACTGGACGAGCTCAATCTGCTCATCACGTGTGCGGTACACCAGATCCTCCATCTTGTCCAGCCCCTCGAGATGAGTGATCACCTTGAAGGCGTAACCTTGGTCGATCAGGAACTGCTGCCGTTTCGTGCTGTAAAACATCTCCTGGGTATCCTTTGACACGAGGGAGTAGAAAAACGCGTTGAAGCCTTCGTCATTTCTTCTCTTGGCTCGGAGGATTCGACCTATCCATCGGACTGAGCGCAGAAACCGAGGTAAAAAAAACTCAACAAACCCAATCGCTGAGCTTCCTGTCTCCGAGAACCGAAGTGAGATGAAATCTGGATTAGACAGGTTGCCTCCGGAAGATCGATCGACGTGTCTCCAACCTAGAAACTCTAAGTTGGAAACGATGCATGAGACGATGGTTACCTTGGAAAGGAATATTGTGTTAACTTGGGGACTATGTTGAAACCATGAAAGGATACGCATGCGTTCGACTTGGCCAGTCCCGCCATGAATATAAAGTTTCCCGAGTCGTTTAGCATAAGCCTAGAAAGAGGTTAATAGGCTGCTCATTAGATAAGCTACGCATATACCTCTAGCGCATAAACATTATCCGAAAACACAATCACTTTGTCTCCGCGGTCCTCGTGATACTTGATGAGGAATTGGCAGGCTTGGAATTTATTTGGGTTCATGCAGTACAGAAGCATCCGCTTGCGACTCTGGATTCGCAGATACTGACGGTAAAACTCTGGTGTCATCGGACACCACACTTCGGCACACTGAAAACAGGTGTCAACAAAACGCGATCACGAGTTGGCTGGATATCGACCTGAACATTTGCAATGTGACCTTTGGCGGCGAGGTCCCTGGCCAAGTCAGAACATATCGAAGAAGCAGCGGACATAGCTCTTACATCCAATTTGCTTCATATAGTTTTGGCCCAATCATATAATTCAGGTCGGCAATCTTGTCGTCCTCGCGCACTAGGGTTGCAGTCAGACCCAGTTTCGAGTGCGCCTTGATGGTGGTGACGACTCGGCGAAACATGGCTGCTGGCACGACATGGACTTCGTCGAGCAGGATAAAGCCCCATTCCCGCGAAGTCAAAAACTCCATCATCTGCTTCGACTCGTGGGACCGATTGTGGGTGTTGGCAACCATCGAGTATGTAGATACGACGATGCCGCTGTCACCCGCGAACTATGTCAAGAACACGTTACTGGATTGTTCTAACAATCGAGTAAACGACATACCCGTTGTTTCTGGTCCGCCGTAAAGACTGCAATCTGCTTCTCCGTCACATTGGACCACTGCATGAACTGTTGGCGCCACTGCATGACGGATACGCTGTCAAGTAAGATTATATAAAGCGAAGACTTTTGAGGACTCTCTCACGAAGATGTGCAGAGGACGAGACATGATTTCTTGATGGTACACGCCGCCGTAATTCCGACAAGAGTTTTGCCAGCACCACAAGGAAGGACAATGATGCCTGACCGTGCTCGTCTGGAAGTTGTTAGCTAGTGGTTTTCAGATAGTAACAAGGTGGTACCCATTGCCAAACATCTTACTCAAACTCGTCTCCTGATATGGTCGAATAACGGTCGTCGGCTTGAGATCGATTTCTAGGTTGGCATTGATCGTGTCGTTACGGAAGTCGTATTCCTCAAGCATCGGGTACTCGAGCTCGTTGCATCGTTTTTTTACATCCTGGACTCATCAGTATCCAACTGGGGACTCGCTGCAACTGCCTGACATCAATTTTGGCATCGTCGATTTCAAAAGCATGCACGTTCTCATCGTCTTCCTCAATCTCGTCTCCTTCGACACCGACCACGGAAGTGAAGATATCATTGTCGCCTAGGCCTGCCGTAGAAGCTTTGCCTTCCTCCTTTTTCTTCTCTGCCTCTTTAGAAGTGCCAGGGATGACAAGATTTCCTTTTGTCGGTGCTTTAGAAGTGGTGAATGTGTTGGCTTTGATGCTGTTGTCCATCTGCTGCGAAATGACCCTCGCCTCTCGAATGACCCGATCCTTGAGCAATATCTGGAGAGTCTCTGGGTGGCTTGACTCCACGTAATACTTGTTGTGTTTCAGGACCAGCTTGACTTTGCCGTAGCTTAATGTGCGCTCGCGGATAAAGGCCGTGATGCTTTCTGGAACGGGAACCTACAAAGGACATGTCAATCTAGTAGACTTGATTTTGCTGAGCGACCTTTGACAAGCGGTTCAGGACCTACTCAGCTATCAATGCGGCTGATACCAGACAGGGAGGCGAACACATACCTCGATTATGTCCTCTGTTTGAAGACCAACTGACACGGCCGCATATAAAGAGTAAGAAGTGAGTTTGTACTCGTGGATAAACGCGGGCCTGATTTTCGCGTAAGGACTCGGGGAGAGCAGATATATGTGTTCACACCTGCTGACTGGCTCGCTAATTGCCGTTAGAAAGTCTTGCGCTTGTTCTGCAATGGGAGAAAAGGCCTCGAGGATGATATGTCCGTCTTCAGGACTGATCCAGAGTGGACGAGATGCATGGTCTGGTTTCAGGTGCAGCCAGGAGAAGTCTTGATCCATGAATATATGGGAGATGAAGGCGTCTTGCTGCTGACGATGCCGGTCTAGAGTCGTAGGGTTGACGGGTTCATTGTTGTTCCCAGTGTTGCCACGCCGTGTTGACGCCAACTTGCGTGTCAATGCACTGAAGTTAATGGTAGCGCTAGGTGGAACGAGGCCAGCAGTGTCTGGTGGCGAAGGAGGAATCGCATCGTCTTCGTCATAGTCGATCACGATGTCTTCTTGGTCTTCATCCCTTCTCGGACGTTTTGCCGGCGGTTGGGAGGAGCCCGCTGAATAAGTTCCAGCGAGAAATAATAAATGTAAAGTAGGCGAGTTTACCTTCAGCGAAACGCTTCTCAGCCATGGTGGTTGGTCATAAAGAGGCAACGAACTGACTCGAGAGGAACAGCTTAGTAGCCATGACGTGACGTCTGTCTGTGACACGCCTACTCTCAACGTTCATCGTCTCGCTTCGTGTCCGAGTACGCGCACTTCTACTTTATCTCTTTCTTGGTTATTGTTGCAATGTGGAGGCCTGCTACACGCCAAATCACTGGCACTAATGATGGTCAGTTTTGGTCTCTATGTTTTGATATTTCCTCAAACAGTTTTTTCCAGTCCCACTTGGCAATAGACGCCGTTTTGGACCTGCGCCGGCTGAAGAAGCAGCTCCTCCTCAACTCGCCCAGCCCTCTCCTTCTGCTTACCCGCGTCAACAAGCTGATAGCCCGGGGAAACGAGACAGAGATGAATCCCCTGCTAACGATCCCAGAGGTAAGTTTCTGACTACCCTACCGCAGCTCTCTCTCTCTCTCTCGCCACACATTTCTTCTGCGACCACTGTCCTTCATTTGACATGTCAAGCATCCTAACACTAACCTTACTAACCACTGCCCATTTTGCTTTGTTTTCTGTCTGCTTTTCCAGCCAACGCCAATGCTCCTCGCAAGCGTCGCAGTCGCTGGGGCGACTCGTCTACCGAAATTCCTGGCCTTCCGACGGCTATCTCGGCCACCGGTGTCTCCCAGACCCAACTTGACAACTATGCCATTCATCTTCGTTTGGAGGAAATCAATCGCAAGCTAAGGTTGAATGACTACATCCCTCCAGAACGTGAGCGGTGCGTATACGCTTCATCCACCTCGTTTTTCTAAAGCTAGATGAATTTAGATCCCCTTCTCCGCCTCCCACCTACGACGCTCAAGGTCGGCGTAGCAATACCCGCGAAGTCCGTTACCGCAAAAAACTTGAAGACGAACGCATTCGTCTCGTCGATAAAGCTATGAAGAACGACCCCAACTTTCGTCCTCCCGTTGAGTATCATCAGCAGAAACGATCGCAGCGACCATCGGAACGAGTCTACATACCCGTCAAAGAGTTCCCTGAGATCAATTTCTTCGGGTTATTGGTCGGGCCTCGAGGAAACAGTTTGAAGAAGATGGAACGGGAGAGTGGGGCCAAAATCAGTATCCGTGGCAAGGGCAGCGTCAAGGAGGGGAAAACACGTCCAGACCAATATGCCGATGACGCAGAAGAAGACCTCCACTGTCTTGTCATGGCTGAAACTCCTGAAAAGGTCGTTGCTTGTGTCAAGATGATCAACAGGGTTATCGAAACGGTGCGTTTTATCCATTGTGGTTCGATTGTGTGACCCATAAGCAGGCCGCTTCCACTCCCGAAGGTCAGAACGATCATAAGCGCAACCAGCTTCGCGAGCTTGCTGCATTGAACGGAACCCTCCGTGACGACGAAAACCAAATCTGCAAGAACTGTGGCGGAGTTGGGCATCGCCAATACGACTGCCCCGAACAGAAGAACTTTACTGCGAACATTGTTTGTCGCGTTTGTGGTAGTGCCGGTCACATGGCTCGGGACTGCACTCAAAACAAGGACGCTAATGGCAACTCTTACGGGGCTGGTAACGGTACTGGGCCGAATGGGCGGGTATTCGACTCAGAGTACGCTAACTTGATGGCGGAGTTGGGAGAAACTCCAGCAGCTGGTGCTGCAGGAGCTGCCCCAGTTCAAACGTGGTCATCTCAGACGGATTTGGGTGGCGGAGGAGCTAACATTCCCCCTTGGCGACGTCCGGAGAATTGGCAGACAACCAATCAGCCTCAAAACAACGGCTATCGTCCCCCACAAGCAGGTTACGGAGCCTACGGTCAAGGCGCAGCTTGGGCGGGCTTCAATCAAGGGTACGGTGGACAACAGGAGCAACAGGACTACAACTATGCTTCGTACTACCAAGCCCAATAGTGCGAGCAAGCCAGCTAATCATCTCGAAAATTGACTGTCTCTCTCTCTCTCTCTCGTTGCCCTTTCTAACGAAACAAATCACTAAACCTACACAATTTGGCCCATTCTCACCTCGTTCAGATTCCCGTTGACGATTTTCGAGCGACACCATCAGTTGTTGTTGTTTTTTCATCAAGAGTAGCAGGTGCATGACGTATTTATCTTTGGGTAGAGATATCGTTTGGAGGGATGTGGGCTATTCACTGCCGCTGACCCTCTACAGGCTTTGTCTTTTTTCGTATTTGTAGAGCCAAAATAAAGAATATATTTGTTCTGTTGTGACTCATTGAGTCGAGCTCCTTGCCTCCAGCCATCGTCCAGAATGGCAAGTGTGATGCCCAGTAGTGTTTGCCAGTTAACTTAACTGCGTAAGATTATTCCCGTTCGCTGCTTCTCGTGTGGCAAGGTCATTGGGGACAAATGGTCTGCATATCTGGAACTGCTGAACCGAGACATGCCTGAAGGGTGCGTGTACTTGTTGGTACAGCGAGTTTGGCCGTGACCTTTTTCATCCAGAGAGGCTCTCGACGAGTTGCAACTCAAACGATATTGTTGCCGGCGGATGGTCCTCACACATGTCGACCTCATTGAAAAACTCTTGCAGTATAACCGTGCGTTGTTTTTTTTCTTTGTGGTTGTCAACTTCCAGTTCATTCTGCGTCCTTAGCTATGGAACGAACTAAAGACAAAAGTGCTTATGCCTAGACCAAGTTAGATAGTATACAACCATATCTTTTCGAGAGCAACTGAAAAATGTGTGACACTATGCAGTCGTGATGGGAGCCAAACAAATCACTGTAACGTCGTCGACCACGAACCCTCAACACCAAAATGTCTACTGTGAGTTTTATTGACCATATTCCACCTCCCTCCTTCGCCGGCTGCCCCCAAGCACAATCCTTGCTCCCTCCTTGCTTGATCGCTCCAGAATGTCCGTTTCTGACGGGAGAAAAATTGCAGGACTCCAACTTCAAGCGCTTCGTCGAGGTCGGCCGTGGTATGCAAACCAATTTGAGCACTTTTTGCATTCCTGAACGCGATCGCAGTCGTGCTCCTCAAATCCGGTCCCTTCTCTGGCAAAATCGCCGTCATTGCGGAAATCATTGACCATAACCGCGTACGCCTCTGCTCATATCAACTCTCGGTCTGTGAATTAACCTTCCATTAGGCCATTATCGATGGCCCCACAACTGGCGTAACACGGCAATCCTTCCCCTACAAACATCTGACCCTCACGCCTCTTTCGTTAACCAAACTGCCTCGGGGTGCTGGTTCTGGGGTGATTAAAAAGCAACTAGAGAAGGAGGCTGTTGTGGAGAAGTGGGACAAGTCGAGTTGGGCTCAGAAACGTGCTGCACAAGACAAGCGCCGTTCGCTCAACGACTTTGAGCGCTTTGGTGTGATGCTGGCCAAGAAGGCGCGGAGGGATCTCGTTCGCAAAACCATTCACAAAGCCAAGTCGACGTGAGCAGGCTCAGGTGCAGATTGTATGTCTCCCTTGAATATGATATGCTTGCTATGACGGCCTTGTTACTATCTTTCCTTTCTTTTTCCTTATTTTTTTTCCGCGTCGTACTTCGCTCCTCGTCATCCTCCTCACGTGTCTTTCTCTTCTTGCTCGCCTTGACAAAACATGACACAAAAAAGCCGTTTGTCGCATCTTCTCCTGGTGAACACCTGATGACAGATTGAGCATCGTCTGCTCAAATATCAGCCACATTTTTTTACAAGTTCGGCAACTGACCTGGCGACCCCATTTCATTGGGAAGCCCTCGTCGGTGCCAAGTGGGAATGACATATCGTTGTGGGGCCAGAACAAATGAACCATTCGCAGCTTCATCCGACTCCAAAGCGGCTCGTACGACATGCTCGTTTTCAGTCGCGTGAATGCTGCAGGTTGAGTAAACGATGTGGCTTATTTTGGGAACTATTCCAATCTCTTCAAGGACATTATCGGAACAAAGACGACGACCTACACTTCATGGCGTGTTTAATCATCGTCAGCTGGAAAGACGCGAGTTTCCGCAGTCGATCTTCTTCCATGTCAGGGTTGTCCTCTTCCGTTTCCAAAAGGTAGTCTAATCGATTGACAATACCGGAACCACTGCATGACGGGTCGAGGAGTCTGCCCATCCTTAATCAATCGTCGGAATGGAAAGGACTTGAACACACATATGAGTAACTTCAGCGTAGTTCGGGTCTTCAGGATCAACAGTAAGAAAATCAGCATTGATTGGGTCCACATTCTTGCAATGCGCCCGAAAAAGCATGGTAGAAAGTGTCCCAAAACGCTTGCGGTCACGCTCGAACGCAAACAGCTACACGAATCAGGACCAATCAGTAAGACAAAATTTAGGTCAAGACCTTGCCAGTGTTGCCCATCAGAGCGCTGAGATGCGTTGTCTTATTTCCAGGCGCAGCGGTTGCATCGATGACCCGGGCATTTTTGGGAGGAGAAAGCACTACCGCCGGAAAACAGGATGCCTTGTCTTGTAGAATAAACTTTCCAGACTTGTAAGCAGTGTCTTCGAGGAACGACGTTTGTGCCGGGAAGAGAAGAAGGTTTGGAATGTGGGCGTCTTTTGCGAAGATCTTCTCGCTGTGGTTGGCTTGTTAGTTGCGTGAAGTGAAGAAATGAGATGAATCATATGCCCACTGAGATCCCTCCAGCGATTCTTGCAACATATGACCTTGGGACGCCAGATATTCTAATGCGGTATCTAATGACCACGCATTGGTATTGACGCGTACATAACGCGGAATATTGGCTTCGCTATGGTCAAAGGGGAAATAAAGAAGAATGACAACTAACCTGCCCGCGCATCTGGAGATTGCCCCAAGTCTGCATTAGATCGGACACCTTTTCTTGCCTTCAACTTCTGGAGCTCGCCATTCAAACGCGCTTTATGACGGAGGACTGCTTGCTTAATTGGGCCATCCCCAGCTTGGATACCACCAGCAAGGAGGAGATCGTGGACGAGGACCAGTGCGAGATTTAACGAAGTCAACTTTTTCCGTTCTTCCTTCATCAGTTGCGCCGCTTTAATCACCTCGAGGAGGGACGCTCTGACTACAATGACCGAAGTTAATAAGTATATAAGAGAAAGCCGTAGACAAACATAGACGCACATTTCAGCGTCTCAATTACTAGGGCAGCAGTGCGTTTCCTGTCCTTTTCGGGAGTAGAGCCAATGAGGCCCTTGATAGAGCCTTGTTTGGCGTCGAGACGGTCGAGGGTCTTTGCGCATTCGAAATAGAAGTTCATTCTACATAGAAGTACATGGTGAGGGATTGAGAAAACAATAGGCAGATGATGCACTAGGAAAGCACTGGACAAAGTGGTCAGCGAAAACTCGAAGATCAATATAGGATGGTTCAGGTGTGATGTTTTTCGTCGCGCGAAGGAAACCTCCGTCGGACAATGTAGATAAAGTTTTGGGCATCATATGAGCTGAAATCAAGGAGACTAACTCACACATGGAGGTCGAGAACAAGTTTGGAAGCGCTCACGTGTTGACGGCGCCATTTTCTTTCGACCATCCCAAGTCAGTTTCGTTCCACTACTGCAGCGCGTCCCTTAGCAATTCTCAGTGGCTCCCGTCGAAACTGAACTATACGACATTCTCGGTGTCTCTCCGAACGCTTCGGAAGGTTAGTATTCCTCCACATTGTCCCGCTCGCTGAGCTTGAGTAAAAAGACGACATAAAAAAGGCTTACCGTAAGAAGGTGCTTGTGAATATCCAGATGCAAACGTCTGCTTACGCTTTTGCAGGCTAGAGAGCAGCATCCTGTACGTTCCACGACATGCTTCTGACCACATTCGACTCTGCCTCCACTTTCCAGGACAAAGTATACTCTCTAAACCTCCGCAGTTCTGTCAATTCATTATTGGGTAGAACATCAACGACCCGCAGGCTTCTCAAAAGTTTCAAGAGCTTGGGGCAGCGTGAGTCGATATGATCTTGACCATCGCTTCGCACACTCAATCCATTGTGTAGCTACGAAACACTCAGCGATCCGCAACTAAGAAGTCTCTATGATGCCAATGGAATTGACGGGCTCAAGTCCGGCAGTGGCATGTCAGGAATGGATGACCTCTTCGCTCAATTCTTCGCTGGAGGTGGCATGCACTTTGGATTCGACTTTGGTGGCCCAAGCAGTCGTAGAAGGGGTGCTAGCGATGACACTGTCGTCCCCCATACAGTTACGCTCGAAGATCTCTACAACGGCAAAATCCTCAAGCTGAATCTTGAGAAAGAGGCCGTTTGCAGCACGTGTAAAGGGTATGTTTTGCCTTTCTCATAAGCTGATGATAATATGGTGGGGCAGGTCGGGTGCTCGTGGGAATGCGAAACCAAAACCATGCGGAATATGCGAAGGACGAGGATGGACCCCTACCCAATCAAGTGTACGTTGTCGGGGTTCCTTTCGGCTTGGATGAGGACATCTGCTAGAACGGGACCTTCCTCACCACATCACGAGCTGCTTGTCGAGATTGCGACGGAACCGGCGAGAGACTGAAGGAGAAAGACCGGTTAGTTGACGGCTCACAGCCCTAACAAGTTAACAACCCAATGATAACTGGAGCAGATGTAAGAAATGCAAGGGCAGCAAAACTGTGAAGGAGAAAAACCGGCACGAAGTTGTTATCGAGAAAGGCATGGCGGATAAGCAACGAATCGTGCTTGCTGGCGCTGGAGACGAGGAGGTTTCGCCAATGCCATTGATCGATTTCCCAGTGACTGATTCGATTGTAGCCTGGCACCCCAGCTGGGGACGTGATATTCGTGTTACGAATGACTCCCCATGAATCGTTCGAACGCTCAGGAAATGATCTTCTGGCTAATGTCAAAATCACTCTTTCTGAAGCCCTTTTCGGATTTTCGCGAATACTAATCACCCATCTGGACGGTCGTGGTATCAAGGTATCGAGCCCGCCGAAGAAAATTATCAAGCATTCCGATACCATCGTCCTACGAGGCGAGGGGATGCCGGTTCACAAACAGCCCAACACGAAGGGCGACCTCTACCTGACCTTTTCTATTGAGATGCCGGACGAAGAGTGGCTTACCACGGCCAACGCGGCGGTATGTTTTTCTCACCAACATGATTGAATCTACATTTGTTGGAATTTTCCTAGTCCCTGATATCAATGCTCCCGCCCAAAAAGGGAGACCTTGACCCACCGCCAGAGGTGGTCTCGTCAGCTATATTTGTGGAAGCAGATATTGAGGAAGTGCGTGAACGCCATTTCCCAGCTGGTTCCGATTTCTTTGACAGTGCTTTTGCGCACCAGTTCGGTGAAGACGAAGATGAGTGGGAGGATGAAGACGACGATGAAGACGACGAATACGGAGGGGGAGAACCCGAGTGTCGACCCCAATAGATCAGCCCATCGACTTGATACCACGCATACATAAAATACCATTATCTACTTACATAATCTGACGTCATCTCACACTACTTTGAGGAATCAGAAGATCACGATGGCCTCACGAACCCAACATGAACTTCTACCGGCCAGCGCTCGGCCTTATAGTAGCTGGTCTTATGCAGGGAGTTCTGGGCCAGCCAATAGCTCGAGTTCTGATCTATACGGCAACGAGAGCCTTTCGACATGACTCAATCCCTACCGCCGTCAACGCGTTACTGCAGCAAAGCAAGACGCTAAATGTCGTTTTCGACCACACAGAAGACCAGAATCAATTCAATGACGCTAATCTAGCCAAATACGATGCAATCATGTTCGTCAGTACGACGGGAGAGGTGTTAGACGATGCTGGGAAGGCGGCATTCCAGAAGTACTTGAATTTGGGGGGCAACTTTGTCGTGCGTCATAGCTATCCATTGAGAAAGACTGCAATCATTAACACAGGGAATTCATTCTTGCTCTGACTCGCTCGTCAATACCACGTTCTATGGGCAAGAAGTTGGTCAGGCTATGTGTCTTCCGGTTTCATACCTTATTCCGACTCTTTTTTGGAGGTGCCTACTTCGACTATCATCCGGAGCTACAAAATGCGGTTGGTAGCCTGCTCTAATTGGGATGAAACAGAGTAACCGGTAAAGTAGACGGTCGATGTGCTCGTCGACCATCCAAGTACCCAAGGATTACCGAAAGAATGGCACATCCAGGAGGAAATGTAGGCCCCAAGCGTTGGACAGGTCAGAGAACGTGTAACATCTAATCTAGGTATAATTTCAAATCAGACCCGCGAAGCATTGGGGCAGTCGTTGTTCTGGCCGCCAATGAGTCCAGCTATGTTGGTATGATCTCTCTGACGACTCCCCTGTAGATACCGCTGAAGGTGTGTGTGTGCGTCGCATAGATAATGGAACCAGAAAGTTTAATCAAGGTACCCCTCATCCTTCTGGTAAATCTTGGTGTTTGGATCTATGATAACTTGGAGTAAATTAATCCCCAGCCTGGTACCAAGAGCATGGAGCTGGCGTGGAAAATGGAAACCCCGCTGGTCGCAGTTTTTATACGAGCCTCGGTCATCTCAATGAGACCTGGCAGGTACGCCAATAATTATGATTCGCGACGGAGAACCCACATTGATCACGTCAGGATGTTTTGTTCATATCCCATGTAACTGGCGGGCTTAACTGGGCGCTCCAAGCCAACACTACTCTGGCATTCAATGCCCACGCGAAAGTGGGCAATTCACCCTCTTCCCCGCCATCGACTGGTCCAAGCCCGAGCCTTCCTTTGTGGGTTTCTCCTACCAGAGTATTCTTTTTTTTACCCCTGATTGTTTTTGAAAGACATAGCGGAGACTCTAGCGGCGCCATAGAAACGGCCCCGCAAATCGCCCTTGTCGCAGCAGCATCAACTCTGCTCAACATCATACTGTAGGACTGTCGCTGGTATCAGATAAGATAAAGCATGGCAGCATTAATCACATCGTGACCAAGTGCCAGTGACGAAGGACACCCTTCTCTGAGTTCTTCCACATGGTCCCAGTCTCCAGCAAGCAATATCTCGAGTCGGAGCGTCGGTTTTAGTCCCATGACGGGTCAAATGACTCCTTCCTTCTCTTCTCTACATCGACACTAAATTACTGGTGGCTCTACCATACTATTCCCCGTTTCACTATACTCATGCTCTCGTTGTCGACTCTGCCCATAGTCCTTTGGCTCTCCGCAAGTCTCATGATGTGTCAAGTGACTTCGTTCTTCTCTTCTCTACCTCGACGATAAATCGCTGGCGGCTCTACCATGCTAATCCCCGTTTCTCCATGCTCAAACGACTGGGATCGCTGTCCGCTCTGCCTGTAGTCTGGTGTTTCGGCTTTCCCGACTGCCTTAATGGCCCTCTCGCCAATACTACTGTCTGTGATACATCAGCTTCACCATCTGTACGAGCGAATGCCTTGATCACCATGTTCACTGTGGACGAGCTCGTGAGTAACTCGAATGTCGGTGCGCCAGGTGTACCACGACTCGGAGTTCCAGACTATCAGGCAGCGGAAGAAGGACTTGTGTGTCACTTCCTCGCTCATTGCATACCACTCTGACTCATATCTAGCACGGACTTGCAACCTCCCCAGGAATAATATTTGCATCATCTGGAGACTTCAGCTTTGCCACCTCATTTCCTGCCCCCATCCATATGAGCGCTGCCTTCGATGACCCTGCCATTCTCGCAGTCGGCGATGTGATTAGCACGGAAGCGAGAGCATTCAGCAACGCAGGCAGAGCATCTCTCGACTACTTTACCCCGAACATTAATCGTGGGTACTTGATAAACGCACAATTCTGAACCATGACATGGTCTTCAGCCTTCAAAGATCCACGATGGGGAAGGGGACAAGAAACTCCGGGAGAAGATCCATATCGCGTTGCTCAATATGCTTACAACTTTGTGGAAGGGTTGCAAGGAGGAATAGACCCACCCAATATGAAAATCGCCGCTGTTTGCAAGCACTTGGCAGGCTATGATCTCGAGAATCCGCCAGGCACAAATCGTTTTGTCTTCAATGCTGTTATTTCTCAGCAAGACCTTGTCTCGTACTACCTCCCCCCTTTCCAGAGCTGCGCTAGAGACGCCAAAGCGGGAGCTATAATGTGTGGCTTCAACGCATTGAACGGTTTGCCAAGTTGCGCTGATCCGTTCTTGCTACAAACCGTCTGTAGTTTAAACCCTAAAAAAGTCATCTCACCACCTCCTCAGGTTCTTCGTGACTTTTACGGCTTCAACGAAGAAAGATGGACGGTCGCTGACTGCGACGCTATCGAGTTTATGTTTGACCAAATGCATTTTGTCCCAGACTTCACACATGCAGCTGCCGCGGGAATGAATGCTGGTGTAGACCTGGATTGCGGCACAACATACGGAGACAACCTTGGTACGGCAATCAAGATGTCGTTAGTCAATGCGTCTACGATCGCCAGCGCGTTAAAACGCCAATACGCCTCACTCATTCGGCAAGTCTTAATGCAGCTAGATTCCCGTTTCGTTGACAATCGACGTAGACTTGGATATTTCGACCCTCCCTCTGCCCAACCATACCGTCATTTGACTTGGGACGATGTGAATACAGCCCATGCTCAACAATTGGCATATCAAATTGCTGCTGACGGCCTGGTCCTTCTCAAGAATGACGGGACCCTTCCCATCTCCCAAAATATCAAGACGCTTGCGCTCATCGGACCATGGGCAAGCGCAACGACACAAATGCAAAGTAACTATGCTGGGCCTGCTCCCTTTCTGACCAGTCTGCTTGCTGCCGCCGAAGGTCTGGGTCGATTCACTGTCGTTTCTGAGCCGGGCGCCGGTGTGAACACGAACGACGCAAGCGGATTTGCGGCTGCTGTCAGCGCAGCATTGAGTGCCGATATTGTGGTGTATGCTGGTGGTCTCGATAACAGTTGTGAAGCCGAGGGATCAGACCGCACCACGGTCACGTGGCCAGGAAATCAGCTTGACCTCATCGCGCAGTTGGCCACCATAGGCAAGCCTCTGGTGATATTGCAGTTTGGCGGGGGTCAAGTCGATGACATAGATCTCAAGAATAATCCAAACGTATGAACTCGGTTCCCTTTGCCGGTGCCCCCTCTCACTCTGAATGGTTAGATCAGCGCAATCATATGGACTGGCTACCCTGGACAGAGCGGCGGAACGGCCGTGTTCGATATCTTAACGGGAAAGCTGTCTCCTGCGGGGCGGCTTCCCACCACACAGTATCCGGCCAATTATGTCGACCAGGTCCCAATGACTGACATGACGCTACGCCCAAGCAACTCCAATCCAGGAAGGACATACAAATGGTACACGGGCACTCCAACATACGAGTTCGGAACCGGACTTGGCTATACGACATTTGGCCTTAGTTTCTCGCCCGCTAACTCACCTCAGGCTTCTTATAACATTCAAGCCCTGATCGCCCAGGCCCGCAAGGACGAACCGGTCGACCGCTCCTTGTTGGACACGTTTGAGGTCGTGGTAAAGAATACTGGGACCACAACTTCTGACTTCGTCACTTTGTTGTTCATGAACACGACTGCAGGAGAAGGACCATATCCAAAGAAGGAGTTGGTCTCGTATACCCGTGCTAAAGGCATCCAAGCAGGTGCCACAGCAATTGTTAAGTTGCCCGTGACACTTGGAAGCGTTGCCAGGACCGATAATGATGGAAATACCTGGCTCATAGCTGGAGAGTATAACTTACTTGTCGACGTGCCGACATCCCTTTCACATTCTTTCCGACTGACTGGGACAAGTGTTCAGCTGACCCGGTGGCCCGGCGCCTCGTAATAGCAATTTCTTCGACTTCAAACTTAGCATTCATATAGAATGGACTTTACTTGATGTCTTCGTGTCAGAATAAGATCTCTCGGACAAACTTCGTTCGGCTTGAAACTTGACGTGTAACGTGTTACGCTCGTGATCCACGCGCTGATCTCGTCTTTCACCCCTTGACTGTCCTCATACCCAAGCAACACCTAGCCTGTTTCGTCGTCGTGATTCGAGTCTTTCAACTTGGTTTGCCCTTTGCGCCTGCAGCACATTCAAAGAAGCAATTCCCACTAGCGACAATAGCTGGACGACCTTTTGAAGCTGGCGACCTTATCGATGCTCCATTTCGCCTCGGTGATACCAAATGGCAGTGGAGGTAACAATACCCTAATTCCAAGGCGGTCGGACAGCCTGAATGCGACACAGACTAAGGCTCCCAATGCCCAAGCAAGTTTTTTCCAACAACGTCAATGACGTACTAATTGTAGTACAGCATACGCAACAACAAAACCAGCTTTTTCTTACGATAGAGCAGGAACTTCATGATGCGCGGAGGGTGGGGACACACGGTCAAGAGGAAGATTTGAGGAGTGCGTTGGGGATGGTCATCGGGCGAGTTGTAGAAATGGTGAGTACATTACACCCCAAACTGACAATTCTTCCAACCCAAATTGCAGTCTGCACTCCTTCAAGAGGCTTACAAAAGCAAAGCTGAACTTGAGGTGCAACTGAATGTCGCCAAATCAAATTTGCAGCTTGTAATCGCCAACAACGAGATGCTGGAGGAGGCCCTACGTTCTGGTGGTGGCAATGGGCGTGATGTGGGCTGGCGACGGTCGAGTGGAGCTGGAGTCCGTCAGCAACAACAACAACACCCGACACAGTCACACGACGGTGACCAGAGTCCCAACAGCTCACCAACAGACTCTCAAGGGGCCAATTCCCGATTCTTTAAAACATTCTTCTCTGGAGCCGTTAGCAGCAGCAACACCCGGCCCGGGACACCGACGAACCAAGGGCAAGGTCATCTGACATCGCCCAGCCTACCATCCCTCCACCATGGGGGCCATACCGCAGAGGAAGAGGCACTCAGCGCTGCCTTACAGGCCGCAAAAGCCAACGCAGAAAAGTCGAGGATTGAGGCAGAACGAGCCAAGGTCGAAGCGGAAAAAATGCGTGGTGAGAAAGCGGCACTGGAAGCAGAGTTGGAGTCGCTGAGCCAGGCGTTATTTGAGGAGGCAAACAATATGGTTGCTAGCGAGCGCAAACGGAGGGCGGAAGCGGAGGGGCAATTAGAAAAACTCAAGCCATTGGTCGAGGATGCTCGAGAAATCGGCGAAGAGTTGAAGGAGGTTAGAATGGAGAGAGAAGCGCTGAAGAGCGCGTTAAGGATTGTCGAGGGCGAAAACGAGAGTTTAAGGAGTGCTTCCCGATTGAGCTACCATGGCAGCAATCCCGGCAGCATCGATTTAGAGCACGACGAAGCGGAACCCGGCGGCAGCCCACCAAGTAGGGGAATGACCAGGTCACGATCAAGCTCTCAAGTTGGAACCAAGAGTCCCATTCGATTATCACCTAGTGGATCACCTCATATCCAGTCTTTCTCAGGATCACCTCCGATGTCTGGCTCACCTCGACCCCTACCCCTTGCTCAAGAAGAAAATAACACTTTGGAGGATGAAGAGCCAATTGTGTTCGCACCAACTGGATTGAGAGCACCTGACGTACAGTCAGACGACGGTGGAACTCCGAGACGGCCAGTTCTACCTCTGAACACCCAGACCAATCACGATGAACAGTATGACTACGAGTACGAACATGTTTCGCGGACAACAAATAGCTCTCCCTCGTTTTCACCCCCACCTACCGCGACAGTACCCTCAGTACTGGACCCATGGCGTATCTAATATAATTCGACTACTCATGGACCCATATTATTTTCTATATTTGCGCTTTTTTTCATTGCTTTGCAAAATGCATATTTCTAAGACCGCTCAGTCACATGATCACATCTCTTAACCTTGATCACTCTCATGCGTAAATTTCTTGCGCCGGGGCTGAGGCCGTCGATGGTGGCTGCCAGTGTATGTCGAATCGAAAACCAGCTTGCATATCTAACTGCCGTAGTCTAGGGGCATTACAACACCGTCCTCCCGCGTCAGTCAAGCTGCTTCTGCCATTGCCGTCAAGGCCACCACACAATCACCTTCGCCTCCAACGAACACAGACCTACCGACGATAAGCGCAAGCCCGGATAAAGTTGCTGTTGGCTGGGATACCAGGACATGGTCACGATTGTAAGCTGTGCCTTTCGCAAATCTGTTCGCTGTTGAATTACTCTCAGCCACAATATATGGCTCCGAGACCATTGCCGTTGCCCGCAATGTTTCCACCAAATCACAAAGCAGCGGCTTGTTAACACATCCGAGGTTTGTCCTTCCGGTTTGCTCTAGTCGCCATTAAGTCGTGCAGATTCCTCCCGGGATTTCTCCCAGCAAGGTGGAAGCTACGGAGAACGGGCTGTTGGTGTCGTGGCCATCCTCCCAGCCCCATGAATCTTTATACCCATGGTCTTGGCTCAGGCAAAATTCCTACGATCCTCAAATACCTGACGCAAAGGTACCTCCACGGGAGTAAGCCGTTCCTGTCTGCAACAAGGAACCACTTGAATCAGAAATGCAGAAAGATACTCTGGGGCTCCAAGATCATGAATTCAGTGCCAACAGTAACCTTTGAGGAAGCTATGGCTGAGGATGACCGCGGACTGCACAAATGGGTGTCCAATATCGTATTGTCACTTACCCTGCTCGTCGTCTGTGTGCTAAACTATTGCAGCATCGATTTGGGTTCTGTTTCGTGTCTGGCGTGCCGCCAAACCCCGAGGCTACAGAGAAGCTTTCTCAGCGAATCGGATTTATCCGCGAAACCCAATGTTCGTCATGTTACTATTATTCTTCCTTTGTTTCGATGATTAGTCAGACGGGAAATTCTGGGACTTCACCTCTGATCTGGCCAAGGGAGACACTGCTTATACGATGCTTGCTCTAGGGGCTCACACCGATAACACGTATTTCACTGATCCTTGCGGCTTGCAACTCTTCCATCTTCTCTCTCATACCGAGGGCAGTGGTGGGTCTACCCTCCTAGTTGATGGTTTTTATGTCGCCTCTATCCTCAAAGAGCTTCATCCTGATGCCTATAACGTACTTTCCAGTACACCTGTTCCGGCTCATGCTGCTGGTGAACTATCGGCGCTCTACAGACCCTCTCCGCCTGGAGGGTATCCTGTTTTGAGTCACGATCCCGTCACGGGCGACCTCAGCCAAGTCCGATGGAACAATGACGACCGAAGCGTCATGAACCATCTTTCCCCTCAACAACTTGAAGATTGGTATGCCGCTATCCGTGTGTGGCACAAACTCCTTACTAGTGCTGATTCTGAGTACTGGGTGCAACTGGGTCCCGGAACGGCTGTCAGTACGTGGATCTCATCCTCCCACACGACATGTGCTGATTCATCTGAATAGTTGTGGATAACCACCGGGTTTTACACGGACGTTCTGCCTTTACAGGAAAGCGAAGAATGTGTGGAGCGTATATTGGAGTGGATGAATACCGCTCCAAACTAGCCGTGTTGGATGAGCGATTCAGTGGGAAAGCGTTCACGGAACGTAGTGTTTGGAGCCCAGGACTTTGAGTTTGTACGTCTATAGCTGTGTCTTGCATTCCTTCTGTCCCGTCAGGAAAAATAGGTCAAATATTGTACTTTTGGGCGAAGCGTGTCTATACCACTACGTCGGACTGCGATTTTATTTCCTTCAAAATGTACCCTTCCAATCCTCCACAGACCCAGAGTTCTTGCACGCTAGGGCCAATCGGCGTAACATGGTAGACTTTATTTAGCCCGTCGCCATTTACCACGACCCTCCCATCGTCCATGTGAATCTGCACTTGAATTTGCTTGTTCACCGTCAGTTCTCCTTGGATTCCGCCAGCGCCTCTGACACCGCCATGAGCATATCGTTGGGTCAGCTCTGTCACGAGTTCGGGGCATTCGAGACAGACAAGGCCGTTGTTGATAGCATTGCGCTTGAAGATATCTCCGAATGACCCCGCAATCACAACAGGAACCCCCGCCGCTTTCAGGGCAGTAGCAGCCTGCTCTCGAGATGAGCCAGTCCCAAAGTTGTAGCCAGCAACGAGAACGGTTCCAGGAGTATTGAGCTCAGTGGCCTCCGGGAGGGTATCTTTGAGGGAAGCCACAAGACCGGCAAAGGAGGGGTCATAATTCTCCATCACTACTTCTGCTTGCTTAGAAAGCGTAATGTCATCTTGGTATGTGTATTTCCCTGGGTAAAGCGCGTCGGTGTTGAGATTGTCTTGGGGAGTAAAGAGTAGAGGGCCCGAAAACAACGACGGAAAATTTGGGGTCAAAGGCTCGTGAGTGAGAGAGACAGATGGTGTAGAGGGTGATGAATTATTCGTTATGGAGAAGAAGAGCTGGTCGGGGGCCGGCAAAAGAGCAGGTTCAAGCGATGCTGGACTGCTGATGAACCCATTGATCGCGCTTGCTGCTACAACAGCTGGACTAGCCAGGTAAGCTTGCGCCTTAGGATGGCCCATACGACCTTTGTAATTACGGTTCGTCGCACTGATGCCTGTCTCGCCTTCTTCGAGGAGACCGGTACCCAGTCCGATACATGGCCCGCAGCCAGCGGGAAGAACCTTGGCTCCAGAACGCACGAGGATGTCCCAATAGCCAAGTTGTTCCGCTTCCAATTGGACATTTAAACTGGCAGCAGCGATGTAAAAGTCCACGCCAGGATTAACTTTGTTCCCCTTCATGACCTCCGCGGCAGCCGCTATGTCTGATACTCGTGAGTTGGTACAACTGACCAGATACGCCTTTTGGATAGGAATATTCGCTGCTTCTAGTGAGGGAAGTGGAGTTGACAGTTTGACACTGTTAGGGCCAGATACGTGCGGCACGAGCGTAGAAAGATCAAAGACCAAATGGGAAGAGTATTCAGCATCTAGGTCAGAGTTGATTGGTGCGGAACGAAGAGCATCGAGACGACGACGGTTTATGCGAGTGTGCTCAGGTGGAGGAGGTATAAGGGCAGCCATTTCGGGGGAGGAAAAAGTCCGCAGTTCTAGTTTGGCCAATGCGCGATCGTACCACTGAAGAAGTATTTCGTCGACAGGAAACACTCCAACCAAAGCACCCCATTCAGTGGTCATATTGGCGATTGTCAGTCTTTCATCGACAGACAGAGTCGAAACGCCGTCACCAGTAAACTCGAGGGCAGCATTCAAGACTTCGTCCTTGTTAAAAGAGCCGCAGAGAGCGACAATTACGTCTTTGCCCGTAACTCCAGGTGCAAGTTTTCCCCGGAGCTCGACTTTGACCATTCGAGGTATCTGCCACCAAGTTTTCCCTGTAGCCCACAAAGCCGCTGCATCTGTCCGCACAATTGGAGTCCCTATGCATCCCACACCGCCGTACATGTTGCTGTGGCTGTCACTCGCGACGGTCAGCGTGTTGGGGAACGCATAACCTTCCTCAACAAGAATCTGGTGGCCTATGCCGCGTCCAGCTGGGTAGAAGTCGACACCATGCTTACGTGCGAATTCCTCGATAGATGCGTATTTTGCGAGATTTTTGGGGGAACGGTTTTGCACATCATGGTCGAGAGTAAACACAGGCTGACCACGATGTAGTATCTTTGTGGCACCAATAGCTTTGAATCTCTCGATATTTTAGTAGGGGTTCTCAAAAAGCGGTAAGGACCACTAACTTGGAGATGACTGGTCCAGTGTTGTCGTGGGTCATTACATGCTCAGGGCGAATCATAACATAGTCGCCAGCCTTGAGGATTTTGCCTGGGGGAAGGCCAACGGCATATTTCTGAACGACTTTTTCAATGACTGTCTGAGGGATATGGGCGGCTGTTGCAAAACATCGTCGACTCCAACGATGCATCAAGTTGAGCGCAATGTTGAGCAATCGCGAGTGTGGGTTGTCGATTCGGAGGTTCGGCCGAAACTTGAATATCTTTGTGGATGACGTGACCCTAATCACGCGAGCTCTGCTTATGGAGGTCCTCTGCGCAGCCCATAGCAGCATCGAATCTTATTCTCTATCATGCGCTCCCATTCCCCGATAGCCATTTGGTTTGCGTTTGCCTGTACAACCTCGTTAGCCCAGCAAACTCCTCTGGATTCAGACTCAGGTACTGGTACTAATTAGGTCGCAATTGTTGGCCATGAGTTATGCTAATAAAGACTGTCAATGACAGGCTTCCAAGTAGACTTCAATGCCCTTCGGCTTGTTCAACTCTCTGAAGGTAGCAACGCCACGTGGATGACTGAGCGTCAAAAACTCGCCATCAAGGCCGCTGGTTGGGACTACGCAGACATGTAGGTGTAAAGGGCTTTATTGCTTTCTTCAGGTTGTCAATTTCTTGTCAGTACTGAGACTCCTTTGCTTGGCTCAACGCCAAAGCGGCACTTTTCATGTCCAGCTCCAAGCTCACCCATCGTTGCGAACGTCCTCCCATTGCTTTCGACAGCGGAGCCAAAAGCCAACCTCAAACATCTTACCTCTTATCATACTCGATATTACAACTCGGATACCGGCGCAGCTGCATCCGACTGGTTGTACTCCAAAATTCTTGCTTATACGGACGAACTGGCAAGTGAAGAGCAGAAGATGCTTATTGCTGTGGAATCAGTCCAACATAAGTGGAAACAGAACTCCATAGTCAGGAACACTGTTTGGCCTTCTTTTGGCGAGTCTCATTAAATATAGGTCATTCGCATAGCACCTCTTGATGCTTCAAACACCGACGCCACAACTATCGTTGGCGCACACATCGATAGCATCAATCGTGAGAGCGTTTTCCATCGCGCGCCAGGTGCTGGTGACGACGGTTCGGGAACTGTCACCATTCTTGAAGCATATCGAGGTTAATTATCTATTCACGAAGACGCACTTTCCCAAGCTGACGCCTTGTGTAGCGCTTCTGCTCTCTGGTTATGTTCCTTCATCGCCTCTAGAGTTCCATTTTTACGCAGGCGAGGAGGGCGGGCTTCTCGGTTCACTTGTAACCCTAAACATCTCCCATTATCGGCTCTGATTGAATCATAGGCTCTCGCAGCTCGGTTTGAAGAGAAAGGCAAGGAAGTACGAGGAATGATCCAATTCGATATGACGGTACCCCTTCTTTTGCTACTTCTGATACAATTCGACAACAATTTTGTAGGATTTTGTCAAAACCGGTTCCAGAGAGGAAATTGCAGTCATTGGCAATGAAAACCAGGTCGACGCTGAACTGACCGAGTTCTTGATCGCAGTCATCGACAGATATAGTAGGCATTGTCCGTATCCTCTATGCGGGCACTCCGTTTATTAATCCCAGTCGAAATTCCCTGGGTCCGCGACTTTTATCCGAAAGGTCCAAGCAGCGACCACCAAAGCTGGAAAATGGCTGGATTCCAGTCCTGCCACCCGCTTGAGGCTCAATTTAAAAACACCAATAATTGTAAGGTTGTCTTCTCCCATGAGTTGGTGACATCTTGGCTCTCATAGACATCCATGGCGTAGACGATCTACTTGACATCAGTCCAGAATTCTCGTCTGACCACATGTTACAGTGGGTCAGTCCATTTTGACATTTTGCGGTGCTTAAGAATCTATGTACTTAGTTTCTCGAAGCTGGCTGTCGCTTTTGCGATAGAGTTGTCGAGTTACTAGAGACTGAGTAGTAACAGGGTCGTCGCCCAAGGGTAGCTGAGTCATCATGCCGGACTGTGCCGAAGCCATCATTCTTGCGAAATCAACACATGTAAACATAGTCAGCGTTGGCTTGTACAACGTAGAACAACTGCTTGTCTTTCCTCTCTGCTCCTGTGGGGTCCCTGGCAACCTCACGGTTGTACTAATATGGATGATTCTGCTATTTGCGAGCAACTTCCAGGCGAAGAACTGAGTGCATCTTATTCTAATGGCGACGATGCAATTCCTATCGACCCCACACTCGCCGGACCGCCTATCGATCCAGAACTGTTAGGGAACACACAGCAGGGTGTAGAAAACCAGGTGAGTTCTCTGCGCCGGCCCTGCTCTTCGGTTAAATACGCGTCGCGTTCGCTGATCATTTTCCAAGTTTAATCCTGAGTCTGCACCAACTGAGGAGTCGACAATATTCAACCAATACTCACAAGCACCGCAAGGAGTTCCGTTTGAAGAGGAGTACCACCCTATGCCGCTTGACAACGATGAACCACCTTCACCATCTCCCAAACCTCGCGGGCGTAAACCACAGCAACGACAATGTGCTACATGCCGAAAATTCATCAAGAACTCCAAGGTTCCCGGACGTGTTGCCACCTGCCATGAATGCGGTTCGCACTGTGCGTCGATAGAGCTGCGTCTGCGAAGTCGCTTACTTGATTGCCCATAGTTCATCTTGCTTGTCTACCCTTCAGTCACAATCCGGATACTATCCTAACATATGAATGGCTCTGCACAGAATGCAAAAAATGTGACATTTGTCACGAGAAGGGAGACGATGTAAGCCCATTGCCGTTCTTCAGTTTTCGTGTTGATTCCAGAAAAGGCGAAGATAATGTTTTGTGACGCTTGCGACCGAGGTTTGTGGCCGTTGAAACTTCATTTTGTCCTTGACCATTTGTTAGGGTGGCATACCCACTGCCTCACCCCACCTTTCGAAGAAATTCCCGTCGGCAATTGGTACTGTCCCCTCTGTCCAGACGCTGTCCCTATCATCCGAGAGGAAATGCCACCGGCCTTTTTCTCAACAGGGAAGGGGAAAGGGAAGGCGCCAGCGCTGCCAACACCCAACGAAGAACCTGAAGCAGAGGATCACATTGCTGCCAACAGGCCAGCTGGGGTCAATAAATCCAAGGCGCGGCAGAAGTCGCCTAAGAAGAAGGCCAATGGAATAGCAGAGCCTCCACTCACGCCAAAACGCGTTCGTGCGCGTCCTTCAAATGTAACACCATTGGTGACCAGTGTTCGGTTACGCTTGTCGCAACAAGAAAAGGCGAAGAAGATGGAAGAGGAGATGGAACCTGAACCTCGCGGCTTGTTTGATGATATACTTGGGCCAGCTGAACGAGACACGACGAAAACCGCGATTACCCAATCTGACAAACAAAAATTCGAACGTAGCCGAGCTATCGCAGAAGTAGACTTCTTCCTTCCCCATTCGTTTTCGAAACTCACCTTATTCATCCTAGACGAAACTCAAACCTCCCCCAATTCGGGAACCAACGTCGGAACCCCCCGAAGCTGGTCCCTCTCGCCCTCTCCGGTCCTCTCATGCACAACCGATCCTTCCTTCCCCCTCTGCATCTCCCGCGCCCTCGTCTACCTCAGGTATCCGGCCTAACCCAACTCACGACTCCTCTGTACCACCACCAATCCGCATCACCAATATCCGTTTTGGTCAATATGACATTGCGACCTGGTTCAACGCGCCATTTCCCGAAGAGTACTCTGACATTCCTGATGGGCGTCTGTGGATTTGTGAATTTTGTCTGAAATACATGAAGAGTAGATTCGGGGCGACACGCCACCGAGTATGTCCTTTTCCCTTCCGTTTTGATCTCAACTCAAGTCGAGCAGATGAAGTGCAAGTGTAGAAACCCACCCGGTGACGAAATCTACCGTGATCACGCTGTGTCAATATTCGAGGTAGATGGGCGTAAGAACAAGGTGGGAGGATTCAAAGAGCTTTTCAAGCTCATTAGCTTATGTCATCCAGATCTACTGCCAAAATCTATGCTTGCTGTCCAAGATGTTCCTCGACCATAAATCACTATTCTACGACGTCGAGCCGTTTCTCTTCTATGTGATCACTGAGGTCGATGACATGGGCGCGCGCTTTGTCGGATACTTCAGCAAGGAAAAGCTTAGTCCGAAAGACTACAATGTCAGTTGCATCATGACACTTCCTGTGCGACAACGACAAGGATGGGGCAACCTTCTCATTGACTTCAGTATGCGAATGTTCACAACCAATTCGTTCAAAACTCATATGCGTCGTTTTAGGCTACTTGCTTTCAAAGAAAGAGCATAGGTTAGGATCGCCTGAAAAACCACTTTCGGGTCTCGGCGCTCTAGGATATCAGAATTACTGGAAGCTGGCTGTAATGCGGTTTCTCTCCACTGCTCCAGACCTTCCCCGGCTCGAAGGTTGGGTCATTGTGTGACTTTTTCATCCGTGTTCTAATTTTGGTCTCTAGATATATGTTTGGCGACATCAATGACGATGGAGGATGTGCACTCAACGCTTACGCTCCTTGAAGTCATCACTGTCCGAGATGTCACACCACCGCGGCCTTCTCCTGGTCAATCCATCAAATTTCCCAAAGGGCGCAAGAACGGTGTTGCGCGACGGCACCTACAACGCAATCAAACGACAGATAAAGGAAATGGAGAGACAGGGCCATTTGTTCCACCGTCGCAGTACGAAATCCATTGGGATCGTGATTCCGTTGCCGCCGAGTTGCGGAATTGGGAATCCAAGGGTTACTTGCAACTGAAGCCAGACAAGTTGCAATGGAGTCCCTATGTACTAGCAACGATCAACAAGACGGAGGCCACTTCCTCAGCAGACACCAGCTTGCTCATGACTACGGAAAAGCTTGCTGCTTTGCGAGCCAAAGGACTAGGAGGAGGAGTTGAGTTGAATGGGTCATCGAAAGTTCCAGCAACCCCGAAGGGAGCTGCTACCGCGCCGTTTGAAGACATTTTCCACGCCAATAGTGCGAAAGATCAAGTAGAAAGCGATCGTGCATATGCAGCCTCACTCGCAACCGACACTCCGCGAAATTTGCGCAGCCGAAGTAACCAATCGTCCCCTTCAACACCAATTATCGTGACCCCGAAACGGAGAGGACGGCCGCCAGCTAGGAGGAAACTCTTGGCTGTTGCTGAGCCTGAGAGTGAACGAGAAGAAGAGAACCAGCCACCAACCAAGAAACGGAGACTGGGGTCATCTCCCATACTGGAAGACCGACTTACATCTCCGCCGGTCACAACAGGGACTTCCTCGAATAGAACATTATCCCCAACGATAGACTGCGCCGCCCAAGAAATGACATCGCAGGCTCATGGACTGAACACGAGGGAAGAAGGTGAACATGTGTCGACTGGGTTGGTTGTGTGTGACGAGCCGAACCGGGTTGCGCCAGTCATCAAGACGATCATTGTGGAAGAAGCTGTAAAAGTGGAGGAGATAGAGCCATCAAAAGGTGGGGCAATGGCCACAATAGCTGCTGCCTGGCAGGGCGAGGATGGCTCTGTACCCATTGATGTAGAAGCATGAACTTGTATTTTGTACTTGATTGGTTCGTCACTCGATAGTCACAAGTGAATTGACTTGGCTCAAGTTGTCATCGTGCAAACCGGGCGATGGTAGATCCACGGTCAGTCGGTTTGTCTACTCAACGCCATGTCTTCAACAACATTGATGGTATTATAGCAAGTCTACCATGCAGTACTCTCACTTATCAGCCTCTGGCGAGCGTAGAGACATGGACACTCCAAACACGGTATTCATCATCTTTCCCAGCCCAGGCCAGACGGTTGAGCAGCTTTCATTTCAGACACCCTTCCAGTCGCACCAGAGTATCGGTCAAGCCCTGGGCCCTCATATGGCTAACCAGCCTCCCTATACCCGGCAGGATAGCTATAACCATCGCATCTCCCCACAAAGCCAATCACCGCCCACACAGCTCACCTTTGTGAATACTCCAGTCGCTGGTCCCTCGTCTGCAGGGGCGGCAGCCAAGCGAAAGCAGCCGCAATCAGATAGCCTTTTGAATGGCCATGTCTCCAAGCGAAGGAGAGAATTGGAGGAATCGCCGACGACGGCAATAACAACGGAGAGTTATGATGATTCAAGTGGCTCTGGGGCCAAGCACTGGACAGATGAGGAGAAGACTCTGCTATTCCAGTGGTTAATGGCGCCAGCTCATGACGATCACTGGAATGCTCTTCGAGCCACAAAAAATTCATGTCTGCGAGAGGTGTGTCTTATTGGGCTTCCGATTTCGATTTCGGTCAAACATTCTTTCGTAGTGTGCGGTGGAGGTGTTTGCAAATAAGAAGACGTATCAAGCGCTCAAAGGCTGCTATGAACGCAACTTCAATTTGTTCAAACAGATCTACGCTTTCGAGACGTTTCATCAGCAGGCAGGGACTGGGCCAATGAACCTACAAGGGGAGGGCGAACGAGTGCGTGAGTACGAAAGAAGACTCGGGTTAGCACGGAGAGGCGGGTGTGATGTGGGCAATATCTCAGCGCGGGTTGTTGACCACTGGCATCGCATAGGCTGGTGAGTGACGGCCTACCAGTCGATTGACCGTCAAAGTTAAAACAAGACAGGTATGAACTTTTTTTTCGCAGGTATGATGATGTGTCTGTTCTCACAACGCCGACCTCACACGAAGCAAGGTGGAATGGAGATCCTGTCGCTGTTGCGCGAACGTTGCCATCGAGGGGTACCACAAACGGCATTGGGGAAGAAGGCGATGTCGACGATGACCAGACACTCGACTATTCAAGCTCTCCACATCCACAACCACCCCAACCTATTTTACATCAGCATATCCAACAGCAGCAACAATATGTGTCATATGTCAGTCCACACCAAACATTGCGCGACCCTCCTCCTACACAGCCACCAACATCGACCCTCAGGTCATCACCCCCTCCACTTGCACCACCAGTCCAAACGCCAAACCCACCCCCGATCGTTCCAGCGGCTGCCTCAGAGCAGGTTATTATGACGGTTCCGGTCACACAGGGATTGATGTCTGCCTATCTACAACTCCTCCAAATGCAGACACAGACGGGGAAGCAAAAACTTGAATATTTGCGGCGACGGGAAGAAAGGGAAGAAAAGGATAGTCTCCATCGAAGGGAGACGGAAAGATTACGGTCGGAGCGGGAGAAGGCCGAATTTGAGCACAACAAACAGACCGCCAATATTAAAGCGCGAGCAGACCGCGCAATCGTGCGTCACATTCCAGGGTTATTGTCTGATCATTGATATGCTGTCAGGAGGTTCTAGGGAGCCCGATGTTGGATGCGTCGTTGAAGCAGGCCGCTGGGGACTACTTAAAGAAACTATTCAGTGAGGGATAACCCAGGTGTTGTACATAGGTTGTCATCTGACCTGGCCGCGGCAAACCCTGACTCGGTTCGGTTTGCTGACGTAACCCAATCTTGTGCTAAACTATGACTACCGCTTTGTTGCTCATTGACCTCCAAGCCGAGTTTCTCTCGCATGGCGGAAACTTTCTTATCTCTGCAACATCACGCCTCGCGCTTTTGCGAAACACTGCGAAAGTTGTCCGCTCGTTCAGAGTGAGAGAGGAACCCATTATTTGGGTGCGCTCTGAATATGCATTGCGGTCCACTCAACCACTTGGAAACTTACTGGAGGGCACGCACAGTGGTAAAAAGCCATGCTGCGCACCAAATACGGAGGGTGCCGAGTTCCCTGTCGAGGTACAAGCCCTCCAAGCGCCTGACGATGTCCTCCTGACGAAAGGCTGGTACTCAGCATTCAAAGAAACCAACCTGGAAGAGCTGCTTCGTCAACGAGGCATAACTCATCTCTTTATTGGGGGACTTCTGACTAATGTCTGCGTTTCCGCCACCGCAGAGGACGCTGTCAAATCATGTGGGCTAACAGTCACTATACTTGAAGACTGTCTCGGTTGGCGAAAATTCCGCAGTCATGAAATGGCTCTCAGTAAAATGCGGGCCGCAGGAGTGATCGTTTCCACACAGTATAAAGCATTGGGAACTCCTGCCCATCAACCGACGCTGTATTATGTGAATGGTTCAATTCCCAGTTGGCGAGTATTTATGGCGTTGTACGAGAAGGAAAGTTTATTCCTACGACCGACTCGCAAAAGAATGACTCCGCTTTTAGGGGATTGCCTTTGTTCCCATGCGACTGAGAGTTATGTGTGATCCAAAAGAAACTCGGACACCACCTTTCCTTGGGCTGAATCATCGCGGCAAGACACCTGTTCTTGTTGATCCACAGGAAGGAGGTGACATAATCGTCAACGAAAGCATTGCAATTCTCCACTATATCGACACATACTTTGAGCCGAAACAAACACTCCTTCCTTCTATCTCTGCACGCAGAGCTTATAGCGTCGCCCTGACCCGTATTCAAGAAACCGAGAACCTTCACAGCATCTACGATGAACTTGAAGATGCCCATTTCAACGCAGAAAACTCTGGCAAACCTTTGGAAACGGCGGAACGAGCTAAATTAATCGACTGCGTGTACAAAGAGCTGGATTTTTGGGAGACCTACGCGAAACAAACGCTCTTTATCTCTGGGAACGAATTTGGCTTGGCTGATTGCGCTTTCTTTCCGCTTTTGGCGTACATGGTCCACCGTGGCTTCGAATGGACAGCACGTTGGCAGAATTTGCACAATTATTTCCTACGCGTGCGGGAACGAAACTGCGCTCAGCATGCTCAGCCGCTTGGATGGGATCAGCCTGGAAAGACGAACGTATGGGCCAACACAACGTAGTACTTATGCTGCGTTGGAGAACACAACAAGTTGATTTGCTACTTCTTCGATAGTCTCTTTCCTGACGAGCTCTTTGAACCACCGTTCAACGCGTTCTGTCCAGAATGTACCCTTATCTTCTCCGTACCATGCCCCAGCAAGTCCGCCATAAACTGCAGCAACCGTGTCAGCGTCGTCTCCCATGTTGACGACCAGCATAGCCCCTTGCTCGAATGTTTCAGTTACCAAGAACGCATATAAGGCGGCTGTGATTGTGTGGACTACATAACCAGATGAACGTAGCGCTGCTTCTTGGGGCAAAAGTGCGAGAATTTGAGCCGATAAATCCTCAGAGGGCGTGTTCGATGATATAGTCTCTACGGCAAGTTTGAGGATGGGGTGGAATCGCAAGTAACTTTCTTCATCAGAGCATGGCTTTTCTGCTGCCAGGGCCGCTCGCAGTGGTTGAGTCTCGTATGCGTAGTTTGAAAAGTGGTTGAGCACGTCGAGCTTGGTCAGTGGAATCGATTCTTGAGCGGAATGCACTATTTTGGCGATCATTTGAGCCCAGACAACACAGGCCTCGATACAAACTTCGTTTGGGTGGGTGACACGGCTGGTCCTCGCTGCGAAATTCTTTACTTCATCAGGGGAGAGACGGTAATAGGCCAGTCCGACAGGCAAGATTCGCATGAGAGACCCATTTCCGCCAAAGACTGTGGCGCTCAGACCTTGCTGGATGCCCGCCAACGCCTTGGTAGCAGCCTCCCTTTCGTGAGCGTGCTGTGCTCGGGATGACAACATTCGTCCAGCCTTCTGCATAAAGCCGTGTTGGGAATTCGAAGTCAAGGCGTCGTGGTAGGAGTTGAGAGCCGTGCAGATAGTGTTCCCAATGTCAAAGCATCGGTCAATGGCGCTCAACTCGCCCTTCTTCCACCACCGATAATATCTGTGGAGTTGATCAACCTCGTCACAGCCGTTGGACGTTGCCAGCGATTTGGCGAGTGCAAGTGTCATACTGGTATCGTCAGTCCAAATGCCTGCGCCCAAACCGAAATTCTGATTTGGGATCATTTCAGAGACAAAGTCGAAAGAAAAGCGTCTGTGGAATTCAGCAGGTCCACCTAGTGCATCGCATATAGCAGAAGATAAGAGAGAGAGTCGAATCTTGGTCGAGGCAGGCCCTGGGGTGACGAGCTGGGAATTCAGGGGTTTCATGATGAAGGAGGATGAAGGTTGGATTTAAGCTTCAGTGTCACAGGTCAACCGGTCAACAACAAGTCAAGACTGTCAAGTACATTCATTATACAAACAACCTGGTACACTACTCTAGCTACTATATAGAACATTAGAAATAAAAACCGTAGCCCTTGAGACGAACAGCATTCTACGCAGCAACAGCACCAGCGCGACTCGCACTACGACTGGGAGGATGATCCCTATTGCGTTGCCACCAATGGTGACCCCCACTGTTGAGAGCGCTAGGAAGACTCGAGGTTATACTAGGAGAATGATGATGGCTACTATTCGTTGCAGAGTCGTTTGACAAGCTAGGACGAGGCGAAGACCTTGTTGTGCTTGTGGAAAATGAAGGAGACGAGGGGAGTGAACTGCCTGATTCTGTTCTGACCAGTTTAGTGAATGGGCTGATAAGATGCTGGTCTTTAACTGGCGCAGGATTGAACAGCGCTTCTATAAGCGATTCGGTTGGCCCCGGTCCATACGCTCGTGGAAGTGAGTGGAGATCGAAAGACTGTCGCTCACTACGCAAGCTAACTTTGCTCTGGAGGGAGCTTCTACTACTTGACGCAGAAGCACCCAAAGGTGCATAAAGATCAAGTGCGCGAGGCCGAGTACGGTAGACGTCGTCATGCGTTGTCAACAAAGTTGATACGCCAGCGAGAATCTCCCCATTAGGAAGAGGTGGTGCAACGTAGGATGTAGCTGTGTTGATTGGCTCTACGTGGATAGCTAGACGAAGGGTTGCATTGGTTTTGCTGTCACGGAGTAGATAACGGCGAGTGACCAAGCCTTTAGCAGAACAACCGGGAGGAAGGGGCTGACTGTCAGCGTATTCAGCCAAATCCAGCTCCACGACACCAAGACGGGGTCTGTGGGGAGCGTCTGGGTCATGAGCAATGACCCTCTGGAGTACGGTGAGCTTGAAATGATGTGGAAGCAGCTGGTGTGTGTCGCGATCGATGGACATTTGAACAACGGTTGCTAGCTGCTGGTTCCAGGTCACGGAATGGTCCCGGAGAGGAAGCCATTGGGTTTGGCCACGAGCAGAAGAGCTGATTTGAGGCTCAGGAGCAGGCCCAGGGTCTTCGGCACTTGTCTCTGCACTCCCAAAACTATCCCCATCTCCGTCATGTTCATCGCTCTCCAACAGCTTCTTGGTTTTCCCTTTGATTTTGTGGGTATTCTTGAACTTCCATCGTACGCCAAATTCGCCAGAAACCAGGGGTACGCTCGCGAGGTTTAAAATTTCGATCCGCACATTGAATAGACCATGACGAGGGGGAAGAAGATGCATCGAGAGAAACGAGAGTGCATACGTAGCGTCACGGCCAGGTGTCACGAGTGTCACGCGTTTTGCATCCGTTCAACCAACTGTGTTTGAAACCTGGAAACTGGAGCAGGACCGAGGCGAGCGTCGAAGCCAATGAGCACGTTCTGTTAGTCTCATTATCTTGCTGTCCGTGCCTGATTGAACTGACCGAGTCAAGTAGTTCGACCGCTAAAATAGTCAATCTTAGGTTGTACTGCTTTATACTGTCGAATGCATGTGCTATGACCACGTGGCATGCACCTCCACAGACACGAAATCTTTCATTGACGCACTGAAAGCAATAATGGTCGACACACCACTAGCTTTCGAGCCACTTGTTATGACTTGCAAAATGTTCAGCCTGTCCAAGGTTTTTGGGCTTCCTTCCGGCTCAGTTGAATATGCCAAGGCACTTCAAGGCACCGATACTAGCCGATAGTACTCTCTGGCCCATGTGCGCTGCTGATCCGGCTATCGGATTGCAATTCATTATCAGATAAATAATCAACCAAGATCTTTTCTTCAGTCTCCCGGTCCTTTCCCCCGCCATGTCCTCCGGCCACGACGAAAAGCAAGCCGCGTTGCCCATTGACATCACACCGCCTTCAAAGGACCCAGTCGTTGTCGATCAGGACGATGGCGTTACACGCATCGAGGCCCTTTGTCAGTTCTACCACCCTCATCTGAATTCCATTTCCTACGCGTTCTACTAGACCTCGTCTTCAGCAAGGGTTGGAAAATATGGATGCTCTATGGCTCACTGGGTCTCATTGCCTTTGTCTATGCTCTGAGTCAAAGCACTACCTACACTTGTAAGACATTCGGTCAATGCTATGACTCTCATAGTGAATCTTCGGACAGACGAAAACTATGCTGCCTCCTCTTTCTCGAGCCATGCTTTAATAGGAGCTATCGGTGTCGCAACCTCCATCATTGGAGGCGTTTCAAAGCCTTTTATCGCTAAAGTACGCACATTCATATCAAGTGGAATTACCAGTCAACTTTCCACAGATTTCGGACCTATCTGGTCGACCCTCCGCCTTGGTCATGGGTGTCTCGCTATATGCGCTCGGATATATTATTGTCGCTGCTTCGTCGACGATCAGCGCGGTCGCTGCCGGCCAGGTCATCTACACGATGGGAAACACTGGAATAGATCTAGGTGAATGAAGCACTCCACTTATTGACGACTCGATGACTCTCCCTCAAGTGCTTGGAATCATCATTTCTGACATAACCTCTCTCCAATGGCGAGGTTAATTTTCTGCGCTGCTCGGAAGGAATCTTCCACTCACCATTCCAAAGGGCTTGTGCAAGGCTTATTCTCTATGCCCTTTGTTGTCACCGCATTTATTGCTGGCGATATTACAACCGGCATCTCTGCTAACACATTGAACGGCTGGCGCTGGGGGGTGAGTTCAATGCCTTTGCTTCTTGTTGGACCAGGTAACCCAGTCTAATAGTATGGAATGTTCGTTATTTTGGTTCCTGTGTGCTTGGCGCCTTCGCTCTTCATCCTTTTCTGGGCAGATAGAAAGGCAAAACGCATTGGAGGTCAGAGCCATGATACTTGGAGGGCTCATGTTCTAACTCATATGCGTCTAGTTCTTTCGTTGGCTGCGTCTTCCCATCGACAAACCGCTGAAGAAAAGAAGCAAACATTTCTCCACCTAATTCTATACTACTGGCGCCTGATGGACGGATTCGGATTGCTCCTGCTCGGGACAGCGTTCACACTCATCTTGTTGCCGTTCACACTTTACACTGCTGCCCATAATGGATGGAAAAATCGTGAGTCTCAGCTAGTCATGGAACACGCTATCTAAAGCCTGCTACGGCTTCCATTATTGCCATGGTAGTTGTGGGGGGAGTGCTTCTTGTCCTCTTCTGCGCTTGGGAATTCCGCATAGCCGGACATCCCATCATGCCTCGGCGCGTAATGAACAAGACCTTCGTTCGTGATTCATTCAGGTGTCGTCTGTCAGGCTCATCCTTCCCAGTTGTGCTGTGTCGCGATCGATTTCCTGTACTATCTTTCAGGCTACATCACCTTGACGTACTTCACGAGCTGGGTTTACGTGGTTAAAGACTGGAACCTCAAGAACTACACATACTTCACTAGTGAGCACATTTTCTCATACTTCTGCAGGCTGTCTAAGCAAACCGCCTAGACGTATGTATAGCAATCCACAGTCTACGGTTTGCTAAGGATTTGCCAGATGTTTGGCTTGTCTATCTTTGTAAAGCCTATGCTGACCACGGCCAAGTCTCACCGTCGGCCTATGCTTTTTCGCGCTTATAGGTGGTCTGATACAGCGTTACACTCACCGATATAAGTGGATTCAACTTGCTGGTCTGTCCATCAGAATCATTGGGCAAGGGCTGGTCTTTCTAGCCGCTAATGGAAACCAGAGGTACACGTATTGACTAGGAAGAAGAACCACAAGCTAATAATTTTCCATAGTGATGCTGTCCTTATTATGAGCCAAATCCTCACCTCTCTCGGTGGCGCTTTCTCTGTCATAGGCTCCCAAGTCGCCACTCAAGCTTCTGTCCCCCATCAAGACATGGCCCTTGCTATTTCGTTGTTATCCTTGTGGACTAGTGTCGGAGGCGGTATCGGTTCTGCGGTGGCTGCAGCCATCTGGAACGACCAACTCCCTAAGAACCTGGTCAAGTACCTCGGTAGTTCCCTCAATTCAACTGAGATTGCGCAAATCTATGGTAGCATCGTCGTGGCTCGCGAGGCACAACCACGCGACTTGGTCATTCGAGGTAAGGGATCGGTTGCTGTAGATTCGTGCCTAACTCGCTCGTAGCATACAATGACACGGCCAGAAACCTTTACCTCCCTGCCCTTATCTTGTCGTTTTTGTCGCTGATTGCGGGCTGTTTAACGACGAATTTTTATCTGGGTAATACCCAGAATGCTGTGGAGTCCAAGGTTGTTCGTTTGCGCACTAGCACGGAGATTGAACAAGAACTGCGAGAGAAACAGCAGCAGGCTACGCGCACACCTGCATAGATTTGGGCCAAATTTGCTACAAATTTTATTCGTTTACAATCATGATGCGTCGTTACTTAGACAAATTTAAATGCTCTTGACTTCTTTCTAGTTTCTTGCGCCGCAACTGTCGCCTTCGCCGCTGGGGCAACACCAGTCAATACGGCCGCAGTTGGCTTGGCCGGCGCATCGGCTTTAAGAGTTGCCATAAGGGACGTGCACGCCCCCAAGTCCGTCCAGTCACCTGGAAATAAATGTCAGTTACTTGAGGGCGCGAGTTCAACAAAGGAATACCAGCTACACCACCAGGCACATCAGCTTGAGACCAGTATTTGGCTTGCCATAAATGTCCACTAGAAATAGTTATCTTGTGTGTTATTGACACCTTCGAAGCGGACGCACTTGTAGGTTACTTGGCTCCCACCAACGTACTGTAGAGATTGAGGGAAAGGGGATTGGATCCAAGTCTGTCACATACCGCCACGGTTGATACCCAAGCTGCAACGCCTGCGCAATTGCCGTTAGAGGACGACTTGGTTGTGGAAATGGTGGTGGAGATGGTAGTGGATGATCTTGTGCTTGATGTTATGGGGGTAGAGGACTTGGTCGAGGAGCTGGATGAAGCAGTTTTACTCGTGGAGACTCCTCCTCCACCGGCGGTCGTGATGATATTCTTCACCGCCCTGTCAAATCGGCCATTTGCTGTTGGAGATGAGCTCAACTCCTCCTCACCACAAGAAAACAAACCATAAGCCTGTGATGCATCCCTGAAGACCATTTGCTTGGGTTAATTTTATGAAAGGAATTGCACTAACCACAACATCACTCCACCGAAACTCGAATACTTCGCGCGAGTGGAGACTGCGAGGGCTCCGAGGGTTGCGGCATTCGCGTAACCAGAGCCTGCAGATGACGAAGCGGGGGCGCCAATGAAAACCTTGACGTTCTTGTTCGGCGAAACTGTCTTTGCCCATGTATCCCAGGAAGCGAAGTTCCAGTTCTGGACAACTATCAGTCTGATTCAGTCTCAAGAAAATCAAGCCGGCTACGTTTTCGTTCCCAGAGTTGGCAACAGAACTAAGGGAGACGACTGAGTGGGCTGATGACCAAGGGAAAAACTTGCCAGTAGTTGTTGTAGAACTGGAGACAACACGTAAGCAGATGATTGGATAGTTAAGGATTGTAGCTCACTTGGACATATACCGCATCGAAGCCCACTGCATTGAGTATAGAACCCATATATGCATCAGGGTAAGGGCATTGGGGAGCGCCAGTGATATAGTACCTGGTAAAATATTAATGAGAAACATTTCTGGAGTTAAAAATCATTAGTTGCTAACTTCTTGCTCGCATTGGCAGATAATGTCCTGATTTGAGTGACAAAGGCGGCAAATCCAGTCGGTCCTCCTCCTTCGATGTCGAGATCAATTCTAATGATGGTAAATATAGATAGCTCTGTCAAGACTAAAATAGTGACTTGCCCGTCCAAGACAGCAGCTCCGAAGGGACGCGTCGAGCTCGAGCCTCCAAGGAAAAGATTCCAGATGGTATTGGCAAACTGAACACCCTGCGCGTCCGAAGTGAGAACAGCAGCACCACTGGCGCCACCCAAAGAGAGGGTGACTAGTTTTCCTGCAGCTTGACAGGCTTGGATTTGCGAGGCCAAAAATTGGCAGTTAGCTAAGCCGGTGCCAGGGAAGACTCCATTGTCTGCCGAGTTGCAAACCTAGTCGTGATATCAGCGCGATTTTTATCATGAAACATTGCCATACATACATTGGCCATGTTCAAATCCGGCAGACCACCAGTACCAAAGAACACGTCAATGAACGCAACTGTAAGAAAGTCAGCAAGGGTCTGTGGAAATGAGAATAGCGGCTTGCTGGGTAAAACGTTGATGACGTCGTCTTGACAGTAGGCGCCGATTTGTTGTTGCCAACCGGATTGAGCCCCACCGACGGCACCGTAGCTGTTTTGACCTGGCAAGTAGATGGACATGAAGATTCATTTTGTAGAAGGGAGAAAAATTACCATAATAGACCACCAACTAAGGTAGATTTGTTAGGCCGCGTCAAAAATGTTGGGGAAAAGGGAAACATTATCTGTTCGAGTAGGATCATAGCCAAACACGGAGGTGACACCCAATGCAAGGATGGACAGCAGTGGCGACGCGAGCATAGTGGGGGACTGGCGAGGCGATCCGACGAGGTTCTTCTGCTATACGAGCTCTTCTTATTCTTGCTGGTCGGGTCCGGAAGGAGATGGCCTTGATTCCCAAAATTAAGACAAACAAGTCTTCCGCGTGGTGTTCGTCACGATGGATACTGGACTTCTGTGCCAGCATGCCCACAAAAACCCTTTTCGTCGATATGAGTAGCATGAGGACAAGTCAGCAGTCGATATCAACGATTGGTTGGGACAAGGAAGGCCGGATCCATATGCACAGATGAGAATGCCATTCCAAGACAACAAATATTCTCCGAGCGATAAGACATGTGGCCAGAGATAGACCGTTTTGACATCACGATGGAAGCTCCCATGTCAAGAGGTGTTGCTAGCTTGTGGTGGTCAATGCGCAATGGTAGAGGTGGTTCTAGGAAGCAGTGATGGTGAGCTCGAGAGACGATCAATCTGACAGTCAAGTTTTTGGCCAATTCTGAGACGGGTCCTTTCAGTTGCAATAATAATTTACACAGGAGAGATATAGCTAAACTGCGTGGTTTCAGACGAAGAACTTGGTATCAAAAAAGGAGCTTGCCAAACTGATCATCGTGAGCCCTTTCCATCGCGCTTGAAGTAAGGACTGTTCACTGCGGTGGCTTGGATCATGTCGAAGATGGTTTCTCCAACGCCAAAATAGCGCTCGGCAACAGAGCGCAGAGTAGGGTCAGATATGGATTCAGCGTTTGGTCTTGTGTTCTTTCAGTATATCATGGAGGAAGAAAGAAAGAGTCACTTACGCAAAGCCGCTTGAACGACGGACTCCAGCAGCTAGCGTAGAAAGTAGGACTGCATCGACTGCATAATGAACAAGTCTTCCCAGAACCATAGTGGTAGCTTGTTAAGGAGTGTGGGACTGAGCTTTATAGTAGGACGTGGCGGCGGCAACACTCGCTACGCGTCAAGACGGCAGCAATCTAATGACACTGATACAATCACCGACACTTGATACATAGGCTGAACGAAATTACGTAATACTACGAGCTGCTCCGTACTGTAACAAGTGATACAACAAAACCTTGCCCCGAGTGTTTCCAATCACCATATATTCGCTCTTCGGTGAAAATTCTACCGTCGTGACATGGCCTAAAGGAGTGCTTGATGTGGGCCAGTTAGAAAATGCGGTTAGGCTTGGAAGATGAACCTGCAAAGGCATTTAGTGGCATTTACTGCGATGGGTGCAACTCACCACACGCGCTGCATCTTTCTTTTCCCGACTGGCTACCACTAAGATTTGCGCATCATGGTTGAAACGCAATGTTGATATCGTGGTGGTGAGATGGCCGAGACTTTTAATTGGTTTGGGGTTGGTTGAAGCTTGAGAGAACGAATCGGAGCTGTAGATGTTGACCAAGCCAGTGTTAGAGCTAAGATTAAAGTGATGAGTTCGACACGACGTAAAAGGAAGAGACATTACCCAATGGCAAGCCATCCTTTTGCAGAGGCTGCCATATCACCAACAGAGCCTCGGAATCCTCCATCATCTTTCCATTTGTTGAGGCATTGCCTCTGCCTGACATTCCACACATACACTTCCGAGTCGTTGGTAAGTGCGACTAAATTTTCGTCGTCGTTCCCCCACCATAAGGATTTGATGCTGGCTCCGCATTTCAAATCGCCGACAACTTGTCCGGCGCCACTTTTCCAGTCAACGAGGTGAATGTTGCCTCCGCGACCCGCAACAGCAAGTATATCTCCTTGAGGGCTGAAGCAGGTCGTTTGCATGCCCTCTGCACTCGCACCGCCTTCCATCAGGTTTTGGCCACGTGACCGCTTCCGTGAAGCGGATAGAACCGTTGAGGAATCATACGAGCCCCAAAGGCTTCGACCAGCCTTGTGTTGCATCTCACCCCGCTGGAGATCGTATACAAAGTAGAAGGGTCGTTGTCCTGTGAGAAGAAGCGAGTTGCCACTGGGGTGGAATGTCACAGACGACTGGGAAAGAGGGAGGGTTGGTATATGCAAGGTTTGTAGAAGAGGCGACGTATGGCCGTCAACCTAGAAAGCATTCAGCACGAGACACGATAGTACATATTGATCTCACATTGAATAGTCGTATTCGTCTATCGTCAGTCCCGACACAAAGGACAGGAACCTCAGGACTTGGATGGAACGCTAAACATTTGACTTGGCCATTCCCCGACACGGTGGAGGCCTGGTTAACGTCTCTCAGACGCTCGATGGAAAGTTGACCCGAAGGTAAGACGACTTTGCTTAGACGATCTGCAATAATACCAGCAGTGGAAGAAAGCAGTTCGCCAACACCAGAGATGTCATTGTTGGGTAATTGAGCCTTGGCAGCTTTTGCCCATTCTGGTTGAGGATTTATGCGCTCGTATTGACGTCGTAGTCGCGATTCGTACTGGCGACCAGATAGGGCTGTTTCGGAGGGCTGGTCACGAAGTTTACGGAGCCTATTCGATGCCAGAGAGACTGTTGGTGGGTCTGAAGGGTCTACCCATGCAGGTGTTCGACCTGATTTTGTTGTAGGTATTTCCAGTTCCCCTTCGTCAGATTCTGCTTCTGGGTTGCTGAGGTCAATAGGAGAATCTGCTGCTCCATCGTCTATAACGAATAACTGCGTTCAATTAGTGGTACAATCGTTGAATAACCAAGCTGTTACATCCGCGTCGGTGAGATTGTGTAGTTCTCGGGTGGGATCTTGAGTTATTCGTTTTGGTGGCGTATACTTGGTACCGAATAGGAGACTCTCTAGTCTGAGCTCTTCATGGTCTTTACCCCCGGCGTCAACTTCAGTCTTCTGTCGTTTACGCGAGTGTTTAGGCATAAAAGCCAACTTTTTGTCTGTGACATGTGACACCATGAACTTTTTTAGCCTTTCGAGCTGCGTCCATCGACGCAAAATCTTAGCATATTCTGTTGCATCTTTCACCCCATTCTCCACAACCGCCGTTCGCTCCGGAAAAAAGAGATCCATGCCGCCCAAAAAGTCTGCGGGTCCCGAGAAAAAGACCTTACTGGGTCGGCCCGGCAATAATTTAAAAATTGGAATCGTAGGTCTGTTTGGCTCTCAGTAACAAGGCCTTTGTGTCTTACACCCTCTACAGGAGTTCCCAATGTCGGAAAGTCATCTTTCTTCAACGTGTTGTCCCGAGACAGGTCTGCTTGCACACCCTCTTTCCACTCGTTTTGTTTTAAAAACATCCGACAGATCTGGGAAAGGCAGCAAACTTTCCTTACGCCACCATAAAGTGAGTTATTCTCCGGTTTCACGAACCAATTCTAATACTACAGATAGTCCTGAGGTTTGCACAAGCAACTGGCAATAAACTTGTGTCGATCATCGATTTTGCAGGAAGCACGAATTCCAGTGCCAGATCCACGATTCGATTGGCTCTGTGACCTTTACAAGCCTGCTTCTCGGGTACCTGCTTTTCTCACCTGCATCGATATTGCTGGTCTCACCGCCGTACGCTGCTGTCGCCCACATACTATCCGCGGCGCATCTAATCGCCGCTAGGGTGCTTCGACCGGTGCTGGGCTGGGAAATGCTTTCCTGTCCCATGTGCGCGCGGTTGATGGCATTTTTCAAATGGTCAGGGCTTTCGACGATGCCGAGGTCATCCACGTAGATGGAGATGTCGACCCCATTCGGGACATCACTACCATCCAAACTGAGCTTCGTTTGAAGGACATCGAATGGACCGAGAAGGCAATTGATACCCTGAAGAAGGGTTCCAGAGCCTTGGGAAATACCTCCCTCGCTGACAAGGCTAAGAAAGAGGAATTGGTAGCCTTTATTTCCATCTTCTACCACCAAGGCAATGTACTCACGATTTTCAGGCGACTGTTGAGAAGGTGTTGCAGCACTTGAACGATGGGAAAATTGTTCGTAAAGGAGACTGGTCGAACAAAGAGGCAAGTATATCGTTCAATTCCCTTCGTTTCATGACGATAAAGAGCTATATGCTCGATAACCCAGCTCGTCGAGATGGGAGTAACGCCCCGTTCCATGAGAAACTTTTCGCTCTGATCTTCATCTATTAATCCTACATCGTTTCATCGCCGTGCTAACACTTATTCTCAGGTAATTGCAGTTGACAAACAATTTCTATCACGTGACGATAAAGAGCGATATGCTCGATAACCCAGCTCGTCGAGATGGGAGTAACGCCCCGTTCAATGAGAATCTTTTCCATTTCTGATTTTCTCATCAATTACTCGAAAAGGTGAACTGATTCCTCTTTCAGATCGATGTTATCAATGGTCTGATGCTCTTAACTGCCCGACCCATCACATATCTCGTCAATTTGAGCGAAAAGGATTATGCTCGGAAGAAAAACAAGTGGTGCGCATGAAAGATGTGCGCATGAACGCGTCTGAGAGAGAGAGGATTCTAGGTTACCCAAAATCAAGGCATGGATTGACGAGAATAACCCAGGCGACTTGTTGATACCTTTCTCTGTCGCTTTCGAAGAAAAACTGGCCCCTCTCAATGCAGAGGAGAAGGAAGAAGTACAGAAAGCCGTAGGCGCCACAAGCGCGCTAGGAAAAATCACCCAGGCTGGCTACGCTAGTCTCGATGTGTGCCTATCCATGCCAAACAATCTTCGTCACTCATATTATTCACAGCTAATCCGATACTTCACTTGTGGACCCGATGAAGTTCGAGCCTGGACGATTCGTAAAGGCACCAAAGCGCCACAAGCTGCTGGTGTCATACAGTAAGCGCAATATATGGGTTTGTGGGTTTTCTAACTCGTTTGCCAGCTCCGACTTCGAGAACAAGTTTGTTTGTGGTGAAATTATGTCGTACGACGATTTGAAGGAACAGGGGAGTGAAACCGCTGTCAAAGCCGCGGGAAAGGTTCGACAGCAGGGCAAGCCATACGAAAGTAAGCTTCATTTTGCGATGTTTCTGCTCAGCTTCTGATTCGTTGCAGTGGTTGACGGTGATATCGCCTACTGGAAATCTGGGGCATGATCTTGGTCCTACGTATATAAAGCAGAATCGTGTTGTAAGTACCTGTAGACTATGATAACTTCGTTGGTGGAGGTAAATCAAAGCGAAAACTGTTCAAAAGCTTTGCAGGGGCGTGTGGTTGGGTGCAATCAATCTTCCAATGATCTCCACCGCAGTTAGGACACGAAGTAGTGGGTGCTGTAGTAATATTCTCGACGAGAGGAGCTCTCCGAATTTGGGTTTTGACTTGAGTTACTGACTTGTGGTGGAGCCTCGCTAGCCTTCGGAGCGAGCAGTCAACGCCCCAATGGGGTCCCCCACAACTGGGACATGGAGGTGGGGGGATTTTCTGGCGTCCCGTGCAACGAATTAGCGAGTGTGGACCATGACAAGCCGGACATTTCCGCTTCCCAGAAGAAGTATCGCCAATTTCGTCAGAGACAGAAGATGCCCAGCGATATATTGTGTCTTGGAACACATCCCATCGCATGGGAGGACCTTCAGAAGCCTCGATATTCGCTGATGAAAGAGAGGAGACAAGAAGTGCGAAACGAGCATCCCGGAGTGTGATTCCTGGGGAAACGCACTCTTTCAAGGTATCAGTGGCAGGCATTAATGCAGAATGTGTTGTTGTGCAAATAACCACATTTGAGCTCTGGGGCCAGTTGGTCACGTGGAGAAATTGTGGATGGTGCTGAGGATACATGAACTCAGATGCAGCTGTTTTGCGATATTTGACGGACTTTTTCAGTTTTTGTCAGCTCCAGCACATCATTGACAAAAGCTGTTGCGTGGTTGCTTTTGTTGAATTTGAATTGGCGAGCGAGCCCGGCTGCATGACCAGTAGTCTTGGTGGTTATTGGACTGAGGTACCACCCGTAATGGGAGAGTAGGGGCAGCAAGAATTCAGTAGCGTCTGCGCGTGATATCCATGCTGTTGGCCATGATTTACTTGGGGGTGCAAGACGAAGACGAAGAACCATCTCCAGCTGTTGCAAGTCAAAGATAGATTGAGTGTGACTGTGACTAATCCATCATTTCGACACCAACCATGAGTTTAGAAATCCCAGGACCGTCGCCGTCGCGGCCAGCGTCAGCGGCTGTTGGGTATGGACCTTCCCCCAGCCAGTCACGTAAACCACCTCAACAACACCGCGCTTCTCACCAAGTTGTTTCATCGACAACGTCGCCGAATGACCCCCAAACCCAAACTTCCTCTTTCACCGATGTCTACTCTCACCCAGCTGCTGTAGCCTTTGCGGCAGCCCATCCTCGCCGAACAATCCCTAAATTCGGTCCATATCTGCTCCTTCAAACTCTGGGAGAAGGCGAATTCGGCAAAGTCAAGTTGGGACTGCATTCTCAATGGGGCGAGGAGGTTGCTGTCAAACTTATCCGTCGTGGTAACGTGGATACTGCTGTTCGGATGTCCAAAGTAGAAAGGGAAATTGAAGTTTTACGGGTGAGTGTTTGCCATATTTTACCCAGCCTTTCTTCAACGAATATCCTATTGGTAGACCTTGAAGCATCCGAGCATCGTCCGCCTATACGACGTAATAGAGACCGACAAGTACATCGGCATCATAATAGAATACGCCAGCGGCGGAGAACTATTTGACTTCATTCTCGCTCACCGCTACCTTCGTGAACGCGACGCCTCCAAGCTCTTTTCGCAACTCATTTCCGGTGTCTGGTACATCCACCAAGTGCGCCTATCTTTTCCCTCTTCCTCGTGTAAGCTTTCTCAACTTGGATTGCCAGAAAAAAATTGTCCATCGTGATCTGAAGCTCGAAAACTTACTCCTTGACCGACATCGTAATGTTATCATAACCGATTTTGGTTTTGCCAACCGCTTCGAGCACAAAGCGGACGATCTGATGCAAACCTCATGTGGCTCTCCCTGCTATGCTGCCCCCGAACTTGTCATTTCTGAAGGCCTCTATGTCGGCAGTGCAGTCGACATCTGGAGTTGCGGCGTCATTTTATATGCGATGCTCGCTGGATACCTTCCATTCGACGACGATCCAGCCAATCCCGATGGCGACAACATAAACCTTCTCTACAAATACATTGTCAACACTCCGCTCTCATTCCCTGACTACATTTCAGACGAAGCCCGCGATTTGTTGAAAATGATGCTTGTCCCCGACCCTCGCAAGCGTGCAAGCCTAGAAGGTGTCATGCGCCATCCCTGGCTGGCAGCCTATCACGTCCCCCCAACAGACCCCACAGTTCCCAATGCTTTTGGTCGAACAGTAGAAGAGCTTGAAAAAGCTGCGATAGAACAGCATCAAATGAAGCGTCTCGCCTACCAGCGACAAATGCGGGCGACAGCCAATGGAAATGCCAACCCCTCATCATCAGTGTCTCGCTCCCAGACGCAAGTTGCCTCGCAAAGCCAGCGGAGTCGGCGTGGCCAACCAGAAATGTTATACGACTCATCTTCTGCCGCAGCTTATGCCGATAATGACGAGGATCCGTTCGCGGCACCGCCTGGATCTAGACGCCCAGCCGACAATACGCTTGAAGAAGGCGTCGCCAGGGGGGAACCCAGGCAACGAGGCAATGATGGCGAAGCACACCAGAATAAGGACGAGACAGAAACAACCCCCAAAAAGGGGAAAGAAAAGGAAGACAAGTTCAGACATACAATCCAGGTCGAGTATGATAGTCAGCAAAGAGTTCATCGACCACGTGCCGCCAGTCCACCGAAGGAGAATGATCAATCCAGAACGCCAACTCAGAGTCCCACACGAGAAATGGCGACGACACCCACACCATCTCTCCCAGTTCCAGTCTCCTCCTCTGCTCCCGTCTTGTCTTCTGCCCCCCTTCAACTAACGAATGCCGAACATCCACTCCCAACTTCGAGCCCTAACGCAAGCATAGCAGAACGCAAAGAAAGAAGGAGGCGCGGCAGTGCCTCTTCCAGCGGAGTCGCGTCACCCGCAAAGCCTCTCCCGCCGAGCCCTTCTAGTCCACCAACGACATGGAAGGGCACAAGCTCGTCTGTAAAGAATACTGTGGGGACAGGAGATGTTGAACGACCCACAGTCATGGATGTGTTCCCAGAAAAAGATCCCGCAGCAGAAAAACTGACACCTCAGGACAAGGTCGCTCCAGAGAAAGAGGCCACCAAGAAAAACAGACGAAACACGCTTACAGGCCTAACGGTGATGGTGAACCCAATCAACTCCATCAGGGCCAATATGTCACGCAAAAGAGAGCCTTCAACGACTACAAATAGCACTCCTTCAATGCAACTCGTGCCCCCTACACCTCAATCCTCCAGTGCAGACAAATCATTTGATCCTGAGGTCAATGGTTCTGGAGGGGCTGCGATGAAAGCAAGTACAACCAAGGCTCGCACAGTGATGCAGTGGATTCGCAAGGGACGCAACAGTATGACCGTCACTGGAAATAGTAGTGCAAGCAGTAGTGTGATCAATGAGCCTACTTCTACGGCCGAGCCCAGCGAAACAAGTCCCGTTCAAGTCGTCGTCACAACGCCGAGCAGAAACACACAACTATCACCCATCGCTACGAATCCTGTTTCCGGAGGACGCAAAACCGGCGATAATATTCAGCCAGCTACCTCTATTGCGCCTACGCCAACATCGGCAACACCCAGTTTCACATCACGTTTCCGGCGGTCGATCAATATTGGCGGTGGAGGGACAGTCAAAGAGAAAACTCCGCGAGATGCACCATCAGGCGGTAGTGTTCTTCGTGTTCATCACGGCGCGGTGGATACTGGCACGATTACCAGCGGACAACCACCAGAAGTGATGCGCCATGTTAAGGCTGTGTTAGAGGGAATGGGAGTCGAAATCCAAATAGAAAGCGAGTACAAGTTCCGTTGTATTCGGGGCAAACAACGGCGCAGAACTGCTCCCAGCAATTCTACAGGTCCGGGGGTGGCTGCCTTCACAATGACGGGGAGCGCGGCTTCAAACGGGGTCAGTATACCTTTCAACTTATCTTAATACCCGCCTGATATAAACCAGGTCGACAAACGAGGGCTTCCTCTACCTGCTCAAAACTCGTTCAGTGGTGGCGGTATGCTCCGTGGGCTGCTTATGCGGCGCCAATCTTCACAAGTCTCCTCTGCCGGGCCTGGATCTACCTCGCTTGATGGTGACGATCCACTAAACAACAGTGGTATTCTCACGTCTGAGCCTGCCTCTTTGGCAGACACGGTTTATGGTGAATCATCAGAGGATGCTGGTGATGAAGTTCGCTTCTCAGTCGAGCTCACTCGAATCGATCGAATCACTGACATGTACAGTCTCGACATCCGGAGACTGAAAGGCAACCTGCGGAGCTACAAGTTCCTTTATGACACTCTGAAGAAGTAAGCTTCAATGCCTTATTCTGGTGCTCTACTAATACTTCTTAGGCGAGCCGACCTACAGCGTTGACTTTTTCTATACCCTAATTAAAGGCATGAAACTCACTGAAACTGCTCATGCCTCTCTGCTTTCACTGGGTTTCTACTCTTCTCGATATTACCATCTGCATATTGCATATCCACCGTTATTCTCTGTCCAATCACGTAGGAATATGGATGTACCAGTTAACCAATTTGCAATCATTTCCCGTGACGAGTCTGTGACAACATTCCTCGAACTTGGATGGCCACCGCTGCCCTCCGTTCACCCTCGCCGCCGCCCAGCTCTCCCCGGCAGAGCACCGGCATTCCTTCTACCATTCAAATATCTTCCTCCGTGTCTTTTCGCACCACTACATCATCCCTCTCGTCTACCCAGACCCTCGACCACAGACCAATCCATCTTTTGAAGGTCACTGGTGACCAAGAGCCATACCCTTCAGCCTTTGGACCTCCGCCTCCTTCTCCACCAGCCAGCGTGACGGAATTAGAGCCCTCAATGCGGGAGCCGGTTCTCTTTGATGAGCCAGAGCAAATTCAATCATCATCCAGTTCTTTGCCTCAGTCCGAGTCGCTCAAGCGGTCTATCACCGATGCGAAGCTCTCTTTTCGCACGCCAGAAACGGATTTGAACGGCTCCCTCCCGTCAGACACCTATCTGCAGCCACCCTCCTCGCGACCAACCCGAAGAAATACAACTGGCTCGACCTCGTGGAATGCGCCTCGCACGTCACAACACACACAGTTTGGGTCTCAACCTCATGCAGAAGACCTCGAGGGGGAGCTTGCTTCAGATATTCAACTCCACGCCGAACAAATTAGACGAGAGCGTCAGAGTAAACGGGCCAAGCAACAACAGGAGGCCGAGGCTGCTCTGACGCGCAATGAACGAGCACCGCCAGTCCGTCATGGATCGAAGGACGAAGACAAGGTTCTCGTTGGCAATATCATTGGCGAAGATCATGTCAACTACGTTCTCATGTACAACATGCTAACTGGGATTCGCATCGGAGTCTCGCGTTGTCAGGCCAAAATCAAGCGTCCTCTAACAGACGAAGACTACGTAGCGCGTCACAAGTTCTCATTCGATATGTGCGTTTTCTCCAGTCGGATTCTTGGGTGTCGTCATTCATTCTTTGCAGCGTCGGTAATGAGCTCACGCCATCAGCCAAATACGACTTCAAATTTAAAGATTATGCGCCGTGGGTGTTTCGTGAGTTGCGAGAGGACCTTTTCCATCTGGATCCTGCCGACTACCTGCTCTCTCTCACCTCCAAATACATTCTTTCCGAGCTTGGTTCTCCAGGAAAGTCGGGCTCATTCTTCTATTTTTCGCGCGACTACCGCTTTATCATCAAAACTATTCGTCACTCCGAGCACAAGTTCCTCCTTTCCATCCTTCGGGACTATCATGACCACGTCAAGAACAACCCCCACACACTACTCTCACGATTTTACGGCCTTCACAGAGTCAAATTGCCTCATGGGCGAAAGATCCATTTTGTTATCATGAACAACCTCTTTCCCCCCCCATCGAGACATTCACGAAACCTTCGATCTCAAAGGCAGCACCGTTGGCCGTTTGTATCCAGAGGCAAAGGCGGAACAAAATCCACGTGCCGTCCTCAAAGATTTGAACTGGATCAACCGTGGTAAAATGCTTGAAATTGGACCAGAGAAGCGAGCGTTGCTGACAGAGCAGCTCCGCCGGGACGCCGAATTTCTACGCAAAATCCGCGTCATGGATTATTCGTTGCTGATTGGCATTCATAAAATGGAGCGGGGCAACCGCGACAATGTACGACGGAATACCCTCAAAGTCTTTTCGCCTGATATCACTATGGTCCGTCGTGCAACGTCGACAGCAGTCAAAGGCGGTGTTTCTGCTGAGGCCATAGCAATTCGGCGTGCGATGCGTGAGTCGGATCCCAAACGACTTGGTCATGGAAAAGGAACCATACGGTTGCCGGAAGAAGACACCGGTGATCGGCGTGACTTTTTATTCTATCAAGACGAAGGTGGATTGCGGGCCACAGACGAAACCAACGATGCGATGGACAAGATATACTACCTCGGCGTCATTGACATCCTTACGCCGTATACTTTCGTCAAACAGCTCGAACACTTCTGGAAGGGCCTCAGTGCAGATCGAGTGAGTTTTCCTCGACATGATTCCCCTCACGTGCACTCTAACTGGTTTCATTCTAGCATAAGATTAGTCCTGTTGAGCCAAACGAATACGGGGATCGGTTTTTCGCTTTCATGCGAGCCATCATGCGTGGTGGTGGTGGCGGCGAACGATTCAAACCAGACTTTCGGGCAGATGATGAAAGGGTCAAAACAGAATGACCCCAAACCGCGCAATCTCCATCTTGCATCTAACTTATATTAGTCTAATTTCTACCTACTCTCCTGCGCACTTTCACGCGCCCCACACTCCTTTTTTTCTACCTGTAGACTCTCTACCACCCCACACTCGTTCATTTTTTTTTATTGCCTCATCTATCATGGACTAATTTGTAGTCTATAAATGCATCAACTTGGGTCCTGGGACTTGTGTGACAAGGTTTCAACGCTCTTTAACCCGTTTGCCCAACATGATGTTCGGAGAAGCTATAAGGTATGCATTGTCTGTGTGTTGAGAGCCTCTCGCACACTAACGAGCGAGTAGACCGGGAAACCGCGGAGGGCAGGGGGACTTCAAATGGAGCGATGTTTCTGCTGACAAGGACCGTGAAGTACGTTGTGCCCGAATTCTGGCTGACTCGAGACGTCTGATCCAACCTATGTAGAACTATCTTGGCCATAGTATCAATGCCCCTACTGGCCGCTGGCAGAAGAACAAGGATGTTCATTGGTACAGCAGGGACAAAGATGGCACGGAAGATGAACGGGATGCGGAGATTCGCAAAATCAAGGAAGCAGAGGCAGACGCATTGGCAGTGGCACTCGGGTTTGCACCAGCGACGAAAACGGCGGGTGATGAAGGGGGTAGTTCAGGTGGGGCTCCAGTCGAGGACCCAGACAAAGCGGAGCGTCGACGGAGGAAAGCTGAGCGAAAAGAGGAAAAACGAATGCGAAAGGAACATAAACGACTTGAACGAGAGGCTCGCCGGTCTCGTTCACGCTCTCCAGTCCGCAGGTCAAATCCTACTAGTCATCGGAGAAGTAGGACTCCCCCTGCCCCTCGTCGACGATCTTTTTCACCAGAATACGGAGCAACAGACCGGGAACAAGAAAGGGAAAGAGACCGTAGGAGGTGGGACGCAAATGCCCGTCGACAGCAGCCAGGTTATTCCAGATAAGAGAAATCCTGTACTCTCACCGCCACGGCGATCATAAATTAATTCCGTTTATGATCATCCTCAGTCTTGACGACCAGCATGTGTGTGCCATCTGAACGCGGTGTTGGTCCAGCCTTATATAATATCGACTCCCACTTTGTCTTCTTGGCCGTTCCACCCTCACATTCTTTGCCATGAACGACATCTTTTTGGGAGGAATCGAGGTGGCCATCCTTGTCACTGTCATCCTTTTTGGTATGGTGACAGTTCAGGTACTTGAGCCTCTTCTTCAATCATCTCTTCCAACCACCGCCTTAGGTTTTCGTGTACTACTCCAACTTTCCTGACGACTCGAGAATCATCAAGACTCTGGTACGTCTTCTAGACTGTGATCTATGTTCCTGCACTGACTTATCCCGTCAGCTTGCGATAATTTGGTCCGTGTCTCTTGCTTGAAATGCGTCAGGGTCACTGGTTAACACTCTGCAAAGGGTTATCGAAGCAGGTCACGTTGGTGCTCTATGCTACGGACTCTACACCTGCACTGTCGCCAAATATGGGGTTCCCGATATACCCGTACCCAAAGAAATGTATTCAGCGGCCATCCTTGGCAGCGTCGCCCATCCATTGGTCCAGGCCATCTTCATAGCTCGCATACGTCAGCTCGCCAGTAATTCCGTCAACCGATTCTTCACAGCGGCTGCCTGGGGAGTTTCAGGTTTCAACTTCGGCGCTACGGTCCTCCTTTCCATAAAGATCTTCTCCGTCCAGACCTTGGATCAGTTCGAAGATCAATGGTCTTGGTTTATGCTAGCACGTCTTGCTTCGACTGTTGCGGTCGACTTGATCATATTTGGCGCAATGTTGTATTGCACAGCCCATAGCCACCCTTCAGAGTACGTCCATGTCTTCTGCCTTTTCTCAGCTTCTGAACAACACACGAGTGTGAACCACCTCGACAAACTCGTTTTATTCACCGCCCAAACCGGCCTCTGTCTCGTCATTATGTCGGCCGCGGTGCTTGTAATGTTCTCGTTGCTCAAACACAATCGCAAGTCATCCGACATTTTAGTTTTTCTGATATTAACGCGTTCCTTCTAGATCTGTGGCTAGCTATACTCGCTTTGAGCACAGGAGGTACTTGAATTTCCTTCTGCAGGCCAATGTCAACTTATCCGAGTATCTAGTTTACAGCAACTCGCTGCTCTCCTTGTTGAACGGAAGACTACATCTTGGCTTTAAACCCGACCTGCCCTTCACCATTTCTCTTTCCACTCTGCATAATCAAACATCACCGAGGAACGACTCAATCCCTCCAGCCACTCATTTAAAACCACCCATCCAGACTCCATTGACATCACCAGCATCCCTCAAACCGTCCAGTCTAGTAAGTTCCAACTTCACCGTATCGCATCTCTTCTGACTCTGTCTAGGCACATTCATCCATTCATTTCAGCGCGCAACTAGATTCACCCAAGTCCAAGCACGAGATGGTGTAGCGATATGTAGTTGCGAGTTCCTTTGTAATACCAAAATGTATCGCTATTCTGATTTGCCTTTGTCCCACACTTCCCTCTCCACCTCTGCGCGTTTGCCTGACAGTGCGAGCATGATGCCTTTAGCAATGGTATCAAGCGGACTGAACATCCCGACCCGAGCTTGGTATGATCTATAATGAGGGTATTTGGACAGCGTGATCGCTTCAGTGTACAGAGTCGACGAGAAAAAGAGCGCAGAAAGCGCAATTGACGGGATGAAAGGAATTATAGGCTCGAGGAGGGTGTTCAGATCGAATACTGGCGTCTTTGCGATAGAAATGAAGGTTGCGGCAGTTGGAAGGCTAGGCAAACAAGCAAAGTTCATGATCCACTATGCAGAGTAAGTGACTATATCATTGGCATCCAAGCGATAGACTGACCCAGAACGACTGCTCGCATAGGAAGTTGGGATGCCGGGACCAGGCCCACAGTCCGCGAGTAAGGAATCCGCGTTCAGAGTCGGTCTTCGTCCAGTCAAGCCGCGCGCCGGCCCACATAAAGTGCTCGTGATATCTTCTTGGGGTGTGTTTGAAGGTCTGATACGAATACTGCTGATTATCGGCAGTGAATTCGAGGCCAAGAACCACCAGAGTGAGTGCAATGACAAAGTAGTCGCGGATCTGTAGTGGTTGGGGCGGCTGTGTCGCGGCGATATAAGCAGGGACGCTTAAACCAAGGAGAAGGACGTTTTGGATGAAAGCTACGCTGGGTTAGACAGAAGGGAAATATGTTGAATGTGCAGACGCACAGATGAAAGTAAGGTTGGTGATGTGGAATAGAACTGGATGGAGTTGAGAGCGGAGAACGGCCCAGCGGTAGTCTTCATCCTTCCTGGCAAAGTAAAGGGAGATGAACACGCTCGTGAGCACCAGCTTACAGACTGAACAAGCCACGACGATAGGTGTTGTAACTCAGGCGGAACATCCATGTCAAGATGAGGCCCAGCATCATGAGAGCGCGAGGGTTGAATGCACCAGGTACTATACCCACCGATGAAGGCGTATAAGGTGCAAGGATGAAGGGTTGTTCGTTAGGCCAGAGTGGAAGGAGCGCAAAATATGCCGAGTAAATCTGAGAGAAGTTTCATTAGTCGGAAACATCACTTCACGGCTTACGGTGGGGAGAAAGGTCCAAAGGCGATCCTAGAATTGTACGTGAAGACGCGAAACCGGGGGGAAAAAATAAGAAGCAACCCACGACTTGCGAAACATTTCCCGTTATAATCGAAACAACATATGTAGCAGCACTACTGAACAGACAAAATTCCACCGGCCAACGAAGTGCAGGTGGAATTTGAGCTGGGAGCGTGTCCAACATTGGTCTGAGCAACGGTGTTTGACATGTCGGCAGTCACGCGTTTCGCTTCACTCTACTGTTCCAACTTCCCACAACCACAAATACCGGCAATAGGCGACGGTGGGGTAGTAAGCAATGTGAACTCTTGGTACCTGAGAGTTTCGCGGTACTCCTACGTCGAATTGCGCCATCGGAATTTGGGCACGCCATAATTGTGAACGATCATCTGGGACCTTAAAAGACTGTCAAAGACTAGATTGCTTCTCTCCACAAACTATCATGGCAACTTTCCCAAAGCACGAATACACCCTCCGTCTCGGTAGTCTTGCCCCCAACTTTGACGCTGAAACTACCATCGGCCCAATCAACTTCCACGAATGGCTCGGTGATTCATGGGTGCGTAGCATCTCCCTTATCGTGTTCATCTCGTGCTTAAATCTATTAGGGAATTCTCTTCTCCCATCCTGGCGGTCAGCTCTATTCCCGCTCTCCATGAGATTTCTCAATCTTGACCAGATTTTACTCCTGTCTGCACTACTGAGCTCGGTGAAGTCGCACGTCGTGCCCCCGATTTTGCCAATCGCAATGTCAAAGTCATTGGTATCTCTGCCAATAACCTCGACGACCACAAGAAATGGATCGACGACATCAACTCTTATGGCGGCAAGGTTGGACCCACCGATGTCCAGTTCCCCATCGTATGTTGACCACCACCAAAGTAAAAGGGTCTTCATTTCTAAATAGATCGCCGATGCGGACCGGAAAGTGTCGTATATTTATGACATGTTGGACTATCAGGATGCGACAAACAAGGACCTCAAGGGCTTGCCGTTCACGGTACGCAGAGACATGCCCTTAGTCATCACAACGCGACTAAATTCGATCAGATTCGCACTGTCTTTGTTATCGACCCCAAGAAGGTTATCCGTCTGACGCTTTCTTACCCCGCTGTTGCCGGACGTAACTTTGTGAGTTCAAAAATGTTTAGCAAGACGTTAGCTGACTTTCCAAGGATGAGATCATTCGGGCTGTGGATGCCATCCAGCTTGGAGACAAACATCGGGTTGCAACTGGCGAGTTTGATTTCTGCTTTCCGCGTCTCCATTTCTTATCCTCCTTTTTTTTCAGGTGTGAACTGGAAGCCAGGAGATGACGTTATCGTTCACGCCAGCGTTGGCAAAGAGGAGGCGAAGACTTTGTTCCCCGACCATGTCGAGCATTTGGTATGCTGTCCAGGATCTCCGTTGATCGCGACTGAGTTGACTTTATAGCCTTACCTGCGGACCACCCCTCACCCCAAGTAAATAACTGTAAACTCACTGTATTTTGTACCGATGCAATCAAGTCGCCTATCTAGTATCTCGTTTAAGAATCCAATATCACGTGCCTAGAATTTTTTCTGCCTTGCCAATCATGGCAATTCCTGCTCTCCCTTCCTCGTACACGCCGCCTGCGTCTACCTCCAAGCTTAGTCCGCCTGCTTCTCAGCCCTCTGGAAAACTGCTAGCTGCGGGGCCTGCTTATTTCAGCTATGTTCGGCTTATGCATGAACACGACGGCGACGTTCATGCGGCAAATGCTGCTGCCCGTAAACTCGCGGAAGAGTCTGCTATAGCCAGAGCCAATGGCTCGGCTGATGATGATGATCTGGGAGTCGGTGATGAAAGTGAGGATGAGGCTTTGCTTTCACTCGATCCCAAAGAGTGGAAAAAACAAGACAACTATCGTGTTTTGGGTCTCAGTCATCTTCGCTGGCGCGCTACTCCAGACCAAATCAAGGTTGCACGTACGTGGAATTTTTATTTGGAACATTATCGCGTTATTTATCGCGCGTAAAAAAAGACCGCAAAAAAGTCCTTCGTCACCATCCAGACAAAAAGGCCCAGGACCACACGGCGGCATCGTCGCTCGGCGTCACGTTCAATACCAATGATGATGCGTTCTTCAAGTGCATCCAGAAAGCCCACGAAGTCCTGATGAACCCGGAACGCCGTCGACAATTCGATTCTGTCGACCCACAGTTTATAGAAGAGTCGGAAGATATGCCAACTGAGAAGGATTTCAAGGCAGGCTCTCTTGGGACCGAGCTCTCTGATCTCTGATTAATTTACAGGGAAAAAATGTGCGACCGTTCCTTCCTACATTCGCGCCAATTTTCGAACGCGAATCCCGCTTCTCGCGTGTACAACCCGTCCCTTCTCTTGGGGTGCCCACTGCGGATGGCCAACCCTCTAAGGATCCCAACGATATCGAAGGCCACGAGTTTCCTCAAGTCAAAGCACATGTGGAAGCATTCTACGACTTTTGGTACAACTTTGATTCTTGGCGGAGCTTTGAGTGGCTGGACAAGGAAGTCAACGAGGGTAGCGATGCCCGCGATGATAAGCGCTACACGGAGAAGAAGAACAAGGCCGAGCGCGCTCGCAGAAAGAAGGAAGATATTGCCCGTGTTCGGGGCATCGTTGACTTGTGTCTGAGGTCCGTTCAAGGGACACAGTATCCCAACTGTTATTCATCACCTTTATGCAGTGTCGATCCAAGAATCAAGTATATCAAGCAGCAAGAGAAGGAGGCTCGTGAGGCAAAGAAGGCTGGCGGGAAAAAACCAAATTCACCAGCGGCAGCCAAGAAAGCAGAAGAGGAGGCACAGAAAAAGGCAGAGGCGGAGGCTAAGAAGATAAAAGATGAAGAAGAGGCACTTGCCAAAGCCGAGGCAAAGAAGGCCAAGGCTGCTGCAGCAAATGCCGCCAAAAAGGCCCGTAGAGCAGCTAGAGCTGCTGAGGAAGCGTAAAATAGAACGATTTGAATGAATCGGGTTGGAATGAACATGTGTGCATTGGACATAGTAGAGACGAGAACAACATGATCATGTAGCCATATCGATTTTTTACTCCCTCGGGGCCCCACGTCCAACACCTAGCAGACATATCGCGTCACATCAAGACGAAAAAGAAGAAAAAAAGAAGCAACGTACCCGCAAAGCTTGGGCGGTATTCACCAGGGGCACCACCCTCTTTCTTACGGTAGTCATCGCGGTCACCACCACGAGGGGGACGGTAGGCCCCCTCTCCTCCACCACTCCGAACAGTTGCAGGACGGGGTGGACGCGCTGCTTTTTTGTGGGTGGCAGGGACAATCTCAGCAGGGAGGTGAAGCCTAAAAAGGTTTAAATCAATGGAGCATGGACAAGTAAATGGACCCGTACCATTCGCGGAGGTATTCGACGCCCTCGGGGGTGAGCGTGTAGTAATACCATTGCCATGAAAATTGAGTCTTGACGTAGCCTTTGGAAGTCAGGCTCTGCAGGGCCTTGATAACTTGGAGGTTGGGGACATCAAGCTCTTCGTGTTTCGGCGCGTTGTAATCTTTTTTGGCAACGAGAACGCCCTCTACAAACACGTTAGTGCTATGGCGGTAAGTAATCAAGTGCTCAAACGCACCCTTGAAGAGATTCTCGTAGATTACTCGGCGGTTGTCTTTGGTGATGATCATATTGGGTGTTGCGGCTGAAGAGACGGATGTGCGAGCTGCTTTGGCGTCGCACGAATTCCGAGCTACAGACCGTCATCAGTAAACAAATCTTCGCATCCAGCGCAATAAGAAGTAGATATTGACAGAAAGCACATGTATGGAGTATTGGAGGACAAGGGATACGATAGAAAGACAACTGACCGTTGAGGAGGGCAGCGGCGCTGGTCGATGGGCGATTTGGGAAAGCCTGCAAAAAGTGATGGCAATGAGATGCGACTGATCGTTACGTAAGCGGTTAGTCTCGCTGTTCAGACGGACACGATCACTTGCACGTGCGACGGATGCTCAGATTGGTTCCAAAAAATCTGACTCGCACTCTCAGCTCTTCTTTCATCCGCACAATGGCAACGGAACAAACCAACCTCCAGAAGGACCCAGTAACAGGCGAACTCGTCTCCAAGACGTGCGCAGTCTTTCTGATTGCCCGATCCCAACTAATCGCCAAATAACAGTGAATTAAAGCGTCGGGAAAAAAGCAGACAAAAGGAGGCCGCCAAAGCCAGCAAGCCAGTTGCCCCACAACAGAAATCTAAGCCCTCCGAGGATGACCTCAATCCAAACGTGTGTATACCTCCAACTTCGGTGCTGATTTTTTTTCTGACTTTCTTTCGTTCGCCCAGCAATACTACGAGCTACGATCGCGTCAAATTCTGGCATTAAAGCAGAGTCAATCTCCCAATCCATACCCTCACAAGTTTCACGTCACCAAGTCAATATCTGACTATATCAGCATTTATGGACCTGAAGGAAAAATTGCTGAGGGGACAAAGCTTGATGGTGTTCGAGAGTCGCTTGCTGGTCGTGTGCACAACATCCGAGCCAGTGGGTCCAAGCTGGTATTCTACGATCTCCACGGCGAAGGCCAAAAGGTTCAAATTATGGCCAGTCAGCAAGACGCTGCCGAACCTGATTCATTTACTGCCACCCACGACCTCTTCAAGCGTGGTGATATTGTGGGCGTCACAGGCACTCCTTCACGTACCAAGAAGGGGGAGCTCAGCATTTCTCCGTCTACCATGATACTTCTCTCGCCCAATCTCCATCAACTACCTTCGGCTCATTTCGGTCTCAAGGACCAGGAAACGCGTTACCGCAAGCGTTATCTCGACCTTATTCTCAATGACAACACCCGCCGTCTATTTATTACCCGCAGCAAAATCCTTAATTACATTCGTCGTTTCCTCGACACTCTTGGTTTCATGGAGGTCGAAACGCCGCTTACCTCCTTGTCTGCTGGCGGGGCTACCGCCAAGCCGTTCATCACGCACCACAACGACCTCGACCTCGATTTATACCTGCGGATAGCACCAGAACTCTATCTCAAAGAGCTCGTTGTCGGTGGCCTTGACCGTGTCTACGAAATTGGACGAGTCTTCCGCAATGAGGGCATCGATCTCACTCACAACCCCGAATTCACCATCTGCGAGTTTTATATGGCATATGCAGACATGGAGGATCTTATGGACATCACGGAAGGAATGATCGAGGGACTCGTCAAGTTTCTGACTGGTGGCGAGACAACGATAACCTTCCATCCAGACGGTAATAAGGGCCAAGAAGGTGCAAGAGAAATGGTGTTAGACTTCCAACGGCCATGGAAGCGCTATGACATGATAGAGACGCTGGAGGAAAAGCTTGGTGTCAAGTTCCCTCCAGGAGAGACACTCCATACTGCGGAGACAAATGTTTGGCTTCGTGAGCTATGCGTCAAGGTCAGTGTACCCAAGTCCGGGTTATCACTCGGCTGATGCATTTATAGCACAATGTAGACTGCAGCGAGCCCAGAACGAATGCACGATTGCTGGACAAGGTATGGGATCGTTGCTATTCCAGGCAAATTCACTGATGTTGCTTCTAGCTTGTGGGAGAGTTTATCGAGCCTTTGTGTGTGTCGCCCTCGTTTATTGGTACCGTGCAAAGTTATTTTTTTTCTAATATTCTTCCGGCTGATGTCCTTTAAGTCGGACACCCTCAAGTTATGTCTCCCCTCGCCAAGTGGCATCGCTCCCGTCCAGGTCTTTGCGAGCGCTTCGAAGGTTTTATGTGTGGGAAAGAGTTTTGCAACGCCTACACAGAGTTGAATGATCCATTCGAACAAAGATTGAGATTCGAGGAGCAGGTCTGTCTTTCAACCCCACATACGTGTGGTCAACAAACTGAGCTTTTTTCGTGAACAGGTTCGTCAGAAGGACCAAGGAGATGACGAGGCGCAGGGCGTCGACGAAACCTTCATTGATGCGTGAGTCAATCAGGTTGTCAATGCTTTTCCAACAACTGTGGCAGGCTAGAGCACGGCTTGCCCCCGACAGGTGGATGGGGACTGGGAATCGATCGGCTGGTCATGTTCTTGACCGACTCAAACAGTATGTCTCCTCCCTCTTTTGGTCAGTTTCATTTATAAGGACTAGACATCAAGGAAGTGTTGCTCTTCCCAGCCATGAAGCCCCTCGACACAGCAGCAGCGCCTGTGGACCGGGACCCGGCTGCCGCATCATAAAAGGACAAGAGACGAGATTAGTCATTATAATGCAGTGTGTACGTAGACCAGCGCTATACTCTAAAGATATGCCCTTGCGCTTCTCCGCGCCATCTAAAAAATGAGCCTCAGTGTGCTGGACGTCTTGCTTGATCAATTCTCACCTCTATGACCTTCCAGCCTCCAGTTAATTCGTTATCCAGCTCTTCCTCTATACGCGTCACAGCTGCGACATAGATACATTGCTCAACTTTGTCCTCCGCACCGTCCACAATTTCACCGCTTACGGCGTTACGGAAAAGCAAGATTTCTTGCGTGGAGAAGGAAATAACGAACACAGGGATTTCGTTATCCAAGATCTTGCCCGCGGAAACCTATAGGGTGGATTGAACCTATGAGGTCGTCACGAGGCGGAATAACGCACATCGACCTGCCGAATGTCCAGGACTTTACTATCACTAATAAGCCCATGCTTGAGGTACTGCTCCATGGTCGCCCATAACACGTTGTAAGTCTGCAGAAATGAGTAGCATTCGCGAAGGTCAAGGTGAAACCCACAGCTTCCCCACACCAGGCCTTGAGAGAAGCCTGGTCTGCGGACAAGTAGGCATCCACGACTTCTGGAACAATATATTCGCGAAGTTCGCGGTCGAAATTCTCCCTTGTGAAGTGTGGGTCCATATTTTTCATCAGTCGCATCACTTGTGCAGTCTCATTCTCCTCGAACCATGAGCCCACCGTGTCGGTTACGCTTCGCATCGAGACGACGACTGGATTCTCGGACTCGTCAAAGGCTTGTCGCATTGAGGCAATCGTCTTGAAGATGGGATTAGTCTCTTTTAGACGATTCCACTTTTCCTGTCTGGGAGAGTCCTTATGAAGAACCACGGCTGAACCCGCTCTGAAGTGTCTCTCTTCAACACTAAAAAACTGTGTCAAAAAGAGTCACGCACTCTGGATTGGCCATTACTTTTGCTGAAGGGCCACGCGCAATCCCAGCTTTGGCCAGTCGTCTCTGACGACGCAGTCTCCTTGCCTCTCGTTCTTCAAAACCAGCATGTTTTGCGCTACCACTATCATCCAAAGCATCGACCAAAGTCTCTGACAGAGCTTTATATGCCGCCGTATTGCGAATTGGCTCAGTGGACTTCTCTATTGAAGCGGAGACGGCTGCTGAGGCTTTAGAAATCTGAGGGAGGAATGAAACGATTAGTTGCGTGTGCTGGTTAAGCTTACTCACGGCGCGCATTAGCTCGCTCTCTTCCATCGTTTTGAGGGCTTCAGACACGGCATCGCCGACCTTGACACCAGTTTTTTTCAGTTCCTCCGCAGCGGCGCGTAATCGAGGATTCTCTTTTATACTCGAAGTCAGCTGTGGACGAGATGTCATAACTAATTCTGTCGAGTAAAATGAGCAATTCCACTTACACGAGCCCGTTCATATGCTGCTCTGGCACGCTTCATTGTCTCGGAGTCTTGCAATTTGTCCACGTCGCCTTGCAATTGCTTGACATTTTCCTGGAGTTCCCGGTTTTTTCGCAGCTCATCGCGAAGGACGTCAACAAACGTCTGGAAGGGTGATTTTGGGAGCTCATTTCGTAGTACAGAGGCGGAATGAAACGCATTAGTCGCGATGGGACGACGAATGGCCCTTGAAAGTTGAAGCATACAAGAAATTTCCCGTTCCGACGTGACGTCACGCTTTGGCAAAATAGGTATTTATGTAGCTAAGTAGTCTACAGAACTGAGATATTTCGAAGGAACTCGTCCAGTAGCTGTACAAAGTCAGATAGCTAAAAGGAAGGCTTACACCCACTTACAAGATCAGTTTCCTCAAAAAGCTTGAAGCTATTCGCATATCCGCTCCGAATGCGGGGGTGCAAACTGCTTAGGTCCAATTCTCGACCAAAGATCATTTCTTCGATAGGATGTTGCTTTCCATGGACTTGACGAGGGTGGGACTGAGAAGCACGCAACTCAATAATCGACATCATATGAGAAAGTCCAAAATCGTCTCGAGGGAGGAAAAGTTTGACTGCTGGAGTTTGGGGCGGTAAAGATGCTATTGTAGAGAGTTGAGGTGGCGCATGCCTGTCGGTCAAGGGCGTTTCGAGCAATGGTGAAGTGTTCCTATCCGACTCCCTTTCTAGCGACTTGAGTGGTTGCTGGCGTTCGCTGATTTCTGGTCCTGGTCCATGGGCAGATTGTGTCGAGGTTGAGAGGATGGCTTGCTGATTAGCACGTGTCATTTTGCGTTGGGCCACAATTAGCTCCTGACGTGACATGCCCATACTTGCTAGGTTTGGAGGTGCCGATTCAACACTGGTGGCAGAGGTTGTACTAGCCACCGAGTTGCGATATAGTTTAGCCAGGGCGATCTCGTCAAGAGCGCCAGAGATGCTGTGCCTGGACGCTGTCGAAATTCGATAAGACGTTGCTCGACGAAGAATGAACATAGGATCAGCGGGGGTCAAGATCTGCGAAGATTCGAGCCCGCCGGCGTTCGTTCTCGGTACGGGTTGCGGCAGAGCGTCAATGATTCTACTAGACGGCCCAAGTTCACGTTCTAGGACTGTTGAATGACGGCGAAAACGGGGGGGTAGAACAAGTACCTTTTCCATTCCCATCGTCAATATTGAGCCTATATCTTACATGTAGTAGACCCTTCTTCTGAGAAATCTTGTCCTCCACTTCGTCGCCGCCATCAACGACACCCGATTCGATTCCCAGTCGCTCAAGGCTCGACTCGATGACGTCTGTCACCGTAGAATTGACAGGAAAAGTAAAAATATTTCGTTTTTTTGTTTGAGAGACATGCCGAGCGCTAGTGTTTGAAGAACCTATCAGATTTAGTGGATTTTTATAGATAATTGCCTCCGTGAGTGGGTCGAAAATCATGCCATCAGGGAGATCCGTAGAATAGATTGTCAGTTGTAGTGCGAAGTGCGTATCTGGTGGAACAGAAGCGTGCGCGTTTACGACTGGTTCATCCGGAATCTTCCGATCAAGGTAGAATTTGCCAGCAGAATCATCGGTGAAGTCGCTGGAAAGGATGCTTGTTAGAGAGCCAATACTACCGATGCTGCTCCTCTTGTTGATTCGACCATCCACCAAGCCCTCAAAAACTATGAGTGGTCGCTCATCAGCTCCAAGGACGGTGGTGGTGCCATCAACGCGTTTAACGGTCAACTGGTAATCCTGGGGGTCAACGTGGTCCAGGCGGAAGCGGTTGACAGCCTGTTTGATTAGCTCTTCAGAAGTAGTTGACAAGTTAATAAGCGCAGTTTTGAACGTCGCTATTGTCTCTACTTGGAGAGTAGGTCCAGCAAAAACGCGAATTACACTGAGCTCTGGAACGCCGGTACCATCTCCAGTTGATTGGACGAGGACAAGAGAACCGGGACGAGAACGAGGGGTGACAAGAGAGCTTAATAATGAAGTTGGAGGGGAGCTCCCCACATTGGCGATGATATTAGGCTGTTGGACTTGCGCTTTGAGGGAGGAAGGCCTGAGGGATTGCAAAGTATGTTCTTCTTCCCGTTGAAGTGGTTGAGAAGTGGTGGATGCTTGGAGCGAGGTGGCTTGATTTCGTAGGCTGGAAGGTTGTTGTTGTGGTCGAGGTTTAGCGGCGAGCGGCGTGTCAACTGATCCAGAGCTGCTTGTCGATTGTCGCACAGAAGAATCGTCCGAGAATCTACCCCCAACCTCGCTCTCAGAGCTCGAAGAACTCTTGCCTTTCTCTTTGGCATTTCTTCTCGAAAATAGTCCGAAAACGCTGTTCCCCTTCTTCTTTTTAGCATCTCTGTCATCGTCACTCGCTGAATTGCGGTCTTTTCTCAGCTTCCCAGCAGCAGGGGAGCTGCTGGCTGTCAGTGTTTGTGTAGAGGGAGCCGATACAACGACTGTCGGAGTTACAATCTCCGCTCCTGTGGACGTGCTGCCTTCCATCGGTATAGGTGCCTGCTCTCTGGCGTGGTATTCACTGTCCCCATCTACCAACATGACGCGGATGTCCGGAGAGACGGCGGCTGACGAAGGCACCTTCGGTGACTCTACGGTTTTCAGTGTTTGTGCTGATTCGCGATCCCGCCTCTCTTTGTGAGTATCTTTACCCATTGCCGGTGCGTCCGCTTGAGGGACAAGAATTGACTGAGAAACGGGCGCCGGCTGGTGAGGATTCTGGGCTGATTTCGTCATCATAGCCTTCTTCTCTGCTGCAAGCTCTTGATCTTCCGCCTCGTAGTTTCCGACATCCCATTCCCCTTCTTCGTGGTCTTGGTCATCGTCAAATGCGAGGAGGTCATACTCATAATCACTACTATCAGTGATAGTGGCAGCTCGCCATTCTTCTCGTTCGATTAACCACTCGTCGAGAGCCCAAACAGCAGGCGGGTAGCGGTGCACTTGAAGGGAGCAGGAGAAGGCAAGGGATTGGCTCGAGTCCAATGGGTTTCTAACAGTATTCACACTCTTTCCGGGAATAAGTGGCGATGGTGATTCAGACCGCCTCAAGATGTCCCGAACGTGAGCAGCAGAGATGCTGAGGTCAGATTGAAGCTCGTCGTGAGTTGCAGAGGTTAGCTGTTGGACCGATATTGAATGCCATTATTTGCGTATTGTCTCACCTACGTCAACATTGCGGTGTTTGTTGAGGCGCGCTAGTCGTTCCAGCGGTGTTTCAATGTTTTCGGCGGGAATATACCCTACTTCTTGAGTCTTCAGCACCCTTACAAGCCACCAGTACGAGTTAGACGAGTCAATCTAACGTTCAAGTCTATAAGTTTGTCACTACACACGCAAGGTCCTACCAGAAAGAGACTGTCTCCCTTTGTGACATTTGCTTGTCCTGAAAACGATTCTCAGTAAATGGCAGTGAGTAGAGTAATAGGACTTGCCATCTACATCGGCTGGGAAGGAATGCAGTGCGTAAACAAGATTAAAATCGATACTCTCGTTGGGGATGGACAATGATGAGGAATCCGATTCCACCTCACCCAACTCGTCACCCTCTAGATCCATATCCAACGCGGAATCGGAGTCGTAGCCAATTTCCTTGTCGACGTCATCGTCGTGAGTTTGCATGCGGATGAGGAATGGGGTCAACAGCCAACAGCAGTTGGATTACACTCACGCACCGCCAGTGCTCATCTGACAGCCGCTCTTTCACCGGTGAGAATGCCGCCCGGTAACTTTAGGCAGGTCACGACCTGCAGGAAAGGGTGTGCATATCAAGTGCAGAATTTTACACGCGCACGTGATGTTGTCGACAAGCACAGTGTAAGACGAGGTGGTCGGGCCAACCTGGTCGCACGGTCGTTCGATGGTGTGGAACCATAGATTTGGTTTTGGACCGGTTTGGGGCGTAGCCGCGGCAAAGCGCGATCTAATCTTCAGAATCTCCCGGGCCGTCACCTTTCGCTTTCCCCTCATAGCACATTAGACGATGGCGATCTTTTTAGTCAGTCGGCATTTCAACATTCAACTTTACATCCGAGTCTCAGACACTCCGCATATATAAGCACTTGTAGCGGCAGTCTTAGTTTGCTCCGCTTCCCTTCATCTTCTCCGCGAGTTGTGTCTGATCTTGTCTTTCTCTTCTGCTCGCCACCATGAGTCCTCAAAACCAGTTTCTAAGGGAGTATAAGGTGAGCTTGTTACTGGACTGTGCGTTACTATTACGGAGCGAAACCCCAGATTGTCGTGGTGGGCGGGGGTGGTACGTTGGCCTGCTTCGCTGCTGACATCGACCTAAACCTCACGTTAACAAGGCGTTGGGAAGAGTGCTCTCACCATCCAATTCATTCAAGGTACGCCTCGCCTTTCTCCATCTTGAAACGAGGAACTAATTTTTGAACAGAACACTTCGTCGATGAGTCGGTCTTCCTACTGGTATCCCTGACGCAATAATTGACCCTAGTCAGATATGACCCCACTATCGAAGGTGATTTTAGTCGCCGTTATTCGCAACTATCGCTCATTTGAATCAGACTCCTACCGGAAACAATGCGTGATTGACGACGAGGTGGCATTACTCGATGTTCTTGATACGGCAGGACAAGAGGAATATGGGCGAGTCCCTAATCAAATGCGACCTGCAAACAAAACTCACCAGATCCTTATTTCAGGGCCATGCGTGAACAATACATGCGAACTGGCGAAGGCTTTCTTCTCGTCTATTCGATCACCTCGCGCGATTCCTTTGAAGAAATCAGCACATACTATCAGCAAATTCTGCGCGTTAAAGACGTCGACAATTTCCCGGTTGTCGTTGTTGCCAATAAATGTGATTTGGAGTACGAACGCCAGGTTGGGATGAATGGTGGGTCCAACAACTCTCTCTTCCGATGACTTAAACCTTACGCAAGCCAGAGGGTCGAGACTTGGCCAAACATTTTGGATGCAGATTTATTGAAGCATCGGCAAAACAACGCGTTAATGTGGATGAGGCCTTTTCGAATGTGGTGCGCGAGATCAGGAAGTACAACAAGGTGCGAAGCCATCTCATTTGTTCTGATGATGGCCTTGACGAATAGTATAGGGCAGTACTACAGCCCGGTCTGGCGGTGGTACTGGGCCGAATGGGAGCGAACCGGTGCAAGGAGACAGTGAAGACGCAGGTTGCTGCAGTTGTGTTATCTTGTGAGTATTGTAGAGTGCAGCAGACAATGGCAAAGTTTTGTTGGGTGCAGCATGATGATGTGAAGATCAAGGGGTGTCACGCAAAGTGTGTGCAGCTTTCTCCTCCACCCATCACTCAACCCCGCCTCTCCGTTCGCTCCCTTTCCAAAAAATGACCAGTCGCGCTCAATTTCTGCGGTAAGGGGCAATGATATTCTTCGTCTATTAGACAAGAACTTGACTTTGGCAGGGAATATAAGCTTGTCGTTGTTGGCGGAGGAGGTGGGCTCATCTTGGAGTGCATCACTAGAATTTGACTGAGCTTGACCAGGTGTTGGCAAGAGTGCTCTAACAATTCAATTCATCCAATCACACTTTGTGGTTGAATACGATCCCACCATTGAAGACTCGTACCGCAAACAATGTGTGATTGACGACGAAGTGGCACTTTTGGATGTTCTGGACACCGCTGGGCAGGAGGAATATGGGGCCATGCGAGAGCAGTACATGCGCTCTGGCGAAGGCTTCCTCCTTGTTTACTCCATTACTTCCCGCGACTCGTTTGAAGAAATCAGCACGTTCCATCAACAAATTCTCCGCGTCAAGGATGTCGATTCCTTCCCAGTCATTGTCGTCGCGAACAAGTGTGACCTGGAGTATGAGCGTCAGGTTGGCATGAATGGTATGTCTTCTACCCTCTCCCCTTGACTTGGACTGAAAACTTTGCTAGAGGGTCGTGATCTTTCCAAGCATTTCGGATGCAAGTTCATCGAGACATCGGCTAAGCAACGCATCAACGTCGACGAGGCATTCACTAATCTAGTTCGCGAAATTCGGAAATACAACCAGGTCCGTGGTTTCCCAATGAGCTCTATGAATTTCCTATGCCAACATAATGCTTCAGGAGCAGAAGACAGGCCGTCCAATGATGCCAGGCGGTGGCCCTACAACAAACCAGTATGGCGCAGCAGACCCGAGTGAGCAGCATTCTGGTGGTTGCTGCAGCGGATGTGTCGTGCTTTAGTCGACACCCCATCGTTCCCTACCACTCTCCTCACTATCGTTTACCTTTCTCTCTCCCATCATCTCTGGAAAATACATTATTTTTGCATAGATTTCGTGACTGCTTAGACTATGGTGACTGAGGTATATTGGGTCCAGGACTGTCTGGCACACAACCCTCATGATCAGCAACAACCCAAATGGAATCGACCCCCAGTTCGTACGGGCCAGAGGCATGGTGACGACCGCCGAGAACTGAAATCCCAATCGTCAACAAGCTTTCCTTGTCGATGTTTTCGCGGACAGAAGGTTGCTCTCCGATGGTGAAATATTCAAAGTCATCGAAAGGTAACTGCGAAATGGGGGAATTAGTCTGGGATGCTAGGAGAAATGAATGTGCGGCCCACATAGACGGTCTCCCAGTCGTTGTCCTGTCTACGAATAGGGAGCCGTTGCTGCCACAAAGACTTATGTTGCATCCCATCGAGGGTCTGGATGTTCACGAAGTAACAACCGTGTAGAATTGGGTCGCCTGCGGCTCTGACCCGCAGTGCAAGATAGTCGTAGAAATAGACATTGTCTGTTATCTTGCCAAACAGAGTAGACCGTACCGGCGTTTTGAAGCCTGCATAGCCCGTGTTGATTCGTCCTCGTAATTCAGGTCGAATGATGTCAAGACTGAGATGACCATGAAACTTGGCTGTTGGTCGGCCAATCTGCTCGTCTTGACTACTTTGGTCAAGGGTAAAGTTGACCGAGGATCGTCCACCAATGTCAGCGTCACTTCCCAGTACAGCTTCAGAGACTTGGAGGGGGGTGTTGAATGAGTAGAGCAGACGAGGAGCACGCGAAGGCAACTCGGCGCCCTCCATCCGTATTACTAAGAGTCTCAACCAACTGGCTCTTCTGCAAACAACGGGGCATACTTCGGCGCGATTGGTCTTGGAATGCATTCCGTGTGCGACGCCAGAACGTTGTCCAACGACTGTTGGCCATACTGATGAAGAAAGTTATGAGCGTGACAACACGCGTCATGAAGTGACTGTTCAAATGTCCTTTCACTGTGGCTAGACAGTGTAACTAGCTAGTTAAGTAAGAAAAATACATCGTAAGAAGGCGAAGTAAAAGCAATCCCGCGCTTTCAGGTCATGATCTAGCATCATCAGAACTTCGGTGGACGCGGCTCGGGAGTGGACAAGCGCATTGACCGAGAGTCGCTTGTCCGTTCCAAACGTTGTCCCGTTGTGTGGGCAGACCGACTGCGGTTGATTTCAGCGGATCCTCCTCGAGAGGGAAGGTCATCAGCGCTTGGAATGGCAGGAATTGGATAGTTATTTCCCACTGCACTAACAAGACCGTGAGGCATATACCCCTCGGGTCTGTCTTCTGGTGTCGAGCTGTAGCGAACTTCAAGTGACCCGTGTGGACTGTCTGGCTCAGACATCAGGACCGCCCGGCTTGCAGTTACTTGTCGTTTCACGGGACGAGGGGGGGCCGGGAGACTGTGCATAGGAGATTGCTGCTGAGGTGGAAGTGGCCGTGTAGACCGGACACGCGTAGGCACTCCGCTGACATTGGACTCATTTAAGAGCAGCGATGATAATCGAGTTGGTTCCCCGCTGGATCCGCCATATTCGTAGAAGCTGGGTGTGGTTGAAAGGTTACTCCGCTGGGAATCTGTACGATTATGGGTGCTTCCAGCATAGTCGCCTTGACTGCGATCTTGGATTCGGGCAGCGAGGGGCGGAGGTTGGAGTCTGAATGGCATGGCAGTGTTTTCAGATGGAGCTGGCTGGACCTGGTTGAAACTGTTGAGCGACGCTGGGCGCGATGACTTTTCGGAGAACGAGGTGGTAGTTCGATATAGGTTGTCCCCTGCTGCAATCATGGGAGGCATGACCGATCGCGAGCCACTGACGCGAGACTCCAAGTCCTTCTGGCTAGTTTCACGCGCATCAAAAGCAGGGCCGAGAACACGAAATGTGTTGTATAGTGTGAGAACGTTAGCGACACCTAAAGAGTCAGCTCCTAGTCTCAAACTCCCCTTGATCATACTCACCGAGTGTGAACCAACAAACATAGGCAACAACAAGCAAAGGGAACGGGCAGGTCCGACCAGATAAGTCGATAAGACGCGTCACTGAATATGGCACAAGGAAAACGATGTACGCTGGATCAAGAGTGAAAAAAGTCGAGACCACATCAAGACTGGCACGTACCGATTGGAAACCTTTTATTGATCAGCTTACGATGTGAGTAGTTATTGTAACATACCATAGCATACTTCGAGCAATGCGGGCGACGAACCGATGATAGTTCTGGATATTGCCGGCCCATCGTTCGTTTGGATCGAGAGAGAGCTTCAGTCCACCTCTCAAAACCAGAGTCCCGCGGAGAGCCAAAAAGATCAACGAAAATAGCAATGCGGAGACGAATGAGGCAAGGAGGATCTGCGTGGTCAGTCAAGGAAGAACACAGTCTAACTAAGTATACTTACCGGTAGCAGGTGGAAGAAGAACATATTTTTAGGGTACACTTTTCTGATGCCACAACTCAAACCGGATATTCCATACGGGGCACCATTGTCCAATTTTTGGATCAGCGGTGCAGCAGCTGTGAGTCCAAGTAAGTCGGGGCTGGCTTTAAAAAAGCGGATGAACCAACCAAGTACAGACGCAACAAGCCACCCTAGAATAATTGTAATCGCACATATGAGCGTGGATTGACGCCTAGCCAGGACCAGCGAGTTCAAGGTATGGATTCCAATGGCCAGCATGAAGTACGCATTGGCGAAATTACCGACTTGCATCAGGATGGCTATGAAAATTAGTGGGCATCTTGTGCATGTGCTAAAAACGCTGTGACGCACCTTGGGTTGTGCAGGACATTCCTTCCTCGATCCCACCCTTCAATAACTGCTCAAGACCCATAAGACCCGCAGCACCAGAAACCAGGTTCGCAATTAGCAAACACGCAGCATAGTTTCCCAACTGCGTGTTGAAAAAGATGTATTCGCGAGACTGGGGACTCGAGTCGGATGAGAGGTAACGTCTGATTGCAAGGTAGATGACACGGAAGGCGACAGTGAAAAGGGCCAAGGTTGATAGGATGGCGAAAGCATTGACAATCTTGACAGTGTTAACTAAGGAATGAGCTCTATGTAAAGAAAGCCTTACGATTGCTCCAGGAACTTCTTGAGGGGTAAATCGGAGGAATTCAGATGATGATGACATGAGTAAAATTAGGGGGAAAAGGATAGGCCTCCAGCGGCGGTATTTGCAGGCTCTACTAGAGACTGTGTGGATCCCGACCCAGACTAGAACGAAAGAAAGAAGAAGAAATAGAAAGAAACGGGGAAAGGACAGTGAGAGGAGAGAACAGATTGCTTTGGACAACTGCCACCGTCCGTCATCAAGCTCCCAACCCCATCAATTGATTAAACGCGTACATCTGATGCTGACTAGATTATATGGTCCGATTGAAGAATTTCGCAATGCCCTGTGGCGACGACTCCGGAGTACTTTTCTTCTTTTTCTTTTTCTTCTTCGGTGGAGAGGAGGGAGCATCATGGTTATCCTGATTCTTAGATAAGTCGAGCGCAACATGGAAATCGTCATGTTCCATTTTGAGTGACATCAAGGCAGATTCGCGCTCTGGTTCTGACCGCGTTGCAGAGGGAGGGAGGGAAGCCTTATACCCGCAACGTCCACATACAAAATGATTTCCTCGAAAATGAACCTCGTCATCCCGGCTCCGTTTGGAAACGGGTTTGTTGTTGAAGAAGGTGTCAATTCCAGCGAGCCCAGTTTCAACGCCTTCGATACCCGTGAATGCAAGTGAAACGCTGGTGACTTTTATTGGCCCGTGTGGGTTGACAAGCTCTCGCCACAGACGATCAGCTGCATTCGCAATAACGTCAACCGTCACATCTCGAACAAACGGCCATGGTGCTTGCTTTGAGCGACGTCCATCTCCTGCACAAGGTCAGCAGCGTTAACTTTCAATTGTTGATCATAGTACGACCCAGGAGATTCCGAGCATGCAACACAATGGTTTTCGGCCACAAGTTAGGTGTTGTTTGCCTTGCTTCATTCAATCGCAGTGCGAGTTCAGCAGACAGCATGCGAATCCACTGGTATCCGTCCGATAGCTTTGTGATTGGCTCTGGAAGATTCTTCGCCGCTAGCATTGATTTATTCAATGCTGTCTTCTCTTTTACTACGCAAAGCAAGTCAATTGGTGGAAGGAAAAATCGATCACGGGAGTTCAAAACCTTCCGAGTAGTCTATTCCTCTGAAGTTGGGTGAAAAAATTGGTCAAAAGGCGCTATTTGATTACCTGATCACTTGGTATACCCATATTGAACTCTCGCCGAATCGCTGTTGTATAGTTTCTGAGAAATTATTGAGAACGGATACTACTGCGGGAGGACACAAACAGCTTGCCTAGCGGTATTCGTCTCGACGGTGGTCAGCATGCAGTGCTAAAGTGGGTTGAATAACTACACACAAAAGATCTGCCACGGTCGACACGTCATACTCGTCGGCGAGGGCAAGGCCCAATTTACCGCCGAGAAAACGGATCTTCTGGAACTGGAGCGGCAGAATATAGTGGGGAATAGCGTCGTTTTGCAAGATGGTCTACCATGCGTCTGTCAGACACGAGATTGGACAATGGAAGAAAGCACCTGGCCCATGGGTTTGCGATGCGATGCGCACAGCTGCTTCGTTTCATCCATGTTCGTCGATGGAAGGAAAGTATACCTTGGCTAAAAATTTGTTCCTTGCTATGCCCTGAGGAAGGCCTTAGTGAGGAAATAAAAAATCCAAAGTCATACCGCAGAAGTAGTGTAATTCAACTTGCCACTGATCTTCGTTCTCACATCATGCATCAGCTCTGCTCCAATAGAAAGCGCTATGTCGTGCCAAGTTGTAGGCTTTTCTTCGACAGGGGGTTCAAGGGATGGAGTGATTGGGATGATGGTACTCATTTCATGCCACATCGAATCTTGTGGTGGTGAAGGTAATGGCGTATCTGGGCCTAGTGGAGCGTCTTCAGGTACTTGGCCGAGGTAGGGGTAACGATGAAGCAGAATTTGGCGAACAGGACGCGTCAAGTCAAAGAATGCCTCATCGATGCTGGCCTTCTCTGTTGAAGTTCGTCGTGCGCCATGCGAAGATAAAGTGTGTCGTACCAATCTCTGTGTTTTCCGGTAAACCCTCCTTGTACATATCTAAGCGGTATCATAACTGCCGAAAGTAACTGGAAGGAGAGGAAACGCACGCAAAATCTTAATGGACTCTCGTCTATAGAAATCGAGGGAAACCTAGGTATTTTTTTTGGGAGTTTACTGTTTTAGCACTTCGAAAGACTGCCACCGACCTTGTGAGTTCGCGTGTCAGGGTTCTCCCAATAGCCTGGTTCCTCTTCTCCTTCCTTATAGGTAGCTACGTGCACAACGATGAGCTCTGGACATCGTTCCTTTGCTTCCTTCAAAGACATCATTCTTGTTATTCCGTATTTCCGCGCGATATAATTAACGGCAATGAGAAGGGTCCACTGCAAAACGACGAGCGGTTTGTCGAAGATATTCAGTCTCGCCATCTCGCACCCAGCGTAGAAAGCATCAGAGTCGCAGAGGGCGATAACGCGCAAAGGATCTCGTGTTCCAAGATTTCCGCTGAGAATTGTTCGATAAGTGAGAGCAGGTGAAAGGTCATTGAAGTCGATGGCAGGGGGGATCGCCTTCGCTTTGCCTTTGAAGAGAGCAGTGCCAGTAGATGTGGAGTTCGGAGGAACGGTCGCAGACATAAGTAACATCCGAGCATCATGTGACCTCAAATCAATTCTATGTTACGGTGTTGCCAATCCTCTTTTAGCCTCCGCTCGACCAAACGATTCAGATCTTGGGCTTTCAACACGGCTATATCAACGAGGCGTAATAATTCTTCCAAAGCCAGAGGCACACCACCAAACTTTTGTACAACACACAATTCTTTCTGGGCGTTCAATGCAACTGACATCAGTCCAGAATTGAGTCGTTGCTCAAGCTGCGACGGATCCAGGACAGGTGGGACTTGCGAGTCTGGAAAGAAGGCGAACGTGAAACAGAATGGGGTGTGATTCATGGCAAGTGGTATCGGAGCGCGCTCTGACGCTGGATACTGGGAAATGCGGTTAAAGTCAGCAACTTCATCAGAAAACACCCTCACTATTGTCACGTCTTCTCCAATTACTTCAACGTCGGGTATTCGATATTGTTTGAGAGCAACAATACCAGCGAGACAAGCACAATCGAGCATATTACCAGCATCGGAGAGACAATGGATGGTCACTTTTAGGTGCCATACCTATCATCTGAGTGAAAAAAAGAAAAACTTGGTAAGAAGCGCAGTACCCTTTGCCCTGCGATAACACACAAGGATTCCTTGTCCAGAACGTCACTTCGTCGCAGAACTTTGTCTAGCATGCGTGTTATGGTGATTTCTTCTTCCGAAGCTCTTGGCTGGGGATCAACGACTATCGAGCGAGACTCACACCTACTTACCTACCAAGGGTTTCGTATTCAGCAGAAGCCATAGGCGAAAGTTCAGAGTAGATCGACACAATGCCTTCAAAAGGCCTTTCTGGCGTTGGTTTTGCCATTTTGGCTTCAACTTGAGCAATTACTCTGGGATGCGTGAAGGAATAAACATTTCAAAACAAAAAAACAAGCCCGACCGTGTTTTTCCAAAAGCGCATTCGACGTATCCAAGTTCTGGTCCAAATCTCAGTTCAGGGATGCGCATTTCGAGCGGTAGACGTCCATCAATGCGGAGAGATTGTTTCAGTGCAGAGAAGAGAAAGTCTTTCTCTGGGATTGACGGAGATGGGGGTCTCATGAAGTCAAGGTCACACTTCCTTATATAAGAACGCAAACTTGTTCAGACCATCCAATGGTTCGCCTGATTACGCACAACCTCCTTGCGTGTCACGCCAAAGGTTGCACCTCCAACAACTTTCCTTTACAGTTCAAGGATGTGCAAATCGTTGTCCGCGAAAGCGAATTCAATCCCGATTTCTTGCGAGGATTCATACCAAAAATAGAGTGGCCCGCACTTGTTTCTTCGTCCAGAGAGGTACTTGATTTGCAAGTCTTTATTTCTAGCTTTCAACCACTCAATACAGCTTGGGGACACTTCCTTATCCGATCAATTACCCGAGATGTTGGACGACGCTTTCTTGAAAACGCTCCATCGCGTATTGTTCGAGGTACGATTACTTCCTTACCTCTGCTGATTGTAACTCGCTTCATTTGGCCTAGATACACGTTGAGGAAGGTGTCATGATTTGCCCGAATTGCAGTCATCACTATCCCATCTCGAACGGCATCCCAAATATGGCAAGTTCTGTTACCTTATTAATACGAGGCCTGCCTTACCTTGCTAGCTCTTGGCTGAACATGAAATTGGCTAACGATCTAAAAATTTCGTGACCGAATTCACCCAGTTTTACTTTTCTGTTGATTCTACATCATTTACATGACCAAATTGTCGTCTTTAAGTGCTTATCTTGAGGACTGAGGGTGGGTAATATGATGAGGAAGAGTAGACTCTTTTATGGTATGCCTTCGGTATATCCATTCATGGGTACAATTACACTCAATGCGCCTCCACTTAACCGCTGATAACTTTGCCAATAGCCTCGCCTTCAGTGACCTTGTTGTTCCATGGGCCCGCATCCGACAGAGAGCAGCCACCGGGACAAGAGCATTTCCCACCAAATTCTGTCGGCAGATTTTCCGCATCGATCTGCGCAAGGAGCTTGTCCTTGTACCCACTGCCGATAATGTCAATCTTCTTTACAGTCACTTCATCGAGCCAAGGTTTAATAAGCGAAAAGACAGCGGAGAAGGCCCATGGCGCGTTGATGATGTAGAATTTACCCATCGTTTCGGGGTAATAATTCTGTCCAATGTTCGACGCCTCCATCACGTAGTCCTTAGGAGGAGGTGGGTAAGTATTCGTGAACGGAGCAAGTACGAAAGCTACCTTGACACGATAGAAGTTTGACATGGAAACATTGTGAAGATCGAGGATAGTGCAGGACGTTTCAACTGGATGGCCTGCTGCCTTTGAGCAGGCAGGGAGTCGCTCGGTGATAAACTTCTCATACTCGAAAACCAGACGCTTAATCTGCCGTTCCTGTGTTGTGACAGCATATAGGGCTTTGAGATCAAGTTGGCCCAATCGTTCAATATAGATAGGTCGCCCTTCCTGGTCATAAAGGCTCGTTGGTTGTTGGTGGGCAACGGCTTAAGACAAACCTTGTCAGATTTATGATAGTATTGAGGATAATACTTGTCAACTTCAGCTAGTTCGTCAAATGTAAAGTTCCTAGACAAAGATGAGAAACGATAGTAAAATAACGACCACTCACTGAGCGATGTCGTTAACCTCGGTTTTCTTCCGCCAGTTCTCGGCCGCGATGAACATCTCCTTGGCCTTGACGAGGTCAAACTTGCGAGCACGCAGAAACCTGAGCTATTGATTGAGTTGGATGCTCCGCACCTCTCCGCCAAGCAACACCCACCGGAGCAATGTCGCATCATCCATCCGGGGGTTGGTCTCGTCGTAAAAACCTTCATCCTTCAACTCCTTCTTGAATTTGTCGAGTGTGTGCTGCTGAGGAACGGTAAGGTTTCCGAGCCGACCGGGCGGTGGTCGGTAGTTCTCATCAGTGATTCCAGCGGGAAGAGCACTGGCACTGGCTGCGACAGTAGCCATGGCAGATAGAAACTCAATATAGTGAGGTTCTGAGATCTGAGTGGTGAAGTGGTGAGGAGAGGTGAGGAGTGAGTTCCGTGACAGAGTCACGCTTCAATCGACTCTCAAACTCCTTCCAACCAACTTCCAACTCTCTCTGCTATGGCTCGACGCAAACATTTTATCGATGACGGGGATGATTCGGACGCGTCTATGTCTGGTCATGACGATCTTGATCTAACTGAAGACTCGGATGCACGCGCAGCACGACAGCTATTCGAGAATCCCTACCAGCGCAAACGAAGACGGGTTAGTGACGAAGATGAGGACGGCCTTGAGGCTGACCTCGCGCCACGTAGAAATACAGGCAAGAAAAGTGGCTGGGCATCAGCGCCCTCTTTTGTTTCAACCCGAGATTCGGAAATGGACTCAGAACCGCGACCAGATAACGAGAGCGAAACCGATTCTGGCAACGACGACGAAGAGCCTCCGGAACCCTTTGAGGGGATGGAAGACGAAGACATAGCCTCATCACCGCCTTTAGTCCTCGGCTTGAACCGCGGAATTGGCTCCAAGGGTGGCATTGGCTCCAAGGGTGGAATTGGATTATCGCGTGGTGGTCTCGGTTTGGGTTATTCGACAGAAGTCTCTCCCAATGCTGAATCCCATAATTCTCCCCCGACTTTCGGAACTCGCAATAAACCGTCCTTTGTTCGCGATGCGCCTTCCCCACGACCTGCAACGCCATTAAGTGCTAGTGAGCATGCGCATTTCAACAAGATTTCGGGATCAATTGGCGCGCGATTACTTTCCAAGATGGGCTGGCAGCAGGGAACCGGATTGGGTGCGGCCGGGGAAGGCATCGTCACGCCTGTCGAGTCAAAGCTGCGACCACAAAAAATGGGCATGGGATTTCGAGGGTTCAAGGAGAAAACGGAGCAATCGAAAGCTGAAGCACGCCGACGAGGAGAGGTTGTCAGTGACGAAGAACAATCTTCGACCGTTCGCAAGGCCAAGAAAAAGGAGAAGGAAGCTAGACAGAAAATGTCCGACGTATGGCAGCGGCCCAAGAAAGTCAAAACCAAGGTTGAACACAAAACATACGAGCAAATCATTGCAGACAGTGGTCACGAGACTTCTGGAGTTGGCCCGATAATCGACGCGACCGGTGCAGTTCCCAGAGAAATTTCCTCTTTAGCTGATATATCTTTAAATACCTGGAGCCCATCCAATGACCTCACACGAATTCCAGAAGTGCGGCATAACATTCGCGTCATTAATGAAACTTGCAAGACTGATCTGGATGGACTGGCTCGAGAAGCTAAATCGCTGGACGGACGAAAGCAATTTGTCATCCGGGAGGATCTGCGACTTGGAAGAAAAATCGAGGAAGAAGCCAAGTGTGCGTGAAAAACAGTGTTTTTATTCTGCCAGTCTCTTATCCTTGACAGTGATAGCGCGTTTACAGCAAGTTCAAATCATCACAAACGACATTGACGCAAAATCAAAAGAGCTTGCATCCGTATACGAAGCGTCTTTAGAAGAATTTTCTCCACTTTTCCAACAACTGGTTGAACAATTTTCGCCTGAACTCGAAATGTATCGTCTTGACGAAATTATCGTGGCAGCAATTTCTCCCTTGGTTCGTCGTCATGTCCACGCCTGGAATCCTCTTTCTGTACCTATGGAGCTCCTCACAACATTCCGTAACTGGAAGATTGCGTTGCGAGTCAGGCCGAGTGCCCAGAACCAGGTTAATCATTATGGTTTGAACGCAGGTTTTACTGAATATACGTGCGTGCTTCTGTCCATTGCCCTTCATTCCCTCACAGGGGTTTAGGGAAAGGCCTATGACGCCATTTGAAAGCCTTCTGTGGACCGTGTGGCTACCAAAAGTCCGCACATCGCTCAACAATGATTGGAATCCGCAAGATCCTCAACCAGCGGTACGACTCTACGAGGCTTGGTCTTCGTTCCTTCCTCCCTTCATCCGCGACAATATCTTGGACCAGCTTGTATTACCAAAGCTAAAAAAAGCTATCTCCGATTGGAATTCCAAACGGTCCTCTGCATCCCTACGGAGCATCGTCTTTCCTTGGTTGCCTCATCTTGACCTTCGAATGGAGGACGTAATTGGAGACGCGCGACGCAAAATCAAGGGGATTCTGCGAAGTTGGAATGTAACCGACGAGCTCCCAAGTGATCTGGTGGCCTGGAGAGAGATTTTCGATTCTCCTGAGTGGGATACCATGCTTCTTAAATATGTGGTGCCCAAGCTTGGTGCCACATTACGGGACGACTTCCGCATCAACCCCCGAGACCAACAATTAGCGCCTCTTACTAATGTTTTACGCTGGGTCGACATCGTCCGTCCGTCCATATTGTCACAGATCCTCGAGACCGAATTTTTCCCAAAATGGCTCGACGTGTTGCACATTTGGCTCATCCAACCTACGGTCAGCTTTGAAGAAGTTGCGCAATGGTATTCGTTCTGGAAGGGAAGTTTCTCTGAGAATGTACAGAATCTAGCTGGGGTATCGCGTGGCTTTACGCGGGGATTGCAGCTTATGAACAAAGCGATCGAACTTGGACCAAGTGCCCCAACTCAACTCGCTCGTCCAGACTGGCGTGCTGAATCCGAATCACGCTTGACGGGTCCTCCTCGCAATGCTGCCCCCCGACCATCTGCACGAACCCAGGAAATAACCTTCAGATCTATCGTGGAGGAATTCGCTGCCTCCAATAATCTGCTTTTCATGCCCACTGGTCGGGTTCATGAGCTGTCTAGAATGCCATTGTACCGAGTCAGTCAAACTGTGGAGGGGAAAGGAGGGGTACTTGTATATGTGTTGGACGACGCCGTTTGGGCGAGCATAGGTGAGAATGGCGCGTATCGAGCTATTTCTCTAGAGGATATGGTTTTAAAAGCGAATTCAAGTAGTTAGTTGGGAGCTCTGAATAAGACTCTAATGTGTACATCATATCATGTCACGCCCGTGACACACCTGATTCAATTGACTCAATGAATTCGAAGCAATACCCAATCGACGTCGACTTGGGCTATGAAAAGCAAAAACCTATAATACTCAGCGACGACGACGACGACGACGACGACGACGACGACTTGGGCGCGCTAGAAAGCCACCTTAAATCCCACCTTAAATCCCACTTTCTCATGGACAACGAGGATGAGGACGAACTCTTGCTTTCCCCCATCTCACGGTGAGTACAACTTGAGCCCATTCCCGCATGTCACGAATATTTTCACGCAGACCGCCCAAGCGTAAGGGCGCCACTGGTTCAGGAAGAGTAATAATGCTATATTGCATTGCCGATGTTCTCAGTTGTTCATCAACCTCATAGCTACAGAAAAGGCAGCGATTCACATCTGCCGTGGTTGAACTTGTCTCAGAAGGTTCTTCGGACGAGGAAGAGTTCTTCAACAACGCGTTATTTGACCCAGTGATCCCCCTAACTAACTTGTTTACACCCCTCTCATTGTTATATATAGTACCGAGCCGCAACACCTTCACATGATTTACCCGAATTCGATTCAGAGGCCACAAAGCTAAAAGAGCCCATACACAAGCTGTTGCTTCCTCCATTACGCTCGTCATCTGAAGTTGCGATTCCGAGTGTGGTAGACTCCCCCCTTAGAATGCTTCAACAGGTGAGGGGATCAAATAATTTTTTTCTCGTCGCTCACACTCCTCAGCTTGGCCTACCCCAGCACAAGGTGCAACGAGCACGGTTCCTACGAGCGCCATCAACACTCTCCGAAATCATGCACGTGGACAAGCTAGTTCGAACCTCGCTACCTGCTCGTGCTGGTGGATGTAAGGTCTATATCGTTGCATGGATTTTTGGTCACAATCGACAGCCATGAACAAAATCATCCAACACAACGGCCGAGTGGTGGTCTGCTCCAACTCGGCGGGGGGCAACCATACCGGACGTGAGATATCATAGTGCGCAACTCGAGGTACAGAGCTCACCACTCTCTTTTAGCAACGGATGCCTACAACAAGGCAGGAACCTTGATATCATGGACCAAGGTGTGTTTAGTAGTTAGTTCCCTGTCAGATCTTCTGACCTTGGTGCTGAACAACAGAGTCGACCGTCACGAATAGATGATCTTGAACTTTTGGTTCATCAAGACAGAGAGGCAGCTTTAGACCTGCCACCTGAGGTTGACACGTCATTCTCCATGAACTGTGTTGCGTTTGAGCCTCAAACGTCAGTGAACACTCTTTCTGTTACGATTAAGTACTGATGTTGCGTAGCTCAACTCTTGTTTGCTCGGGCGAAGATCAGATTGTCTGGGGTTGGAACTATGACTGTGAGCAAGATAAATATGTACATGGACAATATCACTGCTTTGAGTACCGTGGGTCACTTGGCTTGCTGGTGGCCACCTCAACTAACTGACATTAAAATTAGAGGGAACGGCAAATAATCCAGTTGTTCCCCATGATATTGTACTCAAGCCAAACACACCAAGCTTAGCTGTTGCCGAGAAGTAAGGCATCTGATGTTCATCCACTCTTGTTTCTAATTCAGTTCAGGCGAGTCACAATCTACTCCAACATATCTTACCATGATGGAGGGACTCATAGAAGGCTCAATTTTCCTGGTCGCAACTCAGAGAGATATGTTGCGGGTTCTGTAGCTTGGGGCGTTGGTCCTTCGTCTGATTATCTCTTTGTGATGACAGAGGCAGTCGCTAAAAACGACCACACTGGCCTCCATTTTGGCTTTGATGCACGCACTGGCCAGATGTCATTGGAATTCGCTTGTGGAAGACGGGACGGTGAAGAAGGTGATGCTATGTGTATAAGCCAGGATGGTATGCTTTTTGTCTCTATAGAGCTCACATTCTGATCAACTTGTTGAAAGGCGGCACTGCTGCATTGGTGACAAAATCTGGGGTCAACAACTCCTTGCTCCGTCTCTTTGATTTGCGCACTATGGACAGGAATGCAGTTCACACCCTCACCTTGACTCAGTCGGATGTTAGCCTTCCAGAAGTCAATTGCATGGCTTTCAGCCCTGACGACCGCCTCCTTGCTCTTGGAAGGTACTGCCTTTCATTTGTGTAGAGTCTTCATTTCCCTGACTGCCCAAAGAAATGACAACCAGACACATCTTTATGATGTTCGATTCCTCGACAGAAAAGTGTCTGAATACCCCCATGAACCCTTGCGATTACCATCGGATGGTCAAGAATTCTTCGGCATTGTCGATCTTCAGTGGGTTGAATGGCATGGACGTATGGGACTCGTCACCGGTGGAAATGATGGTTGTGTGCGTCTCTTTGACCCACGTTTCTCGGCGGCAACACAAGCGGACACAATCTTGGCTCAGGCCGACTCAGACATTGCAGCGTTTTCCCTTGGTGATCGATGGCAGAACCAACATGACTTAGTAGTGTATCTCTGTTCTTACTTTTCTGCTCCTACCATTTTACTGACCACAAAATAGCGGGGATTCCACTGGCAACATTTTCATTTTCGACTCCCACACGTTGAACATATAATAGTACTACTCTCGTTTGGGTGATTTCCTCGTGGCTTTGATTTGACTCCGATAAGTCTTGTCGTTTCGTCTTTTGATATCTGCACCCTTCATAAGACTCGCAACACGATTTTTCTGCTCTGCTGATGTTTCCACTTTCACATCTGCAGACGACGCCTCGAGGACAAGAGCGTGGAGCTTCACTGGGGTCAGCAACTGTTCTATTCATTGATAGAGAGTAAGAAACCTTGGAAAGACAGTCGTCGATATTTTGAGACTGAGAGCGGAAGACGCTTGAGGTTAGTTGGAGGGATTGGGAAGAGACCACATAATACGGCTGGGACTCGTCAGATACGTGAGGCAGTCACACTGCATAATTTCACCAACAGAGCGCTCCAGAAAGCTCTTAGCCCACGGTGGGATCCACTCTGCGTCGATTGAACACCGTATCATTGCTTTCGTGTTTACTTTATTGACATTCTACGTTATCGTATAAGCCAATCTCTTTCCGAGGGAATGATAGCTATACCTACCTGCCCGCCTGGCCCAGAACTTCTCGAAAAAGACAAAGTCACAGCTGATTTGGGAATTTTGGAGGCACGAAATTGAGAAATCCAGACTCTTGCTGCCGCTGTTTCCTCAGAAGATCCTAGGGAGGGTATATGTGGTGGTATTAAGAACGATTTATTTCTATGATGAGCTTGTCGCAGGCCCCTGGTGTGAACAACTCTTTGACCAAGCTTAAGGAGATTGAACATGGAGACTCTTTCAATTCACGTGATTGCTTTTTTTCACATGCCGCTGGTATCACGACGTTACTTTCTTGCTTGGATGTTGCTTATATGTTATCCTACGCCTTCTCGACTGGTAAGTGCAGGACTTGGTTGCGCCTTGAAAGAAAGTCATCTTCTCACTACACTTCTCAGCGAGTACCTACTTCCATCTCCCCGTCGATGAACAAGAAGACCAAGACATTGCCCAATATTACCGAAAGAGAATCACATACTCCAGTCCGGCCTACAGCACCGCTTCGCCAGACTTTGTGTCTCTGCCTTCAACAGCCCCTTCCACCCACCGAGACGCCGTCTTGGATGCGATCATAGCTACTGACGACTTGTATGCTATACTTGGCGTGTCCAAGGCAGACAAACTCGACAAGCTCTCTCTTCGGCGTGCGTACCTCAAACGCAGTCGAGCATGCCACCCAGAGTACTACTCGAACTACTATACCCTCACCGATGACTGATGACTTTTCCAGTAAATTCCCGGATAACCCTCAAGCAACCCATGCCTTCCAAAAGATAGCTGTTGCTTACTCGATCCTGCAAAATCCAACCTCGAGACGATCGTACGACATGCGCTCCCCAAAGTACGACGTATTTTCCACGCATTCGTCTGGGCATATGGCTCAGGAGACCTTTCGCGGTATCATAATGGGCGTGCTCGATGATTTCCTAGAGGGGGACCTAGAGATGATACGAACATTACTGAGGGCGGTCAACGATATCAATCCTTCCCTAAGTATGGGGGACGAAGGAATCAACTCGATACTCAACTCCTTGCAGAGGCTACGGGAGCGAGCACTCAGTCCAGGTTCCGCTTTGCACTTTGCTTTTCTCGCTAACCGTTTGATCAGGTTGCCGTGCCTGTGTGTATGCACTTTATACCGAGATGAGCCGTCTGTTGGAACTTCAGCACTCTTTTCGACAATTGTCCTACCTCGACATCCGGGGGCGCACGCGACTAACGATCCAACTCACGCGCGTCACGCTCAGTCTACCCATTGCCTTGGAACGGGCGCTGATTGAACAGAACGCCAGCTATAACAACGACAACACTGACCCGCCGCTAGAGACTATTATTCCCCGTAGGGTCACGGTGCTTATTCGGGGTGTGGATGTTCTCCTACAACGCATGGAGAGGGTCCTTTAGAAGTGACCCGACTTACTTATCCTTATTCCTTTTTTTGACCTAGACACAATAATTGAAACTATGTATACAAACGAATTCATATGCTAACGTTACAAATGGGGGGTTTATAGACCAAGACAAAGAAAGAGATGCAGTGTTTTCACGAACGCGGCGAGCTGACATAAGTCTATAGGAAAATCAGCAACGTCAAGTGGCTAATTAGTAGTCAACGAACCCCATGGTTATTATTATTCTCCCAGTGCATGCGGTGGCGAGTGGGACTGCGTTCCTCAGAAATATACGTATCGTAGGACCCTTGTCCGGCGTAAGACCCGTGTTGGCCATGGGTAGCAGCCGCAGCGAGGATATGGTTGTAACTCGGCTCCTTTATCGTATTTGGACCAGTCGGTGGAGCAGCAGGGTTGCTATTCTCTTCAGGGTAAAACGGATAAAATAACCCAGTGGGTATGTCGACCAGATGCTTTCCGCTAGCCCCATCCGTTGGCGTCGAATCGTGGACAGGCGCACGTTGATGGCTGTAGGGTGGTTTGGGAGGGTATGCGTGACTTGGCGCGGGAGAGGTATGCTGAGACAACGACATGGGTGAAGGAAGCCCAGAATCTTCATCCCAGTCTGGCTCTGCGAGTAACACAGGTTGCGTTGTCGGCTTCACGGTATGAAGATCAACACCCATGACAGAAGACGCAAGCTTGAATATGAGAGGGTGGCCACCGTTAAGGTCCTTACGCTCCCAACGCCACCTGAATCGCGGAAGCATATCGAGTGCAAGCCAGAGATCGTCGATTGCCGTTTGGCGGTCCAGTCGGTCACAGTTGGACATCTGTCCATATAGGATAACCATTGCTGCAATGTGGAGAGGAATCGGAGAAGTAAAGAAACCGATGTCGGGGAAACGTATGAGTTGGCTATGAAAGATGATGACATTATGGGCAGTTACGATGGCTATCAGATGGATTAGATTTTGTTTCGAATCCAGGACAAAAAAGTACCATCAATCAAGGCCTTGTGTCGATGTTCGTAGTGCAACTCAGTACAGCTGAAGAGGGCCCGAAGAAGCAAGAGGCGAGCAATGCCGATCTTGAGAAGTGTAAGGCCCTCGTCTTCCTTGATATCTCGAACAAGCTGTGTTTTCTGTTCCATCGTCCAATCTTCGGTACCCCCAAAGTAGTTTTGATACCTTTTAGGGAGGCTGCGCCGGAATTCCGACATGCTTTTAATGACGCGAGTTGCATTGCGCATTAGTCCGTCACCCTTATTGCGGGTGGGTGAATAGAGAGAGTTGATAATATCGGCCTGAATTTCAGCGACCGCATGGCTCAGTTCAAAGTGTTCGGAAAATTCATTGTGGCCTTTAGATCGAGAAGGACGTATGGTGTTGGAGTCGGAGGGAGCGATGCCAAGAGGTCGACCTAATAGAATGGACGTCCCTCGATCATGGATGAGTATGATGCCCCAGAGGTTGATACGAAGAAGAGCCTCCTCGTCAGTGAACACCCGTTGTTTCACGGCATTGAGCTGAGATGTCGGATCATGATGTAGACCCAACTCAACAGAAAGCCTGACGAGACTACCCACGAGGCGCCAGAGAGTACGTCCTTGACGCTGCAAGAACATATGAATGGGATTTAAATTGGGTAGAACAGTGACTAACTTCGGTGTAAAGATACCAGTGCAGCAGTATCAGGGCTTGTAAACTTGACATTGTGACTCGCAAATCAGGTTTCACACTGAGGGCACGTTCGAAGAATTCGTCGTGCTCTGGCCAGTCTGCCGGCATAAGTTTTTTTACAAGGAGTTGTTGGGACGGAGGATAATCCATTTGGTGAAGCACAGAACGGTTGTTAAGGTCGCTAAGTGTCCCTAAGGCGAGGACAAGATAGAAGCTGCACAGAAAACCAGGGTCATGTGGACAGGCATTCTCTCCAGACCCAGATATTTGGCTACCATAAAGTTCATCCAAGGACTTGAAAAAGTCTAGGCGCGAAAAGACGGGGCGGTGGATGTTGAGACGAGTGAAGTAGACCTCAACAATAGCATTAACCATAGCACGATCTTTAGGAAGCCATATATCCATCGCGCCACTCAGATCTGGGATGACTGTGGCAATATGGGGAGGGTTTGCGAATGCGTTCAGACCGCGACGGACTGTGACCGTTACCCAATGTGCTGGATCGCGCGGGGTGGCTGCCTCATGGATTGACCTGTCGCGACCAGAGGTGAGCCCTGATGAACCGACAGCCAAATCTTCTTTGTCTACTTGGCTGGCGGCAATAGCAGATACAATGTCAGGAGACACGCCAAAATTCTTTGCAAGTGCGTGTGTGGACGAGAGGTCATTGCTATTTGGGTCTTGACCCTTGACATGGTCGGTTGCTGGGGCTGCATAGGTGGCACGAGGGGTAGGGGCTGGTGTCGGCTCTTCCGGTTCTGGATCAGGAGCGCGATTGTTGATGTGGGAGTAGTATTCGGGCGGAGGAAATGCTGTTGTGTAGATATTGGCAAGAGGTTCATAGGTGAAACTATTCAACGGTGGCGGGTTTGGGTCAAGTCCGGCATCCACAAGACAAGAGTCGAGGTCAATGAGGTCAAAATGAATGCGGCCAGTGAGATGTCGAATGAGGATTATGGACTGAGCCAGTTGGAATTCTACCCTTTCGAGGTGTCCTCTGGGAGTAAGAGTATTTCTATGGCGGTCTTCTTGAGCACAAACAACTCCAGAGTTCGCACACGCGGTGCATCGTGGATGTTTCGAGTCGCACTGGGAACCTGGTTTTAGTAGTCGAGCCAAGGTGGAACTTGCCTGCTTACCTTGATCTTCTTCGCTCTACACCGAGAACAAGCCTCATGAGACCTTCTTAGTCGACGTGGGTCACCATTATCCGCATTTCTTTTGCGTTTTCGAGGCGCGGCGACCGATGATGAATCGTCAACAGTGGTGCCATTGTTGCGAGCACTACTACCGTCAACCTCCATCTGGTCAGGAGGGGAACGCTTGTTATGGGTGGAGGGGGAGGTTGGGCTTGACATTGGCGAACGGGAGAAAAGCAGACTAGATGCCGTTCATAAGCGAGCCGCTGTTTGACGACTCTTCTCCGTCGCCGAAGCCTATACGAATCTTTTCTTACAAACCAAACTTCATTCAGGATTTATGACTTCTAAAATGAGCCACACTCAGCCCCCCAGTCTTTTCCTACCCTCACTACGCAACCTTGCAGCTATCTCTCCGTCTGATGTTTCTAGAGGCATTACCTATCTGCGATCACTCTATACTCCCCGCATACGAGGCTCTAAAATACTTGGTCGAATTACACCAGATGGATCGACAATTTCCTGGCCAAGTTCGTCGCCTGAAGACCTGGACGCACTTGTCGGCGATGAATTTGAGCGAGGCTATTCGATTCGGTGGCTTACGTATCTGGCTCATAATGCTACTCAAATTCAAGCTTCAGCAGAAGAAATTGCTGTTATAATCGACTCTGCTGCTGCTGTCCTCGCAAACTGTGGTGGCCCAGCAAGTGCTGGTGTCTTGATTCGCACTATTGTCTTCCCAGCGAGTGGGATTGAGGTTACTCTCCAAGATATTCCACTGGACAATGGCATGGCTTCAGTTGGTGCACAGACATGGGGTGGGGCTTTTGTCCTGGCTGAGATGATAGCAACCCACCCAGAAGAGTTCCAGCTCCATAAAAAATCACAATCAACGCTTCGTGTGCTCGAACTTGGGTCGGGGACAGGTCTGGTTGGAATCACTGTTGCTAAAATTGCGAACCACCTCGATCTCCCAACGAGGGTTGTTTGCACTGACGCATATCCCCCAGCTCTACACAACCTCGCGACTAATATATCCGCTAATTTCGACAATATTTCTGGGACACTCTCCGTTGAATCGCTTGCACTCGACTGGTCCATTATGGCCAATAAGCCATTGACTGCTCTTTTCCCACCCCCACTCGACATTGCGTTCGATATTATCCTTGGCGCAGACATCATATACGAAGCAGAGCATGCATTGTGGATTCGCAAGGTCCTAACTCGCTTTTTGCGCAGAAATGGCCTTTTTCACCTCCTTGTCCCTCTACGACCAACACATGCAGCAGAATCAGGTACTATTGAGATGGTGTTCATTGCTGATGGCCAAGGACCAGAAATCTTATCCAAGGAAACGATCTTATGTGCCCCAGAGAAACCATCAGAGGAAGAAATTGTATATGCTTACTATCGCATTGGATGGCAATGAAAAACTCAGCTCGAACAACTACACTGGAAGCCCAACATGTCCTTGGCACCGAACTCGCACAGACGTCGTTCCTCACGCTCTTCGTCGCTTAGTTCAGCATCACCGCCATCTTCTTCGCCCCAAGGTTTGAACGGATTTGTGGCCATCTAGATACATTAATGAACATTCACCGGGAACAACAAAAATCAGAAATGACCTGGAAAACTTTGGCAAGGATTCGGCGACCACGGATTGGGTCGTCTTCGACTTTCTTGATAACTTCTTGCAATACCCACTGCCTTAAAACAAAGCGCGGATTCGCAGCACGTGCGGCTTGGAGTCGTTCTGCATCGATTTCTCTGCCCCAAGCATCCGTTTCCCTTTCGATTCGTTGACCATATAATTGGAGCCATGCTGCTACATCTCGATATGCCTGCGCACGTTCAAGTCCAGTAGGATTTGGTACTTGTTCGAGAAGAAGATTAACGAATGCGTCGAGACTAGGGTTGATACCATCTATCCTTGAAGAGGGAACAGAAATTATAGAGGGACGAAAGGCTGCAAGGGCCCGAAAGGTTGCGTGGAAGTCCAGCTTATGTTTTGCCATAAGATCGAGTAGAGGGCGGACCAGTGTTGCCTCGTCTGCTTGTTCCACGCGGCGCAGAGCAAGACGCTGTTCGAGTCTTAGAAACCAAACACGTTCAGTTAGGTTCCAAATACCTTCCTCATCAGCCTGCCATACTCTTCGGCCATCTCAGTCTGTGCGACCGTTTCCATTTCGTCTTTCACTTGTTCTCCAACTTTTTTCCACGCTTTCAGTTGTTCCTCGTCAACGCCATCAGCCCATCCAACAGCAATGGGGCTACCGCTCTCGCTTTCAGCTCCAATGAGTGGCGCAAGAGCCGTGTTCAAAGCGCGTAAGGCGTATATGAGTGAAGTTGGCTGGGCTCGATAGGCATATCGTCCTTCCTCATCAGTGTGATTGCAGATATGATGCCAGTCGAAAACGTCCATGAAAGCGAATGGGCCGTAGTCAATAGTGAGCCCCAAGACAGAAACACTAGATTGATGGAATGAGAAGTGCAAGCTGCACGGAAGGAATACCCACTTGTCGGTATTGATCACTCCATGCATAAATCCATAAGCTTGCCAGCTTGCTACCATGCGAGCGTTGCGCCTAGCTACCTCCAAAAGCAGCGCTTTTGCCCAAGGTTTCCCGACCAACGCGTCCATCTCAGGGAGATGTAAAATGGGTCCAGCAACCCACTCTCCAAGTATTCTGAGTGCCTCCCAGTGAGGCGATTGCTGCCCACCACCGAAGAGAAATACATTTTGAGGTGGATTGAATGCTTCAAATGAGCCTATGCGCAAGAACGAGGGGGCAACTCGAGTAACAACGCATGCGCTCTCCTTGGTTTCACGAATCACGGAAAGATCTGGGAGAGAGATAAGAGCAAGAGCACGAGTGGTCAGTATTCCCAGAGCATGCATCGCTGAGAATACGTCGGAAAGGTATATATATATAGCACATATGACAAACCTTCTGAGCATAGATACTCGCGAATGGACGACCGGATAACGGCCAGTCCATCAGCCGAGCGCGAGAAGGGGGTGCGACCTTGGCCTTTGAGCTGCAGCTCAAAAGAGACATGGGGATGGTCTGGCGGAGCAGTGACCACTAATTCAAGATGAGCCAATAAGTATACCCCGAAGAATGGAAAGTTTACGAACAGACTGTGGTTGCCCTGCCATCACCCAGCTGACCGGCAAAAGTCCCAAATTGGTGGCCACTGTACCGCATAGACCAGGGCGCAAAGTTCAAGTCCTCGGACATTAAAACTGCCTGGCCACTGAGGACGTCGACTAGATCATCACGAGCTGTGTTAACTGCTGCTGTGTCATCCAGCTCGGCTTTGGGAACCAAAGAAGGAGATCCTATGACAGCGAAAGCGTCGCCGACATCGAGATGTGGAAGGCAGTCGCGAAGAGTAGTCTCTGCGATGCCTAGAAGCACTGTTCGGGCTGGGTTTTCGCGGGTGTACTTGGATAGTGGCGTTTGTTCGACACATGAGAGCGCCTCCCGCGTTGTTAGCCACTCTTCAATGTGCGACGCTGTGTCTGTGTCTGGTAGCGGCTCTATCTGATACGGAAACTCGACAGGAAATGGGGTGACAAATGAGAAATGAGCCGCAGATGCGAGCAATCTCGCTCGTCTTTGGATGCTGGGAGTGGTGCGTAGAAGTTGGAGAAATGCTTTGGTAGATGGTGTTCGAGGGTCTGGAGTCAGTCTATGTATAAGCAATGGCTGAGAAGGGAGTGGAAGGCGGGAGATAATCGTCATTGCTCGTGACCGTAACAGAGGAAGACATGAGCAGTAGCTTAGGTCAAGACTAAAGGGTAAGTACAACGCACAAAGCCACTAGTATAACCATAGGCAACATAATTACAGCTCCTCGTGGCTGATCTTGCTGTCAAGGCTGACGAGTTCAACCGTGAATACAAGGGCAGAATGGGCAGGAATGATATTTCCGAAGCCTCGAGAGCCTGTACAGTTGTTGATTTTGATTAGGTTGAGGGTAACAAAACGAACCGTATGCCATGTCCGAAGGAATGGTAAGCGTCCGCTTCTCGCCAGCACACATTCCAATAAGTCCCTCGTCCCATCCCTTGATGACTTGACCAACACCAACTGGAGGGTATTAGTCACATGAGTATCAAGACCAGGGCATCCATACGTGTTAGCGGAAGAGGGCTGCCACGGTCCAAGCTTGAGTCAAATTTCGCGCCTGTCGAGAAAAGGGTGCCTGTGTAGTGAACCTCGATCTTGTCACCCTTGGCTGCTTTGACAACACACTCCTCTGGTGTAAACGTCGTCTCTATTCCGAGGGTTTTAGGTGGCTCAGCTGCAAGGACAGCTGCGGCTGCAAGGATAGAGAAGAACCAGCCACAACGCATAAGTAGAGAGTTAAGTGAGCACGTGAGTCTACTAACTGTCACGTTGTCACTTCCTCTCACCTCTTTTCATCGCTGCCTAATCGCTGCTATGGTATGTATGCTACTGGCTACATTGTTCGTTCCAGCGTCTAACAGCTGCCTTAGCCATCTCAAAAAACCTTCCGTACCAAAAGGATCCTGGCAAAAGCGTCACGCCAAAACAGACCCATTCCTCAGTGGTTCCGTCTCAAGTCAGATACCAAAATCCAGGTTCGCCCATTCACTAAAACTCCAATACATCCTTTCCTGATTTCTCGTCCGTGTGAAACAGTACAATGCCAAGAGACGGCACTGGCGTCGTGCGTGGCGGTCTTTCTTGCTCCAAAGATGGGAGGCTTATTTAGACACGATTTCTAGGAACCAAGCTGAACATTTGAGGGTCGTGTTGGAGTTTATATGTGCGCTGTATGAAACTACATATGCTTTCCATTTCGAGGCTCGAGTGAATCGACCGCCATCGTTAGAATCTAGAAATCATCGTGACAATTTCCTTTTGAACCCAACCCCCCCAGGCAGTGCTATTCTCGATGCGCTCACCTCGTCCCGCCCCGTTATCCTTCACGCATACCAATGAAAGCGAATATACTCTCCATACCATGTCTGACCATACTCCTCTCAATACTCCCACTCAATCCTATGGTTCAGCACCTGTTTCATCGCGTCGCCTAATCTTCAATGCAACATTGAAGATGGCCGCTGTCTTCCTAGTTAGCTCGATGTTTCTTGGTTCTATTCTGTGGCTTGCTCTACCCACTCTAGAAGAGTGTGTTGACTCCCTTTCTGTCCTTGATTCCTCTCACTAATCGGACAGAGATGACCGACCCAAGCTCCGTCTTCCCAAGTCATTCTCTCAGCTCCAAGACCTCAACTTTATCCTGAAGAAGTACCGAGATATATTTCCATACCGTATATTCGTCTGTTTCGTGGTTACTTATCTCTTGTAAGTCTTCATGTCCGATGCCCCCCCTCAGTAACCAATGCTTCCCAGCCTCCAAGCATTCTCACTGCCAGGATCGATGTATCTCTCAATACTTGGGGGAGCTGTTTGGGGAGTGCCGATTGCGCTTCCTCTGGTTTGCTGTTGTGTGGCAACTGGCGCGAGTTTGTGCTACCTGATATCGTCTGCGTTGGGGCCTGCTCTTCTCGCACTGCCCAAGTGGAAGGACAAGCTGGACAAATGGGCTCACAAGATTGAACAGAACCAAGTTCGTAACTTCCGCCTCATATTTTCGCTATAATGAATGCCATAGGACAACATGATTTCCTTCCTCATTATTCTTCGCATTGCGCCGCTTCCGCCCCATTGGGTCATCAATATCCTCGCACCGCACGTTGGAATTTCAATCCCAGTCTTCTGGGTGACTACTGCCCTCGGCATACTGGGCGTTAGCGTGATCCACACAACAATTGGTGGTGGTCTCGACGAAATGACAAGTTCGGCCGACTTTCACCTGATTTCATGGAAGAATTTCTTTGGTTTATTTGCGATTTGTGTTGGAGTCATGATTCCGGTTGGATTGCGGTATTGGTTTGGGCAAGGTGGTACGGCTCGGGAGGAAGACGAGGATGCAGACGCTGAATCCCAAGTGCCTTTGGTGACAGAAGAAGAGAGCGATCAAGAAGATGAGATCCTCCAAGTTGGGCCTCCTGAGCAGACAAAGTCAGACTCTGAAGACGACGACGATATTATATTAGAACGCGGCCCAGATGTTGACCAGCAAGTCGTAGTAAAGAGTGGTCCATCTACTTAGGATATAGTTTATTTGATGTGGTGTAACACAGCTCTCGCACGAACACCTTCTTGCTTTCTGCGTCGTTGTCTCATCTACCTCTCCTCCTCCTCCCATCAACAACCCTCCTCCAACCGACCTCAAGCCTAAAGAAGAGCTACAATCGAGTCAAGTAAAACTCCCCCCAGCTCTACCAACGTTGTTGTTCGCTCTCCCAGCGGCTTGCGGTTCAAGTCTGGTTTCATGGCCGACCGGTACCCCATCCATGCGAATGGCTTTGTGAACCAGCAACAGTCTCATCTACCTCAGCAAGCAACTGAGGGACATGTCGCTGGATTTCCGGACCAAGGTCCAATGTGGCAGCAGATGCAGCAGATGCAGAACCAGTTCAGACCTCAAAGCACCGGCCTGGACGCCAGTCATATCAACCCCCAGGTCCTTTTTTTATTTAATATCTAAGAAATAACTATCGCCGCATTAACCTGCTTCACAGGTCGCAGACATGATGCGCAACCAGCGCCAGGGCCAGCAGCAATTCCCCCCATTCCTTGATCAACAGTCCAACTCCTTCCAGCCGCCGATTCAGACTCTCAATGGCCGTTTTCCTCAAGCAAACAACACGGACACCCATAGGCAGCTGGAGCTTTTGGGTCTCGCGCACAATCAGCAGCCTCAAAACGGGCCTGTAAATTTCGCCAATCGCATGCACCAACAAGCTGCTCTTAATGGCCAGCGAATTGGGCAGCCTGAAACCTTCCTCGCTGCTCCAGGTCCGAATCCAATGCGCCAACCCTCACCGTCTGGTGGTCAACCATCAGCTCCACCGCCTACGGGACAGCCCGCACAGGTCACACGGGCCAGTTATGTTGCCCTTCAAGAGCGTGCTCATAACCTCAAGAGTATTATCTCCAATCAGGAGGCGCAACTCATGCAGCTTACCAGCCAACGAACTCGTATCGGTGATGCCTCCTTCATGGATAAAGTCCGTACTGTTTCGGCAGATCTTAAGAATCGGAAGGAGCACTATGCTCGCTTGGTCAACTTCATAAACCAGATTCAGAGTCACATCCAGCACGGCGGCAACATGTTCTGACTTTTCAATTCTCACTATCCTCTATCTGACCTCCATCCTAGGGCCATAAATTCTAACGCACCCATGTCTTTATCTCAGCAACCCAATTCGTGGATATCGGGATCACAGCCAGCGCAGCCCCCGTTCAACCCGAATCAAGGACCTCAACCATCCCAAAACAATGGTCTAGCCGCATCTCCACCTAACACACATCTCCATGGTCCCCCCCGTCCCCAACAATTTTCCAATCCCTTGCAGCCTTCGCCCTCATTCCCAATTGTACAACCGCCATTTGCCAATATTCCGCCTCTCGAGAAGGCTCGCTTTGAAAACGTATTCAAGAGTTGGTGTAACACAAGGAACATCCAGCTTAACCCGCGAATATTGACAATCGACGCACGATCCATCGACCTTCATGACCTTCACACTCAAGTCATGTTGGAGGGTGGCGCTCAAGTGGTACGGGATAAACGTTTCCACAGTTCCAAACTAAGTCTTACCTGACAGGTGGGGCAAAAAGACCTGTGGACTGTTGTTGGTGGTCGAATGGGATTCATACAGTTCCCCGCTTCTGACAGTGAACCTGCGAAATCAGGACCGGGGGTTGCCCAGCAGCTTGCTCATGCCTACAAGGAATATCTGGCTGCGTTCGACAATGTTTACCTCAGCACGGTCATTGACCAACGCCGGAAGAATAATGCCAATTTGCAGCAATCTCTGGGTCCACCTCGTCTTTCTGACCCAGCCCAGATGCAGCTTGTAATGCAATCCGCCAATCTTCCCACCACCGAACTTCGCCGTCGCGGTTTCCCGGAACAAGTAGTCCAGTTTGTTGAGAACAATAGGACAACCCTTCTTCAGAATCGACTCGACCAAGCCAAGTTTCACGACCTGCTTGCGCCAACAGGAAATGGCCAACAACCACCCATCGCATCAAACCCAGGAAATCTTCAACCTGGATCCAGACCCCCGCCTCAACCCCCCAGGGCAGTTGATCCATCGAGTCAGCCACCGCAACGTCCAACGCGCGAAAGTGTACAAGCCGCGATGGTTCAGCTCGCCAAACTAAAGAGCGAGTATGGTCCAGAAAGTAGGGTTGCTTGTGCTGTCGTTTGTTCATAACCTCAACATAATGCTAGGGATGCTTTCCAACGTGCCTCCAATCGACATCCCTCCTGAACAGCGAATGGAATATAATACTGTCCTTGAGCAGTTGCATCGTGCTTGCGTGGAGCTCGATCACAAGCTGCCAATGATTTTGGCCGTTTTGAAGAACGAAAGCGTTGTGCGAAGATACGTTATCATTGTTCGTTCCACTTCATTTTCAGTTGCAAAACTATCTGACCGAGTTCATTCAAGGTTCAAACAGCGATTCAACAACGCGCAATGATAACATCGGGAAGCACGCGCTTCCTCGTCACCCTTGAGACGTTGCGCAACATGCTTAACCAAGTGCAAGGGATAACAGAAAATTTCGCCACTATTCTTTCGAGCTTGATGGGTAAGCAACAAGTTCAAATCGCACGACCAGTCGTGCCAAATCCGCCAGTGGCTGTCCAGTCTGGTGGACCTCCTCAACCTCCAGTAAATCGTCCGCCGATCAATCTTCAGCCGCCTCCTAATTCTAAGAGACGGCTTACCGCTCAATCTCCTGCTCCTGTCACTCCAGCCGCTCCAACTCCAACCCCGCCTCCCGTTGCTTCAGCTTCAACTCCTGTACATAATGCGCCAACTCCAAGGGATATGGCTTCACCCAAGTCGCCAAAACCGAAGTCAACCCAAAAATCGAAGCCACAACCAGCTCGACGAAAACAATCAATCAAAGTTCAGAATCCCCCCATTCAGGAGGCAGTAACTGCTCCGTCGCCGGCTGGGAGCAACAGCAGTAGCAATAAGCGTCCTCGCGATGAGGAATCATCGCCATCATTGCACAACGTGATTGGTCCTAACATTGCCAACGAGCCCTCTCCTCCAAAACGAGCCAAGACAGAATGGGATGGCCCTTTGAATGAAGCGATCACCGCTCGAGCGGAACAGGTTGATAACGTCAAAACGGAAGAGGATAGCACTGCATTCCTCGAGCAAATGACAGAATTGTTCAGAATGGCAAATGACGGGCAAGATCGACTGACGTCGGATTTCTCTGACACTTTGGACACAATTCTCAAAGGTTTCGGGACTTCAACGGACGAAACCACGTTGCCTTCACTGGGTCTTAGCGATTCAACGGTTGTGGCTCCAACGACGGATGAGAGTTTTGTCGAGTTTTTCGACTTTTCGTCATTTAGCACTGGGGAAGAGGACGATGTGGCACCGACCCCGGAACTGATTTCTTCGTCTGTGAATCCTTCGACCAACCCCAGTCCCGAGTCGAATGCGGACATGGATGCGAGCCAGGTTTTACTGAACTTTGACAACAAAGTGGAAGAGTTTGATCATCTTCGTCTGGGTGTGTGGAAAGAGGTTGACGGCGGGGAATCGGCTCACTACAACTCGGGTCATTGGAAATGGGACAGTCCGATGCAACATTTGGAACAACCATGGGCTATTCACAACTCATAAGTCGGTTTTATTAATCATTGCTCCTTCCTTTCATTATCTGCTCTCTGTACATGTACTTGTTGTTCTACTCGCTGTCGAATCTGAATCCTAGCCGTATTGCCTAATATACGTGCTTTGAGGTTAGCTACCGTCGAGGGTTGTTTTCGAGTTCGTGTAACACCAGTTAGGCTGCGGCTGGTGGAAACGTCCAATTCACGTCTAGCGTGTGCCCACTTTTCCTGAGCAGTTTTCACTGCCGCGTCATCGTCGGCGATGAGGGTGAGAGTTTCAGGGAGACCATATCGCCCTCTGATTCCGTCATCCGCCTGCTTATTCGCTTGTTCGATCTTCTTCTCCTCCCTAAAGTGCTTCCTTACCCTGCTGGACAGCGCGAAAGGGTCTGCGTTGTAGATATCAGATGCTTCTTGCAGAGACTCGAGACGATCATGGACTTGAATCAGACCCTTTTGAGTGTCTGTAGTCTTTTCCAACGAGGTCAGTGGGTCAGAGGCTTGAGCATTACTGTCTGAATCAGTGACTTGAGATACCACTATCATGAGAGCAGTTCAGATATTGACCGTGGACAGCAAAACCCCCCGTTCTCCTCCGGGCTCCAGTTCTCTTCTTTCTGTCTTGCACCCGAGACGACCACATAACGTGTGTTCTATCCCATTTAATTTCGTGAATGTTGCATTTTTAAGGAGGAATCCCATATACCTTTGGGTCTGTCTGGATCTCAAACCAACCGTCGCACAAGTGGCATTTGCAGCGGAAAGAGAAGATGGGGGTTGAATAATAGTTGCCGATTTTCTTTTTCTCTGCGTTGTACCTTACGCCCATGCCGATATGATTGTTGCATGTTCCACTATCCAAATTGAGGTTGGGCTCAGAGACACTGTACTCACTTACCACCAGATGTTGAACGGAAGTTCAAAGCGTGTGATCAGGATTCCCTGGTCCAGTTTCCTGGCACGATCTCCCAAAGCATGCTTTCCTGCCACCAGATGAGTCAAGTCCAACTTTCAGCACTGGATCAAGAAACACACCTCGATACGAGTTTAAACTGCTATGCTTCTCGATATTATCGAAAAAGTCCGGTGGATAGTATTTATTGAATCCTATATTCTGAATTTAAGCTCAAACCCCAGCCTTGATTGAACGTGATTTTACCTTGCATGGAGGAGGTAAGCAAGCTGAGCTGACAATCAAAGTCACAGTCACACCGGGATATGCTGTAATAGATTGAAAGAATACAGTATGTATACGGTATAATGATAGAGTACTCAACTGTAGAAAAAATGGAATAAAATAAAATAAACCCAGAGATCTAAGGATAATGATGCAGAATATCAGGAGCATTTTCGAGAGAAATCGGAGATGTTAACCTTTCTCGGACCCAAAGCCAACTCAGATATATACTGCATAAGAAGCTAACACTGGCCGATGATCACTAAAAAGGGTTGGCTACATCAAGACAATATATATGGAAAGAGAATAATACCTTCTTCCCTCCAATTTTCTCATTTGACGGTCATCGAGGGTGTTGTAGTTGAGACAGACAACATCACCGCGCCGAAAGGGCCTTGGAGGAGGAGGCATAACATCAGTCAAGGGTGCGGGCTCTTGGGATGATGAAACACTCTGTGCAATGTGATGATATCCCAGGAAGGAAGGCAGAAAGCGCCAACGAGAAGGTGTGACAACTCGGCTTTGTAAACTGGGTGCAGCAGTTTCATCGGCCAGAGTTGCGCGTCGAGGACGGACAGCAAGCGGGGGTGATTGATTATGTGAAAGGGAGTTGGCCCGTTTAAGGTTCGGAAAGATACCATCAGCTGCAGTAGCAATTTGCCGTTCAATTCGACCATTTCGATCGAGAATGCCTTCTGATCTGGTGGGCGAGAGGTGGCCTTGCGATTCGACGAGGCGAGAAAATGAAGCCGTTGGTTCAGCGTTGGGAGACGTTGGGGACGAAGAGTGGTCAAGAGATAAATCACTGGATCCTCTCCGAGTACGATTGGACAATGGTCGCAGTGCGTTGGCAAAAAGCTGGCCAACACGATTGCGATGTCGCGAAGAATAGGCATCAAACGTCTCGTCCTCGTCGGGGGGTGAAATTGATGTCTTCCACATCACACGATCACACCTGGATATAAGTAAGTAGCAAACTTGAGCAGAATCCTCTTAAGTACCAGCTAGGTACTCGTTGTTTGTGAGATGTGTCGTAGAGTCCCTTGTCATCATGCCGTTGATCGACTTGGTCACTTTGGATGCTTGAGCTCGTGGAGCTCAAACGCTTAAGGCTCGGCGGAAGTACTGCAGTGTCCAATGAACGACGGCGACGGGCTTGTTTGTGCTCTGCCGTGACGATAACAGGTGAAGATGAAGGGAAAGGTTTCTTTTTGAACCACGTAGTTGGACTATGAGGGGCTGAGGGTGAAGTCATCGCTAGCCATTTCGTCTTGGCTTTTTGCGACAGTGACACCCGACTCCCTGGAGAACTTAGACTGCTCACTGCATGGGATGAGGGCGATGGGTGAAAATAATCGTCATCTGGTTCTGTTCCAGGCCGTGAATGCATGGAATTCCAGGTTGAAGACGACACTGAGGCAGCATCCACATCGTCGCTGTCACGTCCCTCCTCGTCACCGCGCTCGTTGACCTCCGTCAGTTGCCGGGCACTCTCTCGTGTATTCCGCCATTGATCGTGCTTGGAGGGTCGCCGCCGATGCTTCAGTGTCCGAAGTACATCGTATTTGAAAGTCGGAGGGAATTGTATGGGCTCTTCATTCCAGCCTGCGAACTCTCCCCGTTGCATGAGATTGCGAAGCTGGTCGAAAGTCAAAGCTTGAGCATAGTCTGCACCGTAATAAGTCTAATGAAGAAGGAAAGAAATCAATAGGAACCTTGTCGCGATATCAACCAGTCGGCATGAAGCCTAGAGATATCTAATCTGAAATTGAGATCGCCAAGTAAGAAAGCGTAATCAAATTTGTCAGCCAAGTCTGCGAACTTTTTTGAGTTGTAACTTGAACACAGCGAACAAGTAAAAACCTTCTGCCATGACGCGAGGATCTTCTGGGGAAAGAAAATCATCAACTTGGAGTCCAGTCTGCAAGGCTCATCAGAATGGACGAGACATATGCCCCTCTGCGACCTGAATTTTGGCGAAATCAGCCAGTCGGTGTTGAACTTTTCCTTCGTGAGCTAGATGGAGATTGAGGACTGAAAACGACAGGTGGTCGACTTGCCCACCAGCTAAGTGCGCGTTGATGAAAAGAAGCGTCGTGCCTAATCATCAGGGCGGGCTTGGTGAATGGTTCGGCATGTAGAGGATGTTTGTACCGTCAATGTTTAAACTGATACCAACTCCGCCTTTGTTTCCGACTCGCCCACCCATCAAACCAGTCGTGACAACAGAGCGCGAAGTCCCTGATACGAATGGTCGCAGGTCCCTGTGCACAAATATCGCTAGATATAAGCCCATCAGTCGTTCTACTAGGAGTTAGTATGACCTTGAGGTGGGTTCGAAAGTTCACCTTTGACAAGTAATTGGTAGGGTCCTTGTCGGTCACTCGTAGTCGTTTGCGTATTCGTCGCTTGTCGTTTGCCATGACAGAGCCAGTTTTCAATCATAGCTGTCCAGCCTAGTCCATCATGTGGAAAGGCCTCTCTGGCGTCAGAGGAATAACGCGAACTATCGCGGTCAGAGTCGCGGTCAATGAGTTTGAATCCTGCCCCAAATCCCATTGGAATGCCTTGAGTGATTTCTAGTAAGTTGAACATAGCCGCTAGCTCCAGATATCGAACCTAGAAGTGACGGACACTCTTGGCCTGCACTTTTGAGGGATTGGAAGCTTCTAAAGGCATAATGAGGACTTACACAACAACGAGGTGGTACGGATGCTGGTCCTCCATCAGGAATTGTGGCATTTGAGACTCGAACACTTGTGGTCGATACGGAGGAATCCGGCCGAGTAGTTCGGTCAAATCACCCTTGGCGGTTGAGTCAAGGAATATGGGAGTACAGACAGTAGTTCAATCAACCTTTGGGAGGGAGTCGTGCATATTCCAGGTGACCATCCTCCAAGTCGTTAAGTATGGGATAACTAACACCTTGATAAACGAACCTAATTTTCAAGTTGTGGGCCAATGTAGGTGAAGAAGGGTTTGGCGAAGTTGGGAACAGTGCTTGTAGTCGAGCGAGAACATTAGGATGCCGTGTCTGCCCAGCGATGGCAGGAGACGTCATGAGAGAGTGGCAGCGTAATTTTGGTCACACTTTCTCTCAACTCTCATGGGTCTTCTGTTGTCCTTACCCCTTGCAGGGGGACTGGGAACAATCGGCTCGTCCTGTTTGGCGGGCCTTGCCTTCTGTTTCACCTCCACAGCTGGTTGGCTATTGCGACGCTGCCTGCCGCCTGGCCTGGAACTAATTCCGCTGTAGCGTCCATGTTCTTCAAGTCATGCAATTGCAACTCTTCAATCGCTACCCGCGTTGGCTTTGCGGTATGCTTTTTTCGGTGCTAATGGGATTTTGTCGTATCCAAACGTCGCACCTAGATAATCTTCTCCTTGAACTCAATACTGGCCTGGGTAATGAAGACGCAGATGGTCGCAGAACTCATTCGCAAGTGGAGTTACGACTACATCAAGATGGAGTGTGCCAACAACAAGTGTTATGGAGTTCTGGCGGTATTTACTTGCTCGTCATCCATTGACCTTTCACAACCATTGGCAGGTCCATCGCATCTGTTTCGCCCTCACTCTGTTCCATATCATCCTCAGTCTTTCTCTCATCGGCGTCAAAGACACCCGTGACAAGCGTGCTGCACTTCAGAATGGGTCCGTCCAGATTCCCTTGTCTTACACTGAGACTGATCTAGATAGCTGGTGGGGTCCAAAAGTCCTGCTGTGGATTCTCATCATTGTCTCGTCATTCTTTATTCCCAACCAGTTTTTTATCTTCTGGGGAAACTACGTGTCTCTCATTGGCGCGACAATATTCATCCTGCTTGGTCTCGTACTTCTTGTGGACTTTGCCCACACTTGGACGGAAACCTGCATCGAAAACTGGGAAAACGACTCGTCCTCTCTTTGGCAGTTTATCCTTATTGGATCAACTGCTGCCATGTACATCTTCACGATTACCATGACGGGTATCATGTTTGGGTACTTTGCGGGGTCAGGATGCACTCTGAACCGATTTTTCATTGCCTTTAATCTAACTTTGGCCATCGTTATCACCCTTGTTGCGATAAACCCGACTGTTCAAGAACACAACCCCCGTTCTGGCTTAGCACAATCCGGAATGGTTGGCGCATACTGCACATATCTTATTGTTTCTGCTGTCTCCAATCATACACACGAGTCCAACAAATGCAACCCTCTTCGTAGCAGCGAAAGCACAGCACGGACCACAGCAGCCGTCCTCGGCGCTATATTCACCTTTCTAGCTATCGCCTATTCCACAACGAGGGCAGCCACCCAAAGTCGTGCTCTTGTGCGTAACGGCAAACGCGGAAGTGCCATCCAGCTCCCCGATGATGACGGGCATGCTGAACTAGGAGTGGTCAATACCCAGCCGTCTAGAACTGACTCACCGAGATACAGAGCTCTTCTGGCAGCAGTTGAGGCTGGGTGAGAAACTTGAATTTTACTACGACCAACCCGTATTAATTTTCAGTGCTATCCCAGAGTCAGCTCTCCAGGAAGACGAGGATGATGAAGACGACTTGGACACGGAAACACGCGACGATGAGCGGTCGGGTACACGTTACAATGCAAGTTGTTATGAATGCCTGTTCAACATAACCTGACTTTGTTTCAAGTACTCTTGGTTCCACATTATATTCGCCATTGCGGCGATGTACGTTGCGATGCTGTTGAATGACTGGTTCGTGCCTTTTTGTTGAACGGACACACTTTGACAATGTGGCCAGGAATGTTGTGACCTCGGATGACAAATCACCAGATCCCAATAGCATTTACATTGGCCGTTCAGAAGTTGCGATGTGGATGCGCGTGGTTTCTAGTTGGATATGCATGCTTTTATATATTTGGAGTCTCATCGCACCAGTCATACTCCCTGATCGGTACGTCTTACTAAGCAAGTAAGGCTCTACTCAACTTGTTCCAGATTTGGTGAAATATAATCCAATATCTACTTTTCCATTGAAATTAATTCTTGCAATGTTTCCGCATATTTATTTCCCACCAACGACTCGACCGCCACCGGCTTCAGTGGACCCCGCACAATAGGCTTCCCATACTCCCAATTCCGACAAACGATGGCCTTGACCCCTGATATTCCTCCTAGTTTTTGGATTGCCCAGTCGGCATGCCCAAGCTTGGCCTGCAACTCAAATGCCTCCGATAGCCTGCTTTCCCGATAGAGTTGAAGGAGATTTCCATGCGATTTGGGTAATACATTGACTGTAGCCCCGATAACTCCTGACCCGCCGCATAGCAGGCTCGTAAGGAAAATGTCGGAGCGACCGGCAAAAACGGCAAATTCACTTGGAGAAAATGTCGAAGCAAGCCGATGGAGTTTTCCAACCTGGCCACAAGAAAGTTTAACACCGACGATATTAGGATGTCGAGCAAGTGTGGCAATGGTGTCCGAGTCGAGGTCGATGCCAGCGGTGACGACAGGGAAGTTATAAATCATGTAAGGAATATTAACCGCATCAGCAACTTGACGATGAAAACGGATAACGTTGTCCGCTGTCATTTGTGGGGGCCAGGTCGAGGGTGTTAAAACAAGAACGTATGAGGCACCTGCTTCCTTGGCATCGAAACACAACTCAAAAGCAGTTGGATGTAACAACCCTGTTGAGGACTTTTTACTTACCTGTTTAGTTTCTCGTGTTGACTGAGCGCCAGTACCTGCAATGAGTACTACATTATTGAAGCCATTCTCATCAAGGGTTGTCCGAGTGAATTGAATGATCTTTTTCCGTTCTTGACGGTCAAGATGTTGTGCCTAGTGTGAACGATGTCAAGAAAGCATTTGCAGGGTCTCTTTTGTTACCTCTCCGTTCGAGCCTTGGACGAGTATCCCCGTCACGCCTCCCTAGCTAGATCGAGACAGTGCGACTAAGCCTGGATTTCAAGTACCTGTGCGAGACGAAGGAGATGAGACCTAATCGCATCCAAGTCGAGTTCCTCGTTCTCGTCGAAAAACAAAGTGGCCGGGACGTAGTAACCGGGGGGTGGGGGTGAGGCCATCGTGGATGGGAATGAGAACGATTGATGGATCACAGAGCAAGTAATCTAATCGCGTTTGAGGTTCCTACGCAAGACAAACATCTTTTCGCCTTCAACGGTCGTCCCCATTTCCACCACATTCTGGAAGCCATCCAGGCCCTGTAAACCGCTATCTTTCGCTAGTACGATATACATCTCCAGTCCATCACCGACCTGTTTCTCGTTTGTGAATGCAACGGCACGGTGGCAAAAAGACAAACCTCGATATGACGTTCAGTTGCACTAGTAAACGAGTCTATGACGAGCTGTAGAACTGTGGGCAGTGGCAGATGTGCCGGGAACGCTTGGCCTGGTGGTGGGTTCTGATTCTTGAAGTAAATCTAGCCAGTCGGTAAATGAATGGGTGGATCGAAAAGTTCAGATCGACTGGCCTGATTGTCAAGGAAAGGTTGTACAAGGGATTGGGCAGCTCCCGCTGCACGACACGCCTCACGCTCATATGAGCCCACTGGATCAAAGGAATATACGGTGCCAGAACCTTCAAGTAAAATCGATCAGGTAAAAGCCTTGCTTTTACTTGATCAAGACACATACCATCTTCCTCGATACCGCCCAGAATATTATATACGTAGTAGGGGAAGAAGCGACGAGCGTAGAGCATGGTCTGAATGAGGCGGGCAATGGCGCGTATTGGCATGTCTTTGGAGTGTGCATGTCGATACCACTGAACGCGTCAGGAACAGTGGATTGGAGTGCGTAGACTTACCTCGAGCCTTTGGTGTACTTTCTTGACGAACATGTTACCGTCTGCCGCAAAGCCATTGGTCGCAAGAACAGCTTTGTCGGTTCTTGACAGAAACGCGTAAGATGTGGAAGGAATACTGAGGGATGATGACGCACAAACGAAAGACCTTTGGGGCATATCTTGTTTGGATATTGAAGCCCTCAGTTTGTCGGGTGTCTCCTGCGATGACGCTGAAGTTGGAGCCCGCAATTGCGAGAATGGTCCCTCCGTTGTCGGAGTAAGGATTAAATTGGCGTTGTTGAGGCATAGGACAAGGACGCGCAAGTGCGTTACGGTGACGCGTTTAGATGTCACATTGCATGATAACACTCGTACTACTAAAAAGGGAATGGATGGGTATTGATATATCTAATGTCCAAAGTCTGTCCATCGTCACAGTAGAGCGGCAAGGAGTCCCACCAAAACGAATAGTCCTGCCGCTGGGAAATGGATAGTCGTCGCGCCGCTTCGCTTAACCTTGCGAGAAGCGAGCGTCTCCGTAGAAATGAGACCGTCTTTGGTTTTTGTAACAATGGTCGCTGTCACATTGCGAAGTTTCTGCTTGGGTAGCATATTTGGATCCGGAGAAACGCGGAACATGGGGGCTACAGGTTCGCCATTGAATTGGAAGAGATGGAGCTTGGGTCCAAACGTCGTGTCCATGAAGATGCGCCATGAGACGAACAGCTCAGTGTAGTTGTAGTTCTGCATGAAATTGGAAGTAGCGGCACAAGGGGCCTGGACTTGTTGGTATCCGTCTCCAATTGGTGTCAGAATAATGGAGCCGTTGTTCAGCAAAGCATAATGGCCATGGGCCCAAACGACGGTGCCGATAATACAGTTGGGCTCGGTAGCTAAGGCACTCGTATGAGATGAGTTCACACAGGCAAAATGGCACACACCGTTCGAGCTGAAGCGATACCTCGCCACCTCGTACCAACCGTCGTCAGAGCTAGTTATTGAATGAGTGGCGGAGTAATCGAGGAGAAGGAACAAACAATGAAATACCGACACCAGTGGTCGGAGGATATGTGAATGACTCTTGAGCTGGATTGGCAAAACCCTGGGGAGACTGAGCGCACAATGGGTAGGGGGTTGACTTCGCAAACTCACAGGACCTGGGACAACATGCTTGCTGCCGGTACTCCAGGTACCGATTATTGGGGTGGCATTGTGAGCAAGGTCGTACTTGATGTCTTGGGCAGAAACGGCGGCGGCGGCGGCAAACGCGAGGGTTATTAGAGAAAGGTGCATCGGTGGAGTAGACGACGACAGTGATGGGACAAAAGAAGATGTTTCAATTATGTCAGCAATGCACAGCTACTACGACAACTCTGAATTTTGTGCCTCCTCCCGGTGTCGTCTAAGTAGACGGTCCAGAGCTTCCTTCTGCCCGACTGCCAATTCTCCAGACTGGATTCCAGAATGATAAACTCGGAGCAGCGAGTCGACGTCATCCATCGATTGTGTCCGAACGTCGGCCAGCTCCTTGATTTTAGCAGTCGCATCCTTGATTTCCTCGTCGGTCATATTGAGCTTGAGCTGCTCCACTCGTGATTTGACCGCATTCCAGCCTGTAAGACGATGTCTGCTGGGAATCAGCCAAAAAGCCAACTAGGTCGAGAACTGAACCCACCCAATCGATACATAACGTGTGAGGCCAAAATCTTCTGGCTTCAGGATCTCATATGTGCTAGGATTATTCAAGATGGCTTTTGCGTGGATACCGGCTTTGTGTGTAAAAGCGCAATAGCCCCTGGTTTCCGTCAGTTACCAGCATTGTTCCAACAGCCACTTACGTAATGGGATTCATGAATGGAATGTTCACCTCAACAGCTTCAGCGACCAGATTTTCGATTTCGCGCAGCATAGGCAGGTTGTACTTGCTCTTGACATAATCCGGATTGGCCGCATATAAGCAGGCCACTAACCCACCTAACGGTGTGATACCAACCCGCTCACCGATACCCAAGACGGCTGTGGATAGGTAAGACATTATTTATTACCCAAGGCATTATTGTTGGAGTAACCTACAGGTGTCGATATGAGTAGCGCCGGCTTCAAGGGCAGTATAAGCGTTAGCGATGGCCATCCCAGTATCGTTGTGAAGATGAACTTCGATATCACAGCCAACCACACCCCGGAGCGTCCTGATGAGGTCATAGACCTGCCTAGGGTTGGCGCAACCAACAGTGTCCGCAATTCCAACTCGATGGACGCCAATTTTGTCTACCGTTTGATAAATGGAGAGTAGATCAACGAGGTCGGATCGGAATGAGTCCTCTGAGGAGAAACGAACTTCAATTCCTTTTGACTTGACGAAGTTTATGACTTCGATGGCCGTTTTGGTGATATATGCCATATCTTTGCCGTGAGAGAACTCGCGGAGAAAAGAGGAAGTTCCAATTACGACGTCCACCCCATCGACGCCAGTCTCGACAGCAATGCGAGCATCATCCATGTGGCATCGAATATGAGTTAGGATTTTCGCCTTGAGCCCAAGCTTGCAGATAGCCTCGCAGTCTGCACGAGACTGTTCAGAAGCAGCAGGCGATGTGAGTTCAATATATTCCACCCCAAATGCATCCAACGCTTTGGCGATGGCAATTTTGGTTTTGGTGTCGAAGAAGGCGTTCGCAAATTGCTCCCCCTCTATGAAATGACATCACAATTTCTGTAGGAGAGCCATGATGATGCATACCTCTGAGGGTACTCTCTATGATGTTGAAATTAGAGACATTGGACAAGAAATCGGAAGGTCGAGGGGCATAGGGATTGCTCAGTTGCGACGGTGTGCTGGTATAACCATTGAATCCATTGACTGGTACGTTGGTCCCCCGCTTTCCGTTGGACAAGGGAACTTCCACCATCTCGGAGTTGGGAATATCTTGAGCGTTTTCGTGAGGGCACATGAAGGTCGAGTCAAAGAAAGGATGACGGCTCCAAATTATCTCAACACAATGATCGCAAATCTCGGCCGAAAAGTGATTGCGTAAACAATCTCTAAGTGTGTCCAGTTATAAGATCTGCAATCGCCAGCGTCTACTGTTGCACCCTGGCCTGTTCTTTAATCACCTTCAGACCCGATGCTCACCCACAACGCCCCACCCACTCTCCCCAAACCATTCCATGGTTGCCGGTCTCAGCTCACTGGCAGCGACCATATCCGGTCCTGCGCGGCCGCCAACGGTACGCGTATCCGCCATGGCCGCTACTGCTCCGCAAGTGTCCCAAACCGGTCTATCAGCAACAAATTAGTGGTTGCGCCAGGCGCCGTCTCCCCGCTCGCGTTAGCGAGTTGTGTTCTTTTGGCCGGCATCGCGAAGCACGCTAACATGAAGTTAGTGTTATGAAATCTGGCCAAACAAGAGCAAGTACGGACATGAGTCGCGAAGTATACAAATGTCGACGACAAGTTCAAACTGGTCCACTATTTTGAAGTCAAATCCGTCAAACTCAGCAACGCAGCGCAACCGACTTGACCAGGTCGGCCGTTCGTTGCATAACACTCTAAGTCAATGTTGGCAAATCTGGCAAAAGAAAGCAAAGCATGCACCCAAACTAGCGTCGACGACGACCCCTCCATCGAGTGATCATGGGCGTAGACCTGGGATCTACCCAACTCTATTGTTTGGTCAACATTACGAGCATTGGACGAATTGTGACAAACCTCAAGCAAGACAGCAAAAACTGTTCTGGCGCCAGCCCCGCAGCACCAAAACCGATAGACAATGGCACTAATTAGAAACCAATGTCAACATGGGCGTACTCGGCAAAAATGGCGCCAACACTGGAAGAAAGTCAGCAAGCGTCATTGCAGAGGAAGGAATAGTACTGACCTGATTACAGGTCGTGCTTGAATGGCAAAATGCAGTAGATGGATCCACAACGACTTAGCTTGTAATAAAGTCATAGACTGACTCGTGTGATCAAACGGCGTCACGCGTGGGGGAAGTTCTGAGAAAGAATTCGGACAACTTGTCAATTGTTAGTTACACCGGAGGCAAACAACCTACCTCAGATGCACTTCTTCATGCTTGCACTCGACGACCTGTTTGAACGCAACACGTATGCGCCTGACGGCGCATTCTTCGCGCCCGTCCGAGTCAACGATGGCGGTCATCGAGGCCGAATTGTTCCCAAATTAAGTTCCCCTTATGCGCATTTTTCGCGTGCGCACATAACGAGAGCCGCCAGAGGATAAGGCTGATCACCTTAAGCTCAAGTCCGGGGCGGAATGCACGCCTCCGGCGGCGAAATCCTCCGAAAAAGTGACTTTTTAAAAGGCAAAAAACGACGCAGAAAGTGCTTCTGGGGGAGAGTGTGTTAAGAGTATAGTACGTAAGATCAACTTACAAGCAAGATGATACCGATCTCCAATGGACTCTTCTTCGGGCTTTGTCTGCCAGTGCGCTACTGGACAACTTCAAGATAGTCCAGCAAGTGCGTCTCGGGTTGTGTTCAGGGAGAAAATGGTGGCGCGCCTAGCATAGCTCATGTTCCGACTCTTTTCGCGGGTGTGGATGTGTTGTCAAAAGGCTAATTAGCCCTGCATTGACAGTTCAGTAATTATAATTTTTTGGTACTATACTTAAACAAGAGACACACCTCATGACAGCAGCCCTGAATAATGCTTATAACTACTCACACCGGAAAAAGCAAAATATCAGCTCGAACAGAAACTGTAATTGATTTTAGACCAATCTGAAGTAGAATTAGGCCGACTTAAATGCAAAGTTTTAATTGAGCAGAAACCTACTCAGAATTTGGACAAACATGTACAAAAATCAGCTCCAACAAAACCCCTTCTTTCTTCTAACCTGAAACGGCTATGGAAACTATGCCTATCAGCGCTAGTTTCCATAGCCGTTTCAGGTTAGAAGAAAGAAGGGGTTTTGTTGGAGCTGATTTTTGTACATGTTTGTCCAAATTCTGAGTAGGTTTCTGCTCAATTAAAACTTTGCATTTAAGTCGGCCTAATTCTACTTCAGATTGGTCTAAAATCAATTACAGTTTCTGTTCGAGCTGATATTTTGCTTTTTCCGGTGTGACTCCACATTCGAGAGGTGTTGCGCTGCAACAGAGTGAGCAAGCAGATGTTAATATGTAGCCGGGGGACTGACGGAAATGGTCGAAACACAAGTCACGACTTGTGTGACAGCACGCGATAAGTAATCTTAACTTCCTCCATCGCACTCCAGTTGCTCACAATCTCCGCTCCTCTGGTAAGCACTTAGACGTTGTTTCCTGACTTCAAGGCTACCTCAAAGCCGCATCCGGCAAGCACTTCAACGCCCTTATACTCACTTCTCCAGACTGCAATGCCAAATCCGGCAGACCCGCGCCGACCACGGCCACATCCACGCAAGTCTAAGCTGATAGGGCTGCTTTGAACTCTGGCTATCACGACCAGCCACTCATCTCCGCTTCCTTCACGCACACACAAGGCCCGGGCCCGCAGTCAAAACCAACTCAATGCGGGCAGAACTCAGCAACGCGCATGTTGGCGGTGCTATCTCCCGCAAGGCAAGACCAACGGGGCTGATAGTGATAAACGCCGAGCTTGCTCAACGACGCGCAACATGATGAGTGCGAAGTCTGTCAAAACTGGTTGTGTAGAGATTTTGAGTTGACCTGAACACTTGGGCAATGACCGTGCTGCCCGCTATTGCCCAACAACTCCGCCAAGTCAGACGACGAGCGGACAGCCCTACCAGCAAAATCGCGGCCTTATTCCTCCAACGCAAGCGAGTCTGGTTGAAATGGCGCCGACTGATACGGCGGGAACGGGCGCGTGGTGGATGGGGGCAAAGACCTATCCTAATCAAAATAGCGCCGACGGCGCCAGCAAGTGGTTAGCGTCTCCAACAGACCGATGTCAAGTCTTGACGCGCCGCCTGCCGCAATCACCAGCTCAGATCTCAGCAACACCGCAACTGATATCTCTTCTCCCCTGCGGCAATTCAGCGTAGACTGAACATCAGCACAGGGACGACAATGGCAACATCAGCACTCAACACCAATACATCCTTGCCGAACACGCTTGCAGGCCTCTGGTCAGCGGGACTCATCTCCACGTAGCCCAGCTCGTCTGACTCCCGTCCCGCGCGCCACCCGAGTCCGCCCATAGGTACTACTCCGACGCGTCCACACTTGGGCATTGACCCTTGTGAAGAACCAGAACCAGCACCGTCAACCAGCGATGACATCTACAACAAGACAGCATACACCTTCTTCGCAAAGCATGACGCATCCCTCTGCCGCACGCCCAAGCCTCTGTATAGATATCTCAAGGGTAACCTGAAAGCTCATTCTATGAGTCACCCGCATTGTTGGAGGCAGTAGTGACACCAGTCGCAATTTCTTCGTCCAAAGGTTATTCTACGTGATTTCCACATTCTTTTTTCTAACCGTTTTCAAGGCTCTATCGCTCCGTTACCTCAAATACCGTCTTCTTCAATTGCCTGGGTTTGTCCAGCTCCTATTCATCCAAACACATCAATTGACAAACGACTGCACAGATTCAACGCTTGTTGTCAACGGCGGTGCTACTGGCCATGTTGTCATGTAAGTGGTTGCTTGTCTGACTGACTTGTTTGCCGACAAGTAGTTCAATCGGGTTCAGGTTAGTCGTTGAAGTCGATGCTTGGGGCGTCGGTGGCCGCGCGGTCGCCAAAGGATATTAAGTTGGGAAGCAATGTGGGCATTGCTCGTTGTCATGCTCATTTTAAGGTGCGTGATTGTTTGGCACAAACTTGTGTGACTGACTCGTTCGCAGATAAGTAGCGAGTTTATTGAGTTCAATGTCGTCGTTGGAGGCGGCACTCGGGTGCTACTTACCCAGAAGCGCAACATAGAGTTGTGGAGCCATTGCGGCAGCGTTGGCACGTTGGGCAAGGCAGAGCCCATTCAATTAAAACGCTGGGGCGGAGGATACATAAGTATGAATAGCATACATGTGCAAAGCCTTACGTGTATTATACTGGTTGTAGGTCAAGGTAATGCAATTGCAACAATGGAGGATTGGAGTGTTACCCAGCATGGCCCGGCTGATTGCCTTGATAGCCAATTTGTATGCCGGAAAAAAATGTCATCGGCCGGATCACAGATTCGAGTTCTACATTTTCCGAAAGTTTTCTGTGGCAGAAAATGTTCTGACCCGGGAAAAATCGTATTTGTCTGCGGCAGAACATACATTAATGCCCATAGTGAATTATCTGTCTACTCTCTTGTCTTCCTCCTCTTTTCCAACGCGTACAGGAAGTCCCGCAAATTTTGATCGGAGTGCTTCGTATTTGCGGCGCTGAGTCGTACTAACACTTGGTCCGACTTTGTCGAGCGCCTCCACGAAGTCGACGATGCCTACTGTAACTGAATCTTGACTTGAATCGATTGATAGACCTAGAGATCGCCTCAAAGCACACACTCCAGCTTCTCTAACGAGAGAAGCCAAGTCGGCACCACTGTATCCGTCACATTTTTGGTAGGCCAGATCCTCAACGACGTTACTGGCGTCATGTAGTGGGATACCGCGCAGAAGTGTTCGTACGATTTCAGCACGTTCATCAGGACTGGGCAGATCAACATAAAGCAGTTTGTCTAACCGCCCAGGTCGCACCATAGCAGGATCAATCATATCAGGTCGATTGGTAGCAGCAACAACATAAACGCTTTTGCGTGCATCGAGCCCATCGAGTTCAGTCAGTAAGGTGTTGACAACACGAGCGGATGACTCTGACTGTGCAAAAAGATTGAATCGAGTTGGCATACCAAGCAAGATCAACGACAAACTCACAAGGCTGTCATCACGTCTTGGAACCAGGGCATCCAGTTCGTCAAAGAAGATAACACACGGCGAAGATGCACGTGCTCGTGCGAACACTTGACGGACTGCTCTCTCGCTTTCACCGACGTACTAGACGATTTTTCAGACGATGAATGAAATGGAGAACGAATTAATTACCTTATTTAAGAGCTCAGGACCTTTGACACTGATAAAGTTGGCCTGGCTTTCATTAGCAACAGCTTTGGCCAACAACGTCTTTCCACAGCCAGGCGGTCCCCAAAGGAGAACACCACAAGGGGCAACGATGCCTACGCTTCTGAAGAGAAGGGGGCGTCGTAGTGGAAGAACGATAGCCATTTGGAGGGCGTCTCGAGTTTGATGGAGCGCTCCGATGTCAGCCCATGTTACATCTGGGACAGTGGCAAATCCTTCGCGCTGGGCTGATGGTTGCACTTGTTTCAGGGCATCGATGAAATCATTTGAGGTGATTAGGAGTGGGGCAAGCTGCTCCGAGGTCAATGGCGTTGGATATGCCTTGAGAAAATGCGCTATTGAGCTCGCGGTTGGTCCGACAGGGATAGCAACTTTGAAGGGAAGGATTGGATCGATGAGTTGCTCCGCCATTTCTTCATCGGCCGAGGGCAGGACGATTGTTCCGTCAGCTATCTGTTTAAAGATTCGCTTCACGGCAATCACACCCGCAGCGCCGGTGAGCGCCGCTAAATCGGCTCCGACATAACCAGGAGTTGCTTTGGCCAACGCCGCGAAGTCGAAGTCGCCTGCCAGTTTAAGTTTAGAGGAGAGAACTTGCAAAATCCTTGTAGACATTTAGAGAGAGAAAAGGCAACGTGAACAACATGCACTTGATACGGCTGGCTTCGTCTGGCACCCCCATGCTGATTTCATGATCAAACCTGCCTGCACGCCGCAAAGCAGAATCTAACGAGTCTGGACGATTTGTTGCCCCCATGACGATGACTGGCTTGCTGTCAGTCTTCTCCCAAGACATACCTAAAATAAGAACAGATGAACAACCAAAATTCTGAGAGGATGTGAGATACCATCCATGCAAGTCAGAAACTGTGCGACGATGCGTCGCTCCATTTCTCGTTGAGCAATTTCTCGTTTTGGAGCGATGGCATCAATCTCGTCGATGAACAAAATGCAAGGGGAGACGCGCTGAATGTATTAAGCACCCAGATTATGCGGAGGGATGAGGGAAATGCAGACTTTGGCTTCTTCAAAGGTATCCCGCAACGTCTTTTCGGATTCTCCGGACATTCCCGAGACAATAGATGGCGCAGATATATTGATAAAGGGAACTGCCAATTCCTAGATACAAAAAAAAATGGATATAATGGCTTGATGAAGGAGGAATTGATCGTACCCCAGCTATAGCGTTGGCCAGGAGCGTTTTCCCCGATCCAGGAGGACCGTGCAGTAGAACTCCGCGTGGAGGAGGAACTCCGGTGTGAAGGTAAATTTCCGGGTGACACAGAGGCATTGCAACCAGTTCCAGAAGTTTTTCGATGCAGTCATCAATACCCCCCAGATCAGCCAGTCGCACAGGTGGAGGTATGTAATCTTTGGATATGGCTATTTTCTGACGCTTGCTCGTAGATGGGTCATTAGAGGACCTTACTTTGCGTTTGCCATTAGGCGGGAGCTCAACTGCTGCGGCTTCGACGTCGTCAGGCATATTGTCATCATTGAGATTCAATTTTCCTCGGCGTTGCGCGGTCCAAAGGCCTTGCATCTGCCTGTTCAGACTATTGGAAGCCTGGCTGTTTGATTCATAGCTGTGTCCACAATATTGAGTGATACATACCATGACCGATCTGTGGAAAAAGTTGACTGTGACCAGTTTTCTCAACCGCAAGCCACCATGCGTCTGTGCTCTCTCCATGAATTTATCCCCTCTTACTTTCGTATCAGCACCTAAACGCGCTAAAAAAATAGCTTTGAGCGAGTTTCTCGGGGACGACAGTGCGTTCTTTGCAATCCCATGTTCAACCTCTGTTAATTTTCTGTTTTCCTCAGCTCTGGGTTCATGGGCAGATGAGATGGACTCCCTGCCTAGTGCCCGTTCGTTTTCCCCCGTTCCAACATTACCAGGCTTATCAATGGCATTCAGCTGCCCCTCGACCTGACGATGACCAAGCCCACGGTAATGACCGCTATAATCGACGCGACGATTTTTTGTCTACTCGGCGTGCGTGATGCGTTCACCATAACTACCTTTCCAATTCGATGTAGCCGACAGACAAGCTGGACCTCCCCGTGAAGACTTGCCATTGCCTACTCAGCCCCCCTACACTGTTTTCATTGGCAACCTGGCTTTCGACCTTACCGACATAGAATTGGGTGACTTTTTCGGTTCAGACAAGGTATTTCCTATCTCATTGCCTCGATGGATTATAACATCCGGACAGATCAAGTCGGTGAAAATTATCAAGGATAAAGAAGACAAACCCAAAGGTTTCGGCTACATAGAATTCGACGATCTGGAAGCTTTGAAAGAAGCTTTAGCAAAGAGCGGCTCTGTTCGTTACTGCACGTTCTGTTTCGATGCGGCTGATCATATAACAGAGTTTTTCTGGGCGAACTATACGTGTGAGCGTTGCTGAACCTCGTGCGTAACTCTACATTGAACTGTTCCGTTGGGTTGACTTTTTGTATTCAGCAAAGGAGCGCCAAGGTTTTCCCATGGAAGATGACTCTAAATTCGATAATCCTTGGAGACGTGAAGGGCCGTTACCTACGAGTGTTGGTTCACGAGAGTCCTCCCGTCGCCGGTTTGACGGGCCACCTTCTACAGACCGTTTTGGTTCTACCACTGAAGGACCAAGCGATTGGCGAGCAAATCGACCCCCAGTGCGAGCAACTCCACTCGATACTGAACCTGCATTCAAGCGGAAAAATTCTGGCCTCACCACTCCTGATGGCCCGAGCCCAGCAGACAAAGACGAAATCTGGACGATCGGCGCCAAATTCAAACCTGTGGAGGAAAACTCCGGAAACAGATTCGGAAGCCGTGGTCGCAGTGAAATGCCTCCCCCGCCTGCTGTTGAAGAAAGTGATTGGCGGACTAGTAGACCATCCCGTGAGAGCACATCCCGTGGGTTCAAGACTATCTGATTATGTCTACTTCCTGACCATTGCTAGCGAACAATTCAACTCCACCAACACCTCAGTTGAGTCGCCGCAAACTGGAACTGCTTCCCCGTTCTGGCAATGTCTCTGCCGCGCCTAGCCCTCTTTCATCGCCAAAAATTGCCCCTGCAGCCGCTACAACTGGTTCGTCCCGCCCAAATCCATTTGGTATTGCTAGGTTGGTTTCATACTGAGATGGTTCTCCAACTTAAGATCCCTTTGTAGACCTGTCGACGTCACAAATCGGGAAAAAGAAGTCGCGGAACGGGTCGAAAAGGATCGTGATATTATGAAAGAGAGGCTGACCATGTCCCGAACAAACTCAAGGAATGCTATTGAACGGACCCCTCTCAATCGGTCGCACATTTCACCACCGGCTTCTCCAAGATCCCCCAAGTCAACGCCAGTACCGACCCCAAAACCCTCCTCGACTTCGACAGTGCGACCGTCTTTCAGCTTTGCTAATGCTGCAGCAAAGAAGGAGAATGTTCCTGAGAAAAAAATTGAGCAGGAGTCAAGTATAGAGGGTATCACAGATATGGTATCTGAAGTTGCTATCTAAGATGTTAATTTTCTTTTTTAAAGTACAATTGACAGATTTACCAGTAATAGATGTCATTTGGCTTTGATTCAAACCAATATCAGTAAATTGAATGGCTTAAAGAACAATTCTAGTCAGCTAAGAATCATGGTATAATAATTGTAAGGGTGTCAGGTGTGTGCAGAATAGAGAAGGTTTCTACTATAGCTGTCAGGCTTTGGATTGGGCCACTCAAGGCTTCTCCTAAGAATGTGCACCGGGAACAGAACAGATGGATTGTTGGGCCTGCAAGTAGAGCGAGCGGGGTAAAATCGAACCGAAAGGGCCCGTTAATGCGGTCCCTTGTCATTGTCAGTGTCAAAGTTTGAATCAGGTTGTTTTGGGCCTGATGAGTCAGTGGTACCTCCTTGCATGGAGAGAAGTGGTACTATAGACGATCTAAGCGATAGAGTACAGTGTACACTATTGTGCCTTATATATGCAGGCCCGCAGAGGGGTGATTGGACACCCTTGGCCTCTCCTGCTCCTCCTCGCCCTCATTCCTGGCCACAGGGGGGACGATTGTACATCCCTTGTGGGCTAGATGCTACTCCTAACCTCCTAGCACTCCTCCCCAATCCTCTGGTATTGAGTTGGGCTTGGCAACAGCTCAACACATTGTTCTCAGTCACGTGCTTCCCACGTGTGCATTCCTCCTACTGGGGTGCCTGTTCCCCATCATCATGTGCTGCGTGTTGCGGGCTTGCAATGGCCTGACATTAGCACTGGAGCAGACAGGCCGGGTCTTATCCATGACAATAGCTAATCAGCCAGTAGCTGCCTGACATGAATGGACACAAGACCAACCAGAGTGTAGTTGGAGCAGACAAGGTCTGTCAACAGAGTGGAGTCTAGTAAAGACAAGTGAAGAAGAGAAAAATATTATCAGAGTTATTTCACACACATCATATATGTAAGGGAAACCCTGGAGGCCTAAGAGAAAGGTCCTAGCAGGGGAGTAGAGTGGAGCACAGGTCAGGGTCAACCTGCAGGGTTTCAGGGTAGGGTCTGTCAGGGTTAGGGTCAGGGTCAGGGTCAGGGTCAGGGTCAGGGTTAGGATACACTAATTTCTGAACCCGGCCAAACCCGGACCTTTTCAGGGTCAACCCGGAGGGTCCAATAAGCTGTTGTGATTCAACAATTTCTTATCTAAATATGATTTTTGTGAGTTTTTAAGAGACAAAAAAAATTACATGTCACTTAAGTCATGTGACATGTGACATGTGAGTAAACTGTATCAACTATACTTAAAATTTTGAGGAATAGGCTACATATGCTATATCTGAGCTAATATCATATAGCAAAATGTATGTTATGTTGAAATTATTGTCCCAAATACATCTTCTGCTTCTATGTCTGCAACCTGTGGGTTAACCCGGACCCAGTTGGACCTGTACCCAGAAGGGTCAGGGTTAATCAGGGTCAGGGTCAGGGTCAGCCTTCTGAGACCCGGACCCGGACCCGTGCTCAACCCTACCTGAGGGGAGAATTCAAAGGGAATGTAAGGGCAACCCTGGAGACTCCGACGAAAGCCTAGCAGGGGAGGATCCAAAGAGTGAATAAGACTACAGGAAATACACGGAGGGACCGACCTAGCAGGGGAGGATCCAAAGAGAAGAAATCTAAGGGTCCGCCTGCTAGGGCGCCAACTATATACTGGTCGTCCGTAACTGCCGACGTAGAGTGCAGAAGGCCTGAGCGGCGTCGCAGGCTCTGTCCCAAGGTGATCGTTGGGAGGGTCTTGATGGATCGGTGATTGTGCGGGCGAAGGAGGCCGTGGACGATGGTCGGGGTGGGTCGGAGCGTCCGAGGGGGCGCCGGTTGGATGCGCCTCGGATGCGTTCGGAGGGTCCGAAGAAGGCCGAAGCGGGGGTTCCCCTGACAGGGAAGAGACTCTAAGGGTGTAAGGGCAATCTCGCGAGGCTCAAAATCAGAGTCCTGAGCAGAGGGGGAATCCTTAGTGAACTACTACAACAGGAAGGGACGCTACAGACTCACCTGAGCAGAGGGGGAATCCTTAGAGAACAAGCCAAGGAGCCCTCTGCCCAGGTGCACTACTATATACTAGTGACTGGAGTAATGATAGAGTGACTGCGTAGCGACGGATGACGGGTTGGAGAAGTCAGGTGTCGCTAATGGACCCTAGGTGAGTGTCGAGTAGCCCTCGAAGCTCCGGAGAGGCAGGTTTGGGACCGTGATGCCAAGGGAGGGGCCCAGGCATCCCTAGAAGGCCCAAGAAGGGCTTCGGGAGGTCCAGGCTGCCTCTGGGCGTCTCCGCTTGTGACCGTGACGTGACAACCGGAATCGGAATCGGAATCGGAATCGACTCCGGGTGTGTGACCGTGACGTGACGGCCGGAAACGGAGAGGGAAGGCGTGGAGCGGAAAGGGAAGGAGTCTGGTCTAGCCCAAGGGCCGGGGAGTGTCGAAGAGGACCAATGGGAATGGCGGCCAGCCATGACCACTGGAGAGGTAGCGACAGGGGTCACTCGGAGACGTCCCCGGACGTCTCCAGAGAGGTGGAGGTGTGAGGGCGTGCAGCCTGGGGCGCTGCAGTAGGCACGAGCCTTAACGGCAATAGGCCTCACCCAGGGGAAGACCCGATGACGGGGGCCGTGGTGGGGAGTAGAGAGCGGAGCCATGGCAAAGCTCAGCCATCCGAACGTAAGCCCGAATGCTGACATAGGTTGGGGACACCCAAGAGGTCCAGCGGATAGAGATGGTAGGGAGACCTTGATAAGTAACAGCCCAGAGAGGCTAGAAGGCCATAAGCTCAAGGTCTCGGAGGGAAGTGGTGCATCCACATCCGGAGAGGTCTCCGATGGCGTTAGTGATCCATGATGGTGATTCCGGATGGACTTCCGGAGGGGAGTGGCCAGGGAAGTCGAAGACTCGGGATCACTGGATGTGGGATGTGGTGCAGGCAGTGGAGGGAGGGAGAGCGTTAGGGTGCGGAGACGCGGAGACACGAGCGGAGACGCGGCGCTTGATGGGATCAAGTGACGGCATCAGGGGTTCCCCTGACAACTTTTCAAAACCTCCAAAATCTTTTTTTGTCTAAGACTCGGAATTGAAATTTAATACTGGTCTGTGTTACATGCATGCAAATGTGTGTACCAGCTATATATAGTGGAAGCGCATATGACCAGCATCTGGTCATAGTGGTCTTTTGGCCCAGTTGGATTCTGTGTTAGCGCTTCTGCACGGATTTCACAGTCTGTGACATCACAAAGGGTTTGTTACTAGTTATAATATGAGTATATTATGAATAATTGAATGACTGGTGACTTGTGTCCAGTTCAATGCCTGAGTTACACTGTTACATAGGGTCACATAGTGTGACAAATTTCCAAAAAGGGAAATTTTCGCCATTTGACAGTATAATCATCAGAGAATGTCACAGATTGTCACAAAACTAAAGTTGTATATTTTGTCTATACAAACAACTTTCATTAAGTAACCTATAGTGACAGCTGAATGATTATGCCAGCACTAGCCAATTACTGGCTGATCTGCAACTAATAAGATAATATCTCAATAACTAAACAGGCTATATAGCTGATTGAAATACTAATAAGAATACCAGAATGGTGAGATCAATATCCTTAACAATATTATTGGTATATACATACCACCTAATGATTGTGCATCAGACATATTGATTTGGCAATATCTCTCCCAATTCTTCCAAGATTCAGATGATTGTTCCACTAGTAGGTAGATAGTTATATTCTTGTTATATGTTCTAATATGAGAGTAGTCACATACTTTTAGACTATATAGTTATCCTGCTTTTTTATAGTTTTTCTACTTCAAATTTGATGATGCACAATGATAACTTGATATATGAATAAGGAATGCATATGTAAGGGCAACCCTGGAGACTCTGACAAAAGCCTAGCAGAGGAGGATCCAAAGCGTGAATAAAAGCTACGGAAATACACGGAGGGACCGACCTAGCAAGGGAGAATCCAAAAAGAAGAAACTCTAAGGGTCTGCCTGCTAGGGCGCCAACTATATACTGGTCGTCCGTAACTGCCGACGTAGAGCGCAGAAGGCCTGAGCGGCGTCGCAGGCTCTGTCCCAAGGTGATCGTTGGGAGAGTCTTGATAGATCGGTGATTGTGCGGGGGCGAAGGAGGCCGTGGGACGATGGTCGGAGTGGGTCGGGGCGTCCGAGGGGGTGCCGGTCGGATGTGCCTCGGATGCGCTCGGACGGTCTGAAGGAGGCCAAAGCAGGGGTTCCTCTGACAGCATAGATAATCTTAATATAAGTTGTATTATGAACTAATGAATATCTATCATTGCTTTAAGAAACTCATTCATTTTTAAACATCCTATATGTCTATATATGCGATGTATCCTGTTGTGCCAATCTTCCAATAACTCACTCAGGAATGAGGGACCCCTAATGGAGTAAAGGTAGGAAGTATATAAAGGGGTCCTCTGATGACATAATATCGCTTAAACCATCTTATATACATGTAATAGGCTGTTATTCTCTAATATCCCCCTGAATAGCATTCTACATCATATTAGCAATTGTGAAGAGGGTCAAGTATGGAGCGCCTCAGACGGACTTATCGCGGCATACATGGACTTATTATTGTATATATAGATTGTAGCTACATCAACGCGTGACCTAGAGTCACGTGAATTAGATCTTCTTGCTTTCGCCTTCCATGCTAAAGTGAGAACTGCGCGTCGCCCGCGCACCCTTGGACCCCAGCCATGCCTGAGCAAGCGTCCAACTGCTCCGTGCGACCTTCACGGCGGTCTTCACCACGCCAAGGACTACCGGAAGCCCTATTCAGGGCTTCCTCCTACCTACACTCGCACTTAGACAGTGCGCCTTCGATTTACACTAGCGCTGGTCGCCATACCTATTCGACCGACAGCCACCGCAGACACTTGCCATCACAATGGAGCCCACCGCGAGGGGCTGTTCCCGGACGACGGTGCCCGACCAGCGTCACGAAACAGC